AAATGCATACCTTTGTCACTGACTGTTCGATGAAGAAAAATGAACTGAGCTACATATTTCTGTCTAAGGTAGACTGGCATGTTGTCGCTGTTTTATTGGTACATTCTGCAACATGTTGTGGCTGCAATAATTGTGTGCTGGTGGTGGGTTTAGACTGAACCATCCACGTGCCATTCTACTTTGTTAGTTGTTCTGCGATGCTTACCCAGTGTATGCATAATATTACTATCTGGAGGGGCATTCTTGCACTCCCAAGCAACAAAAGCAGGACAAGCAACAACAACAAACAAATTACAGGGTTTCAGCAGGAAGCAACGGGACATACAAAAATTAGGAACAGAGCCATGGGACTGTCATAAATAGTATGGAAAACAAGATCATCCTGGACCTTCATTTTTTTATGAGGCAGTGCACATCCGTTTTTCTACCATTCTTTTAACTGCAGTATGTGACACTAATAATAAAGAAAAGCTATTTCCAGATTTATTATCACTATTCAGTTATACAACTAATGCTTAGTTAAGCTTGCATAAGCAAAGTTTAATATGCTCATTCAGTCGAACTGCTTTCCCATTAGAAATTCAAATCTTTACGTCTTTACCTCCTTTAAGCAGATTGAATCAAGAAATATTACTACCCAGGATTTCACTTCCCAAAACACATCATTCCAAATCAATGAATACCATTCTGCATATTAGAACGCTGCTCAAACAGGACTATTAAGGGCACTTAGAACTAGATCAAATTGTATGCTTTTATAATGTAGTAATACAAGTACAGGCATGTTAGTACTGCAAATGTTTTCACCACTTTTCAGAATCAGCACTTTTCCAATAATTTGGTGATAGCAAGAGGGAACATTATTTGGCCAAAAAGTAGTATTTAGAATGGATGGAAGAACACATTGACTTTGTCCAGAAAAAGAAGCTGTGAATTAATTTTCCTGTCACGTTACAGTAACATAATTACACAAATATAAAATAATCAGGAATCTTTTGGCTTTCTTAGACTATGAACATTGGCACCTGCGATCATTGTTTTGAGTAAATACTTGCACTTTGACTTGCAGCATTGCACCAGTCCACCAAGGAGGATCCTTCATTTTGTTGGAAGGCACTGGATTTTGCTTGATGTGGCTATTTTCCTGTTCTCCTCTACCATGTACACTGAGGGGTGAGGAGCTTTAAGTGCCTGAAGGCCACTTTCCCTCACAGGTGACCATCTGAAGGCTGCCTGCCTGTGGTGGTGCCAGAAGCAAAAAGTGGGTGGGGCTGGAGGCAAAATGGGTGGAGCAATTATTATCATTATTTATTAAATGTAATGGTTGCTTTTTTTGCCATTGCAGCTCAAAGCAACTTTCAGTATCTTAAGCAAAAAACAAATGTATACATACAGTTAAACCAGTATTTTTACTTTAAAAAACCCTCTAAAAGACAATTCTATTACTGTATTTTTAAAAAACTAGGTAAAAGCACCACACTCATTAAAAAGCCCATAGATACGTAATTAAAAGCCAAAGGCCTGATTGAAAAGGAAGATGTTTGCCTTGTGCCTGAAGATATGTAACAATGGTGCCTGGTGAGCCTCCCTGGTGAGAGTATTCCACCAGTGGGGAACCACCAGTGAAAAGGCCCGTTCTCGTGTTACCAGCCTCCATACCTCCCATGGAGGGGACAAATGAAGAAATGCAATAAATGTGACGCCTTCCTAGCTTGGCCCTGTGTAGAGGCAGGTCACGTGACATGAGTGCCACACACTATGAATTGAATGTATAATAATACTTCCTCTAGTAGCTACTACTAAGACTTTCTTCGAGGGAAGGTAAGAAATTCAGTGTCAGAGTAGACTTTCTTTTGAATCCCAACCATTCTGTTTATTTATTTTATAATTTAGAAACTGCTTAATATGATGGTTTCTAAGTAGTGTATACTAGGGATACAGCATACATAACAAAATCATTTAAAATAAAGCTGTCTAGTGTTTGACTGGCTTGTATGTTCCATACAGTCGAAACAAGGCATATATGAATATTTATTTGGGGGTTACCCTGAATAAAATCAATGGGATTTACATCTGAGTAAATTAGTAGGATTTACATCTTACATATGCAGGATCACATTTTTTAGAGTATGCGTTACATTTGTGGGTAGTTAGGCTTAAGTCTAGATTCATCTTTTTCTTATGTATCTTGTTCTTTTCAGTCTCATGTACTTTTGACCAGATTTTTTGTTTTTTCCTGATGTTTTCAGAAAGTGGAAGTATTGCTGGAGATCAGTGTTCCTCACTGTATGTGTAGACTTGGTTTCCTTCAGGCTTTTTAAAAAATCCATTCTAAAAGTCTAGGATAATTTCTGTAGCAAGGCAAAGTCTGAGTGTTACTGTCTGCTGAGACAAGATAAGAGTAAGTAATGGGTAGCTCTCTATCTTGTAAAGCTTTGGGTAAAACCTGCATTTCATTTCCCTTCTGGAAATACAAACAGAGGTTTCCGCTTTTTCAGGCAAATTAATTTGGTTTGAAACAGTGGCGCCTTACCTACTCAATGCAGTTGACTAAAAACTCTGGCAAAGGTAATAACAGAAGGTAGTCCACCGCACTATTTTAATGCCAAATTTATACTACAGTCATAAACATTTCAGTTTGATGCAAAGGCTTTGCTCATTTGTCATGGTTCAGGATACATTATTCACACATTGAAGTCTGCTAACAGACTGGCTATACAGCTAAAGAATATAAATGATTGTCAGATGCATGAATAATCATGTTCACTTGCCACTGTTGTCACTTGCCAGCATTCTCACATGAAGGGGAAAGTTGCCATTAGTCCTTCACAGCAAAAGGGCCATGTGTGTTCACTTATCCATTACCTCCACAATCCCAGTCACCAGGAGAATGTATGGAAACTTACAAAAAAAAAAAAAAACCCAGCCACTTTACATGTGTTCTCACAGTTTTGGGGTTGCTCCCTTCCCTAGATGCTCCAAGTGTGGGAGATTAGCAGCCAAACCTAACAAATGCATATTCTTGTTAGTTAACATGAGAAGGGTCTAAGTCCACAGAGCTGATAGGCCATAGAAAGACAATTGGTAGAGAGGGTTCTGTGTGATGTCATTTCCCCTCCTCTTCTGGAGAGGAAGGAGCATTTAGTACTTCCTGTTCCTCTCTCTCTCTCTTCCTGTGACCTGCCATAGGGGCAGATGTGCTCTGAAGCTGGTTATACTGTAAATGTAAGTATTTTGCCTGCGTAGTTTTTATTGCTGCCTTTGATGTGAACCAATGCAAGATTATAAGTAAATAATAAGTAGATTATATTTTTATACTTACTTCCCAGGTTGTTGTCTGAATCTTTATTAAGCGGGGTAAGAAAGGGAACCAGCTTACTTCATAGCTGGACTTGCTCAAAACAAGACTTTACAGCCTAATTCTTATTCTTTTCATTTTGCTGCCAAGAATGGGATTTTGTAACTCTGTTTAACCAACACACATGGGCACCTAGAGGGATAAATTGCAATTAATATATCCTCTCCTGACCAATTAAAACGCATCCCACGCCAAGCACTTAACATTTAAAACGCCCCAGATGGTGGCTTTTGGTTTGTCTCCATTGGTTCCCTTTCTTTCTTTTCTGGCCACCTTTGCTCCCTCTGTCTGTTCTAGGAAATATGCAATTTTAACTCTTTTTCCTTCTTCAGATTCCACATACCCCTAATCTAGGCCCACTCTTCTGAAATAATCATGGGATAATCACATAACACAGATCAAAGTATTGCTTTAGCTTGCCCTGGGGTTGGGGCATGCCCAATGCAATTTTTCAACTACTTTTCTTTGGCCTTCGGATATTTTCTGCCACCCTGTGCCACATCACTTTAGAAAGTCTCCTTAGGCTGGATGTAGACATGCTGTAAAAGAAGACTGGAATGTGATGGAAGAGTTTGAAGGCGGTAGAATGAATTATAATCACATTTTTCAATGTTTCCAATGTAAAAACAACTCTGTTAGTAAAAGAAGAAAAAAATTCTCAGCAGAGAAAGTGTTTTGCTAGAGCCATTGTTCCTGGTGTGCAATGTTTTTATTTTATTTTATTTGCAGGGAGTTTTTATCTCAGGGGTGGGAAAACTGTGCCTCTCCAGATGTTGTTGGAGTCCCACTCCCATCATCCATGGCTATTGGCTCTACTGGCTGGAACTGATGGATGCTGGAGGGCAAAAGGTTCCCCACTCCCATCATATCTTGGAAAGCATTATAAAAATGGTGCCTGAAGTGGTGTGGTTGATTTTATCACCTCATCCTTCCGCCTCCTCATTCTGCTGCATTTGCAACTGTCTCATGTTGCAAAAGAAGTTTGCTATGTTGCATTCGGCAGGGGCAGGGATGGGAGAGAAATTTAGTTCAGTTTGCATTTCAAGGCAAGCCTACTTAATCCACACTTACCAAAACAATTTGCAAACCAAAACAAAGGCATCCTTCTAAAGTTACACATCTTTGAATTTTGTAATATCATTCTCCAGTCAAGTGCTGTGTACATAGATGTATATACTAAGGTAAAGTGTACATAAAAATGTTAGATTAGTGAAAATAGCATACAAAAAGCAATAAATAAGAGGAAATTGCTTGCTTGTATATACAGTGGTACTTCGGGTTAAGAACTTAATTTGTTGTTAACCTGAAACTGTTCTTAACCTGAAGCGCCACTTTAGCTAATGGGGCCTCCTGCTGCCGCCGCGCCACCAGAGCACGATTTCTGTTCTCATCCTGAAGCAAAGTTCTTAACCCGATGTACTATTTCTGGGTTAGTGGAGTCTGTAACCTGAAGCGGCTATAACCCGAGGTACCACTTTAAAGCTATTTTTCATACAAAAAATGAGTATCAGAAGAAATTTGCACTAAAATGTGGATAAATTTTCATGAGAACTTTTAAAAAATTGAAAATTGATTTGACAAAGTGGAAAACTGAACTTAAGACCATTTGTACATGTTTTTATAACCATGACTGGCAATGGCTCGCTGGCCAGAGTTTCAAGCAGGACTCTTTCCCACCTCTACTTGAAGATGCCTGGGAATGAACTTGGGCCTTCTGCATGCCAGGCCAAAGCTCTACCCCTGAGTTACAACCATTCCCTCATATACTGTATGAAAGGTGTGGGGAACCTTTGGCCCTCCAGATGTTGCTAAACTACAACTCCTATCAGCTTCAGCAAGCATGGCCAAAAGGACCAAAAGTTCACACCACCTGCTATATGAGAAACACACACACACACACACCCTTAAGAGTGCAGAAGTCGTTCATTTATTTCATTTATTCATATAGCCATATCCTTCTTTTTACTCCAAATGGAGTCCCCAAAACAGGTTGTAAACAGAACAAAACAATAGCATCAATTTAAAACCACAAGTAATTTGTTTAAAAACAAAACTATATAAAAGGCATTTCTAAACAAGGCTGTTTCCCTGAAGGTTAGGAGGGAAGGGCTGAACAAACCTTTTGAGGAAGATTCCAGACCTCAGGATCCACCACTGAGAAGACTTGTCCCCCATAACCAACAAGCACACCTCAGACAGCATTGAGGTGTGGTCCAGAGTCTCCTCATAAGAGCTTAATAGATAGACAGAGCCATGTAGGCGCAACCAGACTTTTAGGTATTCCAGACGCAAATCATTTAGCTTTGCAGTGGCTCCTTCTGTGTTTCTGAGCGGAATTCAAAGTACCACTTGTTGTCTTTAAACTTTAAAGATAACCAGTAGCACTTTGATTTGGGCTGAGAAACGCACCAGGATGCAAAGCAGATTAAATAGCAATGGAGTCAAATGCTCATACGCACCACATATCAACAGTCTGGCAGCGGCATTCTGAACCAGCTATAGTTTTCAGATCTTCAAAGGCAGCTCCACCTAGAGCATATTGTAACAGAACAACACATTTGTTATGTGGTAGTTTGGATCCAGGCCATTATCTTCATGGGGGTTTTTTCTGCTGTGAAATCTGCCATCGAGGTATGAAAGTAGGAGAACACTGCCACCTATTGAAAAAATTGATAGCGATCTGGTTATTGAGGTATCTACATCTTTCCAAAAACAACTCCAACCCACTCCTAAACCCAAGGGACTTTCAAATAGTTGCACTGATCCTTGCTTGTGTAACATATGTTATTTGACGTTCTAACCAATCGTTGCATGTTCCTAGGTGTAAAGCAGGTGTCTAAGATTCAATAAGTCCCTGTTGTAAAATCCCACCGCTACCAGGAACTCACTTAGTGTCTTTAGGCAAGGTGTGCTCTCTTTGCTTATGCCCTGGCCCTCTTCATATGCAAGACAGGAATAATAATATTGACCTAGCTCTTTGGTTTGTTGCAAGGTTTAGAAACAGGATAATATATGTGGAGTGCCTGCTTAGAAACTCAAAAGCATTGTGCAAATGCTATTATCTGAGATTTCCAAGTGGAGTCAAGAGCATGTCCAATGCACACACAAGCCCACAGGTGGGCATTTCTGAAATGAAAGAGATAATTTCAGACACATGCATACACCTGCATGTGCTATGAATTCAGTTCAGAATTATAAGACTCAGAGCTGATTTTGACAGATTAATTTGACAAGCATTGTGAAGTGGCAGTCAAATATTGGGAGGTCTGTTAAATCCACTCTGCAAAAACTATAGCTATAGATAGATTTTGTTGTTGTTTAGTCGTTTAGTCATATCCAACTCTTTGTGACCCCATGGACCAGAGCACGCCAGGCACTCCTGTCTTCCACTGCCTCCCACAGTTTGGTCAAACTTATGTTCGTAGCTTCGAGAACACCATCCAACCATCTTGTCCTCTGTCATCCCCTTCTTCTTGTTCCCTCCATCTTTCCCAACATCAGGATCTTTTCCAGGGAGTCTTCTCTTCTCATGAGGTGGCCAAAGTACTGGAGCCTCAGCTTCAGGATCTGTCCTCTAGTGAGCACTCAGGGCTGATTTCCTTCAGAATGGATAGGTTTGGTCTTCTTGCAGTCCATGGGACTCTCAAAAGTCTCCTCCAGCATCATAATTCAAAAGCATCAATTCTTCGGTGATCAGCCTTCTTTATGGATACACACAGACAAATGCCACACTGGCAGTTTAGCAAGGAATTGCCTTTTTTCCACTCCCCCTTTTATGGAGAAACCAGATACTATTACTCCCAGATGTTTGTACTCTGAAGTTTCTATTTCCCCCACCAAACGTGATTTGTGGGGACTTTCCCTTCTGAATCTGATACTGCATTGTTTTACTTTGAACTGGTGTTCTATTTAAATAATTTTTTAAATTATGATTATATTTTTACCAATTTCTTCTCATCATTTTTTACTTTTCATTTTTATATAGTGAAATAGTACTCTTTTGCTTTATAAATTCAGAAAGAAAGAAAAATTCTGTATTTAAAGTGCACTCCATGGAAACAGTAACTGATATTAATAGGCAATGAAGGTGACTGTTCCAGATGTAATTAACAGGCTGTTCATCAGTAACCTAAAAGCCACATGGAACAGGAGGCAATAAAAGGGATAGGGAGCTTTTAATTAACATTGAAAAGAACCTTAACTGAAGAGGACAGACTTCTGAGTAAGCATTATAGAAGGATCTTAGCCATGGAGAAGGATCGCTTGATATGTGTGGAACCACTACTTAAGTGCCATCTCCAACTGATTGCAGGAAGCAATACCTCAGCAGGGCTAAAGAGATATACAGTGGTACCTCGGGTTAAGAACTTAATTCATTCTGGAGGTCTGTTCTTAACCTGAAACTGTTCTTAACCTGAAGCACCACTTTAGCTAATGGGGTCTCCCACTGCTGCCGCTGCACCGCCACTGCACGATTTCTGTTCTCATCCTGAAGCAAAGTTCTTAACCCAAGGTAATATTTCTGGGTTAGCAGTGTTGGCTTATTGCAGTATGGTAGCGCTGCAGAGAGCTTGCTGGGGAGACCATGCATTAAAAAGGGACTCAAAAATAACTTAAACAAGGTTTTAATAAGAAAAACAAAAACTCCTTTTACACTAAATACATTAACAAACAAACATGACCCAACCACCAACCCATCCCCCAGGGTAATGGGAGAGCTAGGTGCTGCTCCTTATATACTACACCCAATTACCAACACAGCTTAATCAATACAACTCAGCAGCACCTGCTATGTTTCACAGCTGTAAAGCTGGGTCTCGTTATTTTGCTCTGGCCCTTTCTCTGGCCCCTTAAAGACATACACATCGAGTGGAACAATGATGAACCTTTACATATTAAACCATTCAACATTTCCCCTGCGGTTCATCATTGTGGAACAAAAACATAAAGCATACTTTGTACATGTTTTTCATGTATACCTTTGGAAGTGCTTTAGTAAAAATGTCTGCAATTTGATTGTCACCTGGAACATATTTAAATACAACCATTTCATCAGCAATTAGTTTCTTTACAAACTGTAAACGTAATCTTAAGACTTTAGTGCGCTGCGTATTGGTTTCTGAACATAGGATAGCGAGTCCACTCTGGGAATCAAGGTAAACTTTTACTGGTAGTGTTACTTGCATCTGTAGGTCTGCGAATACTTGCAGATACCATTCCACATCACGAGTGGCCTGAACACATGCACATAATTCACTCTCTGTTGTGGAGAGACAAATAATGGTTTGTGTCTGGGACTTCCATTCAAATGGACAACCATTATAACAAAACACCATACCAGACACACCCCTGCAATTATTTTGTTCCACTGCATGAGATGCATCACAGAAAATTTCAAAACCTTTGTCAATACATGTTGTAAACTGCAACCTATAATGTTTGGTATGTTTAAGGTACATTACCACTCTCTTAAGAGCAGAGAAACATTGTGTAGTGGGCTTTTCCACAAATTTTGCCAGAAAGTGAAAGGCATAAGTTATATCTGGTCTTGAGATTCTTTGAATGAAATTTAGCTTGCCTATAGCAGAACGATACAAAGTTTTGTTAGGAAATGGCTTATCTTCACCTGTAAAAGTGAAACCACACACCATGGGCGTTTCCTTCCCATTTGCATTTTCTAAACATAGCATTTCAACAAGATCGTCAATTTTTGCAGTTTGATGAACCAGAAAAGATCCATTTTTGCCTTTCTCAATTTGCATGGATAAGTAATTTTTAGCTATGCCTAATTCCACCACATCAAATTTCTTCTGTAACTGTGTTACTACCTGTTCATATTCCTGTTTAGTTTTTGTAGAAATTAACACGTCATCTACATAGACACATATTTTTGCTACAGAGTTTGCCCTTTCCTTTATAAACACACAATTGTCTGCCTTTCCCTGTGAAAAACCAATATCCAGCAATTCTTTTGCTAAAGTTTGATGCCAATTCCTTCCACTTTGGTGCAGACCATAAAGGGATTTATTTAATTTGCATACCAAACCTTCAGCGGCGTCTATGCCTTCAGGGACACGCATAAAAATTTGTTCTTTTAAATCTGCAAACAAATATGCAGTTTTTATATCTAGGTGATAAACAGAATGTCCACGTTGTGATGCATCTTTTAACAAAAGCTTAACTGTTTCATATTTTACACTTGGTGAATAACACAAATCATAATCTTCGCCTGGAATTTGTTGAAAACCCCTAGCAACTAATCTTGCCTTGTACCTTACAACTTCATTTTTGTCATTCATTTTAACTCTATAAACCCATTTTGAATCAATAAGTCTCATATCTGGGGTTTGTGGTACAAGAGACCAAGTGTTATGCTCTTTTAAAGAAGCTATTTCAGAGTTCATAGCTTTATACCAATTTACAGCTTGGTGCTTAGGTAAATTCTGAACATCATTGTAGCTTTTTGGCTCAAAACTGCCTTATTGGCATACACAGTATTAAAATGTTCATCTGCAAAACGTTGTGGCTTCTGTCTCTTTCTATCTGAACGTCTCAGTCCGGAAGGAGAGTCAGACTCCTCAGACTTAATGGGACTATGTAAACTACTAGTTTCAGGTTGTAAATCATCATTGTCAGACTGAAGAGATGCCTGTTGGCTAAGCTCACGGTCAGAAAACTCAAGAGAATCTAACCTCCCCTCGGGTGCCTGTGACTTTAAATCATCAAAGAAATTATCAGATTCAACAGGCTTTTGTCTTCTTCCATTAATTCAGAAGCACCATTTCCTGCTGCTGCTGCTGCTTCTTCTACCTCTTCTTCCTCAGTATTATCTATACCATTACTATCTTGGAAAACAGCAACACCATTCCAATTTACAGTTTGTATCATGCTTCTGGTAATATGAAATTTGCCAGTTGCTGGTATGTAAATTCTGTACGCCCCCTGCTGGTAGCCCATTAATTTTCCCTGGACACTACGTTCACCCAATTTCTGCTTAGCGGGATAATGCATTATTACATCTGAACCCCAAATGCGTAGGTATTTCAGATTAGGGCGTTTTTAAACAGCTTCTCATAGAGGGTGACATCTAAACCAGAATGATAACTGCGATTTCTAACATAACAAAAGGCATTGAGCGCTTCAGCCCAAAAGTCTTTGGGCAGATTAGCATCATGCAGATAAGTTTTAACCCCTGCCTGCAGGTCACGCTGCACAACTTCAACAAGCCCATTTTGCCAGGGACTTCGGGGGCAAGATAACTCATGAGTAGTCCCCTGCGCTTCCAGGAATTTCTCAAAATCCTCAGAAACAAATTCCCGCCCTGTCAGAAAAAAGGTTCTTAATAGGTTTGTTAAAATGTGTTTTTACCCAGTTGCAAAAACTTTGTACTTCTCAAATGCTTGGGACTTCTCAGCTATTGCATAAGTCCAACAATATCTACTATACTGGTCTATCAGGGTAAGCCAGTACTTAGAACCTCCTAAGGATGGTGGGAGTGGCCCAACTAAATCACAATGTACACGCTCAAATGGCTCAGTTACTTTCCTATCTGAGCACCTACCCTTGCGTGCAACCTTAATCTTATTCTTGCAACAGGATAGACATTGCATAAAGAATTTACATGGTTTTAAGTTGAGGCCATTAACAATATTCTTGGTCTTAATTACATCAGCAAAATTCAGATGTCCCAGAATTCTGTGCGCCTCATGGACACACCCAGAATGTGGCCTTACATTCCTCAACCCCTGGCTTGACTGTGCTGCTCTGCAATTTATAGGCGATTGGGAGTAGGTGCGAAAATACAGTCTATATAAACCATCAGATTCCCGGGCATACAATAGACGTTTGTTCCCCTCGAAAAACTCACACATTGACTTTAAGAAACGCACAGTTATGCCTTGACGAGCAAAACACCTTACTGACAATAAATTGTCCACTGATGGGCAGTAAATGCAGTTCGCTATAGTAATGTTTAAAGAGTCAAGTTTAACAGTACCCCTGCCAAGCGACTGCAAGACTTGTGAATTGGCTAAATGTACATTACCAATTTCCTCTTCGAAAGAAATAAACAAGCTTCGATCGTTGCAAACGTGCTGAGATGCTCCTGAGTCCACAATAAAAGAATTCCACTTGGCACCTTTAATTCTTTTACGATCTCTTGTGCTAGCGTGAAAAGCTCGCGGCTCGTTTCTGTCTTTACGGTACGATGCCGGCTGCTGAGCTGACGACCGTGACTGACGAACAGAAACAGACTTGGGAGTACTTTGCTTTCTTTTGGATCTGCAGTCCTTTGCAAAATGTCCTTGCTTATTGCAGAACCAACAACGCTTTGCAGCTTTAAATGCAGTTGTATCACCACAAGTTTGCATATGGCGTTCCTCATTCTTTCTGGAAATAGGAGTGCTTATGGCACAAGCCTCCCTTCTGTCCAACTCGCCCATTAATCTTGCCGTTACCCCTTCCACAGTTAATTGTGCTGGTGGAACGGCAGATATCTGGCTAGCTATACCATCAAAGTCCTCATTAAGGGAACAAAGGATGATGAAAACATACTGAATATCAGGTATCTCCATGTCCCTTCGAATTAATTCGCCGCGTATTGCCTCCAGACGTCTCAAGTGTGCTGCCAAATCACCACCAGGCTGCAACTTCGTCTGGTACAACTGCTTGAAAACGTCAATGCAGACGCTGACTCTTTTCTAACATGCACTGCTGCAAGACTGTCCCACATTTCTTTGGCAGTTTTCTTATTTCTTATATAGACTACTTGCTGGTCGCTGACTGCCAAATTAATTATCGCCCTGGCTTTCGCATCTCCTTTCGACCAAGCATTAGTCACAGGGTCAGGAGGGTCATCAGTTACATAGGTCCATACTTCTCTAGAGGTCAAAAGCGCCTCCACCCGAAAAGACCATAAACTATAGTTCTCATCTGTCAGCTGTGGGAAGACCAGAGCCTTCTCAGCTTCAGGAACCCGGTCAACCATTCTGGAACTCTTCCAGACCCACAGAACTACGCTAACAGGAGAAGGAGTTTTCAAACCTTTCTCAGAGTCCAAAATACGCAGTCATCCACTCAGCAGCTGGGCCCATAACCAAAGATGTTGGCTTTTGCAGTATGGTAGCGCTGCAGAGAGCTTGCTGGGGAGACCATGCATTAAAAAGGGACTCAAAAATAACTTAAACAAGGTTTTAATAAGAAAAACAAAAACTCCTTTTACACTAAATACATTAACAAACAAACATGACCCAACCACCAACCCATCCCCCAGGGTAATGGGAGAGCTAGGTGCTGCTCCTTATATACTACACCCAATTACCAACACAGCTTAATCAATACAACTCAGCAGCACCTGCTATGTTTCACAGCTGTAAAGCTGGGTCTCGTTATTTTGCTCTGGCCCTTTCTCTGGCCCCTTAAAGACATACACATCGAGTGGAACAATGATGAACCTTTACATATTAAACCATTCAACAAGCAGAGTCTGTAACCTGAAGCGTCTGTAACCTGAAGCATCTGTAACCCGAGGTACCACTGTATTATGGATAGATGGAACTGTGGTTTTAAAATAACTACTTAATGCTCATTTTCCCCCAAGGTGTATTGAACAGGTACATCATAAGTCTAATAAACTAAACACCTTTGTGAATCATATTCAGCTGAATCATAACCAGACTTATACTGTATAGAAAAGTACACTTACTTTCATCACCCAAAAGATGGAAAGCGGTCACCAGAACAAGAATGTCTAAGCAGATGATAATAACCTGCCACCATTGTTCAATCAGCCCATGTTTGCATTGGTTTAGCTAATTGATATTGCCAGAAGTTGCTTCCAGGCAGGACTGTAAAAACAAAAGCTGCTCAGGAAGCTGAATCCTTATGTGTGCAGAATTCCTTTCTACAGGCACTTTGCAGTCCCTGCACATGACTCTACCCATCAGTCTGTCCTAGTGAGAGCCAGAACATTTCACTTTTCCAATTAGTAATTTTCATCATGTTCATTCTACTGAGCATAACACCACTTTGGAACCACATTTCTTTTTATTCCCTGGTAGAAAATCCCCTCTCCCTCTGCTTTATAGATTTTCTCTCATATATGACAGCCAGTGCCATATATTTGTTGAAATGCCCTTTTCAGTTTGAGAAGATAAAAGGAGCTAGCTAGCAATTTCAGCAGAATATTGTTAAATATCAGTGAGTGCCTCCAAAAAGTGGCAATGAATGCCATGTTGCAGTCCGGATATTACATTTGGCATAATATTTTCCATACTGGGGGGGGGGGAGATAATTTAAAATTTTTTTTGTATATTTCACTTAAAAAACACTTAAAATGTTGTATTTGCAGCTGTATAACTGAATCCCTTGTCTACACACATTAGGGAGATGCACATATGCAGGAGGAAGAGCGGTCAGATCATTAGTTCAGTCACTGTGTACAAGGCAGATTACATATATATTATACTTGTACCAGAGGGAATTAGCAATCACAGTGTCAAGGAAGGTATATTACAAAAACGGAAGATTGATTGCTATGCAGTTTGTCAAAGAAACTGGCAGTATTTAAATTTGACCTTTGGATAGCGCTAAGAAGACCCTAATGCCAGTTACAGAGAAGAGAAGGCAATTACCATCAGACTGGCATGCACAGAGCTGTATTAGGTTAAAGAGGGAAGTTCAATGCAAATACTCCTATCTGTGGGCTTGGGGTGCTGGGTTCTGAGACCAGAAAGGGAACCATCTGTAAGACTTGGGTAGTTGCTGCCTATGCCCTCATCTGGTCAGGAGAAGTGATGGGATGTCCTAGACAAAGTGACATACGCTGCTTTGCGTATAAAGAACATAGGCACATTTGTTTGGGTGTGGACAAGCAATCACCTTGCTTTGGTGTCCATCCTGCGTCTATAAAGGCTGGGAGGCCTAGCAGGCTGCTTTGCTGCTAAGTCTACATCTTCTTTAATAAAGCAGTAGAATTGGCCATTCTAATGTTTTTGACATCCTTCTTTGGTATCCTTGTACCCAACCCCTCCCCCGAGCCCTGCTTTGGGCCTGCAGTTCAGAACAGAGAGCAACTGAAGTGAAAATTAATGCCTTGACTGTTCCAAGATGGGAAAAGTGGAGAAGCTCTTCTTCAGAGGGTAGCAGTAAATCAGTAAGCTGTCTTTGTGTTAGGACACTGGGGGCTTCGCCATTCCTCACAAATCCTTGGCGATCAGACACTCTGGCTCTTAAAGATAGCTCTTGCTGTCAACAAACAACCACAGAAAAGGCAATGATAGGAAGCAAAGGATAGAATGAGCCCTCATAGGTTTCCTTGAGCCCAACATTGCATGAAACTGATTTTGCAATGAATTAATATTTGTTCCTTTTGAGCCTCGACAGAAGCCCTGAGTATAAAAATAACAGATGGAAAGGAAGACAGAGGACAGAGACCCCGTAAGAATAGTTTAGCACATACTTGAAAGCAAGTTGCACTGAAGCATTGAGACTTGCTTCCATGTCAACATGTTTAGCATCTAATGGATAATTTTATTTCATCCTTTCTAGGGTCAAAATTGCATGTGCATTTTAATCTGTTTTAATTTTGATATGGCAACCTTCCCTTTCAGTTAATGAACATATCACCATTATTTTCCTGCCTGAAATGTCACATGCCTTCAGAAGGCATCTCTCCACATTCCTATCCTAAATACCAGCCAGACTGCCCTGTATGTGCCTGCAATACTGCTAGTTCCTTCATGGTTTCCTCCTACTCCCCTATTCTCCTGTCAAATTGACAAAGTCAGGGGGAAACCATATCAGATTCACCTGTGCCTCTAGTTTCTTGGTTGATTAAAGTATTCCTGTGTGCAACTAGACTGGTGTGCTGTGCATACATAATTTTTGAAGTAGGGAAAAAAGCGCCTGCTCGGCTGAGTAGTAACAACAGCAGAGAAGTAAGATGGACATGTGATGCTCTCATAGCCTCCATGAAAGTGCAAAGTTTTCCCCTCAACATTGTTAGTTTCACAAGAGAGGGAAGAAGGGACATGGTAAAGGGAAATCTGCCTCTATAAAACTCACTTCCATAGAGAGGAAAACATTCCCAAATACATACACTGTAGTTCAATACAAGAAAAATGGTGGGTGGACTATAAATTGAGATTCAGATACATAACATGTTTGCAAGTGGCACAAAAATGCAAGAAGAATGAAATGTGGCTATAAATGCCTTCCTGCACAGTCACTAATCACTTTAAAAATCAAATACTGTACAAGTACATTTAAAATTGCTTTTCTGTCTTTCACACAACATAAGGAAAAAACAGCACCTCTACAACAGGGGTGGGTCACCTTTTCCAGATTCTGACCTCTCCCACCACCACCCCTCAGGCAATTTTGGCAGATGCACAGGGCCCACATAGCAATCAGCTGATGCCATTAAGTGAGGTGACAGCTTCAAAAGGGCTTCCTGTCAGCAAAGTTGTACATAGAGGAAAACTCTGTGTGCAGACACTGAGCTGCATTGGGCATGGCAGAACAGGATTGGCAGCAGTCAAAGTGCACACAGGAGTTGGCGGCTGCTGCTGCTTTTCACTGAATTCCCCTCTGCCCATATTTTCCAGTAAACAATTGCAAAAAAGTGAAAACGTGTCCTTGATAAATCAGCACAGGGTTACCATGTCCTGGATTTCATATATTGATAACAAATAATTGATAGCAAACAATTGCCAAAAAAAAAAAAAGTGAAAACATGTCCTTGATAATTCGGCATAGCGATACCATGTCCTGGATTTCATTTATTGATAATAAATCACTTTTGATTTAGCACCTGTTTCTGGTCAAGTGAATTAGACACTTTGTTAATGAGAAGCTGGGTCTTTCATTGCTTTCCCTTTACGAGAATGCAAATAGGAGCTGCTGCTGTTGTCCTTGTTATGGTAACAAGTTTCTATGCTTCCTTCATGGCCAGCGATTCAGTTCCAAAAAGGAGCGAGCAGCTGTGAATCAGATGCTCTTCAGACATCTGTGTCCTTTCCCAGAGAAAGTTTTGGCAATGCAGCTTTTAAGATTACTCTGGGGGGAAATGCCACACAAAGTATAACAATTCAGCTGCTGATCGGAATGCGATGCTCTGGCTATGCCACATCCGGTGTTGCACTGACACTCGGGTCACCTAAAGCAGGGAATGAGAACCGGTGGCCCTCCAGGCGCTGCTGTGATCCCCTCAGCCCGGGCCAGCATGCCCAACGGTCAGAGGCGCATCCTGGAGGGCGGCCAAGCTTCCTCCCGTGACGAGGCTGCATTCCCCCTCACAGACTAGGGCGCAGTCAGCGGGACATGCGCAACTGCGCCTCGGCGGAGGACAAGCGGGGAACAGCCGCGAGGGGAAGAGCGCGGGCATGTCAGTGTCGGCCATCGGGTCCCGCCCCCAGAAGCAGCCCGGCCTCCCGCGCCTGCCTCTTCCTCCCGCCGGGCCTCGGCGCTGCCCTTCTCTTTCCTCCCTTAGACGGGGCCAGCGAGACGTGCCATGGAGCCGCCGCGCGCCGGGACACCCGCAGAATGCCAGGGGGCGGCGGGGAGCGCGAGGCGCCGGCGACGGTTGGCGACGCGGCCGCTGGCCGTTGGCGTGCTGCTGGTGCTGGCGGCGGTCATGACCGAGGAGGCGGCCACCGCCGAGGCTGCGCAGGGCTCGGGCGACGAGAAGTGCCACTACTACGCGGGGGGCCAGGTGTACCCGGGCGAGGCGTCGCGGGTGCCCGTCCGAGACCACTCGCTGCACCTCAGCAAGGCCAAGAGTAGGTGCCGGAGAGGCCCGGCGAGGCGAGGGAGGGAAGGAGCGAGCGGGAAGGCGGGAGGGAGAGAGACAAGAGGCGGCTGCCTCGTCGCCTCATCCTTGGCGCCGAGGGAGAAGCCGAGGCGGCGGCCAGGAGGAGCCCCTCAGCCCAGCCTTTCCCCCTCCCTGCTCCCTCTGCTTTTTTTACTATTCGTTATTGTTCATCTCGACGTTGGCATTGTGCAAAGCAAAGCAAAACCCCACACACACCCACAGCCCCCGCTCCAGTTTTGTTCCCTTGCGGGGAAGAGAATTTACGGGGGTGGGGAAAACGCGAGTGCTGCTGAGACGCGCAGGACGTGCCGTGTTGTTTAGAGACGCTGCTGGGAAATCGGGGGGGACGGGAAATGATGTCGCTGCCGCAACGTGGCTTCTTGTCGTTGTTGATCTCTTGCAGCAGAAAAGAGGGAGAGAGGGAGGCCTTCAGAGAAGAAAAGTGATTTATGGTGGAATAATTTGTTTCGCAGCACATCACGAAAGCTTATTCCGCAATAGGCAAAACAGAATCAAGTGGCCACAGGCCTCATCCGTGTTTCCTCTTAAGCTCCCCTTCCAAAAAGGAACAGCAGGTTAAAGCCAAAAAAAGTGCTCTCTGCCTGCAAATTGGGTAGAGTTTTGAAGGCTTCCCCCCACCCAGCGCAAATGGTAGCGTGAGAATGGGTTAAATTTAAAAGAAGCACCTCCCTCTTGTTTCAAATATTTACTTTCCTTGTCGGTGCATGGTTGATTAGCGGGTTTTTTTTAGTAAGGACACGTCAGACAAAGGCTATTGCTTTGAAAGTGCAGAGAGGTTTTTAAAAGAAGAAGTTTAAGGCTGCAATCCTACACCTACTTACCTAGGAGTTAGCCCCATTGAATACAGTACTTCAATGAGTAAGCCATGTGTTTTACAGCATTCTGAAATGATAGAGTGGCATTCTGTACTACAGTACAATCAACTTAATATGCTGTTTTTCAAAAAAGTTTCAACTAAGTACCTCCTGGTAAGAAAACTGCAAGATTGAATAATCTGGCAGATTTCTTGTTTGTTTTTTAGACAATTTGCAAAGAAGACAAGCTTTGTATCCAATAGTGACTTAGTTCCAAGAGTGGCTTGTCTATTTTTGTAAATAGTCCTCATAAACTGATCCAGTAAGAAGGTGCTTTGCGTATATGTCTTTAGGTTGCAATCCTAATTCATATACATACTGTACTTACATTTAATTCAGTAGGGTTTATGTCTGAGTAGATACAGAGAGAGTTTTGTTAATCAATGGACAGTGATTCTTTAGTTTTCATACTTGGGCTGCAGTTGGGTCCATTTTTATATATATCTCAATTATGTTTTTCATCAAGTAGTATCTTCAGTGTCACCAAGCACTGATTACTGTGATTTAGACTGCTGCCTTTCACAGTGCCATTGAAGATACTGTCGGATGCAATATATTTTAAATATCAGCTGCTGGGAATCAGAACAGAGAGGGTGCTTAGTCACTCAGGTCCCATTTGCAGACTTCCCATATGTGTGTGTCTGGCTACCACTAGAATAGGATGCTGAAGTAGCATCCTTTGACCTGAATCCAGCTGGTTTCTTCTGAGGATATCATACTCTAACCTTGTGAAGTATGTGTTAACAAAAGTTTTGTAGAACCTCAAATCCCAATCTTCAGCACTGCACCTATCCCTTTAGCTGCCATTTCTTAGTGCACACCTTAGTACCAACATATTCCATTCACCCATCCTATGAATTTCCAAATTTGTGCTGACATAGTTCTAAACATTTGTGTTGCACACATCACCGGCAAATAAATAAATAAATAAAAATGTGTGCTATGGCATTAGTGTATGTTTGTTGGTACACCAGTTCTCAATAACTTACTGTAAGTCATAAGAACCGCAACTGAAATAATTTTTCCAATATTTAAGTTCTTCCAGCATTGCTTCTTTAAAATGAACATTATCTATTTAATTTAATCTATTCAAAGAGAAATATTGCACTTATATCCCAGCACAATCAGGCAAAATGAATTAAAGTACAATGTATCCTTCATTTTTAGTTTCCGAACCAGCACCCTATTGGGAAGGAACAGCAGTCATCAATGGAGAGTTTAAAGAACTGAAATTAACAGATTTCGAAGGAAAATACCTTGTTTTCTTCTTTTATCCACTTGACTTGTAAGCAAAACACATGAAATATATGTATATTTTCACAATATAATGCTTGCTGATCATAGCAGTCTTTTCATTTTTAGGCCAAAAAAATTGCTTATTTAACAGGAATAAAGACTTGGAAAATATAAAATTATGAAAGTGGCTATGGAAATCCCACAAATTACAATCCTAAGTGTTTTCTCGATTTACTGGGGTAATATGTGTGAAATTCACAATGATACATGGGTGGGGGCAGCTGCGCCCCATCAAGTAAATAAATAAAATTGCCTAACTAAGTGGCCAATTGCATCGCAGATAACTCGGTTCTGCCCCACCCCCCAACATAATTCCTGCCTCCTCCTCCCCCCCCCCAATAAATCCTGGCTACTCCCATGCAATGATCATCAATCCTTGTAATTCTGAACTTGTGTGGTCTGATTTTTTTTGGAGTAGGACAACAGGACAGGGCCCCCAGAGATATGGTAGAAGTCTCTATGCAAGCTGTTAGTTTGTAAAGGGGATAACAGCCCAGCAAGGACTCATGCTCAGGGCCCTTACTCTCCAGAAATGTCCCACTATACATAGCAGAGCCCTGTAGCACTATGTAGCAAGCAAAAGCAAACTCACCCAGTGGTGTGGAGCAGCAATGCCACTTTGCTGGCCACAGAGCCACTGCAATTTACCAAGAGCAGTGAAATGGTGGGGAGGTTGATGTGGTACAGGAACACTGGTAGGAGTGCTGATTGGCTGCACCAGTGTGCCCCTATCACACCAATCTTCCTGCTACTTCGTCCCTCCTCCTGGTAATTGGCATCCATCCCACTGCCATATACTTGATTGATTTTTTGAAGTGAAGGACAAATAAGATAGTTTTCTATTAAACATAATAATGTTGAACTTGACTGCTGCTTTCAGACTGGAAATAGAATTTTCTGTCTAGTAGTTCACTCAAAATATTTGCTGTAGCACCATATAAGTATTTAGGATGTCACATATCAAAAGCTATGCGAACACTTCACAGAGTATGTAGTTATTCTGGCACTGCAAAATGGTTGAACAGAATACACTGCCAAAAATGTTTAGAATAGGATGCTAGAGTTTTAGAAGTTGTAATGGAATAAAACTTGTTTTCCTACATGCATCCTTGAATCAGTGACCAATGAAGGCTATAAATGGGCAGGCATAAATAAAAGAAAATCATAAATAAATAGCTGGAAAATTGAGTGCTCTGCAGAAAGCAGTTCATTTCTGTTTTAGTGATTGGTTGTAAATAGGGATCTGTTCTTTTTAGAAATTTACATTTTGGTCTCTCTTTAAATTTAGCACATTTGTATGTCCAACGGAGATCATTGCCTTTAGTGACAGAATTGAAGAATTCAGAGCAATAGGTGCTGAAGTGGTTGCTTGCTCAGTAGACTCGCAGTTCACTCATTTAGCATGGTAAGTCCTTTTTCCCTTTCATTTACACAACTTATTGGTAGCCATTACATTTTCTGTACAAAGCAGAAATCTTGATTGGAAACTTGGGACTGTTAAGTAACTGCAGCCATCCCATGAGTATAGCTGCCTGGTTACAGGAGGCCTGTCAATGGCAGGAGGAATGTGTTGTCAGGAAACTTCCATTTCTGGAGAAGTGCACACAGGAGAGGGTGAGGGAGATGCAAAGACTAGATCAGGTCCATTAAATTCACCACCTATCATGTAGATACTGTGAATGATACTAAGTTGATAGTGCAGGTATGGAATAGTTCTCACAGAAGTATTTGGTGATCTTCATTGCTATAGGATTAATACAGCTCGGAAGCAAGGAGGACTGGGTCCAATAAAGATACCACTTCTTTCAGATTTGACGCACCAGATCTCAAAAGATTATGGAGTTTATCTAGAGGATCAAGGACATGCTCTTAGGTATAATGTTAACTATTCCATTTCCTTCTCTGTCTGCTACTCAAATAGTTATAGATTATTGTCATATTTTTCCTGTATGAAGCTGTATCAAAATTCTGTTACATTCAACAAAAATCTGTGTTTAAAAAAGTTGCAAGATCAGAATTGCTAATTTTACAACAGCAGTCTATTGGAGAGAAAAACTTGACTAGAACAAGAGCACAGTTCTTAAAAGCTGGGTTAGCAATTAGTTATTTCAGTGGATCTATGACGTGCATCGTTAGATCCCATAGTGAAATAAAATGTATTGCTTTCGGTGAAGAGTTGATACAGGTGTTTCGCAGACAGGTGATATATGCACAGAATGAGGTTATTGATATTTGTCTTGCCAATTTCTCTTATATTTATGTTTCCACAGAGGCCTGTTCATTATTGATGGCAAGAAAAATCTTCGACAAATCACAATGAATGATCTTCCTGTTGGCAGATCTGTAGATGAGACTCTTCGTCTAGTACAAGCATTCCAGTATACTGACGAACATGGAGAAGGTATTTCCTGCAGGGTTAAACATTCAGTTGCCTACACAGAAAAGAAAGATTTCTTCTAGATAGCAAGTAAGAAAGCTGAGACTGTTAGATATTTTGACAAATTACTGTTGGTCTTAACATTTCTAGCAATCTTCAATACTATAATACCTGGTTCCTGGTATTAGTTGTAAAACTAATTGAAAAGTTCTCATTCTATGATTAAATCCTACTTCATTCAGCTACCTCATCATATATAGATTTGTACTTGCAGAAAATGAATTATTTCTTTCATGTTCCACAAAACAAAAGGAATAGGAAGGCAGGGTTATTTTTAACCATGAGCTTAATGTCTCCTTTCCTTGTCTTCTTAGTTTGCCCTGCTGGTTGGAGACCAGGCAGTGAAACAGTAAGTTGGTGTTTATAAATATAATTGGAACATAGTTTTTCCTTGAATGCTCCATTTGAAATTTTTTATCTTATGTCATGTGGGGAATATTATCAGCAGGCCAAAAGCAATGCATGGGCAATTTGAATGCCATTTGAAACCTTGCCTTTTACTTCTTCATCTTATCTCTATCAGCTTTTCCAGCATGCTTTTCTTGCTAAGATTTTACACAGTGAAGGAAAAATCAAGACTAAGTATTTCCTTAAGGTGCTTGCATGTTAGATAACTGCTACATGAATAGCATTATTGTTGTGCAAAAACCTGCTCCAGAACTCTATAGCATTTCAGTAGGATACAAAAAATCACAAGTACTAGTAATTTTGCACTCTTAACATATAACAGTATCTTCATTGATCAATAGATTTCACAGTCTCTGAATACATCCACTTAGGCTACAGTCTTATGCACATTTAACTTGGAATAAGTCCCATTAAATTCAAGGAGTTAATTTTGAGTAGGTATGCACAGGGCTGCAGTCTTTATAAACATTTTGTAGAAGTATTTGCCATTTATTTCTACATTATAGACTTTCAGAATAAAGAAACATCAAAGTTGAGGATATTAATCTGAGTTTTTTGGCCAGTGACTTGACAAGTGCAGCAATGGAATAACATGTGGTTTATCACAAGTGCGACTGTAGACAGGTCACAAAAGAACACTGCATGCGTTCTCAAGACAGTTCCACATCCCTACAGTAGTTTGTTTTGTCCAGACATGTTACTGAAGGACACCGATGATTTCAGTCTTCCCCCTTATGATTTTGGGTACAATCCAAAGAGCATTAGGTGCACCTTGGTACCAGAAAAATCCATGGTGCTTATCAGTGCAATCCTATGCTCACATTATGATTGGGGTGTATGTGTCACCATATCCAGTGTGTGAGGGCAAGAACACAGTCAGAAAATAGAAAATACAAAATCCATACAAGCAAGAAGCATTATCAAAGATCACAGACACATTCCAGACAAGCAAAAGCACTTGTTAGAGAGCAGGGCCAGTGAGGGGAGAGGGAAAGATGCGATGCATGGAGGGCCAACGCTACCCACCCTTGGTATACCATATCTGAATTGGTGTAACTGTAGTTCTTACCAGGAAATGTGTGTGTTGGGCAGCAGCAGGAGAGGTAGGGCACATGCGTCTGTAGGGTACTCTGTATCATCAAACTATTGTGACATGAAAACAGGAATACACTAATAGCTGTAGCCATGCCTTCTGCATGTGTTTAGATCAAACCTGAAGATGCTATGAGAATGTGGTGGCCAAGAGAAGATTTGTAAGTACCGTTGGGTATTTGAGTACCTGTGTTATCTTGGGGAACTCACTGGAGGATGGATGGGTCTAATATACATCCAATCATCAGCACAGGACTTAGTTCACTTTATACAGCAGATATATAACAAACATTAGACTATTTTGATTTTGATTGCAACTTTTTTCTCCTTATCCAGATAATTCCAGATCCTGCAGGAAAACTGAAGTATTTTGGTAAAGTGAACTGACTGCTTTCTTCTACAATTCACAGCTAAAAATCTGCCAATAAAAGTTCCACTAATTTTGATAATTGCTTGTGTGTTGCTTCTTGGTGGAATTGTACCAGTGTTTGGTTCAGTGTGTATAAGGCTTCTTGTTCTACTAAAGTAGAATAATAGCAGTGAAGCAGTGCTAAAATATTACCATGTAAAATTACTTTCACTGTTGGAAGTCTCATGCTGCTAGTCACACTAATAACTATTTCTAACCCAACTATATGCATGTTTACTCTGAAGTAAGCATCGTGTTTCATAGAATTTAGTAAGTGTGCAAATTAATCTCACACACCGAACCAAGGACACACACACACACACACACACACACACACACTCATCAGCTGATTGATCAACCCTGCTTTCTACAGGGAAAACAGCTGCATTTCTGCCTGACATCACAGGAAGGTAGGTGGGTATGGTTTGTGGAAAACAGCCTTGCAGGGCAAGCAGGAAGCCCACAGACTGGAGGTTGCCCACTCCAATATATTGATTACATAATTCAGACTTCCCATATTCTATGATTTCTATTTTGAAAACGCAGAGTCAAAACAAATGAGTGCAAGATGGGCATGAGAAGAAGGTAAAAATTGTTCATTTGTGCTGCCATCTGCTTACCGTATATTCTTGCAAAGGGTACAGGACTAGATGGAACTCGTTTCCAAATTAAGTCTAAACTTCAATTATTGAATCACAATCTATGCACACAATGTTTTTGAGAGACAGTACACAGCAAATGTGAAAAAGCCAGTGCTTTTTTTCTTTTAAAAAAAATGTTTATGGGTACTCTCATTTTTCTACTCATATTGAAATACTGCCCCTCAATGAGGCCAAACTTAAGATTCACAAATTGTTTAGGAGTATGCATCCTCCTGCGTCTCCCCAGAAAAAAAGCACTGGAAAAAGCTACCACAGTTACTTAAACTTTGGGGATGTATTTTTAAGTTAGATGAGTTACAGAAACTGCACAATCCAAACACATTTTTACAAATTAAATGCATAATTTAAACACTAAAATACAGTGTCAAGTATCTTTATTCTCAGATGGAGGAGGACATCCAGTAATGTGATTAGTATCTCAATCTATTCATAGTAGAAGCATGGTTATGCTTCAAACATCCACAAGGGGGAGTTGCATTCTCAGTTTTGAATAGCCCAAAACTTCAAAATGCAACTGGCATAGAAAAATATCTATGAAAAGAAGAAAAAACAAAATGGTAAAGCTCCAAAAGGAATCTCTGGCTTCACTGATGCGCAGTTTAGAAACACAAATTGGCACACCATCTTTTCCAAATCATTTCCAATGTGAGAGCAGATCTACCATATATGATATGAAGCGACCTGGAATATATTTTTGTAGCTTGTAATAAGATTATTTCAATCAAGCGTATGATTTTTTTTATTATAGGATATAATACATTATTCAGTAAAACATTTCCATATCTGGTAGGAGTTTATCAAAGGCTGAAATCAAGAGACGTTCTTGCTTAATTCAGGAAGTTCCACTGTGATAGGCAGGGTAATGGTCTTCATGGACCTGATGTGGCCTTGACACACCATGTAACTGCTTAATCCTTTTCAATTAGTGTGCAGGAGCTTTAGCTGCTTTTATCAGTCTGAAGTCAGTGGTAGAAAACATTTAAGGAAAAGCATATGAATTTAAATGGTATACTGATCACCACCTCTGAGTAACAATGCAAAAGATGTTCAGTGGCAGATTCCAGACTGCATTTCCTTCACCCGCCACCTTTCAGAGCTACCTTTGTTCACTTTGCAAAGCAAATGACCACTGTGATGGTCATGATATATAGTTTGTTCGTCTTTTGGCGTTAAAAATACATAAAATATATGAAACGCCAATATGAAATACAAAAATCAATCTAAAAACTATGTATAAATAGAAATAAACAATAAATGGATATAAAAGTAAGTGCTTTAGAGCATTTCTGCATTCATGATCATACTGTTTTTAATGGCAGAAATGCTTTGCCACCTCCTGTGGAGAAGCAATATGCTTAAAGCTTCCAAGGCGATCTCCTTCCAAAGGTGGCACACTGCTAGGGTGCTATGTTTTCTTTCATGGCGGAATCAAAGTGCCGCTTCCCATCCAAATACAGCATGGATTCTGAAAGACAAGAAAAAGCAACTACCGTAAGTCATTTATATGGATACTTCTCAAACTTCCTAAGATTATGTGGTCAATTAGTAAGAGATACTCGAGTCAATTTTTCACACTTTTTCCTTACACACACTGGGTTCTCGCTTTTAAGCCTGCCTGTTTAAAAAATTGGAATAAAAGTTTTACTCTGTCTTCATTGAGAACACTTTCATTGTTCCTCCTTTCATTTAGGTTAGTTCACACAGCACAGACTGAAGAAGTGGGCAGATTAATACCTTAAAATAACAAAACAAAACAAATGGATAGGAACTGTGGACCTAGATTCACACAGTTTGAACTACGTTAGTACAAAAAACAGAATGCACAAATAACCATGTTGGCCTGAATATAAGTCACACACTTTTCCAAATTCCGACCGTGAAATGTTAAAAGTACAGCTTAAATTCGCGACCTTACACAAATTGCCTTTTACGATATTGCTGCTGAAACAGATATACAGCCAATATGGTACTATACAATTCTTCTCTGGGCCACCTAAATGAACCCAGAAAGAGAGGTGATAAGAGAGGAAAAGGGGTACTGGGGTGGGGGACAACCAGAACAGGAAGGAATCCATCCTGGGCCCATGATCCTATAATACCATTACTTTTGCACTGCAGCATGCAATATCATGCACTGTGTGAAGCTTCCAAAATAGGTACTCACCGCCATATGTTCTGGGAACAATACTTGGTATCTCATTTTCTAACATAAATGTGAAGTGGAAGACATTGGTTGTATGGTGCACTCTGGTAGCTGGATCATACACCTCACTGTGTACTCGAACCTGGGCATTATTTTTTTCAGTATAGCATACCTTTAAAACAAAAAAGAGCTACTATGGGCCTCCAAATTCAGAAATGAACAAGGAAGACACAACATTTTAATATTTGAAAAAGAAAGCCAGTGTTTCTCTGACTTGTTATTGCTCACTTTCAGGGACAGCCAAATGATTTATACCAGTATGATCTATCAAAATGGTTTCAGTAGAATAAATCCATTACCTGGGCAGAAAGTAGTAACAAAGATCCAATTTCAACTGGTTTTTGAAACATGATATCATCTACAGCTACCACATAAGGCCGGGAGTTTCTGGAGCGGAGGAAAATAATACATTTTTAAAAGGGAAACATAGGGAACACTGCGTTGTAAGTAACATGAAAAAACATGAGAAATCAGAAACTACATAAAAGCTGATTTTTGTGTATAGATATCACCTGCAATTAGGAAAAGGCTTTAAATAATTTTGTTTTATGAAAGAAAGGGGTAAGACCAGCTGGCAGTTCCTAAGACGTTTTTCACTGTCCAACTTAGTGATACTCATTTGTTGTATGAGATTTCACTAACTCCTACAAAATTAGCCCAAATGTCTTTGGGTGCATCACTTTACAGCTGCATTCCACAAGCTGATCTCCCCCAGATGTTGTTGAACTCCCAGCTAGCTCCTGCCATCACTCCCAATAGTGAGGGGAAATGGCAGCTGTAGTCGGGCAACATCTGGAATGCACCAAGTTGGGGAAGGCTGCTGTACTGAATCTGTAAAACAAATCACTTTACAAGGTTACGTGGCCTCTTCCCTGCTCACATGGTACTGATTTGAGAGTGCAAGAGGAGAAAGGTGCTCTTCCCACTCATAGCCGGGAAGGAGGAAGTCTGGAGGGAGAACCAAGTGAACCCCTGCCCTCTTCCCCTCCCCCCACCCTCCCAAAAGACTCGCCGGGCTTTAAGTCCCATAAATATTACCATCCTGCGACTTACCCATAGCTGTAGGCACAAGCCCATCCAAGTTCATATGCCTTCCTCATGAGAAATCCCCCAAAGATTCTATTGAAAATGTTGCGTTCCTACCGTCAAAAATATTCAGTGGTGAATGATGCACCCTTACAGAAAATGTTGACTTAAAACGTATATTTATTTCTGGTTCTCCATCAAGGTAGCCATAAAACAAGTAATTAGGAATTTGTGCTATTGGCAACATAACAAAAAGCACAAAATGCATAATCTGTGGATAGAATACAATATACTGTGTATCACTGAATCATACCATTTGTAGAGGTGGAAGGGACTCCCAATAGTCATTGCAGTCCAACCAACTGCAATGAAGGATAGTGAGAACTACCAACTTTTTGTGCCAGTCAAATTATGCTGGTGATAGAGGAAATTTTGTCCAGTGACAGCAGGGAAATTTGGGCTGCCAACACAGTATACGTTTAAAGCAAATGCAAACAACATTCCTCACCCCCAAAGGATGCTGAGGACTGATAATTGTAACTCTGTGAGGGGTAAAATGCAGCTCCTATGATTCTTTGTACTTTAAATGTAAAGTACATATGTAGCTTTGGTGATACAAGCATTTTGGATCAAGTGAGAAATGCAAATCAATGATTAAAACGGTGAGGAAGGAAAGAGAGCAATGGAATTATATCATCAATCTAGCTATCAATACGCTCTAATCACATGTCAATATGCAAGAGGTATTTTACATATTCCTCAGCAATTATTATCAAGCTTTACTTTGTGATTGTAACCAATTAGTGGGGACAGGAAGAGGAACGGGCACAAGACTGCAATATATACTGAGCAGCTGGTACCTTTTGCTAAAAACACATTGGCAAAGACCTGAACCTAGTCCGTAGGTTGCTGCATGCTCTTTCATGGCTGTAATACACAATGATGATGGCAGAAGGTGAAGAGGAATTAAAGAACCTTTTAATGAGGGTGAAAGAGGAGAGCACAAAATATGGTCTGAAGCTCAACATCAAAAAAACGAAGATCATGGCCACTGGGCCCATCACCTCTTGGCAAATAGAAGGGGAAGAAATGGAGGCAGTGAGAGATTTTACTTTCTTGGGCTCCATGATCACTGCAGATGGTGACAGCAGTCACGAAATTAAAAGACGCCTGCTCCTTGGGAGAAAGGCGATGGCAAACCTAGACAACATATTAAAAAGCAGAGACATCACCTTGCCAACAAAGGTCCGTATAGTTAAAGCCATGGTTTTCCCAGTAGTGATGTATGGAAGTGAGAGCTGGACCATAAAGAAGGCTGATCGCCGAAGAATTGATGCTTTTGAATTATGGTGCTGGAGGACTCTTGAGAGTCCCATGGACTGCAAGAAGATCAAACGAATCCATTCTGAAGGAAATCAGCCCTGAGTGCTCACTGGAAGGACTGAGGCTCCAATACTTTGGCCACCTCATGAGAAAAGAAGACTCTCTGGAAAAGACCCTGATGTTGGGAAAGATTGAGGGCAGAAGGAGAAGGGGACGACAGAGGACGAGATGGTTGGATGGTGTTCTCGAAGCCACAAGCATGAGTCTGACCAAACTGCGGGAGGCAGTGGAAGACAGGAGTGCCTGGCGTGCTCTGGTCCATGGGGTCACGAAGAGTCGGACACGACTAAACGACTAAACAACAACAACAATACACAATGACACGGAGGTGGAGTGCCTGGAGGAGGGCAGGGATGAAATATGGATTTCCTAAGTATGTCAACGGATGTGCTAACATTTACTGGAAAGCTGCTCAGCATCTCTGGCAAATACACTGCCAGCAGCCATGAACCAATAATGTTCACATGATATGCTTAGTGGGACCTCCTCCGCAGTGGGAAAGAGCTTCAGAATAATACAGCTAGGAAGCCTTCTTGTAATGCTACAATTAAAAATTAAGCTGACTCTTGAAGGTGACTCACAAACAATTGTGTGACTACAAAAATCTATCAAGACTACTTTCTTACACGGATAGATACCTTCAGAATGAAAAAGATTGCAATTTCTATCATATAACTGAAGCACCATCAAATATCACAGCTCGGATAAGAAGTCAAACATCTGTTTACCAAGAGCAAAACAAAACCCACCCCTAACACAATCATGCTATAGCTCTCTGCAAATACCTGAGGATGGCAGATTTCCAGACCTTTCAGTTTTGCATCTTCCATCCACACTGCGGTGGGTGGCAGCAGCCGACTCCGAAAACTCACCGTCCTATGAGAGGAGGAGAGTTTAGATGCTGTCTCAGCCCAACGTTACGAAGCAAAGCCCCTGCTTAACCTCCACCTGGGGTTGTCTGAATGTCACTCCCCCCATGTCTCCCACATAGTGCGACAACAAGCAGGCCTTAGGCTCACACACATCATCGTCATTGCACCGTGACACGCATAGTGAATGCCCCAACCAGGATGTGTGTAATAGATGTAGTTAAATGTGCTACACTTGGAATGAAGAGGTCTGGATTCAAATATCCACTCAGCCAAAGAGTACACTGGCCTTTGTTTCTGGGGGGAATCGCCATCTACTCATTGCAACATGGCCTATGTATCCACTCCTGTGTTTTTTAAGACCCATTTTGTGGTCAGTTTTTTGCAATAAAAAAATCCAGTTGCTGGACAAATCTGTTTAAAGCTTTTCGGGACTTTAAAATAAAGCACTTCATCTTTAAAGGTTCAGATAATTTTATGGCTTCCCATCAATCCCAGGGTTTTTTTGGGGGGGAGGGAATCAGTGTGTCATTTTCCCTTGAATAGCTTCTGTGTGAGTTACCTCAGGCCAGCTTTGTCACCTTGGTGGGGAGCCAGGGGGATACCTCTTAGAGCCAAAGTGGTGCAATAGTTAGAATGCCAGCCTAAGATCAGGGAGAACCAGGTTCAAATCCCCACGTAGCCATGAAACTCACTGGCAGCCTCAGGTCAGCCGTATCTCTCAGCCTAACGTACTGCACAGGGTTAACTTCTCAGACTAACTCAGTGGTTCTCAAACATATAATACTGACTGTCGTTGAATCTTCCTGCCACACTTGCAATCCTCTCCTGCCACACCCTTTGAGAACCACTGATCTAACTTATTTGAGAAGGACTAGTAAGAATAATTTTGGACAATCTTGCATATGCTGCCCAGAGAAACACAAGGGTAATAAAAATAACATTCACAAATGTCTCCTGATTGTTGATACTGACATTGCCTCCTCTAGCAGTTTCAGTATCCAGGGTTAGAAGAGAACCTAAGGTCAGAGTTAGTCACTTTGGTTTTTTAGATTTTGTTTTTTAGTAGGGCTGTAAATATTATTTTTGTACCAGTATTTTAATTATATGGTATACCTCTCTTGGTTCCCAACTGGAGTAAGAGTGATATAAAACGCAAATAAATAAATGCAGGATCTCTTGGCCTGGGCATTCACTTCTGCACAAGGCAAAAGAAGGGGAAACAACATCTGAGCAGCCCTTTTTTCAATGCCTGAAATAGGTACATGCTGAGAAATGATAGAATAACAAGTGGCCACCTTTAAGAAAATTCAGACCCGAACAGAAGTAAAGTTTGTAAAAGCATTCATTGCCCCGCCACCTACCTTGGGTCCAGTGTATTAAGAAATATGTCATGTACAATGTTTCTTTCTTCTGCAGTAGGAGCCATTTTTAGCAAGGAAGCCCTACTGGAATCAACTCTTCTGGTCTTGTTTGCTAACCGAGTAAATGAAAATGAGCAGAAAATTACTTGGTGGAAATAAGTTTCCAATAACTGTATCCAACCCCCTCCTGTTTCAAAACTAATAATGACACATTGGGTCAGCAAAGGAAATTGATCAGTGGTAAGTTTGGGGCAGGCAAAAGAAAGTATTTCTTCACCCAAGGCATAATTCACCTGCGGAAGTGGCCAGCATAGCATAATGATGGCCACTGGCTTCCATGGCTTTAAAAGGATATTTAAGGAAGTGAAATGGAGTGGACAGGCTTGTTACAAGCCAATTGGGACAATTAAATTCCTTCCCCTATTATCTATTAATCATGTTGATCTTCCACATATTCAATACTTATAAGAGCAGAGCTGGAGGGAGAACCCTGAAAATCCATCTTTAAATGCCCTTTAAAGAGCATGGGAGAATGGACCACAACCAGAAATTCTTCACAACCCCGAGGAATGCATTACATACCTTCGCCTTCCTTAAAGATTTTTTCCTCTTCTGGACTTTCAAGAATCAGTGGGTTCACAAATGCTGGCCTGTGAATAAAGGGGAGGAAATAAATGAGGTGTATATATGCCTGCCTGAGTGTTTGAATGCAGCAGCGTTTGACTATCACCAGACCCAGCTCTCCAGGCGGGACAGAGCTATAGTGTTAGCGTCCTGGCAGAGGCATCATTGTCACTTACCAAGAGGGAGAGGGGTGAGGAGGCTATGCAGCCCACCAGCAGAGCCAATGCAGCACTTCCACCAGTACACCGGCATAACCCTGATCTCTCCCCACTTTTCAGTAAGCAGCAGTCGTGTCAGGAAGCTAGTGTTGCAGCTCGGCCCCCACTGGGCAAGCAGCTCTCTCCTCTTTTGTCCTCCCTTCAGCAAAAGACTTTACCACTTGTCACTGTACAATTATTCCCAATGGTCTACTGAAAGCCTTACCTTTTGTTTTCTGGATCACGGGCCACCATGACAAAAGTTGCATCTAATACAGGATGATAGGCACCATCATGAAACTAAAAGAAAACAATGGAAGGGAAATCATCTTTAGCAAACTAGTCTTGTTCCTGCTGATAACACAAAGAAGACCCTTATGTTCTGCCTTCATAGTGGCTTGGTTTACACACCACACTCAACTATAGCTAAATACAAGGTATGGTTTCTTGGAAACTGGGGCACACTGCGTTACTCTCTCTCTTTCTCTCCAGCTGCACCATCAGAAAACAAGTCAGTGTTTGGCTTGTTGTTCCGCCCAAACCCAGGCTCATGGTTTCTTTCTCCCAAAATACATGCAAGCAATAACCCAAGAACAAACCTTAATTGCCAGCTAGGGTTTGTTTGGAGAGAAACAAACCAAAAGCCCGGGGTGGGACATCACAACATGTCAGATTTCCTGGTGATGCGACAAGTGCAAAAGCAGAGCAGAGAGAACTAATGTGCACGTTCACATTAAACCAGTTTGTTTTTAACTGTGGTTTAATGCCATATGTGAACCAGGCCATTGTTTTAGAACTCTCAGGCACTCATAAAGTGTATTACTTTTTATATGGAAAAATTACAACCTGAAGCATGTGCATCTTTACTTCCATTGATGTCCTTCCTACCCATGAAACATTCCCAACGAACTTGATATCACAGTCTGGACGAATATCCTGCTTCCATAATCCTAAAAGCAAACAAACAGGAGTCAGAGCATAGACACTAAAGATAAGTAACTTAATTTCTCTAGCTCAAGGAAGCTAACTTACCTCTGGTTATCTATTACAAGTCAGAAAAAGTGCCCATTTTAACCTTTAAAGCCCTTAATGACTTGGGACAAGGATACCTAAAAGACTGCCTTTGCCCCACACCCCTTAAGATCCTTTTTAAAGGCCTACTCTGGGTGCCACCAGCAAGAGAAGGGAGCTGGGTGGCTACTAGGGAGAGGAGCCTTCTCAGACTCCAGCTGTAGAATGCTCCCTAGAAAGGTTTGCCAGGCACCTTCTTCAGGTCAAGCAAGATGCAACAGGAAGTGAACATTTGCCACAGAAAATGGCTGCAACACATTTTGCTGCCTTTCCTCTTGGGGCAGTATCTAATTGGAGAAATGTGTGATTTCAGCACTGCCCTGCTCCACATCACTGATTTAGTGTAGGGGAGAAGCAGAGGGGGCGGAACTCATGACATAATGGACCTAACAAGTTGTTAAAATGAAAGTAGGGGCATGGAAACACAGGTGTTGTTTTGGAAGCAAATGTACATTTACTGTAACATCTGGCAGCCTGAAGAAAGTCTTATCCAAAAGAGGTGGAGCAGTTAGCTCCTGCCCTTCCCCCCCAACATTTATGTCAAAATGAAGCCTAGCTCTTTTTACCCAACACAGCGAGCACTCCTAGTTCAAGCATTAAGTTTTTTAATAGATCCAACAACACCGTACCAATTTTATCCACCAGCGCTGTAACAATCGACAAAGGAGACATCTGACCAGCTTCATGCTTTGTGTGTGTATAACAAATCAGAACTGTAGAGAAAGGATGAAAGAGACTGCATGATTTATTCTCTGTATTTAATTTTTTTATGAAAGGGAGTGCAGTAAAATTTTTACAATGTGGTATTTGTGTCATAACACTTGACAAGCTCAAACAAACAAGGAACATGCATGAAAATGTCTCGTTCACAAATATAATTAAAATGGGTTCATTCAATCAGTCATGTGAAGAGCTCCCGTGGATGCACTGCACCACCAAAACACAAATCCTGGCTTGGGAAAAGGTTTCTGAGATTTTGGCAGCTCTTGTTTCTTTCTGGATAGTCGTGCTTTGCATCACAGACTGGCTGCCTTCTCTAAGGATCTCAGAAAATCAAGGAACCATTCTCTCTATTCACCACCCTCGCCATAGCAAGGAAAAATTTCCCATCTAGCTCCTGCAGGTTGAGGGCATTCATGAGCACAACTCATTTAGGTCACATATGTCACTCTTCACTATTTGAGCATTTACACAGGAACTGCAAAAAAGTGGAAGCCCAAGTAACTCACACGCCTTTCTCTCGCATCCCAGTTCTGTGTAATATCTGACCCCAGAATTCTAATTACCCAAATTAATCTGACTATCAGATCAATGAAACTGAATGGCTGTTACATACCTCCTAAGCTATCAAGATCTTCAAGAATTCGGCCAAACCTACCAAGGTTAAAATGGTACATGGTAAGATTACTTTGCAAGATACTGGGACGAATCCAACATAGTTCTATGACGGTGTTTAAAAAAAAAGTACAATCTGAAGTTTAAAAATTTATCATTAAACATCTCAATAGTTTGATCCTTTTGAAAATTCACATATAATAATTAGGAGAGCCAGGTGGGGGGGGGGGGTTTAAGTCAAAATGGATAACAGTGCAAATGGTAAGGCACCAAGTAGGAAGATATTCATTCTATTAAAAAGGCAACTGATTTTACCTGACAGAGTTGTGCACGTTCAGATATTTTTCTCTTATTTCAGGTTGACTTCCCAAAGGCAGAATAACTTCTATATAGCTGTCTCTCATTTTCCTAGGGGGCAGGTCAGCTTGGTTTTTTGCAAGGAGGGTATGTAAAGCTTTTCTTTCATTCATTGCTTGCACATGGTCTCTGGAGGAAAACAAATCAGATGATTCCAGATGGACACAGGTTGAAAAATGTAATACACGTTTACTAGAATAGAGTTACATAGCATAATGGTTAAGATCAAGATTGTTGAGCTGGAAAATCACCAGTTCAAATCTTGGGCCCACCTTGAACCTGGTTACAGCCTAAGGCAAGCACTATCAGATCCAAATCATTTTTGTAATTTAGGGATAATAATAATTTACTTTCTCTGAAGGATTTTTTTTAAAGGATTACTAAGATAATGCATATAAACTATTAACATTTATGAGAAGTATTATCATAATCATCACCATCATTCCTGTAGGGGCAAAGACCATCAGAGTTTGAAGACAGATGGTTAAATCTCTGAAAGAGGATATTCCAATCAGCTCTGCTTTATTTTGAAATGCAACTATCAAAAAATCAAAGAAAGCTTTGCATGTGTCATACCTCCAATTGGTAGATGCTCCCACTATCTCCCTCAATCTATTTCGCACTGCAACACAACAAAATCAGAAATATTTGATGCATTAACTGACCAAAAGGGTACTACTACCCTCCCAAGAAGCAGAAGAGTAAGCAAAATCATGCAAAAGAGAAGATGAAAAGCAACAGCTGGTGAAGTTCATTCCTGCTATCAGGGGATACACCATTATAACCACAGGAGACTATGACAGCTTTTATCTTTTTACAACCAAAAATATCCAACTGATCCTTGTGACTGTGTGTGTGTGTGTGTGTGTGTGTAAGTCAAATTTGACCCAGCAAGAAAGCCTGCACATTCTAAAATGAATGCGTATGTTACTCAGTCTACATTCATAAATTTCTGTATTCATGTGCTCTGATATTATAAGGGAAACCCATGAACAGAGCCAAGCTTCCATGTGCACAGGCAAAAAGTTGCCGCTACATATCAGAATGCTCTTTGCCATTGAACAAACTGGATGGATGACACTTTTGAGGCAGGCTGTGATATGGATGCAGGGCCATTGGCAGTTGTGTGTTACCTCAGCTGGCTCAAGGCTAATACATCTAGTCATCAGAGCAAGTAAATCTAACAGTCCAAAACACCTGCACCCCTCAAATCAATTAAAATGGTTACATGTAAACTGGATGACTTAAACAAACCCAGTCATTTTGCTCTAATTAAGTCGGCTGAGCTCAACTCACAGAGCCAGCAACAACCTTGGGCAAGGTTTTATGGCACTACATATCAATAGGATATTAATCATTTTGTATTTAATAATGTACAACCATGCCAGAAGAAACATCAAATATGTACTTGAAATTACTGGAGGTCCAGTGCACTTTTCTTAAAGTACAGGAGTCAGAGGACTCTTCTTCCAGGTCAACTATAATAAACACATGCAGTCCACCTAACCTACCAGGGCAAATTTCAAAATTTGTGGTCAAGACTTATTTTTCTAGCCACTCACCACCTGCTAATATCATATATATTCTAGAACAGGGATGGCTCACCTGTGAACCTTTAGGTGTTTGTTGTACTGCAACTCCCATTGTTCCTGACCACTGGCCATGCTGGCAGGGATGATGGGAGTCAGAATTCAACAACAATCTGAAGGTACATCAGTTAGCCACCCTGTTCCAGAACACCTCTGCTCTAGACCTATTTTCATCCTATGAATGGTCAGATTGGTGTGCTTCATGTATACTTTTTGCAATTTAAGGAGTGGCCCATTTTTGCTGCCCTCAGTTTTTCAATCCATGATCTGAGACAGTAGCTTCACTTCATCTCATGGTAAAGCCAACACTGACTTCCATCCATAGGCTGTGTTTAGGGTACATCTGTACAGCAGTGGTCAATACTCCTGAAGGAATGCCCTTGTGTTTAGGGTACATCTGTACAGCAGTGGTCAATACTCCTGAAGGAATGTCCTTGGGAGTTGCAGGTATATTTCCTATGGATCAGTATCACCCCTCTGCAGGAATCAGCCCATACAGACTATTCTGCCATCAACCCATTAGGACAAGCAGGGAAGCCACATCAACCAGATGTTCCTTCTGTGTCTGGACTGTAGGGATCAGATGTTCCCTCCCCTAGTACATTCAGTCTTTAAAAAAAAACAAAAAACTGCCATTATACACATGCTTGTATTTCTTTTGAGCTATAAAAGTAGTAACATTTCCTGTTAAACACTTTTCCTTTCTCAAGTGGTAGGAGATTCCAGAAGCAGCACCACAGGTTTTTGTTTCCTTTGCACAAGAGAGAATTGGAAACTGATGATCTTATTCAAGCAGAGCTTAGTGGAAACAAGCTGACCCTTAAAATGGGAAACACAATCACTAATCCTCAGGTTTCCACAGAGCAGTGTATAGAGTGGGCCCCTGTAGTTCCTTCCATGCTGCTTCTGGCACAGCTAAACTCAAGCTCAAAAACCTCCCAGTATCTCTATGATTCTTCATTGTTCCCACATTCAAACAAGAGCATTTCTCTGCTACTCCACTGCCTAAATCCAAAAAAGGGAGATATTTCCAGATATTAAGGAATATGACTTCTTTTTTTCTTGATGGCCCCAATAACACAATAATTGTCTGGTGTTGCTCATTCGCAGTAATTAGCCTAACAGTATCAAAACAACCCAATTTTCATATCGTAAAGTGGTGTTGCTCAACTATACAAGCTGTATTGTTTGCTTTCCTTATCTTTCTGTGTGCTGATATGCTACTGCTGACCACAACTCATTGACACATAGCACCAGTTGTCCTTCAGAAAGCTATTTGCCCCTTGAGAGACAGAGATAATTCATCCTTAATCATGGATATTGCACCACTGTTGAGGAGTGAAATTGCTTCCCACCCAACACATTTGTTCTGCTTACGTCTGTCCAAATGTGGGGAAAGACTGCCTGAAAGAATAGTTACAAGCTGTATTACCCTCACACGCAAATATGGAAACAGCATTCCAAATTACTACAAATGAAGTATCTTAAGACAGTGCACAGGGAGATGCCTTATAGAGTCACACCACTGGTCCATCTAGCTTAGTACTGTCAACATTTGAGTACCAGTGGCTCTCCAGGATTTCAGGCAGGAGTCCTTCCCAGCCCTACCTAGAGATGCCATGAATTGAATCCAGAAGAACATTTTGCTTGCAAAGCAGATATGCTATCGCTGAGCTACTGCCCTTTGTTCTGTCAAACTCTTATTAAGTGAAGCACATAGAATTGGCTAGGTGTTGACTAGCAATGTCCCTATAGGCCCATCTGGTAAACGGTTAAAGGAAATGGGGGAAAGATGTCATTGGTCTGAAGTTTGAACATTAGGAAAAAGTGGGTAGAAATGGTATGGAGCTGAGTAAGGGGAAACAAAATAAAAAAGTAGGACTGAGGCAAATCCTCACACAGGGACTAGGAATAAGAGGTTGCATGCGTATGATTGGACCCATATTTATTTCAAAGTATTACAAAATGTCACGCTTACCAACCTCTCTTTTTCTTATGTTGGTCTGTAAATGACACTTTGAACCATTGGAAGGACATGGACTTAAGAAAGCTTTGGAAAACTGGAGATCATGAGCCAGGGATTTAAGAGGCACAGCTTGCCCCCCAGTTATTTGAATACAAGTTTCTAGATTCAACATAAATCTATACAAGTCCCTGGGTACTTGTCTTCTGATTTATTGTAAACATAAATAACAGCACAAGATGCAGGCATACAGAGATGATATTTTGATTAAAAAGACATGCTTTATTTGTTTAGCAGTGTGAACCCATTTAGTGCCACCAAAAACACTAACTAGCAACCGGTACCAGAAAATATTAATGTGTATATTTCATTAACCATCCAACAAAGAAAGATAGAAGCAAGATAGAAGCAGATATATAGCCATATTAAAATGCATACAGGTTACCACAACACACCATTATTCACATGAATGGGTGAATGTCCTGTAAAGTAGAAAAAGCCATTTAGATTATCAGTGTCGTAAAACACAAGGCAAAAACCCTAATTGCATTGTTTTCCTGGTCATTTTGGACTCAGTCACAAAATGTAGAAGTGTATGCACAAGAGTGCTAACATATGATTTAATTCTATTGTAGTGATCATTTATTTCTGTGCTAACGTTAAGATGTCCCTCTGTTTGTTTTCCAAGTGTACATAGCACTGCAGGGTACTGAATAGCTGTGTTTGCTTCCTTTATCTCCTCTATTCCACGTTTCTCATAACTATTATTATAGTTATATCACACAAAGTATAATAAAAGCACAATGACTTTCAGTAAGATTCCTAAAATCTAAATTAAAAAAGGTAACAAAATTGTGTATCATAGATAAAACTGAACAGAATGTCTCCCATGTGCTAGACTGGGGTATTGTAAGAGAGAAAGAAACCTTATTTCATCTGTGGTGGCTCTGCCTGCAAATGCAGACATTCTAGGCTGCAGTATACAGAATAATAACAGACGTGGTTAAACAACTACTTAATTCAAAACACGTGTTTGCACTTTTATCTATTATGGATTGCATAATAAAGTGTTACAAGGAACTGGTGTTGATGATGCAGGCCACTGCCTGCATGGAACTAGCCAGTCACTGTAAATTGTGGGAAGGTTAAGATAACAGGGCTGGTTTGCTAGACTGTGTTAGACTTTGGTAATATGGCACCTTGAGCTGGGACAAAATTTGGCACACAACACTTATATATAATAGATGGGTTTTATTGTGGTTGTTATTGTTATTATTTTGCGTCCCCTCAACTCGGTTCCCCATGCAGGGGAACTGCCTGCACTGCCCTAAGTCAAGCACTGCTGAGGCACCCAACACTACTGAGACACCCCTCACCCATTGCAGCCATAGAGCAAGGCCATTTCATAAAAAATATAGTTTCCCTTCTTGTCACATGTAAATGTGGATGTTGATGCAGAGAGGCCTCAAGGTCCCTGGGTATCATTCTGGAGGGTCCAGTTTTCTTCCACTAAGCAATTTGATGCCATGGAGAGATGTGCTTCTAATGACAACTCACTGTGTTTGTTGCTTTTACTTTCTGTTTACTGCTGGGAAAAGTTACACTAAGAACATATTTGTTTCAAAAACAGTTCCCACATAAATAGAAGCCCAGCTACAGCTATTACTGCTACAGATGCCACTAAACAAACAGATCAACCTTTCTGGTCGTATTCTCACACCTGCCTGCAGGTATTCTCACACCTGCCAGCCCAGTTACATTACCTTCCTCCATAGTCTGGGAAACCTGGGAGCCACTGGTGGAGGAAGTCAACATCCTGGCCAAGGGGGGACAGGCCTTGCTTAATGAAAACCATCTGCATCAAAAGGAGAATGAATACTGTCAAGAGTATGATATCATAGGTGGCATTAAAAGTGCAATCCTATACTTGAGATCCATGAAATGGGAGCCAGAGGATATGGCAGAAGTTCCACCAGGCTGGAAGTATGAAAGCATCACTATCAGAACAGAAATGCTGGCTGAACTGCTAAAATGCAGGCAAGTTGTGGGCCACTGACAGCATTGCCACTGCTGGCCAAAGAGGCACGAACATTTTTGCCTTGCAGAATCAAAGTCTGGGAAGTCCAGGAAGACTAAGGTGTCACCACACTAAGAGGGCCACTGCAACAAGGAAGGGAGAAGTATACTTGCAGTCACTCGTTTCCCCCCACCCCACCCCATGAGGGAGGAGGCTGAAACACCAACAGTGGTTGAGCTGGTGGGACCACCCCTCCCCTTCTTCTTCACAACACCTATGGTGCATCCAGGTTGAGGAACTCTGTGCTCTGGCTGTTAACTGTTGCTCATTGCTTTGGGCTGTCCTCTGTATGCAGATCAGGAGAAAGGCAGCACTAACCAGGATGCACCTGGCTGTTTCTCAGTGGGGTTCTTAATCTACTTGCTCCAAGTGGGTTCCTGTACAGTTGCATGTTCCATGGCTGTTATGCAACAGGTGAAGGTTTTCCTAACTTGCAGCTGAAACCAGAAGAGATATTGCGCCTGCTATCCCTGCTATGTGTCATGCCACTGACCCTGCTGGGGTGACCAACTGTCTTTCCCTTTCATTATCTACCCGAGCCTGGATAATATAGGCTTTGGTACATCTGTTGTTTCCTTTGTAGATAGGGATACCTTTCCCACATCCTAGTATCATCTAGCTTTAGTTAGCCTCACAAGGGGGTTTTCATGGGACAGCAGGGAAGTTGAATGGGTTCAGCAGCAGTGGCCGTTCCTCTCTCAACAGGGTGCTCCTGCCAGGCACAAGCAAGGAGCACTGAAGCATGCGGAGATGCTACCTTGCAGGGCTGGCCTGTCAGTGGTGGGGAGGCAAAAGCACAAACTGGCCAAGGCTATTGGCCCAAGCACCACCCGTCCTGTGTGCCCTGGTACTTTAAGAATACAGTTGAGTGTAGAATAACTTTTAACTTTCATACTTGGCCAAACGTTGCATTAAAATACTCAAAAATGGGTGGCAGAACTTCCACTCAACGAGCCTGTCCAGAGTGACTCACTGGTGCCCAACCCCACCAAATTCTCCTCCTGAAATTAACAGTATTGGTTAGTCTTTAAGTCCGCGGTCCTAGTCACATTTACGCAGGTGTAAGTTCCAGGGAAACCAGGGAGGACTTTACTTCGGAGTCAGCGTGATTCCAACTGCACTATGCGCTGCCGCCGTGGCACTTCTTGCGGCTTCCTGCTGTCACGAGGCTAGTCCTCTGGAGCCCAGAGACCGTATGCCGTGTCTAGCGCTTGTCTCCCAGGAAAAGGAGGCCCCAGACAAGGCGTACGTCCGAAAGCAATGTTTGGCTTCGGCCAGGTCTTCCCGTCCTGCCAGGGCGCAGGCCGAAGCGGGGAGAAAGGGGAAGGAGGGGCAGGCCTCCGCTCTCCCTAAACGGTCGCGTCTGCCTGGCTTTCTATTAACCGACCTCGGCGCTGCCACTCGGCCCTGGAAGTGCCGCGCGCCTGCCTGTGCGGAGCCCTCTTCCCCGCCCCGAGCCGGCTGGATGCAGACGCCGCCACCAAGAATCGCCTTACCTCGGGGACAACATTTTGCTCCTTGCACAGGCTGCAGCCCGCCTTCCTGCGGCACTTGGGAAACCGCCTTGACAGCCCTGTGACTCACTCTACCAAGGCACGCAGCAGCCACGCCTGGAACAGGAACTCGGCCCCGCCGCCCGGACCAGCAAGCTCTTCGGAAGGGTTGCTGGTGTCTGCGGCAGAACGCGCCCCTCTTCCCCGCAGTAGTTGCTCCCAAGGGCCTATCTCCGCGCTTAGGCGTCGGGTTCGTCCATTACATTCGGAGGAGCCGCTCTCGTTGACTTCGTCCCCCCTCATACTGCTAGGCTTGATTCTCCGGTGTGCTTGCGAGCTCAGGGCCGTGCGGGGAGGGATTAATGGCACGAGTGGCGAGTTTACAGCGCAACGCCACTCAGTGGGGACTTGCTCCCAAGTCAGTGTGCATAGAGTGCCGGGATCTACTCCATAGTGGGCTAGATTCAAAATTAGGTTTTTTTCTCACCCGTTCAACGCATGCATAAAAGCTGGAGTTGGGAGTCCAGTCCTTAAGGGAAGGCAATAGGGTGCCCTCCCATTGGACTCCAACTCCCATGAGTCCCACCCCAGACAGCATGGCCAAGAGGTTCTGGGAGTTGAAGTCCAGCAAGATCCAGAGGGCACCATATTGGTTTCAGCATTGGGCTCCTTTTACTTATTTATTTCTCACTTTGTATATACAGTGGTAGGGACGCGGGTGGCGCTGTGGGTAAAAGCCTCAGCGCCTAGGACTTGCCGATCGAAAGGTCGGCTCCCGTCGCTCGGTCCCAGTGCCTGCCAACCTAGCAGTTCGAAAGCAACCCCGGGTGCAAGTAGATAAATAGGGACCGCTTACTAGCGGGAAGGTAAACGGTGTTCCGTGTGCTGCGCTGGCTCGCCAGATGCAGCTTGTCACGCTGGCCACGTGACCCGGAGGTGTCTGCGGACAGCGCTGGCTCCCGGCCTATAGAGTGAGATGAGCGCACAACCCTAGAGTCTGGCAAGACTGGCCCGTACGGGCAGGGGTACCTTTACCTTATATACAGTGGTACCTCGGGTTACAGATGCTTCAGGTTACATGTTTTTGGGTTGTGCACCGCGCCCAACCCGGAAGTACTGGAACAGGTTACTTCCGGGTTTTGGCACTCATGTATGCGCAGAAACGCTAGATCACGCTTTGTGCATGAACAGAAGCGCCAAATCGCGGTGTGCACAGACGCAGTGCTGCGGGTTGCAAATGTGCTTCCTGCACGGATCACGTTCACAACCCGAGGTTCCACTGTATACCACTTTTCACTCCAGTGTGACTTATCAAGCAAGTTTACATATAAAATGCAATACAGTGGTACCTCAGGTTAAGTACTTAATTCGTTCCGGAGATCCGTACTTAACCTGAAGCTGTTCTTAACCTGAAGCACCACTTTAGCTAATGGGGCCTCCTGCTGCCGCCGCACAGAGTTAGCGGAGTCTGTAAGCTGAAGCATATGTAACCTGAAGCATATGTAACCTGAGGTACCACTGTACCTCAGTCACTGTACCACAGTCAATAAAATCCAGTCCTTAAAACCAAATCAGAACAGCACTGGAGGAAGGATGCCTGCAAGGCTCTTTCAAACCCCAGCGAGTCTTGCTGTTAACCAAAAGGTTGGTGGTTTGAGTTCACCCATTGATGGCTGTGGACAGGAGTTCTGCATTGGGGGGGGGGGGGGAGTGGACTAGATTACCCTCGGGATCCCTTCCAACTCTACAATTCTATTATTCTAACACTGGAACACCAAAAATTGGCCCAGGAAAGGTTCATCCCATAACTTTATCTCAGAAAACGGGAGGTGTTAGCCATAGAGGTTTTGCCCCATTGCAGTGTTATTCCCAAGAGCCGTATGCCCCACATCCCAGACATACGTAAATGGCAGCCATTTTGAGGCTGTGTACATATACCTTGAAAACACCATTGAAACACATTCGTTCCTTCAAATAATTATGTTCATTGTAGTTTGCCTCTAAGAGAGCATACTAGTCCCAGTGGGCACCAGACAACAGTGGTGTTGTCCCTTCTACTGTTCCATCCTCACAGCTTCAGAAAGGTCAAAGTTGTTATTCTGGATTAATACAGAACACATGACATGATTTTTATATCAACGGGATTATTGTTATACATGTCTTTTTAGTAGAAGTATTTCTTACATACCCCAACATCCATTTTTCTGGATTAACTTCCTCTGTCTCTTTACAAAGTTTCTTTCCCACGTTAACTATTTTAGTAAGGATTAGTGGCTTTATAATACAATAATTGCTTTCTTTTTCTTTTAATTGGGTATTTGGCAGCATTTGAGTCCAAATTGTATAGCAATTAATACTGGAAAAATAGTTAATCCAAAAAACTAAATTGTCACTCTTTGCTACATTTGGAAAGAAGGCGCTTTCTACAAAACACTGGGATGGAGGATATGTTTAACATAAACACTGTTGTTGCCATTACCACAGGGAAGAAAGTTAATGGGGAAGAATGATCTTTCTTTGAGATTGTGAACAAAGAAAAGAGCAGAAGCTTTGCAAAGAAGTAGATAGATAAGAATTTTTAAAATATGCTAGGTTGAAAATGCAGTGTTTGTACATCCTTTCGCTATATATACTTCTGACAGTGTAATGAAATACATGTTTACCCAAATGTAGCTCAAGTTGATAATGTTTATGTCAATATACTGTCAAAGCTCTATTTGCATGATGTGATTTAAGTTGGATCCCCACAGCCAAACCCAGAATGTTTTTATTTGAAAGTGAGGGGGTGGAGAAGGCCACAGCAGACAATACATCAAACATGGGAGTAAAATCCCAAGGAACTATATGTGGGAGATTTAGCGACCAAATCTAACAATGCATATTTTTTGCTAATTAGCATGAGAAGGGGTTAAGACCACAGAGCTGTACAGTGGTACCTCGGGTTAAGAACTTAATTCGTTCCGGAGGTCCGTTCTTAACCTGAAACTGTTCTTAACCCGAAGCACCACTTTAGCTAATGGGGCCTGCTGCGCCGCTGCCACGCGATTTCTGTTCTTATTCTGAAGCAAAGTTCTTAACCTGAGGTACTATTTCTGGGTTAGTGGAGTCTGTAACCTCAAACGTCTATAACCTGAAGCGTCTGTAACCCAAGGTACCACTGTATTGCTGACAGGCAGAGATTCAGACCATAGGAACGTAATTGATAGAGAGGGGAAAGGAGCATATACTGTAGTGATTTCCTGGTCTCTCTCTCTCTCCCCCTCCCTCTCTCCCTCTCCCTCTCCCCCCCCTCTCCCCCCCTCATTTTTTTTATAAAATATTTTATTAAGCATTTTCTTGTTTTACAGAAGTGTAGTGCCTCGTATTTTTTTTTTCATGTAACATTTGGGGGCAGACATGCCTCCTGTTGCTCCAGCTCAGGCACGTGCCCAAGGCTGTTTCTATTGTAAATATAAATATTTTACCTGTATAGTTTTTACTACTGTTGTAGCTGAAAACCAATGCACGACTATAAGTAAGTAAGTAATATTTTAAACTTGCTTCCCGATCTGTTGTCTGATTTTTTGTTAAGCAGGTTAAGAAAAGGGAGATGCAGCTTGTTTTGCAACTGGACTTGTCCAAAAGAAGACTTTGTAACCTATTTCCTATGTTCCAATTTGCTGCTAAGGATGGGACTTTAAACTCTGTTCAACCCATGCATGTGGCACATGAAGGGATAAAATGCAATTAATAAATCCTCTCCTACTTATTAAAACCCATGCCACACTATACATTTTTTTTTTTTGCTGTTGTATTTTCAGCATTGCTTTTCTTCTGAAGGAACTTTTGTATTATTACAAAAGAAATGCATCCCATCGAACTACTTTCCAAAATTTGATGTTAGTTGTCTGTCTCTTTTGAGTGTTTTACAGGAAGTGCGTAAAACAGATTGAGTCTGAACTTTGAAAGCAAATCTACCTGGACATAAAATCTGCATATCAGAAAGCAAGTTTCTAGGCTAGCTTTTCTCTCTGATATGTAACGCTAACTGGTCTGACACAGATTAAATAAATAAATAAATAAATAAATAAATAAATACTGTCCAGTAGCACCTTAGAGACCAACTAAGTTAGTTCTGGGTATAAGCTTAAGTGTGCATGCACATGAAAGCTTATACCCAGAACTAACTTAGTTGGTCTCTGAGGTGCTACTGGACTATTTTTTATTTTTCATTATTTATTTCAGTGGAAGCACTTTCATGATGAACTACTATGACTTAAAGCAAGCTTTCTCCTGTGGGATTCTATCCCCATTATTTCCCCATTCAGACCAGGACCACTCCCCTTTCCATTCGAAATCATTCAATGTGCACTTTAGTTGTCCAGTTTAAACTGACGTTTCGTTTGATTCTGAGCTTCGAATCCCAAATCAGACCAGTGTCCTGGCCTGCTAATAATAACCCCATTCCTCAGAACAGAGCCATGGGGTGAGTTCGCATAGGAGAATCCGATTTGAGAGAGAATAGCTCCCAAAATCACAAAAGAAATGCCTCCTGTTGCAAGCATATGTTTTCTGATATGGTGTTCATTTGTTTGCTATGAATTATAGCTGTGTGTTTTTTTCAGATAAACTATGAAGATATGGGCTGGGCAGCATGTGAAATCATCCATGGCTGCAGCCTAGCTGTGGAATGTGGATTAAGCATTTTTATATCTTAATCCTCAACATTGGCCTAATATGACACACACACACACACACACACACACACACACACACCAGTTCTCAAGTGCAGCTGCACTGGTTTATTTCAGTTATGTGCATCCGGTTTTTATACCATGCTGTTCATGAGCGCACCATATGTATTTCAGCGTTAGCAGAAATTCCTTCATAGAATACTTGTCAGTTTTAGTGGCGACTGCCCTCATGTTGAATGGCAGCGGCCCCTTAATTGTTTGCTCACTCAGGACTGCAAGGAGGGATGGTGTCTCGGGGTTCACAGATGAAATGGGTGTTGCTGTGAAGGGCAAATGAGGCAGTCACTTGCGAGGAAGGGGCAGGAAGGAAGAGATAAGGAAGGAGCAGGACAAGGCATGTCCAGTGGCTAACTCACAGGACTGGTCTGTCAGGCAAAACAGGGTGAGCGGAAGGAAGGCCAAAAGGACTGGTTAGCGCCTGTACAGAAGCCAAACTACTACTGCATACAGTATTTCTCTTAACTCGTCCCTTTCTTGTGTTGGTAGGTCCCTCTGCATGTAAAACATGGGCTATTCCACACACCCGGCAGGATGTTTTATCCATAATGCTGTTCATGTTTCTAAGGCCCCATCTGCACCATAGATTTCAGTTGGTACCATACCACTTTAAACAGTCATGGCTTCCCCCTGAAGAATCCTGGGAAGTATAGTTTGTTAAAGGTGCAGAGGGTTGTAAGGAGATCCTTATTTCCCTTACAGAGCTACAATTCCCAGAGTTCCCTTGGAAGAGGAATTGATTGTTAAACCACTCTGGAAAATCTCTGTGCAGGGGGAAAGAGGTCTCCTAGCAACTCTCAGCACCCTTAACAGACTACAGTTCCCAGGATTATATGGAAGAAAGTGTTTAAAATGGTATGATGCTATTTTAAATGTATACTACAGATGGTAGAAGCAGAACTGAAAATGCACTTACCTACATAAGGTGTAGCAATTCGCCTTCCCTCTTCTCTTCCTAGAGGTAGCTGTTGGAGCAAGGTCAGCATGTAGCATGTCAGGGTAGGTGGCCTTCCGATTCCACTACTGTTCCTTTTTCGTTCTGTGCATCCTTAAGGCAATCAAGAAGATATTTGTAATACACAGAATGGGTTTGTTGCTCTAATGTAATTGCAAAGAGATGGTTAAAATGTACTGAGTTACTGCCATCACTTGAGTTACATAACTGCTTTATAATAATATCATTTCCCCTGTATGTATATATAGTAGTACCTTGGTTTACAACCATAATCCGTTCCAGAGGTGCATTTGTAACCCAAGGTGCGCTTTCGCCAATGGGGCCTCCAAACAAATTTGTTCATAATCCCCAAAAAATGGGTTGTAATCCAAAAAAAGTTGCAAACCGGGACACACACTTCCGGGTTTGACGTGTTTGTAATCCAAAACATATGCAAACCAATATATATGCAAACCAAGGTACCATATGGATGATAGTGGGTTACAATGAGGTGGCTTTTTCTTTCTTGCTATACATGCAAAAGGCAAATTGAGGCCATATTTGCCACCACCTCCCTAGTGGGGCTGAAGCTCATGCTTTGTATTGTGTTGCCTGTTCTTCCTCCCCTTTGAGGCTATATGCACACTAGCAGCTTAAAACACAGCACGGTTGTGTCCCACACCCCGTTTTTGAAGCTGGCATCTGTGCATATGCAGCGGCTGTCTCAAACATACACATCTCAGCTTAATTGTGACAGGAACATGTTGGCTTACCTTTTTAAATCAGATGGAGAGAATGCATGAAACAGCAGTATTTGTCAAGCAACTACTGTATAGGATAGATATGGATTGTGGCTAAAGTCATGTGTATTTATTTATTTATTTTTCACCGCTACAAACACGAGATGGGAGCTCACTGAAGCTAGACTAAATGGTAGCGTGTCCACAGCCACACAGTGTTGCACTCAGAAAACAGTGCTCAGGAAAAGCTTTAATGAAACCGAATCCTTGCATGAGAGGTGTCTGGAGACTGGCCACACTAGAAACTACGCCACTGCGGCTGATGGAATGGGAATTGTGGTTCCCACTGTGGCATTGTGTGCATTGTGTTTCCATTGGTGCAGGTGTATGCGCAGGGGCCACGTGCTCAGTTTTTTTCAGTTGCTTGCCTCTGTATGTGGGTGGCAGATGGGTGTGGTTGCCAGCGTGGTCCCCAGTTAATGGCCTGTAGTGTTTTTTCCCAGGATACTGGGGAAAATGTCTGCTTTTTTATGCTGTTTTTGGATTTTCTGTGCTGTGTTTTCTCCTCCCCTTCTGGGCGAAGCATGCATGGGATGTGGCAGTTTATTTCTTTTTCTCTTCCCTCCCATACATGTAATTAGAAACATACAAGGTCATTTTTCCTGTTCTCTAATAAATTTTGTTCTTTTACCTATCAGGATGATCAATCTATGCCCCTCCAGATTTTGTTGAACCACTACTCCAAACAACAACAACAACAAATTTATTAAATTTGTGAGGTCCATGCCTTTACACAAAATACCATAAAACATTATTAAAAGATAAACCAAAAAGATTATAAAAGTAAGCTAAAATTCATGCCATGTTGTCCCAGCAAGGAAACTACCCAAAAACCCCACCATTCAAGGAAGAAGGTACAGCAACAGGTTAGGAGAGCAATGGGAGGGACCTCACCGTTTCATCCAGGAACCATACCCTAGTTTTCATAGCCTTCACCACAAAGACCGCTACCACGTGAGAAATCCGTGGATCAGCGTCTACCAGTAAAAACTTTACTTGGTCCTCAGAGTTGACTATTGATTTAGGAATAGTTTGTAACATCGCATCCCTGAAGGCCGAATAGATGGGACAATACAACATGTAATGTATGAGATCCTCTTTGGTTCTCATATAACAAGAACATATCCGCTGCTCTACTGGGATTTTTGCATATCTGCCTGACAGATAGGCCGTAGGAATGGTTTGAAAACGGGCCATAGTAAAGGCTCTCCGAAGAGTGGGATTGGTGATATTCGCCAAGTAGTTGGCGCAGATTTTGACTGCTTTCAGTCGGGGAAGCCAGTGGGAGGACCCTGGGATCTGTATTTTTGTGGTATCTAACAGAGCGTCTCTCTCCAGGATCCATTTCCGGACTTTGTCCGGGCTCCACCGTTTGAGGATATTAAACTCCGGTAGGGTGTATCTAACCAGGATCTCAGATAAGTTTTGGCGCCAAGTGGTATTCTTTTGAAAAGATACGAAGGCTTGTTTGGCCAATAAGGTGTTTGGAGAGTTTGCAAGGTTGATGTAGAATCGTAGGAATCTTAAGTGGGCCCTGGCAGACACAGAGGGTAAACCAACCTCCACCCTCAAGAAGGCTGCTGGGGTTCCTTGAGGAAGGCCTAGAATCTTCTTGAGATAGTAGTTTTGCAAAATTTCAAGCCGTTCCAACAGCCTCTGGTTCCACCCCCAGAGTTCTATCCCATATAACATCTGGGGAATAGCTTTCCCAACGAAAGCTCTTAATGCCAGGATCACCAATTGTCCTCCCCTGGTATGGAAGAAACTAAGCAAAACACCAATTGTTCTTCGTGTTAGGATGGTTACAGCCTTAAAGTGGGCTAGCCAGCTAGATGTAGCCTGGAATGTAACACCCAGATATTTAAAAAAGGGCACTGTTCAATCACTTGTTCATCTAAAGACCATCTAAAGGTGTGGCGAGCTCTAGTAAACACCACAATTTTTGTTTTATCATGGTTTATCTTTAGTGAATTATGGGAACAGTAGGCTGCGATCCCCTCCAGCATGCTGCGTAAGCCTCTTCGGGTGAGTGCCATTAAAACCATGTCATCTGCATATAGCAAAATATTCAGGCGTTTACCTTCAAGGGCTGGAGCCGATGACTTGTACTTTGCCATGTACTGGACAATGTCGTTTATATAAAAGTTGAAAAGAAATGGGGCTAGCAGGCATCCCTGTTTGACCCCTTTCCCAATGGCAGTGGGTCCGTAAGAGTTCCCGATGGCCCAGTTCTGATTTTGACTGTAATGTCTGTATGTAACTCTCTGAGAATTTTTAAAAGTCGTCTGTCAATGTCCGTTTCATATAATTTTTTCCATAGTCTATCTCTACAGATTGAGTCGAAGGCAGATGTCAAGTCTACGAAGGCCACAAAGAGTCTGCTCTTATACGCTTTTACATATTTAGCTACCAGGGTCTGTAGTACCATACAGTGACCTATCGTATTGTGGCCCTTTCTAAATCCTGCCTGTTCCTGGTTGAACAGGTTAGAATGGTCCGCCCAATCTACCAGCTTGTTTAATAGGTACCGGGTATAAAGTTTGTATGCGATGTCCAGAAGGCTTATAGGGCGGTAGTTTGCTGGATCTTGAATGTCTCCCTTCTTATAGATAGGGACTACCACACTTCAAACTACTCCAAACACCTCAAACCACCGGTCATGCTGGCTGGGGCCGATGTGAGCTTAAAATCACCCAAAAAAAGCTCAATAAATTTGTGGGTGTTAGGAATTTTACTTTTTGAAATATGGCAACCCTATTTCCCAGACCATACATTTATATATGTGGGAGAGGCTAACCATAGTTAATACAATCCAGATGGTGACTGCGTCACTGGCCATAATTTCCATCTGACTTATTTGTTTATAAACCTATAAAAAGTTCTAGAGGCCCCACATCTCTGCATCTGCCTAAAAACAAAACCAAATGGCCAAGCTGCTTGTACATTATTAGAAAGAAGATTACCATATAACACTGATTCCTCTCTGTTCGTCTCCTTAAAGCAAGGAGTTAGATGGAACAAGTCTTAACAGAAGATGGTGTTCAACCTGTTACAACAAAGTTAAAAATTCACAGGCTTTGCAGGCAAAAGGTCCAGGGTTCTGTTCCTGGCACCTCCACACAGGGTTGGGAAAGACTCCAGACAAAATCCCTGGAAAGCTACAGCCAGTCAGCATTGACAATACTGAGGTAGGCAGACCAATCGCATAAGGTGGTTTCTGGAGTTCTTGTAAAATTGTTACCCCAAAGCTACTCAACTGTGGTATTCCTTTTTGAGCAGGGCTAATAGCAACCTCTGTGAGACAATTCAGACTGGGGACCTGGCATAGGTTTCTTTGCTCCCCTCCCTCTCCCCAGCACCACTTCCTTGATCAAATTGTGGCCCTTCTCTGGCAGCTACTTTGAAGTAAAGGCAAAGGCAATGAGAGATGTCACATAAGATATGTACCTTTAGGCAGTGCCATAGCTGGAGAGGGAGGGGCTAGCTGGTTTTTTTGCCCCGGGTGAAGCCTCCAGAAGGTCGACATTGAGGCTCCCTGCCTGTGTACATGTGTATGCAAATGTGTGTGGAGTGTGTGCCAAGCAGGGTGTGTGCCAAACAAGTGTTCCAATATACCAGACTTGCACAAAGCAGGTTTTTGTTTTTGTCTTAATTGTGTAGCCTGTGACCGGTCCACAGAGGAGTGCCTGGCCAACAGAACTAGGGGATGTGGTGATAGATGGCACCTAGCAAAACATTACCGCACAGCGCACAGGTAGAACCAAAACCCACCTACAAAATGAACTTCAATACCCTCATAGTTGGGTAGTATGTGATTTATGTTGGATTTCCCCCTATTACCACATTGAGGGCTGATTGCTGTTTGTCCTGATTCCCCTGGGGGAAGCGAGGGGCAAACAGAGGTATGGATAAGCCCCACTGGGGATCAGGAAGGTAAAAGGTGAAGGGACCCCTGACCGTTAGGTCCAGTCGTGACTGACTCTGGGGTTGCGGCGCTCATCTCGTTTTATTGGCCGAGGGAGCCGGTGTTCAGCTTCCAGGTCATGTGGCCAGCATAACTAAGCCGCTTCTGGCAAACCAGAGCAGCGCACGGAAACGCCGTTTACCTTCCTGCCGGAGCAGTACCTATTTATCTACTTTTGATGTGCTTTTGAACTGCTAGGTTGGCAGGAGTTGGGACCGAGCAATGGGAGCTCACCCCGTCGAGGGGATTCGAACCTCCGACCTTCTGATTGGCAATCCTAGGCTCTGTGGTTTAACCCACAGCGCCACCCGCGTCCCCTCAGGATCAGGAAAATCCGAATTAAATATGGGGGTTGGGCTTGGGCTGCCGCCTGGATGAGAACAATGCTGTGCAGATGATGTGAAAAACACGTGTGCATAGGATGCTAAACTGCCATATATACCGGTATTTAGTCCTCCCTTGTGAGCATATACATCAGTAGGTGGGATAGTAGCCTTTGTGGAAGGCTGTGCCGCAAGGGGGGTTGCAAGGAGGTCAGGAAGCCTGAGACAAAGGCCCTCTCCTCCCTCCAGGGCGCGGTGATGTGCGGGTTGCTCGCTCCAGAAGGTGGCGGTCTCCGCACAGCCTTGCTTGCCTTTTGCCTCGGGCCTTGATGAGTCAGAAGTTTCCACCCGGCATCATTTCCTGGAAAGATGAGGTAAGAAGTGAAGGAGGAACGGCGGGGGGGGGGGAGAATAGAGGGGCAACTTGTGATTGGCTGGGAGTCGGGATGGCGGTGGCATAAATAGGGGCTGCTCGGCGGGCACCCGGAGTAGAGCCCGCTGCGCCCTAGTTCGCTGGCTTTGCTGTTTCGCTCCGAGAGCTGCTGCGGGATGCTGGCAGCCTGACTGCGCCTGTGCCGCCGCCGCAGCTGCCCACGCCGCGCCCGGGACGCGAATGAAGAAACTGCTCCTCCTGCTCTTCAACTATCGGGGACTCACGCGAGGCGGGGGACGCAAAGGGAAACGCCGCCGAAAATGGCCTCGTTCCGTATCCGCGCCGCGCGGCCCGAGGACTGCGCCGACCTCCTGCGCCTCATAAAGGTAGATCTCGCTCTGCGCCAGGCCAGGCGCAGGCAAGAAACGAGCAGATGCAATGAACAAGAGTGGAAAAACAAAAGTCACTTCCATTGGCCTCCTTTCGTCTTGAGCCTCTTGAGAGGTTTTTCCTTTTTTAAAATATAATAAAAGTTGCTCTCTGAACTGAGCGCGCCGTCCTGGGTGGCGGAGGGGGAAGGAAGGATTGCGCGCTTTTATCTTTGCCAACCAGAGGGGCTGCTTAGCGAGTCACGCCAAAGTAGGGCATTTTTATCAGTTGCCACCACACGCCTTCCGACTTTTTAAAAAAGGAACGACAAAAAAAATTAGTTAAGGTGGGATAAAAGTAAGAGACTGGACGACACGGATCTCTTAGTATTTTTACCCCTAAATAAGCCTGCACCTGCTTTAGGCGGTTTGTGTAGCAAACCAAAATGCTAACGTTTGACGTGTGTATAGCGAGAGAGAAATTCCCCCGTATGTACTCGGCAACACACCAGTTTAAACTGCAATCTTACACGTTTGGAGTGTAAACATGGCTAGAAATTTTACCTTGGCAGTTACTCTGGAAGCAAAAACGATCTTGTGTTTTCGATCTTTCAGGAGTCCCCCCCCCCACGTCCAGTTCTAGTCTAGCTTAGCACATACAGTTCAAGGGCAAAGGTAGGCCACTGAGGGTGGGAACTGTTTGTTCTGCAAGCGAAATAACTTCCTTCTGGGCACAGACACCTTTGCCCTCCTGAGTTGGCAAAACATCCTCTTCCTGCTGTTGCGAAATAGGCTGCCGACAGTTTCTACCCTCTGCACAAGTGACTGCTGTAAAGAAAAAAGGAAGCAAGGACCCAGCTCCAGAACTGCACTTGAAAGTGATTCAGCTGTTCATCTGGTCTAATTCCTTTGATGGGATGTCCCATTAGATACAAACATTGAGGAACACATATTTCACTTGGAAATTCCCCCCCCCCCCCAAAAAAAAAGGTTTAGCATTAACTTACATTTCTTAAATACATTGGAATTATTTTGTTAACCCTTTCGTTCCTGTCATTTTAAATGCTTAAAACATGTCAAGAGTGGAACAGCTTAATTCCGTGCATCCTTATTTGGAAGTAAGTCTCATGCGTTCGTTAGGGCCTGTTTTGGGGACAATGTGTGTAAGGGCTGCCTCCTTAATCTTCTTTAGGCAATTCCCTCAGGTCCTTCAGGGTGTAGAATCAATACTGTAGATAATCCATTAACTGTATAGTTCCCTACTGAATTTTCACTCTTCTCAGAAGAGAAGCAGATAGTACTCTATAAAATGGGTTTTTCTATATAGACTATGCTCCATGACGCAAGAAAAAAAAGTGCAAAATATGTTGGTCCATTGAAATATAACCAAACATACATGCTTTGTTTTGGACAGGAGCTTGCTAAATATGAAGAAATGGAGGATCAAGTGGTACTGACTGAAAAAGGTAATATAAAATAAGACAACCAGGACAGTTTTGTGACAATTCAACCTGGGGATAGGAAAACTAGCTAGATAATACATTTATTGTAATCCTGTAGATCTACTTGAGGACGGCTTTGGAGAACATCCCTTCTACCACTGCCTTGTTGCAGAAGTGCCAAAAGAACACTGGACAGCTGAAGGTGAAACTTTTTAAAAAAATTAATTAGAAAACCACAGAATGTAAATAACAATGCTTATAATAAGTAAGACTCTAGCTGTACTTCATTGCAAAGGTGAATGCTAAAACTTACTGAACTTTTCAAATGGTATCTTATTGTTCAGTTATCCTGAAGGTAATGGAGAACCAGGTATAATCGTAAAAGAACAAAACTATAATTCCACTTCGTTACATGGCTGTTTTTGTTTGACCCTAACGTATCACTATGTAATCCTGTTGAATCACATGTTTTCTTTAATTTGTCCCCAATCTTCAGGTTACAGTCTCTAGCTTCGCCATGTACATGGCCCTTCCGTGTACATGGATGGGCGGGGAGGTAACTAAAAGATCCGTTACACAATAAAGTAGATGATCATGATATATGAGGTAAGGTCTCCAGGGTCAAATCCTATTCCAAAACATGTACCTCAAAAAGAAAGAGAAAAAAGCATATACAAAACACTCGGTAGATCAGAAATCCTGTATGTAACTCTGTTCCTTGGATTACATGTAACAAGATTGAAGTTCTAAATATGAATATTGACTAGGATGTAGTAAGGATAGTGAACAATTGTTCCCTTTGCAAGCAGAAGCATAGGAGAATGACGCAAGCAATGAAACAAAGAAAACACTTGAAAGCAATCACTATTTCCTTGAAATACTCATCTTGGAAAAATAATAGCTGCTGTATTTGCTCTTAGCTGTCACAAAGGCAATCCTGTAGTCTCGTCCTTTAAAAAAAAAGAGTGATTGCATTGTAAACAAATGGACATCAATTAACGTGGAAAACAAACTTCAGGGGCTTTTGCTTTGGGAGTTTTATGTTCCAAAATCTAGAAGGAAGCAGAGTTGAAATGTTTGCCACAATATTCTGATCTGCCGTGTAAAATTGTAGAAGCCTGAATTGTTTTCCAAAGTGGTATCAATAGGGTATGTACAGAGACTCTCCAGCAAAAGACTATAATTATGATGTAATTGTTGACACAACTTGCCAGGTGTTGCAATTACGTAATTCCTGGGTATGTGCAAGAACAACATGAAACTGACCAAAAAATATGATGCTGGTTTTTGAGGGTCTTAGAACTTTCCAGGATGGCCTTAACTTGCTAGGAATTCCTATCTTACTTAAACTGCAATTCATTATAATGTATGATGAGTGCTAAACTTGGCTTATTGCAGCATAAGATTAATTTTGCATGTTCGGAGTGACTATTTTGGCACAAGCATGTGATATTTTGTATATACTAACTTGTTGCTTTATTAAAAAGGTACTCTATGTATGCACATGTATATAAAGTAAATATGTTTTGTTGCAGGATACAGTGTTGTGGGCTTTGCCATGTATTACTTCACATATGACCCATGGATTGGAAAACTGTTGTATCTTGAAGACTTCTTTGTAATGAATGAGTTCAGAGGTACCATTTAAATTTTAAGGAAACATTTTACAATTAAGTTTGATTCAACTCTTCTAAAAACATGACTAATAAAATTGCACTTGTTTTATTTTTAGGTTTGGGCATTGGTTCAGAAATTCTAAAGAATTTAAGTCAGGTAAGAAGTTGATATGGGAAAAGTGTTCTAAAATGATCACTTAACCAAAGTCACACTTAGTTGGGAAATTATTCAATCCAGATTGTGCAGTGCCCATGGATAAGTGTGCCTTTGATTGAGCTTGCATAAATACAGCATAGAAAGCAGTATCCCAATAGGTAAAAGAAGTACTTTTATTTAGAACACATGTCCCAGCATGTAATTTTTTTTGCATAAATGTTTTTAACAGAGTTGTGTCATTAAAGCATTTCCTGCACCTATTGGGATATCTCTCATGCTGCTTTTAAATATCCTTCCTTGGATTAATGGTGCTACCTTCTTTGTGACAGCCTGGCCCATGATAGAGTTCTCTGTGGTAGCACACTGCCTCATTGTTATGATGGGAGTGTTCAGATGACCAGTCCACCTTGGAAACATCCTCTCAAATGAGGTATAAGCAGTAAACCGCATGACCAAATGTAGCGTGGCTCAGTACCATGTGTCTTATTTCAAAGAAATATTGTACAGCAGTAGCACACCACTATATTTGAACTTGTGAATATTGCAATATCCACCAGGCCATTCAGATACTTAGGGTTCCCCTTCTGCTTCAGTTGCATATTGATATTATTTGTTCAAGGTTGCAAACTGCTCAAAAAGCACATTGGGAATGTTTTTTGTAACTTATCCTAGAGCTCTTCGTTTTCAAGAGATTAATACTGGAGTAGGGAACGTAGAAAATAGATCAAGTAGGGATTCAGTGAAACAATGTAACTGCTACCACATCTGGAAATTCCCTACATAGAACTTTTTTAAAGAAGCAGTACCACATCCCAGCACACAGAAATACTCCCTTAATTATTCCTGCCCATTTTCTTTCTCTAGGTGGCTGTCAAATGTCGTTGCAGCAGTATGCACTTCTTAGTAGCTGAGTGGAATGAGCCTTCCATCAGGTTCTACAAGAGACGGGGAGCTTCTGACCTGTCTTCTGAGGAAGGATGGAGACTTTTCAAAATAGACAAGGAGTACTTGATGAAGATGGCAGCTGAAGAGTGAGGAGCTGAGCTCTCAGGACAATAGCAATTTGCATCCAATAATTCCTTTTTGACTGTCCTTCCTGTTTCCTATCCAACCTTGTAGTAATGAAATAAGTTAATATGGACCCTAATTCAAAAGCTTTTATTACCAGTGGCATAAATATGATTGTTTGCTGGAGTTTTGGGACTCTAATCCCACAGGCAGTGACAGTTACAGAGTCAAGTTACTTGTCTGTCTCCATCCCCTCATCAGTACACCTGTGATCCTGAAATGTATATTGTATATAACTTCATTCTTGTAAGTGTCATTCAAATGTGTACAGTGTACACACTGGTAGGGTTTTTTCTTAATTATTTGCATTCGTAAGCAAATAAACTGTTTTTCATGCTAGTGACCACAAACTGGTGTAATATTTTATTCAATGGTTCTTTGATGCACTTGTTTATAATGTACTTTTAGACCCATGAAATGTCATTAATATCACTGTGGGAAGATTTGCAAAGACTTTTGTCCACCCACCCACCCATCAGCTGACTTCGCTGGTGGTGTCATCAGTTAATGAGCTGCAGGACAGGGTTAATGTCTGGTTTTGAGCAGTCTTTAAAAGGCTGCCACAAGACTTGTTCTTGCTGCAATGTACTAACAGTTACCCTTTTGTAAATCATAGTCCAAGTGCTGCTTAGTTATTTCTGAGTGGGAAGCAGTAAAGAAAGCAAAACAGTGCTGTGTACATACCTGTCTTTAATGGTTGCTAAAAGCCAACGTGGGTGGCGCTGTGGTGTAAACCACTGAGCCTTGGGCTTGCCGATCGGAAGGTCGGCGGTTTGAATCCCCGCAATGGGGTGAGCTCCTGTTGTTCGGTCCCAGCTCCTCCCAACCTAGCAGTTTGAAAGCACGTCAAAGTGCAAGTAAATAGGTACCGCTCCAGCGGGAAGGTAAATGGCGTTTCCATGCACTGCTCTGGTTCGCCAGAAGCGCCTTAGTCATGCTGGCCACATGACCCAGAAAAACGGTATGCGGACAAACGGCTCCCTCGGCCAGTAAAGCGAGATGAGTGTCGCAACCCAAGTCGTTCATGACTGGACTTAACTGTCCTTTACCTTTTAAAAGCCAACAAACTTGTTCATTCCACCTCCTGTATTGTTTTTCTTTCTAACCTACAATTATTCTCCCCACCTCCCCGCAAAATCAGTATATACAACTGTCCTCTCATTGCTTAAGAGTCAGAGAGTGCCGGTTATTTCCTGTTAGCAGTAGCTTTGGCACGAATTTCCAAGGAAAGCCCCCATTACACTCTGTTCTAATCACGGTCTGAGAATGATACTGAAGAACGTAATCTGAGTTTCTTTGGCTAACGTCAGCAAGTTGGGCACATTTGGCATCACTGACTCATTTCCTGTAGAGCTTTTATTGTTTAGCTTACAAACCACATTTCTCATACATTATACCTCTAGGCACAAGTCTTTTTAAGGAAATGAAAAACACCTTTAGTATCCTTTTATATATTAAGGGGGTGGGGAAGCATGAAAGGCATACACACAGAGAAAGGTATGCTACCTTTTCTCACACCCATCCTCCTGTATCTCTCTCTCGGCTTGTGATGGGCATCCTGCAACTCTTAATGTTGTTGGATTCCCAGCTCCCACTAACTGCAGCCAGCCTGTCTAAAGACCTGGGGTGATGGGGGTTGTGGTCCAGAAGAACCTGCAGCCCATCCCTGCTCTATCAAGAAAACATGATTTCAATTAGTAGTAATTCTCATTAGCACTTAGTTTTCCCCTGCTAAAGCCACTTTGTGATGGGTGATCAATAGCAGACCAGGACTGCGGAACCTTTTTCAGCTCAAAGGTCACATTCCTTTCTGGCCAACCTTGTGGGGGCCCTGTGCCAGGTATGATTGGGGCTAGCGACAAAAATTGATGGAGCAACCAGTGTGAGTTTGACCCTGGTACAGTAGCCTAGTTTCTACACACACACATATCCCTCTGTCATCTTTATCCAGGCAAGCAGAAGGGATTATGAGTTGAAGAACACGTTCCGATCACACAAAAACACTCAAGGAGGATGTGTTCGTCAAAGTGTGGTCTGGAGAATCCCGAGGGCCAGTTAGAAAGGCCTGAGGTTCCCTGTCGTCCCCCTGCTTTTCACTTTAAGTGTGTCCCCCCCTGCCAGCACTTGTTTGCCATGCCACCTTCACATCACTTTGCCTTCTGGACTGACAACCAGCAGACATGAGAGGAGGGCTAACAGTGCCTCTCAGGAAGGGGATATGACACTGGAGGCTCATATCACTGCCTCATGTGCTTTAACAACTGTTACTGTATTTAAGAACAAAAGCGGGGAAATGAAAACCAGAACTGCTCGAGGGCAATATACGGCTTGTCTCTCTTAAGCCAATATTAAAGTACCAGAAATCTGAATTTCCCACTGTGTTTTACAAGCTGACAACACATGAATAGAACAATGGTGGGTGCATGTTTTAATAATTCAGCCAAGCCTTTCTTAATGCAAGGTGTCGGCTATAGGCAACAAAAAGGGAGGGAAATGACACAGAAACTGTTTATAGCACTGTTCAGATTTCTTCAGCAGGATATGACTTTAGAGAAGTTCATAATCACGTCAGCATGTCAGTTTGGTTAGCCCCAGCATTCTGAGAAATAGGATCCTACATATAAAAATAAATCACTTAAATGAATACAAGCAACAAAAGAAAACATGTTGTTACCCAAGTATTTCTTTATTGTTGTCTTGAGCTGGAATGGACAGATAATATACCACGGCATTTCACAAGAGCAGGAAATTGAGCTGCTGTGGTTATACTGTAAGAGGAAATGAGACTTGCCTCGTTAGCCTTCAAGCGTTAGCTTTAAAGAGGTGAGAAAATGCATTTTGAAATGCAGTCGGATAATTTTCTCTTACAGGATTTAAATAAGTGCAAATTCATAAAGTCAGCAGGTCCAAGTGGTAAATGTTCAATATTGCACTGCCTCAAGCTGCAAGTGAACTGTGGCTGACCTCTCTTGCAACTTGTCTGCACACAAAAACAGGGAGAAGACCAGGATAAACCTTTGATCCTCATTTGCTAAGTGCCATGAGCATTCCCTCTGCCTGCCCCACTCCCCCTACCACAGAAGAATTTGCAAACATGCAGCTGTCCTGGTTTAGTTCAGGAAAACATTTCAAGGTTGGGTCTTCCATAATTTGTCTAGTGTGTGGTCATAATGCTACTCTGTGAAATGTGCTCGACTACTATGCACACAAGTAATCCAAACAGCTGATTTTGACCTACAAAGCTTTAAACGGCTCAGGACCTCAAAGTTCATATGGACCTATGAAGACCATGAGAACACCCTTTGAGGTCCTTCTTTGTGTCCCTCTCCACAAGAGGTCTGGAGGGTGACAACATGAGAATGGGCCTTTTCTGCAGTGACTCCCCGTTTGTGGAATGCTCTCTCCAGGGAGGTTAGGCTGGTACCTTCATTATGCACCGTTAGGTGCCAGGCGAAAACATTTCTCTTCAACCAGACCTTTGGCTGATTAACATCCTATTCACTTTTAAATATATTTGTGGGAGTGGATGGGGGGGGTTATTGGGGGTTTTTGTTGCTGCTCTTGTTTTTATCATGTATTTTGTGTTTTTATCTTGTATTTTTATGTTGTGAACAGCCCTGAGGTCTACAGATGAAGGGTGGTATGCAAATTTAATAAACAAATAAATAGGCATTCTCAATGGCTACCCTAGAACTATGGAACCCCCTTCCACTAAACACTAGCATAGATAAATGCCAGAAACGTCTATCACAAAAGTGCTGTAGAATTTGATCTGGCTGCCCTAAACAGTCAAGAGCCAATTGTGTTTTAGGGTGATTTTGAAAAATCTGGTTTTTACATAGGCTGAGATCTAGAGATAGAGAAGTATCTGCTCCACACGTGCTTCCTCCTGAACACATGTTGGTGCTTTATATGCCAGCAGTAGTATCAGCTGGGTATTTTAATTTGTAGGTTTTATTATATTTATTAAAAGGTAAAGGTACCCCTGACCGTTAGGTCCAGTCGCGGACGACTCTGGGGTTGCGCGCTCATCTCGCTCTATAGGTCGAGGGAGCCAGCATTTGTCCGCAGACAGCTTCCAGGTCATGTGGCCAACATGACTAAGCCGCTTCTGGCGAACCAGAGCAGCACACAGAAACACCGTTTACCTTCCTGCCAGAGCAGTTTCTATTTATCTACTTGGACTTGCACGTGCTTTTGAACTGCTAGGTAGGCAGGAGCTGGGACCGAACAATGGGCGCTCACCCCGTCGCGGGGATTCGAACTGCCGACCTTCTGATCGGCAAGCCCAACAGGCTCAGTGGTTTAGACCACAGCGCCACCCGCGTCCCGTTTTATATTTATTATGTAAAACAAATACACTAAATCTAATTCATTCCAAGTACCGCTTGGCACCATGAGGGCAAAGGAACAGTCTAACTAACCATTAGTTAGGATAGCTAAATGAATCTTCCTTGTCTAGAGGCAGTATTCAAGATGCTGGGGGCAAACAAGAGGTTGTCTTAATGTCCTGCTTATTATCATCCTGGAGACATCCAGGCCTCATTTTCAGTAAGCATCTTGACAACATGACTTTCTAGATCTGAACATGCCCCAGATTTTAGCCATTATAGAACATGGTTTTGCAAGCTTTTTTTTTTTAATGAACCCTTAGTATGTGGATGCGGGTCTAAAGTAAAGTTCATAAAACTACATTTAAGTGCACATTTGTTACAGAAACAAGCTGAACTAACGAGGTAATTTGTTAGCAGTCAAGTGGCATGCAAACAGACACAGGAACCAGTGTCCCAATGTAAAAGAGAGAAGACAGGGCTTTTAACAAGAAAAAAGGCTGCATTAGAAGCAGCACCAGATTACTCAGATAAGACTGAAGTCTATTGTGTAGTTTCTCTTTTTTTCAGGCCATGACATGAGTAATGTAGGTATTCACAGAGCCGGCATACAATTGCTCTTATTAATAGGACAGATACTACATTAATACAGGATTTCCCATGCCTCATAACCTCTTCCTGAATTGTAAAGGAAGCACAACACACTCATACAGGATACCTACAATATTTGAAAAATCCCATCAAATATTGAAATGTGTTCCCATTCGGCTGGTCCAATGTTCTTGGCATGAACAGAAATCCTCAATGCTGCCTTGTGCTGTTTCATTTACATGTTTTAAATGCATTTGCAAACTTCTTGCACGTGAAACTAAAGAATGGGCAGCCTGCCAGCACGCCACCATTCAGCTAGGCTGTTTTCACTTGGAAATGATGTGATGTGGCTGCAAGCAAGAAAAAGCTCATCTATTTTGTCCAACCCTACACAAAATGTTTGCGTTCCCTTGCTCTATAGTTCGCCTTCCTGAGTGGCCGATAAGAAGTCATTAGCTATGCTATAGCTAGTTCTCACCAGCGCAGCATTCTGACCCTTACTGAGCTGTGCATTCAGGCAAGCAAAAAACCCTAAAGAAAAACAAAGAGTTCTGTTCCCATCCATCTATAGAGGGAATCTCACAGACATTCCATTATGCACTTCCCACTGACCTTCGTCATCCAGAAAAGTTTGATTTGGAGGGGGAAGGGGAAGGCGCAGAGAAGAGACACGGCCATTGTATTTCTGAGCCTTTTGTCAAGTTTGCTAGCCTACTGCTGGGCACAACTTTAATGCTCATATGTTATTTAGCTTCTCCTCCACCACCCGTAACACAATTAAGCTTTGTTCTGACCAAGAATGTAATTTATTCTGATTAATATATGGATGCTGATTAAATGACCAAACATAAGGGGGGAATCAGGCATTCATTTTAATTAAGCCTATAAATAGTAACAACAGACATAGGAGTTCTGAGACTCAACTTGCAGGACACTTCTAAGCAATTCTTTAGAATTAAGTCCCATTAAGTCCAGTACTTCCTTGTAAGCAGGGCTCAGGGTTGCAGACGTAGACCGAGGTCCTGACAAAATCTATGAGTAATCTTGCTGAACTCTGACCTAAAGTCCAAAGCTGGCAAATAACAGGACTGTGTCCCTTCAGATCCAGATACGGTGCTTTCAAACAGAATGTAAGTCTTGTTCTTGTTGAGCCAAACCACAGACAAAATGTACTCATAGTCAACACAGATTCTGTTCTTTTTTTAGAAAAGTGTTGATCTCCTGCAGGCTCTCAATCCATCTGTATTCAAAAGAAGGGTTTTAAAGTTAGTTTTTGAAGTCAGTCAAGATTGTTGCTGTTTTTGCAACCAAAAACTATTCCAAGCAGCAGAAGTGTTGTTGTAGTGTTTTTTTCGGGGGGGGGGGGAGATTATCCAATAATAAGTTAAACAGAATTACAAGTTTTCAAAACTTAAAAAAAAAATTGTTAAGTTCCCCAAAATGTTTAGTCAACACTGTTTGAGGTGGGATCCAAAAAGTAGCCCATAGTTTTCTTGCTGTTAGTGCATATAAAACAACTCTATAGATAACATAATATTTCACATTAGCCAGCAACCGTCCAATTTTCAAGTAATCTGATTTACCTTCTAGAAAACTCTGAAATGATTATTATCTATCAAACTTATTAGTTGTTTTTCATTACAAAATCTCAATGCATTTACAACAAAAAATTAATAACATACATTAAAGTCAGCATAAACTACAATACAATAAAATTTAAAACTGATTCATATTTTTGAAAAAAAGGACTAAAACATCACACCCACTGACAAAAGCCAGACATAATTAAAAACCAAAGGCCTGATGGAAAAGTATTGTTTTTGCCTACCACCTAAAGATAAGTAATGTGACTGTCTGGAGAGAGTATACCATAAGTGGGGAGCCATTGCTGAGAAGTATTTTTCTCATGTCTGCACTCTCCGCATCTCCCTTGGAGGGAACACATGGCAGAAGGGCTTCAAATGAATGTGCCAAGTGAGAAGTAATGGAGCTATTTTATTAGTTTTTCTTCCTCCGGCAAAGAGGGAACAGGAACCATAGCTATAAAGGGGTGCAAGCCAATACATTACTTTCCGAAATGTATTTACTGTTTTATTCCAAACATGGATTTCAAAGCATGATTTTCTGCCACTCAGCTATGCACCTAAGCAGAGTTTGCAAACTGGTGCTTTAGAGATAAACCCCCAGCTTGATTTATATTTTACAAAGTTCTAAGCCTTTGAAAACATTTAATTGCTGTAGTTAAATATTATGCACATCACCATACCTTTGGAATGGTCAGGAGAGATAACACAAGTAATAAAAACAGCTAATAGTTTTAAAATTGCATCACTCAAGTGTTCTATTTGAGTAAATTATGTATTTGGAGCCAGAAGAATTTAAAAAACAAACTTAACAACTAATCCAGTTTTACTTTTAGGGCTATTCTTATTTTTCTCATGGGAACCATGGAATAGTTAGTGCACCTTACCTGTTCATTGAGAAGCCACAGACAATTCTATTTTATTGCTTTTTCTTCTTGTACTTTTGCTGTTTTGTCACTATCTGCATCACCCTTAAAAAGACATCACAGACTGAAGTTTTAATAATTTTTTATCAAAACAATTTGCCTCCACAAAATAAAGTATTTGATTATAAGATTCCATACACTTTGGGCATATACCATCTCTAGAGGATGATCTAATGTTAGTTTCTCCGCAGTATGTATTTTGGGGTCCTTTACTGAAACAAATAGATTGAAGGCCATCATCACTAACAAATCCATGGATTTCTAGGGGCCTACAGCGAGTCAGATACCATCAACCGAAATTAACATGTTGAAGTAGTTTAACCAAAAGGAACAAGAGAGGAATGAGGTTAGGAAAGGATATGATGCAATTAACAGCAGAAGGATACAAGAACTTGAAAAATGTCACTGACATCTCTGAAAGGTAACTACAATTTTGACTGATGGAATGTAGAGGATTGTAGCCTATTTCTGCAACAAACTACTGCATAAACACGCAAACCTGAAGAATGAGCAGCATACTATGTAAAAGATTCAAATGGCATATTACATGGCATCTCCCATTAAACATAATTTAAGAGCAGCTGTAGCATGCTGCTTGAATCCCAAACCTATAAGAGCATGGCATTTCTAGTAGTGTGCTGCATTTCCTAATTATGAGTACATGAAAGTAGGAACAACCAGTGTTAGAAACTGAGATTTGAAAGCAAGGAGCTAAATGGCACTTTAAACCTAGGCTTTGGGCGCAACAATGGAATATCTAGGCACACTTTTTTATAACAAGAATACAAAGCTGAAAATGAATGAACTGCAGCTAAAATCTTATGTTCATTTTTCACATGGTCTAGTCTTCATCTGAAGGCTGCAAAAAACAAAGCCATGCTTCCCCAGCCCACTCCCGGTAATATTCTTAAAAGGGTCTCTTCTCCTGTCTTCAGAGAGTAGCTGAAAGTAGGGAGGCAGAAAAAGGTCCTCCTTTCCTTCCACTCCGCAGTTTTAATCTGATATCTTAGGCACAGCAGTGCGCCCAGAGCTCAGAAACTGCTTGGGCTAATGAAAATCCCTTTCGCAAAACACGCCTGGAACAATGGGAGTTTCGAACTCTGGGAACAACAGCATGGTACTTGAAACTATGGGACTAATTTGACTTATCCCTGCACAGCTCTGGTTCTCTAAAAGCATAAGGAGAATAGCACAGAAACAAAGAACACAGCAATTCAAACAAAACAGCCAAGAACAGAGATACACCTACAGCACAACAAACTCTCAAATGTCATACCTTGTCACTGGCTTTTGCAGATTTTTTCTTTTTGGGAGGATCTTTCCAGAGAGATTCTATATTTATGTAGGCTTGGAGACTCCAGTCGTACAGCTGAGAACCAGTTACCTTTCAGAAATCAGAGATTTCATAACAACAGTCAAATTAACATCCACTTGAAACACTGTGTATTTTTATTTTTAGGTTTTTATGAAGAAGTGCTAGTTTAATTACTTTTATTGTATCTAGCCATAGGCCATTACAGCAAAATATTGACCCAGCCCAATAACGGCAGGGAAGATCAATTGCTATCCATGCAGTACAGGCCTAGAGCCCTCTGAACAAGGACAACATCATTTCTATGAGCATAATCAAACTACTGTAGCAATGCAACAGCTATTCACAAGTACCAACTTTTTAAAAAAGCTGTTCTTGCAAGAAAAATGTCAGTGCTAAAGATATTGGCAGATTAAGTTGGTTTATGGAAGGAAATTTCCCAGTCTCCTTCTCCCCCCGCCCCAACACAGTAGCACCCCTGACAAAGGAGGAGATTCAGGGGCCTTCTTGAGCAATGCAGTAAACTTCCCAAAATAACTAAAATTAGCTAATGAAAGAAAACGCTCCTGTACCCTGCTCCTCACAGCAACCCCACCCCACACTGCCAAGGCAGTCTTTTTAGAGGTTTCTAAGGGATGTGGTGGTACATGTGGTGGCAAACTTTACATTTATGAAGTTCCTTTATTCAATTTATTTAACTGGATCAAATCCAGTAAAAAGGTAAAGGACCCCCGGACAGTTAAGTCCAGTCAAAGGCGACTATGGGATGTGGCGCTCATCTCGCTTCAGGCTGAGGGAGCTGGTGTTTGTCCACATACAGCTTTCTGGGTCATGTGGCCAGCAGGACTAAACCGCTTCTGGCACAATGGAACACCATGACGGAAACCACACAAGCTGTATAAGAAAGCCAGCCTTACAAAATGCAGAGATTGTCTAGAAAAATACTTAAAGAAGCATATGATAACTACTAGTTATCCTTAAAGAAAGGTCAAAGATAAATCTAGAAAACATCTGCTCAAAACTTCAGCTGCAAAAAATGATATGCAAGAACCCTGATTAATCATTAACTTAAGGCTAAGCCACCAGCTTGTAAACAAACTGTGCTGTGCTCCATCTGTACTCCATGTCTTTGTACTTCAAAGCATATTACTTTCAGTACTCATTCCATATAGCATTGTTGTACGCTTCAAACACATTAAATGTGGGACTTAATTGTTTCAAATACACTTGAGAGGGATGGGTTTACACCAGTGCTTTCTCCCCCCCTAGGGAGTACTCAAGGTTACATAGTACCGGCAGATCTTTTGTCGTTGTTGTTAAAAAGTGTGACACAGTGATAACTTCATGGAAAAAAGCACTGCTTTACACAGTTAGAGAGGGCCTCAAAAACAGCTGCTTCTTCAGCTTTATGATAAGGAGGATAACCTCACCATTTTCAGTGGATGAGAGTGAATTATTTCACATGAACAAGCAACCACAAGGATTCACTCAACCAAGAGACAATTTAAAGAAAAATACATACAGTGGTGCCTCGCAAGACGAAATTAATTCGTTCTGCGAGTTTTTTCGTCTTGCGATTTTTTTCGTCTTGCGAAGCACGGTTTCCCAAAGTCTTCAAAATCACCAAAGTCTTCAAAAACCTCAAAAAAGGCTACCACACCGCGTGCTATGAGTTGCTCCTCGAAGTCACCCTGGGTATTAACGGTTTTAAGAAAAAGGAAACAAACTTGCAAGACGTTTTCGTTTTTTTCGTTTTTCGTCTTGCGAAGCAAGCCCATAGGGAAATTCGTCTTGCGAAGCAACTCAAAAAACGAAAAACTCTTTCGTCTTGCGAGTTTTTCGTCTTCCGAGGCATTCGTCTTGCGAGGTACCACTGTACCTAGGACTATTCTACGAATTCTAAGGCAATCCTGAGGGGAATACAAGTGTGGAAACAAGACTTTTGATCACTGATCATTCATACAGCAACACTGCAAAACCATAAAACCTGCCTAGCTGACACAAAGACACCAAAAGAAGTAGACTACCCTATGTTGTGTCATTCTGGCATTTTAGATTGCATGTATTAGTAGCGCCAGCTTTTCTGAGAAATAAGTTGTGCTTGCCTTTAAAACAAAGTACAGTGTACCTCGGTTTACAAACTTAATCTGTTCTGGAAGTCCATTCTTAAACCAAAACCATTCTTAAACCGAGGCGCGCTTTCCCTAATGAGGCCTCCCAATGCCAGTGCCCTTCCACCATTCAGCTTCCATTCTTAGACCGAGGTAAAGTTCTCAAACTGGGACACTATTTCCGGTTTTGCGGAATTTGTAAACCGAATCGTTCTTAAACCGAACTGTTCTTAAACCGAGGTACCACTGTACATACAACAGCAGATGAGCATTTGCTATTTGCAAGCCATATTTACAGCTATACAAATAGGAACTGTGTGATTTCCCACAGTACTAACCTTGGCAAGGGTAATGGCTTGCTGCGGGTAGTAGAGAGCGGCACCAATCCCCATGAAGCTTGCTGGATACACCAACCTCTTTATTTTGGAACCTGCGCCAAAGAATATACATTACTTTTCACGATGTCTGTATCCAACAAATGATGTGCTGAACAAGGTGATCCACACATTATAACACATTTTTTTCAGCCAGCCTAAGCTATCCAAATGGCACAATATTTTGTTATAGGTACCTGTGCTTTTGACAGAAAGTAGATCTGGAGGAGAGTGTTTAAGCAATGGGATCTGATTAGACATAATAGTTTAGTGGGATAGAATTTGTGTAGTGGGTTAGAATTTGAAGATCAGAATTGCAAAGAACATAGATATTCTGATGACTAAAGAACTCAAGCCTGGCTTCTGAGCCTTTAGCAGATCCTGCCCACATAATTCCAAATTCTTCTCTACAATTATGAGGATTCAACACATTAAAAAGATACAGTTAAATCTCCATTGCACATCAATATTTATGTCAGTGAAAGAGAAAATTATCACATAGAATTTGAAGAGGGGAATGGCAAACTATCACATACCTCTAGCCAGAAACAAGCCAACAATACCAGCAAAACCTATGACACCAAGCCTTGGATAAAATCCTGGAGGTGGGGTTTTGAGAAGTTCATATCCTTCTAAAATAAAAATCAGACCGCAGCATATTACACGCCATGTAGTATGTATATATTTTCATAATTTCAATTAAATTTAAAAGTATTATTTGCACATATTTCCAACTACAAATAATTGGTTACAACTACAAGCAACTTTTAATATCCACTTATAACCCACTTTTCCTCCAAGGAGCTCAGGACAGCATACATAATTTCCCCACATTTTATTCTCAAAACAATTCTATGAGGTGGGTTAGGATGAGAGGCAATGTGGGGATTTGAACCTGGCTCTACCCAGCTTTTTAGTACCTGTTGCACACCTTATCAAGCCAGATTTTATTTTGCAAAATCAATCTGAAGGTTCTGTGTATATAATCATATACACTGTTATACTTACTAAAAAAAAAATTAATGTACTCAGTTCTAATTTGTATGAATAAGGGATGGGTGAATTTTTAGAAATGTGGCTGTGCAAGGTTGCCAAAGTCAGGGAAAACAAGATCCAGTTGCACACAGCTAAAAACAGGACTTTGTTTTAAGGATAACATCAGATTAAAGAAAAACAACATTCCTTGGGGGATGAAACTGCATGTTCCAGAACAGCAGTGCCAATTTGCCTAGACCCTAAAGGCACTATGATAAGGACAGAGATTATGGCCTTTGAGTCATGTAGTCAGAAAAGACCTTGAAACCCTGAAACCTAGAAGCATTCAGATGGGGATCTGAAAGATGCTGCAAGAATCTTGCAAGCTCAAAAAAACATTCCAAGTTGATGTTGCAATCCAAAGAATATCTGCAATCAAGACTATGTCACATAACCAAAAGATTGAGCTAAGAGTATAAGAATTAAAAGAAAAGTTATAAGAGTAGCCATTTGCCCAAAAGATCTCTGCGGAAGCCCAGTGAGCACTATGGAGCTTCCACCTTGTCCTCTTTGTGCTGCTAGAATGGACATCTATTTAGGCAAAGAAACAATCTCTGGTAACCATTCTTGCAGAGCAAATGTAAATGTGCTGTTTTATTGAGAGCTCTTGAGTAAATGAAATTCATACTTTCAAAAATTGGAACCAATGTCTTAGTCTCTATGCACTTCATTGGAAGTTCTTAAGCAGAGGACGGATGGCCAATCGTCAGGGATGCTTTAGATGAGATTCCTGCATTGCAGGGGGTTGGACAAGATGACCTCAGGGTTCCTTCCAATTCTACAATGCTATGATTCAGGAATGTACAATTATTTACCATTTACCATTTTCTGACCCTATCTGGTATCAAACAGGGTATTGCTGTATTGCTACAGCAGTAAGGGACGATTCCTCAAGGTGTAGCTTATCAGATTCCTTTATGTGCAGTTTTCTCCAGCATGAACCCTTTAAAAATACATTTGCAATAAGCATTCTGTTCTGTTGTACAAAGCACATGACTGCTTTTCTATCATCCATGGTTAGTTAGCTGCAGCCCTGGGATTGACAAGCATTTATGAACTAAGCCCAAGAACAGTGGGCCAGAGTAATTTGGGGAGGGTAAAGGGAACTGGTAGTCTGAAGTTAGATCAAGGTACAGTATTAAGCGATAAATATTCTCTCTTCCATTTCTCTACATTTTTAAAAAGCAAATGTAATCTAAATGAAGAGTTTTTGAGAACTTGCTACAATTTTGGCTGATCCTAAGGAAAGTACTGCCCAACGGTGGATTTCATCATTCTTTCTGTTTTTTAAATCATTTAAACAGTTTGAGAGAGAAAGAATAGGATTCTTTTAGCTTAAGGGTTTTTATTTTTTAATGACATACATGGAAAGGTAGTATATGACTATACTGTTTCCAGTAGGTGCAAATGACACAGAGGGGGGGAGCTAGCAAGAAAATGGCATGGAGGGAAGGGTTAGAAACCATAGTTCCCATTGTCCCACAGTTCCTTTTTGTAAAAAGATCATTACAGACAACTCCATGTTAATGTCTAATTTGATCCTCAGTGATGTTATCTAAATAAATATCCTTTTGTTTTGTATAACCTATTCACTATTAGCTTATGGTTCAAAGTCCAAAGTGCATTATGCCCCTGAAGAGATGCATTTTGAGATCTTTTGTTTTGCACTTTCACTGAATCCTTTCTTGTTTGACCATTATTTGAAGCAGAATAAGGAAGACTTTTGTTTCGTTTCTAATAGGTCTCTTATCTTCTTATAACCACATTGTTCCGAGCCTAATACGCTCCAATAAAACCAAATACATTGCAGCAAATAAATATGCAGCAATTAACTGGTGCCTCGCCTCACTGTACAGCCAAGATGGAGAAATACAATGCACATCTAGAAAGTCATGACAATAAAGAACAGAAACATTTCCTTGTTTAAACAGGAAATGCTGAAAAGACCGGGGTTCCTTTACAGAGAGAAAGAGAACCCAGGGCTGCGTATCTTCTAATGCTTCAGTATAGGTATAGAAGCATCAAAACCTATTATTTCAACATAGCCTTAACACAGAATTCAGGTATCTTGTTGCCCCCTAATGCTTCCCATCTCCCAGCCTTTCCTTGTAGCATATCAGACCCATCATTGCCATAATGTTCTTGGAGAGGAGGGAATTAAGACCTGCAGTGACAAACTACAGTAAGCTGAGAAAAGTACATTCCTGCATAACTTAGGCAAAGATTTGAAAGTTGTAGTAAAAATGGTGTTAATTATAATCAGCATACTGACAACAAAACAACCACTGTAATGGGCTCAGTATGAGTAGGCCCCCACAGGATCTCATTATGGGTAACCTTTGGTGTGATGTGCCTATAATAAATGAGACCTTTAAGAGGGCAGAAATAAGCAGCTTACATGGCTAGTTTCCCCTTGAGCAGAATGAGGCAGCTGCTTTAGCAACGTTCAATACAGCTGCAATCATACAGATTATGTAAAACTGTTTTTATAATCTTGCTACTACTTAACCACATCTGATTTAGTTGTAGGAACTATCAATGGATCTTACCTCTGCCATATTCAGCTGCTTTTTCTACTTTGGGCATGGCTTTGTCAGAAAAACCCTAGAGATGGGAACAACAGTGATAATTGCTACTGTTTTTCATCAAAGAAGATAATGAAGCCGTTTGTAAGCACCTAGTGGCATTACAGGTATTCCAAAGCAATTTAAAATGGTTTCTATATAGATCATATCTCTATATACCGTATTATACTGTGTTGTAGGCTAGCCAGTAACACCAGGCTTGCTATAGAATGTCTACCACACACAGGAAGGAATGTAAGCTAGTGATTCCTCATTTCTAGGTGTCTCTAAATGGTCCTGTCATTTGTACAGGCACACTCCAACCACTTTATTTCAAGAAGGCAATCATGGCAACCTAGAGCCTTCTTGAGTCTGCATGTGTGTGATTTGGGTCGGGGAGCAGACAAGTGCACTAGCTCAAGCCCCTTCCTCTATTTCTGTAACCTTACAACTCATGTCTCACTCTACTCATCAGACTGACCTAATGAGGAGGGGGGAGAGGAGCTCTCCATTCCCATATCTGAGGCAGCAATTCCTGAATCCTGACTGAGGTAGCTTCCCTCACTTCTCACTTTTTCTGATATGGAAGGCAAGAGGAGACTTTAGGAAGTCAAAATGCTCAAATGTCCTGGCTACTGCTTTCCGACTTCTTAGCCAGGGTGGGAACAAAGAAAGAGATCAAATCCTGCACAAGCACTACACAGTGCACCTCCCAGCCAATGGTCTAGGGGGACAAGGCTAGTCCCCTGAATGTTCCCCATGCACCTCCTTCCCAAAGCCTGGGAAGCTTCTGCCCAGCTTAGGGTGGAAGGTGTGATGCTCAAGGGTCCAAGAGCCACCCCGGCTTTGAGAAGGAGGCAGGAGGGCTCCAGCATCCTATCAGAACCCTGGTGCCTCCTTCCGAAAGCCTGGGAAGCTTCTGCCCAGCTTAGGGAGGAAGGCACGATGTTCATGCATGCAACGTCAGGATGTCACAATGTCACACGCGTGATGTGCTGCCCCATCGCCCTTGCAAGCTGGTGCCTCTAGCTCCAGCTGTTCCCCTACGAAAATTTTCATAGAGAAATCCCAATGAAAATCCTTGTTATTATTTATTTTACATGGCTGTTTATTTGTATATATTTTAAAATTTTATATATGGATGTTTTATGATGGCTTATACTTGTAATGCCTAATAAAGGTTTGATGAAAAAGAAAAATTTCACCACATGCCACTGTCCCAGTAATACTCACAACCAGGAAGCAACATGGAAGTGGTACCAAGAATGGTGCCACAGCTGTAAATTAAACCAGAACAACCTGAACCACAAGCAGGATATTACTGGAACATGGCACGTGTCGGCTTAGTTTTTAAAGGTAGGTTAAAAAAACAGGGCTGTGCACAGCCCCATCAGCCATGACCACAATCACCAGGTCCCAAATCAGGACACTCTATCCAGAACTACCTGCACCACCCTAGAACTGGCCCCAAAGTAGTTCAGGTGTAGGGCTTATGTTTATTTGGTTAAAAACAACAACACCAAAGCCTAATTAAACATACAGCCATGAGAGGCAGAGGAAGGAAGCAGAGAGCGGGGGTGTCAATTTGGTGGGGCACTGCTTTATAAGTGCCCCACAAAAGGGGCACCCTGCAGGAAGAAAACTCTGGCAGTGGGCTCCATCCTTTTTCTTGGCTCAGGCCTTGACCAAATCCGGCGCACAACCCTATTAAAAAAATCTGCCAGCACCACCAAATTGCAGGTGGTCTTGGGGGGCCCTAAAACCAGAGGAGTGTATGGAAGCTTCAGTAACAAGACTGGGAGATTAAAATGTAAATGCACTGGCCATTAGCTTATCTGGACTACAACCTGTTTGTAGAATTCTTATACTTGCATCTCCACAATCTGAAATAATTAACTGTTAAAGCTTAGTCTCATTATGAATTTAAACTCTATAAAGCTCCTATTAACTGTACCCCTCAGCTTACAACCCGAAAACTCCATTAAGAGAACTTCCTTCAACAAAGAACAAATTGGGCAGTTTCAAGCACATTCATTACAGGTGCTAAGTAACATGTGTTAACACTCAATTTGTGTCTGAAACCAAACAAAAACTAGGTCAGATAGCTTGTCAGGCAAATCTGTATTTAGAAAATGGTAGAATTACTTCAAGACAGCATATCCTGGCAAAATGATGATATGGGGACGTCTGTATCAACAGTTAGTATGCAAGAGAACTGGTTCTACTCATGGGAAGTTCTGGAATGAGATCTTCATGCTAGTATGAATTCATCAGTTGCCAGGACTCTCAATGACATATTACATACTGCTATACCTGAAACCAGGCTGTGTATGGCTCCAAAGATTGCCTCACATAACAGATACCTTCCTCCAACTGTGTATGCCTATCTTCCACATACTTTGATTTTGGTGATGGACTAGTATAGAGTGAAAGCTGTGAACAACAGAAAACACAAAGTTACTTGCTATTGTCAAATTATTCCACAATAATAAACATTAAGTAGTACTGCATTACTTCAGGACATCAATGTGTATGCAGAATAATTGCACCCCAGAAAGAGGAACCTTCTTAATGGCCACATTGAAACTGGGTGCTGGCTAACCGAAAACAATTGTTTACAAAGACAACAGACTCTTACCTCATCAACTTTCAGTAAGTTCTTTTTAGATGCATCATTCTCAGGAGCAGCGGCATAAACTTGTACAGAAAGGAAGCTTAAACTAGCAGGAACAGCCATCAATTGCTTTACCTAAATATGATGAAAACATTTATATTTTATGGGCTCAAGTGGAATTATATTGCACATCCCATATGCCTAATATACATGCAGCTAAAAAAGCCAGGGTGTTTATCAGAAGTGTGTAGTTAGAAAACCCTGTCTACTGTTACCAATCTACATTTTTGTCAGTATCTCTGTTTGCATTTCTTGAGGATAGCATGTCAATAACGTTTCTGTTTTCAGTTAAGCCTGAACTGGAGCACAGTGGAGGCAAATCAATATTTTCTGATAAGCTTCCATGGAAATCTAGCTTGAAAAGCTGTGCTTTCAATTCCTGACACTCAGCAGCCATCAGAAATGAAACTGTCCATCATTTCTGTAATTGTTTATTGTTATAAATAAATATTAATTACCAAAGAAGAGAACACACTAACCTTCAGAGGTTAGGGAAATTAGCTTCTTTGGAGATAATCTGTAAATACCAATACCAACATGTTTGCTCCAATAAATTTAGGAATGAGGCAATATGAATAGAGCACACAAATTATATAAATGTCTGACGGCATAAGGACTACAAACAATTTGTATTGCTCTTCCAAGAATTTTAAGCCACCCATATTCAGAACAATGGTCAGGCATCACTTAAAGAGAAAGAAAAGCAGTGTGTGCAGAGCCTTGTTTGTCTAGATCCTTGTTTGTCTACCATAATAAATTGGGCGGCGGCAGGGGGGGAGAGAACACTTGGGAGACAGAGAAACTTTATGTGCACACTTGAGTTCCCACATGGCATTGCTGAATTTGAGTGAACACTGCAAATAGAAATCATACTATCATTAACATGTTCTCTTAAAATAAACAGATGCCTAAAACAGAACAACACTTCAATCTTCACCAGGTTTTCTATGGTTGCCACCCAGTGCACTTTTATTTGGAATTAAGCACCACTGAAGTTGGGGAGGGGAATTTTTTCTGTAAACATGCATATGATTATAATGTAGAACACAAAGCTCTGCAAATGCTTAGTACTGAAAATGGCCCAGAAAGTTTAATTTATACTTTTAACTGTTAATTTATAGACTATCTAGTGTGCATAGTGTTTTATCACAAGGAAGGCATTTAATAGCCTCTATTTTACAACCATGTTCAAAACTACCATTGAATTATTTATTTTGTTCCACAAAATGTATTTACTTGATTGTACTGAAACCACAGTAGTTAAATTAGCAACGAAGATAGAATAACAAAGTCTTCAAATCCAAGAGTTAAGAGCATATGCATTTTTATTCCACAAATTAATTGGTTAGGAATATGAATTACATCAAATACAGTTAAGTGAAAAAACAGATCATGATTTTTTTTGACAATTACATTGTTAATTAACATACAAAACACCTTTCTATTTCACAAAGCTTGGTCCTATAGCTCCCCCTGTAGAAAGGCAGGATGTATAACCCTAGAAAACTAGCAACTACTGTACTGTATTTTCAAACACCTGAATATAAACTGAAACATTTAAGAAACATACAAATCAACAAGCAATGCTCCTCTGATGAGGGATGAGTAGTTACTCCTATAACAGATCCGAAATAAGTTTCATTGTCCCTCTGTATCAGAAGCAAAACTTCACTCAGGTTTGTAGGCATTGTGAATTCTAATACAAATTACATGGCAGACCCTCTTCCTTTTTAAAAAAATAATAATAGTTCCATATATTGTTTGCCCCTACAGTATCCCATGCAAAACGGCAAAAGCAAAGAGGCTTGTAGCACCTTAAAAACCAACGGATTTATTATGGCATAATAAAACATCTGTGCATTACAGTTCACTTCATGATGAGTTACTTACCGTATTTTTCGCCCTATAGGACGCACCGGCCCGTAGGACGCACCTAGATTTGGGGGGTGGGATTTTTTTTTCCCCAGGCGCGGGGCTGGGGCGGGGGAAGCCCAAGCTTCCCCCTCCGCCAGCCCCCAGAACGGGACCCAGAGCCATTCCGAAGCTGCGCGCAGCTTCGGCATCGCTCTGGGAGCTTGCGGGGCTGGGGGAGGGGGAAGCCCTCCGCCAGCTTCCAAACCAGGTCGGGGGACAGCGGGAAAGGCGCGCTGCGCCTCTCCCACTGTCCCCCGAGTTTGTGGGGCTGGCGACGGGGAGGACAGGCTTCTCCCCCCCGCCAGCCTTCTAACCAAGTCGGGGGACAGCGGGATGGTGGCGTTCCGCCTCCCCGCTGTCCCCCGAGCTTGTGGGGCTGGCGGTGGGGCTCTCCTGAAGCCTGGAGAGCGAGAGGGGTTGGTGCGCACCGACCCCTCTCGCTCTCCAGGCTTAAGCGAAAGCCTGCATTCGCCCCATAGGACGCACACACATTTCCCCTTCATTTTTGGAGGGGAAAAAGTGCGTCCTATAGGGCGAAAAATACGGTAATCTATTCATATGTAAACATAGGCTCAGAAGTCCTACTGTATTCTATGGTGTTTACTCCACACGAAGTGGTGTTAGGAATGCAACCTCCATCTTTGAAGGTGATAAAGGATTCTCTGGTTGTGCTACGAACTAAGGCTGCATCCCTACAGCCACTTACTTATCTGAGAGCACGTCTCACAGAATTCAATGGTATGTACCTCTGATTTGACGTGTGCAGGATTGCACTATAAACGGCCCCTCTGCAACAAAAGACTACAATCCTAAACTCGCTTGGGAGTAAGCGCCATCAAAATGCAGACGATTTAGTCGTTTTAAAAAGCCTGCTAGGAACTCTGCTAAAAAATGAACACTGACAGGGGAACATCATCACTGGGGTTTTTTTTATCGCCATATGCATACAGTGGTACCTCGGGTTAAGTACTTAATTCGTTCTGGAGGTCCGTTCTTAACCTGAAACTGTTCTTAACCTGAAGCACCACTTTAGCTAATGGGGCCTCCTGCTGCCGCTGCAGCCCGATTTCTGTTCTCATCCTGAAGCAAAGTTCTTAACGTGAAGCACTATTTCTGGGGTAGCGGAGTCTGCAACCTGAAGTGTCTGTAACCTGAAGCGTATGTAACCTGAGGTACCACTGTACATCTAATTGAGCCGTTAGCACAAGATCGCATTTAGATTATTTTCTAAATGGGAGGGAAGAGGTGATTTGCGCAAGTGCTAAAACACGAGTTGAACTCCGTATTATATTGGCCCAACATCGAGAGGGCTCCCTACGTGTACGGGAGGAAGATTCGGAATTAGAAGAGCAGTTCTCTCTCCGGTCCACCTCGCTCCCAACCCCCCCCCCCCAGCGGAGCCCAAACGGCCACACAAAAGACAAAACTGAAGAGGTCGGGGCTGCTACCACCAGCACGCGCAAACCTCCGTCTACACCCCCTTTTTTAAAAAACCGCCGCGATTGACCGGCATGTTTCCATGGCAACCGCGCGGTAATACGCGCGCGACGCCGACCGTAACAGCGCAAGGGCGCGCGCGCACACACAAACAGTTCGAAGTGGCGCGCAGCGAAACAGAGCCGGGGCTGGGTGCGGAGGAAGAGAAAGAAAACTAACCACAGTGATATCGTTCAATTCCCTCCTCAAGAACTACCGGTGAAACTTTCTCACCTTGAACATGCCGAGGACAGCACCGCTGCTGGAGTGCGGCGCGGCGGCAATGACGCACAAACCGCGCGCCGCGGACGGACGCCAGAGAGGCACCAGCGCGACACGAGGGAAGGGGGAGGAGGGACGTCGCGCGGGATTGGTGGGCGGTGCCCAACTTGGCTTCCGGTCGCGTTGCGCGTCCCTGTTGCTAGGCGACCGGCGAAAGGAGTTCGACTGCGGCGCCTGCGGGCTCTTGAGTCGAGGATGGCCACGATATGGAGCAGGAGCTCTCGCCTGGCAGGATCCAACAATGACAGCAGAGTAAAGCGGAGGTAAGGGCGTCGGATAAGCTGGGAGCCTGGCTCTGGGCTGAATGTGGGCTGTGCTTTTCCAATTCTACCGTGAATTTGTTAAGGATAGAGCAGAAGGAGGTGGCCGTGCGGGTTTCGTGTGGGGGCTTTTACCATCCGCATGTGAGGCAGGCGCTCAGTAAATGTAGCTTTCCCCACGTGCTGAATTTCCGCCTCACCCAACTGTTAAGGAAACGAGAAAGAAAACGATTTACACACATGTAAAAGCCTCTCTGAAAATGCTTTTTTAAAAAATACATTGAGCTTTCCATAAGCCTCACCATTGCCATCTTGTGTCATGTTGTATATTGCACTTGAAACACGCTTAAAACGTTTTATTTGCAGCTGTATAGCTGGCTGGATCCCTAGTCTAAGCATACCACGGATTTAAGTCCCAAACGGTCGGCTTCTGACGTGTTTGCAGGGGGAACATAACGTAACACATTGAAAAGTTTGTGCAAGTTGGAAAAACCTAATCAGTCTTTAAGTACGAATATGGATCTGTGTGGACTCTGGCCCCCAAACAACAAGGGTTGAACAAATAAAACAGCTTGTTTTGTGAGCAGTTTTCTGACAAATATATGTTCTTTTATGGCTCACAAACATTGGCCTGGAGAGCACAGTTTAATTTATGTTGAAGGGTGCCACCTTTTTGATGGTCAGAAACCAGTACAGTGGTACCTCTGGTTACGTACTTAATTTGTTCCGGAGGTCTGTACTTAACCTGAAACTGTTCTTAACCCGAAGCACCACTTTAGCTAATGGGGCCTCCCGCTGCTGCTGCGCCGCTGCTGCTCGATTTCTGTTCTCATCCTGAAGCAAAGTTCTTAACCTGAGGTACTATTTCTGGGTTAGCGGAGTCTGTAACCCGAAGCGTATGTAACCCGAAGCGTATGTAACCCGAAGTACCACTGTATTAGAAACAGAGATGTGACAGCTAGGAGCTAAATGGCACCTTAAACCCAGGTTATGGGGGCAAAAACAGAATGTTTCGGCGTGCTTTTTTTATAACAAGAATACAAAACTGTAAATGAATGAATTGCTGCTAAATCATGTTCATTTTTCACTTGGTCTAGTCCTTCCCCTGCCCACCCCCCTAATATTTTTAAGAGGGTCTCTTCTCCATCCTTCAGAGAGTAGCTGGAAGTGGGGAGGCAGAAAAAGGTCTTCCTTTCCTTCCACTCTGCAGGTTCAACCTGAAATCTTAGGCGCAGTACTGCACCCAAAGCTCAGACTGCTTGCACTAATGAAATTCCCTCTTTCAAAATGCGTCTAGGACAATGGGAGTTTCAAACATTGTCAGAAACTTTGTGTCTGTAATAGCTGCAAAACAGAAAGCAACAGGGAAGCTCTTTCCAGCATGTGGGTGCAGGCTGGGGCAGAGCTTGTATGAGGCCTGGGGTGTAAAGGTTTTGTTAGGGTAAAGTTATAAACTCAAACAGCATAAGTTTGGCAGGCCCCTGGCGGACCTACCCTGGCTGTCATAGCTCTCTGAGGTCCAGGACAAGTGTACCCAGCTGTGCACTCTTCCTCCCTGTATGGGCCTGTGGGGATGTACCGTATTTTTCGCCCCATGGGACGCACTTTTTCCCTTCCAAAAATGAAGGGGAAACGTGTGTGCATCCTATGGGGCGAATGCAGGCTTTTGCTGAAGCCTGGAGAGCGAGAGGGGTCGGTGCGCACTGACCCCTCTTGCTCTCCAGGCTTTGCACAGCTCTCCGCAAGGCACGGGAGCCCGGCGCTGGGCTCCCACGGCTTGCGGAGAGTTGCCTGTTCTGGGATCGGGGGAAGCTCGGGCTTCCCCCGCCCCAGCCCCACGCCTGGGGGGGAAAATAAAATTTATTTCCTTTATTTTTCCCCCAAAAAACTAGGTGCGCCTTATGGGACGGTGTGTCCTATAGGGCAAAAAATACGGTAATTGATTTCTGGCAATAATTTTAAGTTCCAGTCACCATAGTCTGGTAACTTTCACTTTATTCCACCAGGTCTCATCCTGACACAGCAGCAAAAACTATTCAGAAGGCATGGTGGAGTCACACAAGGCTACGGTTGTATAGACTCATGAAACATACAATTCGGGCAGCGGTATGCTCTTGCATGTGGTTTGGGCTGACTAGATGTAGTCCTGTAGTTTAATGTGTCATTTAATAAGTGGTTTCCCTTTGTATGGATGCATTGAGCAATAGAAACAAGCTCTGGCTTGCAAGGGGTATCCCTCAAGGTATCATTAATATATTTGTTTTGCTTGCAACAGTATACACACAAATATTCCAAAGCCAGCAGGGACCCAGGGATAATGCTTTCATGCTCTCTGTCACCGTTGGCAGTAAGTAGAAATCTGCTAACACAAAGGGGCTGGGCTGTGTGGTGTAGGAGGAAGGCCCACCAGAAAGTTGCTGCATCCTAAATTACTGAGGAGCAAGAATTGATTTTTGGCCATTTCCCCATCAGGAATAATTATTGCTCCTGAAAGTAAAACAATACACATTAAGAAGCTCAGAAGTGGGCCACAACTGGTTTAAGATTTTAAAGGTCTAACCAGCACAGTGAATTGAGGCCAGAAATAAATTGGTAACCAATGCAGAAGGCTACTATATTAGATAATATAATTGGAGTCAAAACCATAGTAGATGCATTTGTTTGAAGTTTTCCAACCATCTTCAGAGCAACTAAATATAGAGTGCATTACATTACCCTGTATGTGGTTGAAGCATGAGGCCAACCCCAGTTACTCTAGATTGTGCACAAGTTGGTGCACAAACTGAAGTTGATAAAAAGCACTCCTGGCCATTGTTACCACCTGGTTATCCAGGGACCAGCCTGTAACCAGAAGTACACACACAAGCAATCTTCATTACTCTTCATTACTCCCAGTGTTCCATGCCTTTCAAGCCAAATAAGCAAAATAATGACCCAACTGTTACTTTTTTCTAATTTGTCTGAAGATGTGTTGGTTTGCTGCAGACCCTGTAATAGCCAGTGCCTCAACATTCTAGTTGAAGTTAGACGTTGACGGGCACCTGTTCTTTTTCAGACTGAAAGGGTGACTATATAAATGGGCCTTCGACAGAGCGTTGCAGTGTGCCATGTTCCTATTTAGGGTTCTAGTTAGCCATGCATTCTTCCTGCATACTCCATTCTATTACCTTATCCTCCAAGTTTCCATTCCCATCCATATAGACTCTCAACATTCTGTGGTCACTGAGTTTATTTCTTATTTTGTTTTGGGGAGTAGTTGCTGTTTACAAGATGGGTTGTCCTTAGAATTTTTCTTAAAAATAATTTCTACTTCTGTATATTGATGTTTGTTTAAAAACAGTTATACCAGGCAAGTTGCAACAATATAAAATTACAAAATTGAAGTCAATTAAAACACTTCAGAGTTGGAGTCCTGCCCTTCCATAGCATGCTGATACTTCCTTCTTCCTTTACTCATGACCTGGGTTGTGACTGTAATATATTCTACCTTTACTCTAAAATTGTTGCATTTCCGTGCACTCTTGTTTCCGTTATAGTGTTCCGTTGCGCCTGAAGCAGTTTAGTCATGTTGGCCACATGCCCCGGAAAGCTCTGTGGACAAACGCCGGCTCCCTCGGCCTGAAAGCGAAATGAGCGCCGCAACCCCATAGTTGCCTTTGACTGGACTTAACCGTCCAGGGGTCCTTTACTTTTTTTTACCTTCATATGTACATTTTATTGTTATCTGCTCTAGAATTGTTATTCACAGTGAAGAGCAAGGTAGAGATTTATTTTTGCTTTTTCTTGATTTTCCACACGACAAAAAAATTACATTCCAACCTATTTATACAAATCCTTAAATTCCTAACAAAGAGTTATTTTGTTTGAGTCTTTTTCTTAATTTACAAATTCTTAATTTCTCCATATGACTTCCAACCTCCTCACTGAGGGTTCCTCCTTTTTTCTTTTTAATTATCACTGCTTCAGTATGCCTTATTTCTTTTGTTTTGTCTCATATATACTTATTTATTTATTTATTGCAAGATAAAGAGATTTTAAATGCTGCTTTAAAACAAAGCTTGTTGAAAACTCTCTGAGCAAAACATATATTTATTTCAGGAGTACTGCATTACCCATGATATTTTGAAAAGAGTGTGTCCTTTGGAGGCTGAACTTCTTAAAGACCCTACTCTTACGTGCAGAGTTCGATTCAGGTAAAAGTACTACATTTCCATGCCTTGGTTTAATATATTTTGTTTAATTTAACGGTCTCTTTCTTCATCTTTTAAATGTTACTATGTAGGGGTGATTCCAATGGAGTAAGTTTCTTCCAAAGAAGAGTAATTGAGAATGAATTGTTCCTATTGATAAATGAACAAATATATTATTCTACTTTGTGTGGCAGTAGCTTCATAAGAACAGTAGTATACAAGAATCATAAGCATCTCATAGTGATACTTTACTACGAAAAAACACCAATATAGACTCCATGTGAGCAGGCTTATTTTTACTGATGACAGTAACTAAGGCTGCAGTCCTAAGTATATCTTTCTGCTTGATAAGCTGATTTTCAACATGCAGGAGGTGTAGGTAGGTAGGTAGGTAGGTAGATAGATAGATAGATAGATAGGCATTTAGACAGCTTATAGTCTGAAATGATAGAGACTTTACCAAGTGATTTTACTGAACATATACATTTGATCTTATTTCCTTATAACTATGTCTTAGATTGTTGCCTTAAACACACGTGAGTCCCATCCATAGAATTCCATTGACTTGATAGCATTGGCATAGCTGCTGTTAATAGAGGACAGCAAGAGATCTATTTTCACTTCTTCCTCCCAAGATGTGCCAAGACACACTGGTCAGCTATATGTTTAGCACTGTACATTCAATTCTAGTCCAGTGAGGCAAAATGTGTTCTCTGTTCCCAGCAGATAGAGATCCAGAAAGGAAAACATTTTACACACATAGGGTAGAATTCAACATGGTGCTAATTTGATCATTCTGTCAATGCAAGCATTTCATTTCTTTCAGTGCAACCATTTCTTCCTTCATGCACTATTCTGGGGGTTCTACTGACCCAGAGCAGATTTGGGGGAAGAGGAGGGGAAAGCCCCATTGCAATACTGGGAATCCTTGCCCGGGCTTCCACTAGCGAACCAGGTTAGTTAAATCCACCCCATAGACCTGAATTTGCATACAGATTGGAGCTAATCCCATACCTTTCAAGAAAACATACTCTTAACATGTGTTTGGGATTAAGGATATAATTCGTTTGATTGTCTTTGTTAAATAAAACCACAGGTGGATTTTTAAAACATCGCCAATCATCTTATTTAAATTAGAACTAAAGTGAAAACAGTCACTTCCATTGCCAAACATTAAATAAGCTGTTTAATAACAATAGGTAATTAAGTTCTGGTGTTTCCCCTCCCTTCAGATTAGCTGGATCTGACTTCCCCCCTTTCGTTGTGTTCAAGATATTTTGCAAGTCAAGAGACCAAAACACCCATTACATCACTGGGAAAAGCGTAATAACAGCAACAAGTGAGGTAACCTATTGGATTATTTTTTTTAAATGTTCTGTATCATCTGTTACTTAAACTTGATACTATAATAAGTTCTTTGTATTTAAAACACTACCATTCTTTACTTATGCTAACTTTACACCAGCTGTGAGGAATCAGAATTGTAGAGTTGGAAGGGATCATGAGGGTCAACAATTCCAACCCCCTGCAACGCAGAAATCTCAGCCCATGGGCCTAAGTAGGCCAAGCAGAGATACTAATTTAGCCAGTGAGGAAGTCAAAGTACTGGGAACCTTGGGAGGAAATGATCGTGTTCTCTTGGGTTTCATTATATAGAAGCAAGGAAAAGCTGAGTATAGTTGGATACCCACTCTGAACTTGAAGGCTGATTTCAGAAATCTTAAGGAACTACTGAGTGAAATGCCATAGTCAGAAATACTTAAAGAGAAGGGAGTCCAAGATGGATGGGAGTTTCTTAAAGGTGAAATATTGAAGGCACAAATGCAGACAATTCCAACAAGAGCAAAAACAAGGGTCCAGAAACCAAGCCTGATGAGGAACAGTTGAGGGAATTGGGTATGATTAGCCTGGAAAATTAGAGACTGAGAGGAGACAAGATAGCTGTCTTTAAATATCTAATGAGTTGTCAAATGGAAGATTGAGCAAGCTTGTTTTCTTCTGCTCTGGAGGGTAGGACTCGAAGCAATGGCTTCAAATTCAAAGAAAGGATTTTCCGACTAAACATCAAGAAGACTTTCTGACATAAGACCTGTTTTGACAGTAGAACAGTCTCCCTCAGGAGGTGGTGGACTCTCCTTCCTTGGATGTTTTTAAGCCAAGGTTAGATGGCTATCTAACATATGCTTTACTTGAGATTCCTGCAGTGCAGGAGGTTGGACTAGATGACCCTTGGGATCACTTCACCTCTACAATTCTATGATTCGTTAGAATTTTTTGAGTTCTTAGTGTTACTGGTTCTAAGACATCACAGTTAGTGTACAGATTGCATCAATACCTGCTTCTTCACATTGTGTTTGAATTTACTGTTTGAAATTGTACCCTGCACTTCACATAGTAAGTGGTGTATAATAAAATATTAAGAATATTATAAACTTACTGTATGATGCACACACTTTGTACGGAGAACATATTCATGCTGTTCTTCCCTCTCAAAAACTGATGTGGGTGCATGTAACACTTAGCTCATGATGGAAAGCAGGATGCAGATACATTTCCTTCATGAGACTAAGATTATTTTCCACTAAGCTTCTGAACCGTGCCTTAGAAAATGCATCATCAAGCTCCTATAAAATTTTCAGATACAAAATTGATGCACTTTTGATTATAATGGTATAATCAGGCTGAGCTTTGTCTTGAATGCATGAGGATTTCAGAATGGCGATTTAGGGTAGAGTTACAGTGACACTGAGGATCTTTCTATATTTTCTTATGATTGATAGGCGGCTGTTGATGCTTGCAAGTTAATGGGATACCGGACGTATTATAATCAGATGCTGCAGGATGAACTTCAGCATAAGAAATACGGAATAACAGAGGAGTTGGATGTGGCTACAATAAGAGACCACGTACAAGTAAGCAATGCTTATGTTCTCCACCCCTTATGCCATAATTAATTACAGTGGTACCTCAGGTTACATACGCTTCAGGTTACATACGCTTCAGGTTACAGACTCCGCTAGCCCAGAAATAGTGCTTCAGGTTAAGAACTTTGCTTCAGGTTGAGAACAGAAATCGTGCTCCAGCGGCAGCAGGAGGCCCCATTAGCTAAAGTGGTGCTTCAGGTTAAGAACAGTTTCAGGTTAAGTACGGACCTCCGGAACAAATTAAGTACTTAACCTGAGGTACCACTGTAATTAATCTGATAATGAAAAAGACCGAACACGTGGGAAGGGTTGGAGGAGGGAATGAATGAGACCAAGACCTGCTTTCAGTCTCACCTGGGAAGAGGTTTGGAGGAAGATCTGAACAGCCCCAAAGTCTACTTAAATACAACACTAGTAAGAGCAAGGCAATAGCATATTACACACACACTGTAATTATATTTGTGTATTTGTAAAATTCAGTTAAATAATCAATCCAGGCAACAGATCCTATAGAAAATATTATGTTAGCAGTAATAATATACAATGCAACCCTACATATGTTAGAAGTTAAGTTCCACTGCATTTAGAGGGACTTACTTCACAGAATTGGAGCCTTTAGATTCATTTTCTTGGCTGATAAAATGGAAGAATTGCAGTAAAGGGGGTAGTTTACAAAAGATAACCAGAGAATCCTAGTACAACTTTTTCATACATATTGTTCTTTCATGACTGTCTAGTATAGCAATCTCATGGATGAGGTTCCAGCATACTACGGCGGCAGACATAACTGCTGGAGAAGGCTGTCTTTACATGACTTTCCCAGATCAATGATTGTGTATGACATCATGGACTATGCACAGTCTGGGAAGCTATCTACCAGACTTAGGATGGAATTGCCATTTCTGCTGCTGAGGCCACAGAATGAAGAAACGTGTCGTGCTCAAATCATGGCTATTTGTCAAATCAGGTAAATCAGAGCTTTCCAAACTCCTCATGTTGGTGACACACTTTTTAGACATGCATCATTTCACATCATAGTAATTCAGTTTTACTAGTAAACTGCAGATTAAACTAACCCCTTTCCAGCCACCCAATGTGTGCTGCTTTTTAATAATAATAAAACACAGATGTAGCACCTGCACTCCCGTATCCTGAGACAGATGAGGGAAGGCTGGCAGCCAGACTTCTTCTATTCACAAAGCCACTAAAGCAGCAGGCCTTGTGAGATACATTGTGTACCGTAGGCCTGATTCTGCATTCTGGGAAACCAGTTTCAGCATGATCCTGTCCCAGAATTTATGCCCAGCAGACAGAACAGGATCACTCTTAAATCCCACTCTCCCATCAGAGTCCCAAGATACACTGGCACAGTAAACTCACAACAGCAGGCAGAGACTTACCACCAAGGCAACCTTTATGCCAGCTGGAGCCCAGAAGCACAAGGGGATGGGGAATATGAAAGAGTGTTGTGGGAAGAATAGGTTGCTCAAGAGGGGCTTTTTTAGGAAAGCAGCTGTGGATAACCACAACTCTAAATGGCTCATTTGCAACAGTCCAAATTCCATGCTGCTGGTTACATAGATAAGTAGTATAAAGAGCTATGAAGCCTTATAAAGAGCTATGAAGCCTTCTGCTCAAACATTAAAAGTTGCAGTCAACCACATTTCACAGACCGTCATAGAATTATTCCGAAGGACCAGTTTCGGCAAATGCTTAATGAGCATTCTGCATACTTAATGAGAAAAATCATTAAACATGATGGCCTAAATTTTATCATCATCATCATTTTTATTCGACCGTCAGTCAGAAAAAAGTACATTTTGTCAATACACAGTTAAAAACATCCAGGAAGATTTTAAAACTTAGCCAACACTGAAATGGGCTAAACAGATAGCCCCATATCAATACAGTCAATTATAGTCTTGCGACGCTTAAAAGCTAAGAAGAGAAATTTGGCCACCAAGGAAGGTATAGCTCTAGTGGTGTTATTCAGCAAGTGTAAAACCTGGTTTTCTCCGGGTAGGAAGCTGAATTGACATGAGAGTGGGTCTATAAAATTTTGTCTAAGCTCTGCATAGGAAGGGCAAGTCAAGAGAATGTGTTCGGTGGACTCAACCACACCCATGGCACAATGACAGGTTCTCTGGGCGTATGGTACTCCCCTGTACCTTCCCCACAATATCGCAGAGTCAAGGACATTTAATCTAGCCGCTGTAAGAAGTCTACGGTATTCCACATAGTGGATTTCTGCAAGGTAGGGGCTGGTATGGTCCGATAAATCTGGTCCCCTAGGAACATCCCTGGTTTTACCTGGGCTATGTCCTCTTGTCTGGCAATGTCACTCAGTCTCCGGGAGATCACAGCTCTAGCTTGATTGTACGTCATGGACTCAAAGTAAAGGAGAGACAATCCGCAGGATTGAACCTCATTAATGACCTCCCTTTCCCACGATGATTGGAAATCGTCCCTCAATATCAAGGGGGGCAATACCCACTGGTTTAAAACAAAGCTTGAGCCATAGCCAGAGCTTCGTCTTCAAGGCCACATACCTTAGAGCTTGCCAGCCGACCTCTAATCTCATAACCGCACCCGCTACCGAGGGGGGAATCCTAAGGATGGCTCTAAGGAATCGCGTTTGGATAGAATCCAGTTTCAAAAATCCCTACGGGAGCCTAAAGAGATGCCCACCAAAAGAAGGGGAGGACTTTCATTTGAAAGAGTCTCAAAGCTATCTTGATTGATTGAGCCTGATTCTTAGCATATAGAGATCTAATCTGGATGGCTGCTTTAGATGCGTTAGTTGTTATATCGTCTCTATGGGCCAGAAAAGACCTATTTGACCGTATTACTTGTCCCAGATGTTTAAAGCAGTTAACCTGCTCTAGGGGGATCCCGTTCATCGACCATCGATGGAGTCTCGGTCGGGCAGAGAAGACCATGATCTTGGTCTTAGCATAGTTGGGTTGGAGCTCATGCTGATCACAGTATTCATGTAGAGCTTGCAACATTCTTCTCAGTCCAATGCTGATCACAGTATTCATGTAGAGCTTGCAACATTCTCCTCAGTCCAATAGGGGATCTGGCAAGAAGTGCGGCGTCATCCGCATACAGAAGAACGTTCAGAGATCGGCCTGCTAATTTGGGGGGGTGGAAAGCATCATTTTATATACACACACACAATATTCCCCACCCCTCTGGCTGGGTTTCCCCAGCCACTCTGTGCGGCTCCCAACAAAATAATAATAATAATACAGTCATACCTCGGGTTAAGTATGCTTCAGGTTGAGCGTTTTCAGGTTGCATTCCACGGCGACCCGGAAGTAACTGAACGGGTTACCTCCGGGTTTCACCGCTCACACATGCGCATACACTCAAAATGATGTCACACGCATGCGCAGAAGCGGCAAATCACGACCCGCACATGCACAGACACGGGTTGCATTCTGCTAAGGATGCAAACGGGGCTCCGGAACGGATCCCATTCGCATCCAGAGGTACCACTGTAAAGACAATGTCCATGACTGATATGGAATGGAATGTTTATTTGAAGGCAGGTGTTCCCCCTTCTGGATATAGATAAGCATTGCTCTGGCCTCAGCTGTCCACTTACAGCTCTTAGTTTATACATTATTTTATTTTATTATATATTATGATCTAAACAATTACATATCATGTTTAGTTTTATAGCAGCTATGTATTTAAAGGGCTTTCCATGTAATGCTAAATGGCTCAGCTCCCATTAATTTATTTTTTAACATGATTTCAATGTAAAAGATATTTGCGATAGTTTCAGTATTTTGATAATATGATACAGAAGTGTATTTTCATATTGCTTTGGTTTTGTTGATTTAAATGTTTCATTGTGTCAGTGGAAAATATATTCGTTTAATACTGACAACAAATGTGCAAGCATTACAGTGCAGTTATGACCACTCATTCATACTGGTGAAACCTAATGCTGCACCCATTAAAACATTTTTAAAGTTGTAGTCCTATGCACACTTAATTGGGACTAAATCTAGATTAACTTGGGGGCGGTTTGTTGAATAGGCATGCCGAGGATTACACTGTAAAGTAGGAATTTCCTTATTCTATAGTGAATGCTGATAACATTTTAATTCTGTACAATTGTGTGGGGAAATTGTTTAAAACATTGTTTTCCCCCCAGAACTCCACCACAAATTCCCACAACTGCAGTCTTCTCAAAACTGAGTAGAAAATCAGCACCTAGAACTGGGCGTCGCTCTTACCAAGCTCAGAAGAAGAATGCAAAAATGAGGAAGGCTTATAGCCTTGAGAAACAAAGAGAGGTGAGCATGTTAAAAGAAAAAGAAATTTTCTGATCAAATGCTGATAAATCTCACAGCTAAGATTTTACTAGTCTGTCTTAAAGAGCTTTTATTGTTCCCACTCCCCCTTGGGATGAACTTAATAAGACAGTTCTAAGATTATGACCGGGGTAACTCTACTTGTTCTACATAAAAGCCATCAGAAAAGTGAGGACAACAGCATAACACTATGTCTAACTACCGTATTTTTTGCTCTATAAGACTCACTTTTTCCCTCCTGAAAAGTAAGGTGAAATGTGTGTGCGTCTTATGGAGCGAATGCAGGCTGCGCAGCTATCACAGAAGCCAGAACAGCAAGAGGGGGTTGCTGCTTTCACTGCGCAGCGATCCCTCTTGCTCTTCTGGCTTCTGAGATTCAGAATATTTTTTTTCTTGTTTTCCTCCTCCAAAACCAAGGTGCGTCTTGTGGTCTGGTGCATCTTATAGAGCGAAAAATACGGTAATTGTTCTTGATCACCTATGCTGAGGAACATTTGTGTAACTCACCAAATAAACAGCCCCAAAAAAGTTTGTATTTTACTGATCCTATCATTTTTATTTTGTTTTAATTTTATTAAAAGGCATTTAGACATATTAGAAATCCATCTCCATAATTTTAAAACAACACATTTGTAGCTTTGGCATGCAAAAAATGCAGGAATTAACGTGTTAGTAAGCAACCTCACTTGCTAGATCTCAAGGGGTTGGCTGCAGTCCTTAATTGTAATAGACCTTCTAAAGAAACACCCGGTGTTTGAGATCTACTTCTAACTAAGTGGCAACGCAAAAGGACCCCTGGACAGTTAAGTCCAGTCAAAGACGACTATGAGGTTGCGGTGCTCATCTCGCTTTCAGGCCGAGGGAGCCGGCATTTGTCCACAGACAGCTTTCTGGGTCATGTGGCCAGGAGGACTAAACTGCTTCTGGTGCAACAGAACACTGTGACGGAAACTAGAGTGCATGGAAATGCCGTTTACTTTCCTACCGTAGCGGTACCTATTGATCTCCTTGCACTGGCATGCATTCAAACTGCTAGGTTGGCAGGAGCTGGGACAGAGCAATGGGAGCTCACCCCGTTGCGGGGATTCAAACCGCTGACCTTCTGATTGGCAAGCCCAAGAGGCTCAGTGGTTTAGAAAATAAGCTCTGTTTTAGTAAGTTACATTCTGCAACAAAACCTGCAATAGGGCCCCTATTGAAGGACACCATCCTGGTTGCTGCAACATAGCCTAGGAAGGAAGATTAGTGCAGACACTGCTCAAGTGTCAATCCAAGACTGTCTTATGTTTGTTTGTTTGTTTGTTTGTTTGTTTGTCTGTTTGTTTGTTATTATGGGTGGGTTCAACTAAATGAACAAAAACTGCTAGTGCAACAGGGTTCCACCCCTTTGTGTGCCCCTATGACTTCCCCCAAATTGGCTCTGTGAACAGTGCACAGGGGAGGAGGGAGATGGTTCCATCTGGAAAGCAAATATTCTTGCACTGATGGAATGATCACCCTTATCCCAAACTGAATTCCACCTTACAACATATACAATGGATTCTGTTTAGGAGTATGAGGCTAAACAACTAAGCTGTGATTTCTTCTTAGAATAATCTGTACTTTGTTATTTTGGAGCAGATGCTGAGAACTTCATCGTTGTTAAGTGATCATTCAGACTCCACAGTCACTGAAGAGTCAAGCCATGAAAGTCATTTGTCAGATGAAGACTGGGAGCACGAGGCAGTGAAGCTATACAACTGGGCCAGATCCCTACGAGTGGAAGATATTGGGGGAGACTAACCCATGATAAAACTTATGTTCCCTTCCATTTCTTCTGTTTGAATCACAGAATTGTAGAAAATAGATAATTTGTCCTGATGTGTGTAATTTTCTCCTATCATGCTGCAGACATGAAGAACATGAATAGCATGTGAATAATTACTGTCTGGCTTTAGGAAATTCATGGTGCAGCAATTTATTGTGCTAAAGTAACGATGGTAGTATCATTAGCAGATAAGAGGGAAGGAAACATGACCTATAGGGAGAGAAGCAGAGTTATTTATCCTTAGAACCCACATGAACAACTTTGAAAAGAGAGTAATAGTTTCCCTTTCTGAATTACAGCTAAGGGGGCACCAAGAGAGAAAGTTGGTATATGATCTCCATTTTAAGTCATATTCAGGGTAGATCCATTTTGCAAGATAAGTATTTATTTCAAGGGGTCTACACTGAGCACGACACAGCAGGATATTGCCTGGTATATTGCAATGTTAATCTAGTGTCCATTTTAACATAGTCATTTGTGCTTGCTTATCAATTGGGCTGAATGTTTTAAATAAACAGTAATTTTTGAGTTAGGTCAACATGCTTGACCCATAGAAAAGAAGAACAATGGACAAAGTACCCTAAAGATTAAAAATATTTTATTTACATTTTTATATATACAATTTTTACACATTAGTTTAAAAACAGAATAGAGTACATATGCATCACTGAACATAATGCATTCACAGCATGAGAGAAGTTAATGTTTGGAAACAGGTGGGAAGAAAAAATGTTTTTAGAAAGTTAAAAAGGACAGATCACAGAATTTCATAGCAGCTCTGGGAACGTTCCTGGAAAAAGTACCCCAACACGCACATTTGAGTTTGTGTATATGTTTGAACAAAGTACTTCCATTTGATTCAGCACAGTCAGAAGATAGCTTTCCAAGTTAACTTGTCAAGACCGTTGTTCATGAAACCTCTGCCAACTCATTCAGAACAACAGTAAAGCAACAGTAGAATTTATGCCATATAGGGATTATGCCACTGCAGCCCGGTAACCTTTTCACCAGGAATGCAGAAAACCTGTGGATCTCCACATGCTGTTAAGATGCCCAATCTCCATCAGCCCCAGCCATCATATTTTAATGATCAGGGTTTGTGGGAGTTGTGCTTCAACAACATTTGCAGACCCGTAGTTTGCTTTACACTAGTACTCTTTTCCAGGCTTCCAATGGCATTAATATTAATAGTAAAATTACCAGTTATATGAGATTATAACTGGAATCCTGATCCTATCTCAATACTATAGTTTTGAAAAGTCCACCAAAGCAATCCAGAATTATTAATCCAGATTTCTGTCTGCTTTTCTCTTTGCTACACTATTTGGAACAAAAACTGCCACTGATAAGAGATCACACTATACGAAAACTAAGATTTTCAGTTCCTATCATTTTAATGATACAGTACACATTGTTTTACAGAGACATAAGCTCACCCTTAATTGGCTTTTACAGTTTACACCTTGTATGGGCAATCTTGATGCTACACTGCCCATTCTCCAGTTCAGAATTCACAATGTTTGTTCTCTCCAGAATAAAAGTACTCTGAACATTAGCAAGTTCTGTGACCAGGATTTAATAAAAAGAAAGTATTTCTCCCTTTAACTGTTATGAAACAAGCAAAAAGACTTAACAATGATGGAGTTCTACAGTATCATCCTAATTATTGTTTTTTAAGTTGGACCCCATCCACATGGTTTCTAAATGACTTAGTTTCTAGCAGTGACTAATGGCTTAAGCAGCATCATACTAAATAAGTCTAGTTTTATGTATGCTATAACCTTCCAATTCTAGCTTTATCCTTTTTCTCAGCTACCATGCTTGGGGGGAAAGTTGTGTTAACACAAACGCTGCTTTATCTAGGCTCAAATTATGATTGCAAACCTTTTCATCTATTAAATGGTTGGCTTTTGCTGCTAAAATGCTAGAGTCAACTTTTCCATTAGTATAAAACATCTGTAAACTCCTTGGAGAGCCACTGGTCCCTTAAAAAGCATTGAGAGCAGCCACTTCTTTCCCAGTATTGTTTCCCTACAGTTGATGTACCCCACATGCCCCCCTTTCTACTGAAACATATGGGCCATATATCTTTACAGTCGTACCTTGGTTTTCAAACAGAATGCGTTCCAGAAGTCAGTTCGACTTCTGAAATGTTCAGAAACCAAGGAGCAACTTCTGATTGGCTGCAGGAGTATCCTGCAGCCAATCAGAAGCCACGGAAGCTGATGTTTGGCTTCCGAGGCAAAGTTCACAAACTGGAACACCTACTTCCAGGTTTGCGGCATTCAAGTTCCAAGTTGTTCAAAAACCAAGGTACGACTGTATAATGCAGTATACTTAAGCTCATGTTAAACAAATTCCTTTCAGAACCTGAGGGCTTAAGTATGTGTTGGATTGTGGTTACTGCCTGCATGGAGTTTTTATGTTTCATGCCCCTTGTTTTGGCACCAGTTAAACAGGTAGCTGAAGCACCAGTACAAATGAAAACCATTGGGCTTAAACAAAGTATTGAGCCTTTTTTTATGAGCCTAGACTAGTCTGCCTAGTACTTGACAAATTGTAGTCCATAATAGGAAATGTGTTGGGAATCAAAGGAAAAAGATGCAAGTACCTGATGCCACAGAACTAGAATTTTGGTGCATTCTTTTCTCTTATATTAAGCAAACAAACTCAAGTAATGCACAGAAGTTCTAAGAACATACTATTTGTTTCTGGCATCATAGGCAAAGTCAAGATATTAGGCTAAATATCACTGACACACACTCCAAGTTGACAAATATTTCTTAACCTTATACAAGAGAAAAGAATACCATCCTTTAGATTTGAAACTGCTAGATGCTTGGTTTTGGTTTTTCAAACCTGGTACATGGGGCGATGATAATAAAAACATACATATACAATTAAACAAATCCAGTGTAAACAAGATAGGAACTGAATAAAATAAGGCTGCAATTTCATGAGACTGAGGTTAAGTCCCAATTCATTAGGGCTTCCAATAAAACATGTACGGAATTGGGCTTCTTAAACAGATGCATTGGGATGGAATGAAGAATAAAGGGTTGATAACCACAAGCACTAGAGATTTCTAAACAGGTTAAAATATTTTTACACAGTGTTGTCTTATTCCATTCTTGGCTTGCCGTAATTAATTCTCCAATACTTTACATCTGGTGAATCATTTCAGACCTAACTTCCTTTTATGCTAAAAGCAACAATGAAAACCAAATACCTAGTTCAAGTCAGAAGCTGAGAAGCGGCACATATGCAAAGCAATGACTTCTAAATCTGCACATTTGGTCTTCGTCAAAGGCTGAGAAACCCGCGTAAATCATTTTTTAAAAGCTTATTTGACGCCCAGGCTGATTCAGATGCACAGCAGAGCACATGGTATAATCAGTTTCATTATACACGATTGTGTGTTTGAAAACACTCTCACAACAAAGTGCCTGTGTTTACCTTTGCATGGGCAGAGATATTTTGGCCCATGTTACACATAATGCTAAATCACTGTTTAGTGTTGCATGCATGAGCAGCAGTGAGCCTTGAACGCCCTTCAATTGAAACATATTTTAAAGGTATTAGTTCTCTGTTCCAGGAACACTGGTATTTTTTTTTAAGGATTATAAACATGGGTTGATCTTGGCTTCATTGAACAAACCATAGATCAAGCAAATCAGATTTTCCCCAAGTTCACTGAGGAACTTGGGTTCATTTAAAACCAGAAGTGAAAGCTTTTGATTTCACTGGTCATGCTAAAGATGATAGGTGAAGAATACATGTGAGGCCATGGCTTATATGGGGAGGGGGTGTTTAGGAGAGAAGGGTTGGGCTATAACTTCTTCCCGTATGTGCTTGTTTTGTATGCACAGGGAGACACATCATGTGAGATTGTGCAGCTTAGATCTTGATCCATGTGTCAGGAAAAAAGACAGAAAAATGTTAAAGCATTTTTGGGTAGACGTTTACATGTTTGATGCAGAATAGTAACACCACTTTGGGGCCTGTGTAATCCAGGAGCTGAAACAAGACACAGTCAAATGTGTCCGTTGTAGAGGTTTCTAGAATGCATAAGCTTCAACTCCTAGAATACGAAATGAACTACATGTTCTACAGTGATTTCCAGTTCATGATGCTGGAACAAAATGGTACAGTTACCGTATTTTTCGCTCTATTAAGATGCACCAGACCACAAGACGCACCTAGTTTTTGGAGGAGGAAAACAAGAAAAAAAATATTCTGAATCTCATAAGCCAGAACAGCAAGAGAGATCGCTGCGCAGCGAAAGCAGCGATCCCTCTTGCTGTTCTGGCTTCTGGGATAGCTGCGCAGCCTGCATTCGCTCCATAAGACGCATACACATTTCTCCTTACTTTCTAGGAGGGAAAAAGTGAGTCTTATAGAGCAAAAAATACGGTAATTCATCCATGTTTTATACAAACAGTTGCACTTGCATTTCTTCTGAAGCCACATTTTAGCAGTTTGCCAAGCATCAGTGAACCTTACATTGCCCAGGCAAGATTGACTCACCTCCATATTCCACAGGCAGCTACTGGAACTTGAGTATTTCAGCTCAGAACTCTGTTCAGGTTTATTTTTGGTGATATTATCACTCATATGCAGATAGTTGTCTAATAGTTAAGAAAGTGACCTCAACAAGATACAATTGCTCAGCATCCTCAGACCTCCATACAAGTATACTGTGGAGCCAGTGGTTATTTTCTAAATTTGCTTTAAAAATAGAAGTTTGCCTAACTCGGCATCTTTTGAGCCCAGCAGCTCAATCAGTGCAAAGAACTGTACAGCTGCAATGCTTCTGCGATAAACACCAACTAAAAATCTCTACTATCCTTCAAGAACAGCAGAGGCAGTGATTGTTATAAACATTTCTGATTTGTATTTCTAGAATCAAGTACTGAAGACTATGGGTTGGGATCTGACTTTATAAACAACAAAAATGGTAGCTTCGACATTTTTATCACCTGGTTATAAAGGAGTTCAAGTGTTACTGAATCAATCAGTATATACCAAATATAAGTTTACATTGATAAGAACGAGGCCTCCAGTTACCCAACAAATTTAAATACATGAAAGGGTGCTATTAAGAGCTAAAATTAAACAGATATAGCTCATATCTGTCCACTAGTTAAAAATAGACTCTTGCAGCTGCACATAAAAATATGCATTTCATTTTGATCTTACAGTGTATGCATGTATGTATATATATAGAGATATATTTTATTCACAAACCACAACGCAGACAAATGCAGCCTAGAATTTATTTTAGTAGAAAATCTTCAGTGTTCTTTTTTTCAAAAACCTATTTTTTCAGCAGACTTACTGGAACTACTGTACATTAAAATAAATTGAATAGAAAAATAAATAGAAAACCATTTTAAATTGTCACTGATATCAAAATGAGGAGTGTCAAACCTGATTGGGAGGAGTAATAAATGGAAATAAAAATAACATTTAAACAACAAGTAATTACAGGAACAAATTTAAAGGCCCCTTTCACTGCTACATTGGAAATCAGGCTCTGTTCTAGTAAGGCTGCTGAATTTTATCCTGACAGTTTAAAAAATAAAAATGCACAATACATAAATGCTTTTGACCCACCTTGCAAACAGAGTGTATTCTAGTGCATCCTGAAGCATGTGTTGTCTTCACTCATACAGAATGGACATAGTATATGGGGTTAAAACACATGAAATGGAAGAACGCTTTCCCCTCTCAAAACACAGTAATAGCATGTAAAAAATAAAATCAGTATGAAACCACAGGTATTAGCATTCCTAATAAACTTGGTAGATGCATTCCCTGTACACTTCTTTTATCTCTTTATTAATTTAAGTGGCATATTACACAAGACACTGTTTTCAGTGGGCTTAAATCTGCTTTCCCTTACCCCAGCCCTCCATCCCACCAAATTATAAATAGTTTTGTTTTGTTTCTTTAAACTTTAGCTGCAACGTCTAACATGTTCCAGCACATACTCAGGAAAGTGTAGGCTACAAACTTGTAAGCCATCTAGCTTGCAGGGCATTCTTGGGTATTCGTCTTCTTTCCATTTATTATCTTCAGGATCAAAAGTGAGAATGGAATCACTGTAGTGACCATTATAACACAGGCCCCCAAGAACCATTATCTGTTTTTCCAACACAGCTACACCATGACCACTTCTACCAATTGGCATAGAAGCCAAAATAGTCCACTGATCAGTGTCTGGGTCATAAACCTCTGTAGAAGGGCACCCTTGAGACTCAAAAGAGGCCCTCAGAATTACACAGACGCCTCCAAAAACATAAAGCTTGCCATTGTAAGAAAGCATCTTGTGAAAGCATCTTGCATAATTCATTTTGCATTTGTTTTCCCAACAATTAGTGACCACTTGAGTCCTCCTTGTTCGCTGCTCCACAGTCCCTTCTTTACTGGGATCAAATACACACACCTGCTTAGATGTGGACGAGGATGTGATTCCGCCTGTGATGTACAGCTTGTTACCAAGAACAGTTCCTTCATGTCCATATTTATTGACTGGATAGGGATCCACAAATTCCCACTTATCTTCTGTGATATCGTATCGCTCTGTTGAATAAAATGTCTCATCTCTTGTCCTTCCGGCCACTGCATAGATATATCTTCCAATAACACCAACAGCAAATTCTGAGCGTGGTACAGACATATCTGCCATTCGTAACCAAGAATTTTGTCTTGGATCATATCTGAACACTTTGGAGGAAGCATGAAATTCACCATCTGGCCCCAACTCTTCCCCACCCAATAAGAATACAAAATTATTAACAATAGCAAGGCAGTCTGGTCGTAACGGTACTTGTGGACCTTCCAACTCCCACCAGACCCTTGGTTTGTGCAGAAGGAGGATTTTACTATTTACCATGCTGTGTCCTATCATTCCTCTAAACACTGCAGTCTGGGGTTTGGCAGAACGGATGCGATTTGATTTCATTTCCATCAAAGGCTGCTGGTGCACACTATGGAAGTAATTCATAGCTTGCTCCACCTCATGCCGCAACTGCCGGGAATAACGATAAAATTCCGATGTTTTCACCTAAGGACAGAGCAAAACACACGTGTGTATTGACCAAGGAAAACAGTATGAGGAAGAAATCTATGCTGCCTAATTTTACACAATTGAATCATGAGGGGGAAAACATGACCTAATCACAGCAATAAGTCCCATAAGTCCAGCAGAGGCTGCTGAACCTTCTGACAAACTGCACCTCTTATTCTGTCACTTTTCTATCTAACTGCCCTGCTTATGTTCAACAAGACTCATAACTAATGAAATATTTTTTTCTTTTTTGCATCTGAGTGATTCTTCCCATAAAACATTTTAACTATTACCTTGAGATGTCTGGCAAAAACGATTAAATAGATCTTGCTTTTTTCCATGGCAGTTTTTAAATGCTTAGAACCCAATTCAGGTTAGGTTAGCCTCTTGCAGCCTTTCTCAACCTGTGGGTCCCCAGATGTTGTTGAACTACAACTCCCATCACCCCTAGCTAGCAAGGCCAGAGCTCAGGGATGATGGGAGTTGTAGTCCAACAACATCTGGGGACCCAAGGTTGAGAACTGCTTCAAGGAATTCCACTACCTTCCTAGTGCTCTAATGCTTACTAAAGTCCTTAAAGGCCATCAAATGCTAAATAGCTCTTTCAGTTAATTCCTGGTGACGTGCCAGCAAGCCCATGCATTTCACAGTGGGCTTTTGTCACTCTTGCAAACAAATCAGCAAGCATATACCTAGTGGTTGCCACAGGTTCTGATGTTCATTGAGCCCAACAAGCTTTGGTCACACAGCTGACTGCTTTAAGACAGGAGGAAAACTGTTGGTTTTACCTTCCAAGACCTATAGAAAACTTTTGATAAGTTTAACAGCAAGGCTACATATTTACACCAAGAGCTTTTACCTTGCTGCTGCAGAACAGACTTTCACAAGAAAGACTTTATTTGCTGCTTGTAAGGGGCTTTAGATTCTGTTATCTAACAAATAACATGCAAGTGAGATAAGATCATCCTTAAGTGACCTTTCACAGCTGCCTCATGGATGCTGCGATCTTGCACTCAAGGAAGTTATGCATTAACAACCACAGTCATACTGATCTTAACCAAAGAATCAAGCTACCAAACCATTTAGAGCTATGTGCATTTCAGTCATATACAAAGAGGCATCAAGATAAAAACATGCTCTAACAATGACCACATTTTAAACCTTTGTGACCAAACACTAGCCCCGCTTTCTCTCAATTTTAAATACATATACAATGGAATACTATATATTCACGTGTTTGGAAATCAATGTTAGAAGTACTTTATTTTCCTGCAACATCAAATGAAGCCATAGTAAATAGATAGTATTTTTGTTTCAATTTTAGTGGTACAATGAATGACCTGTGAACAGAAGATTGGCTGTGAACACAAGACAGTCATTACACTAAGAAAAAATGTACATTGGGTTTATCGATAGGGTTACGAACGTGTACTAAATACTGCAAATACAAATCCTCACAGAAACATTTGAAATGCTTTACTTTTTTTTCCTTGTTAAAAACCAAATCAGAAAACTAGAGTAATCTGATCAGCTAGGTTTATTGCATTATGAAAGTTTCTAGAGTGCATTTGATTTTTACAGTGGAATTTAGCACACACACTCTTGAAATTGCTTCCAAAAAACTTTGCGGAATGAATTTTTCTCCTTCATAATACTAGAATGGAATTGGTAGGAGACTCAGGACAGACAAAAGGTAGTACTTCACATGACACATAACTAACTTATGAAATTCACTGTCACAATGTATGCCAGTAGTCATTAAAAGATTAGAAAAAATATTTAGTGGCTAAAAGTCATGATGGCTATATATTGAGCACTGTATGCCAACTAGTTTGCTAGGAGCAACAGCAAGTTCTACTTCCTAGAGGCATCTGGTTGGACAAAGTGCATTTTCTTGATTTTATTAGTTTACTAATATATCCAATTTTTAGTTTGTCAAAGTTGCATGGAAAACATAACAAAAGACGAAAAGTTACCACAATAGAGGACATGTAAACACACACAGCAGCACACATTTCGGATAAAGCAACTAAAAAGTTGAATATAGATCCTCAAATCTTCATCCTTTGCAACTGAATAATGACTGGCAGTGCAAGTAACATGAAGATTAGTCAACATTCACATAAATTTGGCAGAACTTACACCATCCCACTCCACAAGCTGTAACTCACATTAAAGAACATTTGCATTCCAAGACAACTTGCTCCCACAGGCTACAAAATAACAACTTCCTCATGAAATCTAATACTTCTGGAAGTATAAAATTTGGAGAAGTCTCCCTTTGCTATCAGTAAAATGAAAGTCAGCTATGAATCCTCATTTTCAACCTGGTTGAATTTGTTTTCAACATGACAGGCTTCTCTTAGGACAAAAGTCTTTTCTACCTCATATCTTAATTGCCATTTGTTAGCAAAGGCTATTACTAGTCTAGGCTTGTTCACTCATAACCCTCAGAAACATATTTCGGGCCACAGGTTAGCCACCCTGAGGATTCCTTCACTACCCTCTCCTTCTATTACATTGAAGACAGCAGTTTGGTATTCAGCTAAATTTTACTCAGTGTTGGCCCATTAAAATTAATAAGCATTACTAAGTTAGGTCCATTAATTGCATTAAAACTTAACTGAATATCACCCCTTCCTTGTCAATAAATACCATTCCAAAACTTTCAATCTATCTCCTATCCCTGCATTTGTTGTTTCACTAATTGGCTGACTTCTGTGACTGACAGCTATTCTGATTCACAGTCCTTAAAACACAAGAACAGGCCAAGCTGAAGATCTGTGCATATACATCTTCTGAGTAAATAACTGGCACAGACTTGGTGCAGATGTAACACAAGCCAATTTCACCTTAATTGAGACCTGTAGTGCTTCATCTCTCCCGTTGGCATTTCTCCTGTTCTTTCAGTATGGGGACTAACTAAATTGAGTACTACAAGTAGACCTACGTTTTCCTTATTATAGTTTAAACAAAAACTCAACCTGACACTCTGGTTAGAAGCAGGTTTGCAAACAGTGGCTTGGTGCCAAGTCTGCTGCTACCATAGCTCATTCTGAAACTGAAAAGGAGGGTTACCCATGCAAGAGGCACTGGCGCCTGGTATATGGGGCACTGGGGGCTCCAGCCCTCTCAGTGTTTTGAATCAGGGGACCCAGCCCCAATATTGATACCCCTCACTGCTGCCAGATGCCCTTTGTGCACCCCAGCCCACACGGGGGAGCCGGGACAGGGCTGGGACGAGCAAGGGTGAAGATCACCCTCTACACGTCCTGCCCCTGCTGGGTGCATGCCGCGGGGAGGAGGTGGAGCTTGGAGCCCAGCGCCGCACTCCGCCTCCTCCCCGCCCAGTGTTGCATCATGGACGCGTTACATGATGCATCACATGATGCCCTCCCCCCATGTAGGGGGTAAGGCGGCGCCCCTGGCAAGAGAGGAAGGAAGAAGTCCATGAATCCACAATGCATTGTTGTCCTAAGAATGCTTCAACTGATTGGGCCTTGTTATGAAACACCTGTTGTTTGGAATTCAGTTACACCCACTTCCAGCAAGTCCTCTCACTTGCTATGAAACCCTGTTATACCCACTGTCAGGGACTAACTGTTAGGTGATACATGGAGATAACTACAAAGATAGACTGGATAACTACACAGTTTTGCATTGTGGATGCACAATGTCGTATTTTCATTCCAGGGAACACCCAACTATGAAGTAACTTCCATACATATACTGCTCTTCCTTGAGCAGGTTACTTATTCTAGAAGCTGAACTCTAAAAGAGAAATATACCAAGGATTAAATCATACACTATTCATCTCATGCCTTCTTTGCCTGTACCAAAAAACAGGAGAAGGCAATTCAGGCTCGAGATTTTGCCTAGACTTATTTGATATTGCTTTTTTAGAAAATCACCACTGCCACACTGGGTCCCTATTTCTATCAACTTCAGGCTTTTGCATCTAGCCCTTTCTCTCTTCATCCCACCTTCAAATAATCCTCACTCATGTAGCGTTTGCATTTCCTTGAGAGTTCTCGATACTGCCAGGGCAAACTGGATTTTGAGAAAGGACTGGAGACTATACCCAAAAGTTGCTAGAAGCTGGGACTGTGTGTGACAGCAACAGATCACTAGCTGAGGAACAGCAGTGAAATAAAAAAGGACAAAAAACTTGGCCACTGGGAGAAGAAGGTCCCTCTCTTCTTTTCAGAACTAGGGCAGGGACACAAGGGGTTATGACATGTAGGCCTGGAAGCATCTCATTAAGATACTATGCTGTGAACTGACACCAAGACAACTATATTCTGGATACAGACTAGACTAATAAATACAGGTGACTCTCAACTTACACAGGGGTTATGCGTAAAGCCAAAATCATGTATAGTCAAAACACACTGGATTCAATGGCGAAGTAGGATTGCCAAAGTAATTTTCCCCAGAAACTCACCCCCTTCTGAATTTTTTAACTTTTTTTTGTCAAGCGTGTAAATCTGAATGTGCACAAGTTAAGTACATGTAAGTTGTGAACTGCCTGTAATATAAATGGAAACAGAAAATATGGATGAGAAACACACATATACTCATCTAACATAAAAAGTGAGCAAGTCCACAAAGAGAATAATGTATGAAAAGCAAAATAAGGTTTTAAAGATACATCAAATGTTTGTAACCAATGACTACAGTACACAACAATCAGAATACAACACATTTATTTAATAAATTTCAAAAGTGTGGCATTAGGGTAAGTGTTAAAAAATATACGTGTCGTTCTTGGTTGTTTAGTTTAGTCTTTAAAGGCTTCTATTTCACTCTATTGGCTCATAGAACTTAAGTCTAAACCTAAGAAATTATTTAACGCAGCTTAGCATGAAAATACAAATGTATAAGGCTGGACACCTGACTTAAAAACCTAATTTTAAAATCAACCATATCATTAGGTTTCTTCTAATGCATATCAGTATCAAAATGTACATGGATTTAAACATTTTGCATATTCTTTTGAACAACTATTTTAGTCCTAATACAAAGAAAAATGCCAAACTGGTATGACAGCTTTACTTGATGGGTCACTATTACAGAATCTTATATAACCCTATCTTCCTAATGATAGTTTTGTACTTGTGGCAGGTGATAACAAGTGCAGTGGTTACACAAAGGTACTGACACTTTAGAACTTCTGTTTAAACAGAACTGTGTGTACAAGATAACACAGGCTGTGTACAGCCATCAGAGGAAAATGCTATTGAAAATGTATTTGCTTTCTTAATATAAAGAAGAAAAAACCCATCTACTTCGTAATTTGGCTGATCCTTGTTTAGTGTTAGGCACCAAGAGATCTTCCCCCTCCTCCCAGCCAGGATTCCACCCATGTACAGTTGCAAAGTCGAGGTGATATTCCACCTAACCTTTTCTCTGTTTCCCCAATTTTCCTGCCCCATACTGATGGGCTTCCTTGAATCAAAGTTTGCCCAACTCTTGAAATATCATATCTAGACCTAGGGGAAAGTTGCCACTGCTTGGGTAGTCTTCCTGAATAAGAAGCTTTGTTCCTGATGGATTGAAACTGCAGTCTGCTCTCCTAATAACCAGCTTCTCCAAAGGTCTCTTAATTCCTCAGGGAACCTTGCCCCTGTAAAGAATGCAGACCTCAATCCAGTGCACAACAGCCAGTCATTTTAATGAGTTTTGTACGGTTTCTAAATGTTTTTATATGGTGCACCTCCCTGATGTTCTGCAAGAGGGAAGTATATACAGTGGTACCTTGGTTCTCAAATGCCTTGGTTTCAAAGAACTTGGAACCCAAACACTGCAAACCCGTTCTGGTTTGCGAACTTTTTTCAGAAGTTGAACGTTCTCCGTTTTGAGTGTTACACTTCCAATATGAGTGCCACACTTCCGTTTGGCATGTTACACTGAGGTCTATCTGTTTTTGCTATTTATTTTGCGTTTTTGTGGCTCTTTTTTGTGTGTGTGACTGTGTGGAACCCAGTTCCGCTACTCATTGATTGTGTGACTGCAGTACATTGTTCATTGCTTTCATTTTATGGATCAATGGTCTTGTTAGATAGTAAAATTCATGTTAAATTGCTGTTTTGGGAATTGTTATTAAAAGTCTGAAACAGATCAATCCATTTTGCATAACTTTCTATGGGAAAGCGCTCTTTGGTTTTGGAACGGACTTCTGGAATGGATTAAGTTTGAGAACCAAGCTACCACTGTAAATACATTTATAAACCGACATTTACCATCTCCCACTTCTCTGTTATTGGAGAAGACCAAACCTAAAAGGGGAACAGTATTATACAGTAACTTTCCAAGCAGACTGAGAATTCAGCTTCCTGCGATAGAATAACTCAGGTCCCAAACACCTGAAAAACCACTTCCTAATCTACAGACACACTTGGGTGTTGGCAGGGGAGGCCTCATTGATTGTTCCACTGCCCTCGGAAGCTCAGAGACAAGGTAGCCCAGGAGAGGGCATTCTCTGCGGCAACCCCTAAGCTGTGGAACTCCCTTCCCACAGAGGTGCATCTTGCACCATTATTATACAGCTTTCTGAGAAGCCTGAACAGGTGCATCTGTACCCTGGCTTCTGACACTTGAAATGTATATTTTTAGAATGATAATAATATAAATAATGATAATAAATACAGGAGTGCTTTAAGCCCCATAATAATCAGAGTTGTCTCTTCCAACAAAGAGGAGATGGAACAGAAAGAAAACTGGTACTAAAGGCCCCAGCAAGAGGAGACTCTTTTCCATTTGCCTTAAACTTCAGCCAGGAACAGCTGAAAACAGCTGAAAAAAATAAAGAGCCATAACGGAGCTCATTTCTACTTCTGGAGCACATCAACCTAGATCCTCCATTGATTCCATAGGAATCAAGAAAGAAAAGGGTAGGGTTAACAATATAAAATCAAGGGTAGAATTAAAAACATAAAATCAAGTAACACCTATATTTCTAATACACTTTTGCATTTCTGATTTTCCACTTTATAAAAGAAGTCATTGTGTGCAATTGTGGACCTCCCAAAAGTCCATTTTCTGCAGGGGATTAAGGGGATCCTCAGGTGGTTTTCCCTCCCATTTGCTCCACAGGCAGGAATATACAAATTAGACAGATCTTACCTCAAGGAGAGAGGGTAACACCTCCAGTTGACAAGGTAACTCAGCTCAGAAGAAAGTATGTTAATCTCAGACAAAAGCACTGCATGCCATGGATACAAAAGGCAAGAACTGCAACTCTTAAGGAAGAGGAACATCCAATTAAAAAACCCAATACAAAACTGAACTGAACTGAACTGAACTGAGAATACTAAAAAACCCCAGCATATAAACGAATTTGTCCAAGCTGCAACGAATAGCCGAAACTAGCCTAGAGTGGGTAGGATCACCTCCATCCTCTGCAGAAAATGGACCTTCATTGGAGGTCCAGTGTCACAATTTCCTGCCAGGGGTAAGGAATCCTTGGATGGGATGCACCAAAGCTACCGTCAGGTGGAGCCAGCTGTGGACCCTACCCCTAACTAGGGAACCACCTGTTGTAATACACACCTACTGAAAGAAGCTTTGGCAGATACATAGATATTGATCCTGTAATGTCTCACAAAGTTAGACAGAGAAGAGTAGGTGGCTGCCCTACAAATATCCAAAGTGTCAAAGATAGCTGAAGCAGAGGCACTCCTAGTGAAGTGAGTAATGACCCCAGCCAGCAAGGCCGAATCAGAAACCACATAGCACTTGGAAATGCATCCTGTCAGCCATCTGGAAAGTGTAGCAGCTGAAACCTTCTTTCCCATGGTCTGTGGCTGGAAGGAGATGAACAGGGAGTCAGCCAGGCAGGATTTGTTCTCTTTAGACAGACATGCAGTGCTCATTGTGAAGTCCAGAGCACCATTCCCTCTCCTTGTCCAATCTAGGATGGGGACAGAAAGAAGGTAAGATGACATCCTGGCTCCTTTGAAAACTTGAGTTAAAACGTGGGGACCAACTTCTGCATCACCGAATCTTTGTGAAACAAGAACAGTTGCTTACATGCTGAGAGTTCCCCCAGTTGTGACACTCAATGTGCTGATGTAATAGCTACTGGGAAAAGCACTTTCCAGAAGAAAGAAGGCTGATTTCAAAAAGCTGAAGGAATTACTAGGTGACATCCCATCGTCAGACATACTCAAAGAGAAGGGAGTCAAAGATGGATGGGAGTTCCTTAAAGGTGAAATATTGGGGGGGGGGGATGCAGAATTCCAACAAGAAAGAAAGATGGAAGGCATCTAAAGAAAACAGTGTGACTACACAAAGGAGTTTACAAATGGGCTGAGATTTCATAAGGGCATGTATAAGAAATGAAGAAATGAAAGAAAATCATGAAGGAAGAGCACACAGGTGGGCCAAAGCTTAGAATGAGATCAGGCTTGTAAGAGAGGGTAAAAATAATAAAAACGGATTCTTTGGCTATGCTCAAAGCAAGAGGAAGAACAAGAAAATAGTAGGCCCTCTACTACTGAGGCTGAGCGGTGTAACCCCAGAACAAAGCACACTGATATCCCAAATCATGTGAAAGATCATATTTAGCAAGGTCTAGTTAAGTTCCAATACTGTTCTTCAGAGTCTATGCTGGCAGATATATTTACAAAGCCTGTATCTGCAGAAAAGAACAAGTCTGCAACTTTTCCATTAGGTATCACAAATTGAAATATTTCAAGGCAACAGCCCAACAGAAGGGGTGTTGGTGTAATTTGGGAATATATGCGAAATTGCACGAACTGCTTGGTCAGTGTTTTGAGTTGCCGTTCCTCTGCAACTGATTTCTGTTAAGGGTTAGGACGTCAGCTGTGGTGGGCCTCTTGAAACAGCTCAAGGCTACCGGCCTCTGGCATGACTCAAATAATGTGTAAACGTGCATTAGCAGGTATAAAACCAAGGTTGCATTCAGCAGCAATGTGGTGTGTGGTGGTGGTGGAACTCTCCCAAAACTTGGACCTCTCTGTATATTTGGATCTCTTCAGTTTAAGACCAAGTTACTGTACTTAGTAGAATAGTTTATGATGTACCAGCAGCTCTTAACTATGTCTGAATTGTCTTGTGTCTTGAAGCAATAAAACATTTTACACTGAACTGTGTGGGCAAGTAGCTTTCTTCACTGTCAATTCTGGAAAGGCTGACAATGGGAAAGGTAGAAGACTCTTGAGTTTTGCTGGACCACACTGGTATTGGTGTGATATAGAAATGCTATCAAGGAAGCCCCTAGCTGATAAGATGCTCCATGATGGTATGAAGGGTTTCCATTCTGAACCTGCATTTCTGGATGTGCCTGTTCACCCTCTTCAAACCCAGTATGACCCTGAAATCTCCCTTCTTCTTTGGGAATGTGAAGAATAAATATGGGGTAGCAGCTGTAGGGGACTCTGCTGGGGACAAGAGCTCTATAGCACTGATGGCTATCAGGTGCTGAATGGCTGCTAAGACCAGATGGTGTAATTTTCCTTTTTGGATCTTGGAGAAATCACAAAGTGGTCATAAGGTAAGTAGGCAAAGTCTACAGTATACCCTTCCCTCACAGTTTGCAGAACCCTCTGATCTATTGTCATCTCTCTTCAACAAAGGAAGAACTACTGCAGACGACCCTCAACTGGAAGTTCCTGCAGCTGACTTAGGGAGTCCAGACTGAGTTGCCTTCTTTCCTCCCTGCTGACTCTGTCCAGAGCCTCTGGAATTGGAGAACTGGTTCTACTGTTGCCTGGGATAGAATCTGTCCACCCCACCAGTACCGCTGGCATCTGTTGTCTTTAGAACCATAGGCACCCTTGGAGGATTGAAAGGAGCTACACCCAAACTGACACCCCACAGCTTTTTTTCTTATTCTTAGTTTCCACCAAGTAGAGCTCCAAGAGGTCACCAAACAGCCTGCCCCCTAGAAAAGGGCCTGTAGCTAGATTAACCTTACACTTGGAATCTGTGTTCCACATCTTAAACCATAGGTATTTCCTAATAGCTACACTGACTGACATGGCCCTTGCAACATACTACATGGCATCTAGGCCATCATCAGCCATAGAGGCAGCTGTCTTCTCTAGCTTTCAAATTCCCTAGAGAAGGTGGGAGTTATTGGCCAGAACCTCCTCCAGAAGTCTTCACCCATTTTAGGGAGGACCTGGCCATCAAGAGTGAGGCTGTGGCCACCCTAATTTCCAATGTAGTAGTTTCATGGGCACGCCTCAGCAGGATCTCAGTCCTCTCTTATCATCTGAGTTCCTAGCTAATTTATCTGTGTCCTTGGCTGCCATTGTCCTTGCTGCCCTCCTGTGGTACAATGGGTTAGTGTGCCTGGCTGTCAATCAGAAGGTTGGTGGTTCAAGTCCAACCAGGGATGGCTGTCGGCAGAATTCCTGCACTGCAGATAGTTGGACTGCACAATCTTACGGTCTCTTTCAACTCTACAATTTTATGGTTCTGTGCCATCAAATCTAAACAGGCACCCAGGAGGAGGAATTAGTTTAGCCATACTATCAGACTGAAAGGTATAAAGCCTTTTAGGCCCATTCAGCTGGCAGAGCCTTCTTGAAAACAGATGGAAATGTTATCAAATGAGATAGGAGGGCTGGATACGTTTCACTTCAGAGGCTCCCTCCTCCCACCCCATGTTCTTAGGAGCAGGGATCTCTAAGATATGACTTGCCTTTTTAAGAGGGCAAAATCCTTGGTAGAAAACAAGCAAGACAAAGGTGCAGAAAGCGCCTCCTCCTCCACGCTGGCTGGTAATTCCCCCTCCTCCTTATTGGAAGCCATAGCGGACGCAGCGGCTTCATCCTCCTCTAATTCACCCACAGCCGATCACAAGTCCAAAAGCTTGTTGCCTGCTCTGCAGCCCCTGCCTGGCACCACCAATCTGTGGCTGCTGATAGGAGGCTGAGGCAGAGGAATAGACTGCCTCAGCTCCCTCTCTTCTGGCCCAGCATTTTAGTGGCACCAAGATTTCCTCTTCCAGCTGCCCAGAGGTGGCCCTATACTTGCAAAGGTTAGATCCCAACTTGGATTTGGAAATGGCTGCTGCAACACTACAGCCAGGAGAGGAGGAAGGCGAGGAATAGCTCTCCGCCCCCAAAACAGCAGGAAAGAGCCTATGCAGGAGACGTCACTGAGGAATCTTAAAGTCCCAATATACCACTAAAGGGAGCACTGTGCACTGTGAGGCCCTCTCTCCTGCCCAAACCTGAGGTAAGACTTAGGGCTGGGCTCCAGGCCATGGTTGGTGGAAAAGAGCAGGTGCAAAAAGGCCATCTGAGGGACTGGGCCCACACCAACCCCCAGGCCCTGTAACAATATGTCAGATCCACCAACAAAACTTGGGAGTTGAGAGCTGTGCTGTTGATCACTAAATGAGGGGATGACACAAAGTTCAGTGTCTGCAGACCCTCCAAAACCTCAGCTCTCTCAGTGGCTAACTGGAAGGCAGGGGCAAGGCCAGCATCCTTCTTAACTGCCTTTCCGTCAGGTCAGCCATCCCCTCCTCCACAGCCTCTGCTGGCTTCCTGGGATGAAACTCTTAGCAAACTTGAGCATACACTGAGGGAGACAGCCCACCGCCATGGGTAACTTCTGCTCCTCTGGCCTCTTCTTCTGAGGAATCAGTAAAAAAAGGGGGGGCTGTGAGCCCTCACAGACGACTCAAGACATTCTTGTCATTGAATTCTCTGTAAATTGGACTTTGTTGACCAATTCTCTCCCCCCCCCCCCCAGGGAATTGGTCAACAAAGTCAACCCTTTCCTCACAAAGCTAAGGACGGCAGCATATAACTATTACTCAACCTGCACTGCAGCAAGGCAGGAATGAAACAGGAGGCATTATACCCTCCTACCATGAGGTAAAATTTGTCTAATTTGCATATGTGGAACAAGTGGGAGGGACAACCATCCGAGGATCCCCTCCCCGCTGCAGGAATATATTTTGCTTCACTGGTTACAATATATGTAGTCTTGTCAATCACCTTGCTGTACTTGTTTATGAGGTTTTCTCTATCACTAACAATCAGAAAAAGCTGCAAACCTACCTTTTTCCTGGCTGTAAATCCTGCTAGTTTGCATTTGGGGCATTTTGTTTTGTTCTAAAAGCTAGATGGCACTTGTTTCAGACATTGACGACTTCAATGTTCCATTTTCTAAAACAGTGTCTTATTTTTCCCTCCTCCTATTTCTGGAAATTTTACCTATTAACAGCATGCTGCCCTAAACGTAAAGATGAATTCTATCTATTGCTTTCAAACGCACCAACCTTTTCAAATACACTGGATGGTGTCATCAAACAAAACCTGATGTTCTGAATGATGGTGTCGGTATGCCTCCAGCGTCTTCTATCATGCCGCAGCCAAGCCTGAACAGCCTCGTAGAGCTCTATCTCTGGGAATCTGCTCAGACGATCATTATCCAAGTAAGTCATAAGCTTTTCAAAGCTCAGATAGGACAAGAAGTCAGGTCTGGCCATGAGAGGCACAAAGTTTTCTAACAAAAAGGAATCCAGCTTTTCTCTGACGCCCTCGATGTTTACACCAAAGTCATCTAAAAGTCTCATAATTTCTGCACAGTTTTCCAAGCATATTTTTGCTAATAGAAAGGAGCAGCAGAACTTCACCACCTCAATAAGCTGGACGTACATGGCAGCTTGCAGGATTTCATGAACAGTGCTCATACTCAGTTCAATGGTTCCATAGTACATGAATTGGAGAACATGGCTGAAGCCTGTTGCAGTTAGGCCTTTCAAATGGATTTTGTCCTGATCTCGCTCCCTCATATCAGCAGTGAACATAATCCTGAAATAATCACTTTGGGTGGCAAGCAATGCCTTATGAGCCTGAAACTGGTGGTCCTCAATAACAAGAGTGACGTCAAGAAGCAATCCCTCCTCATACAGTGTTCTGAACCCAGCAGAGACGCTGGTGTCATGGATGGAGGAACTAAATCCTTCCACGTCCCCTGCCATGAATCACCTGGGGAAAAATGTAAATAAAGAAATGTTATGATTTCTAAAGATTCATGAAAATGTAGAAACATATAAAACTTGTGTTTATCATGCTTTGTGAATAGTGTTAATTGCCTTTTTTTAAAAAAAAAAAAATCAATAACCAATATATGAAATTTTGCTTTGGAGAAGGGAGAAGCTGTTCATGAAAATTACTTACAGCAAAATTTCAAAACTGTAAACATTTAAACTCTTTTATCTCCAAACTCTTGCATTACCTATATTGGCTGAGATCTAGCATAGTGGGCAGAGTGTTAGGTTTGAACTTGGAAGACAAAATCAGTCTTGCTATTTGCAAGTGGCAAGGTAGGATAATTCTTGCTCTTACAAATGAAAGGATCCTAAAGCAGATGGAACTATACGCTTCCAAAGTGTCATTCAGAAGCTCAGCTGAGACTGCTGCAGCTTCACAATACTATGCCATGGCATAGACAATTTGCCATGGTGGAGATCATTTTGGTGTAGCAGCCGTATTGCTCAAGTGCTGTGATATACTCAGACTGCATCTCTCCCCATGTCCTAGAAAAAACTTTCACATAGTGACTTAAAAACACAAGCTGGTAAGCAGCAACGTTACCTGGAACAGACACTTCATGGCAACATCACAAAAAACACACAACAACAAAAAAACCTATCTACTATTTGGATTGAAAATATAGTTTTAAAAAAATAGTTCTTTAAGGGACACAACAATTTATTGCTAAAGATTTTCTTTTTGTTTCTTATAAATGTCTAGGAAGCTCTGCCTCCAGGAAGCAAGCCTGTATCGGGGTGGGAAGAGGTATGCCACCATGGACAACCCTTGCTCCCCCAAACTCCCGAGCCAAAGAATCTGCTAAGAACAGCAGGCTAGCAAGCTGAGCTGTAGAAAAAATATATATTTGGCTGGTAGATATGCTCTAAATTTGAATGAATTCATGATGACCTCTCCTAACGTAATGGCATGACAGAAAGCATCTGTCGCCCAACCTGCGTGGAACTACGCAGGAGAAAATCGGAAAGTTGCCTCCCACATGAGGTAGTGAGATCTAATTTGCATATTGGCCTGCCTAGTGGAGCAAGTGAGAGGGACAATCTATTCCAGGACCCCCTCCTCCCTGAACGAAAAAATGAAATTTACATGCTTTTTGCAATGTGGACTTCGGCAGGATTTTAACATATGTCAACCAGGCAATTTCCATGGCACAGCCTGTACACAGACATGGTATATTCTGCCATGGAAAATCTTTGCACAGGCAGATAATCCATCTTGTAAGCAGCATGACATGTTATGGGCCCCATCAGAAAAAGTGACATCTTTAGCATGCTAATTTGTTCTGCAACACCAAGTTAAACCTGTCATATGTTGGAAGAACTCCTCTACTTTTAACACATATGCAGATCACTGAGAGTAAATACTGCTAATAATCAATTTAGAAAGCTTAAATTCACTGAGTTTTTAAAACAATGTTGGCAAGTTCTCAAAGTTCTTCCAAGGTTGCCAGCACTTACTCAAATAAAAATTCAAAAGGCAAGCAGTGGAGTAAAGAAGCACATTTTTGAAACAGAAGCGGGCACCTTTGAATTAAAATTCAGAAAGTTATAACTTACGTTGTAAAACCTTACATGGACTGGTTCTTACCTTCGTATTGTTAAACACAGTAATATAGCAAAATAATAATACCACTTAATATTTCTGTAAGACTACATCATCATTCCCCAATGACCACCTTCAAGCACAGTTGTTCTTAGAATCTTTGTCCTTAATTTTGTTTACTGCTTGTTAGCAATGTCTGCATATCACAATAAGTCAGGGTTGCTAGCTTATTTATTGGGAACAAAGAGCATATTACCCATTCATTCCTGCTTCACACCACTTCCAGTGTGAGCAGAAGAAACAAGACACAAAGTCTCAATTTCCATGACATTCAAACCCAGAATCCTGGTTTCTTGCTCCTTTACATGCCAGAATTACAACCTGGCCTGAAACCATGGTTTGCATTGGTTTATCAATCATGGCTCTTTATAGAGAGCAACAAACAATGATCCCAAGTGACTATCACAGTGGCCAAGCTTAACTGCAGCTTTCTAATTTGTTTCTTGCACTGGGAGAAAAGTGAAGTGGAAGCCATCAACAGAGTGTAGAAGCACATTGTTGTTCATTCCTAATATACCATAATAGGCCAGTAACTCTGCCTAATCATTGTAGTGTGTCAATGCAGCCATTGTGTCTTCACTGTTCTCAATAAGCCACGTATGTTTAGTAACAGCAAAAGTTACTGGCTTTCCTATCAATCCTATCACCCCTGACCATTGGCCATGCTGTCTAACAGAGGGCCAAAAGTTAGCTATCTCTATATTATGCAATGCGATTTTACCCTTTTACTATCTTCTGTATTTGCAGCACATGCATCTTATGTACTAGTATATGTGCTTCAGCACCACATAATACTAAAATTGTACTAAAATTAGGTATCAGGTATTAACTGATCTGTTAAGGTGAGAAACTGCTCATTTTGGGGTAGAAACAAGAAATGAAAGTCATATATACAGAGTAAGTCATGTCTATAAAAGGACAGGGCCAATCAGAATTTGGTGTAATTTGGATGTGGCAATCATTTTCTGTAATGGCCATTTAGGCAACTGGTATTATTTAGAAAGGCTTTTATGCTTTTTGGCCCTAACATTTAACCTGAAATATCAACTGATACTTAGTTACACTGATGTAAACCATTCAAATATTATGAAAAAGGAATCTGAATGGGCTCACTATTCTAGAAGCACTACTGCTTAAGAATGAACATCAGGAAAATCGACAAAAAATGTGGTTGACATTTCACACTTCACAGAATCAGCATGTTTGCCCTTTACCCAAACTGAGTCTTCTACCACTGCTCTTTCTGTATCATTGATTTTGCATACAATGAATTTTGTGAAAGTGACAACTAAGCATCTGAATCTGCATAGACACCTGCTCTTTCATGTGCTTTTGCAGACAACTTAGAAGTCAATGTTAGCTACATTTGGTGTAAGGGTAGGGAAACTGTGACCTTCTGAATGTTTTGTACTACAACTCCCATCAGCATCAGCCAACATGGCACACAGCCAGGAATTTTGGGAGTTGGGAGACCAGCAACCTCTGGAGGGCTACAGATTCCCCACCCCCAATACAGAGAAAACCACAGCATAGTGAGTTTATATATGTAATTTCTCAGAAAAACAGTAGTTTACAGTGTTCTATGTGGCTACTGGGATGAATTGGATAAATGTTTTAGTAAATAAAGAGGTAACCAAGACTCTTGGCCAGTCACAGTATGTGACTGATAAAATCTAGAATAACTGTTTTCTACTTTCTGGCGAATTAGAAAAGGATGCTGCTTCCAAACACAAGGAACAGAGAGCTATTATGAAGAGTGAAGTTCAGATGAACAATGACTAGTTGAAAGAAGATTACCGAAAGACTTATTCATAGTTAAATGTGTCTCATTTTCTGCAGAAATGTAACATTGATCACAATGATTTCTGATGTTCTGATGATTCCCTTTGGTATGAATGCTTGTTACATAGAATAAACCAGGCCACAACAGGTTGAACTGATGTCATATAGGATGCAAATCACAAAAATAACCTGGAGGAATGTGTGTGAAGAAAGATACAGATGTGAGACTCAGAGTTACTCCCTCAATACAACTGCTAACCAAGAGGTACAGCTTCTTAAAAGTTACAGCTTCTTAAAAGTTAATGAAAGTAGGATTAAGATAGTAATCCTAATGCCATTTACCTAAGAGTAAGATTCATTGAATTCAATAGGACTTACTTCTGAGTAGTGTTCAAAACTCCCATTGCACATTTTGCAACAGGGAATTTCATTAGCGGCAGCAGTTTCTGAGCTCTGGGCGCAGTACTGCACCAAAGATTTCAGATTAAAACTGTAGAGTAGAAGGAAAGGAGGACCCTTTTCTGTCTCCTCACTTCCAGCTACTCTCTGAAGACTGGAGAAGAGACCCTCTTAAGAATATTAGAGGGATGAGCAGGGGAAGGACTAAACCATGTGAAAAATGAACATAATATTTTAGCTGAAGTTTATTCATTTTCAGCTTTGTATTCTTGTTATAAAAAAGTGTGCCTAGACATTCCATTGTTGCACCCATAACCTAGGTTTAAGGTGCCATTTAGCTCCTAACTTTCATATCTCAGTTTCTAAAACCGCTTCTGAGTAGGCATGGTTAGAAATGCACCTTTTTTTTTTACCTTTCTTGCGGAGACAATCTGGAACAAACAAGCATCTCCTGAGGGGCAACAGTTAATTTGACACAAGTATTATTGCTCCACACAACCAAAAAGAGGAGTCAAGGATAATGCTATAAAAAAGATGCCACCGCCACTGATAGATGCTCAATGATTCTGATCAAAAATGTTTAATTAAGCTGTCAGTCTGAGACATTAAGGAAGGCCAAAGCATTGCCACTCATTAAGGTAACTGAAGTACATTATACTGTGATGTACAACCACAACAGTGAGTGCACATACAGTGACTGAAGAGATATTTCACAGAATATATAATGAACACATTCTACTAATGGCAGATGGCTTGCAAAATCATACCATCTACCAGACTGTTCATGTATGAAAACAATCATTGGTAAATAAACAAAGATTTCAACCTCCATTACCATGGGGTTGGAATCAAAGCTGCCATGGTATGCAAACTACACTACATTATTCTTCATTTCTTGCCTACAATCAGATGTAAGGCAGAATGTTCAGTAAATTGTTCTTGTTTCAGAAAAAATAATTGCACAGCACATATCTGTGTACATGTAAATGCCGCTAATGAAATTATAGCTTTAACCAATTTACAAAGCAAAATATATGCATAATAAAAAGCAGCAGATTGTAGTTAAGGGTGAAGTTTGGGTTGCTCATTTTATTTCTCACGTCTACATTTTGCGATTTCCATAAGAAGCTTCTAGAAACAACTATTTTTTTAAAATGACAATCACTGCCAAACAAGACAGATTTGGATTGGTCCTATATTCTATTTTGATCAGCTACAAAACTTTACATTTGAGCAAATTTTCACACTTCTACTATGAAAGGAGCAATACTTTGATACTATAATATATACATTGCTGATTTAATAGTATATTATTAAGGACTAAAGTTACAGTATTAGGATCTCAAACTAAATAAACAAGCAGACAGGTGGTATCTCTGAAAGCTACATTAAATTGATACTAATAGAAGACAACACAGTTCTGAATAGAGCCAACTGAAAACCCATGGGCTCTACAAATTATTGTACAAAAAGATTTATCCTATGCACCATAAACTTTTAATTTTTTTCATAATTAGGAGTTTCTTCCATATTTCAACAATTTCCTATACTGTATTCAACTTTCATCTTAGTATTTGTGCAAATTTGTACAGTGGTGCCCCGCAAGACGAACGCCTCGCAAGACGAAAAACTCGCAAGACGAAAGGTTTTTTCGTTTTCGAGTTGCTTCGCAAGACGAATGTCCCTATGGGCTTGCTTCGCAAGACGAAAATGTCTTGCAAGTTTGTTTCCTTTTTTGTAAAACCGTTAAAACCCAGGGTGCATTGCTGGAAGAGGTGCAGTTGCGACTTGACCTCGAGGAGCAACACATTGCACGCGGTGTGGTGGCCTTTCTGAGCTTTTTAAAGAGTTTGCTGGATTTTTGAAGCTTTTCCAAAACTTCTTCTGCAGCTGTTTGGTAAGTTAAACTTTTGAAACTTTTTTTGGGTTTTTTTGGATTTTGGGTTGGGGTGTTTAGAATTCAAGGACTTGGTGTTGGGGAGGGGTTTGCAAGAATCTGGGAGCTTGTGTGGTTTTTTTCTGCATTTTTATGATTTTCTGTGACCATTGGGCCATGTTAATTTTTTTTTAAAAAAAAAATCTGGCTTTGAATTTTTGAATTTCTGTGTGCTGGGTGGATGGGGGAACAGCTGGGGAGGTGTTTGCAAGAATCTGGGAGCTTGTGTGGTTTTTTTTGAATTTTTATGGTTTTCTGTAACCATTGGGACATGTTGTTTTTTTTTGAAAAAAATTTCTGGGTTTTGAATTTCTGTGTGCTGGGTGGCTGGGGGAACATTTGCGGTGGGGTGGGCACCAGTGGGGGCGGGGTTTGCAACAGTTGGGGCGGGGCGGGGGGAACAGTTGAGGTTTTTGAAGACTTTGGTGATTTTTAAAGCTTTCCCAAAACTTCTTTTGCAGCCATTTGAGGATTTTGAAGACTTTGGTGATTTGCAGCCATTTCGTAAGTTAAACTTTTAAAACTTTTTTTGGGGTTTTTGGATTTTGGGTTGGGTGTTTGGAATTCAAGGACTTGGTTGTGGGTTTGAATTGCTGATTTTTTTTTTCTTTTTCTGAGTTTACAAAGGTAACAGCTGTGCTGCCATGGGACCCAAGAAGGCTGCTGCTGCGGAGGCCGGCGAGAGGAAGAAGGAGAAGGTGACGCTGGAGATGAAGAAGGAGATCATCCGGAAGCACGACGGTGGAATGCGTGTGACGGACCTCGCCAGGGAGTAAGGCAGGAACCCATCGACCATCGGGACCATCCTGAAGATGAGAGAGAAGATCCTTGCGACTGATGCAGCCAAGGGAGTCACCAGGATCGTGAAGAACCGCCCAGCTGTTCTGGAGGAGGTCGAGAAGTTGCTGCTCATCTGGTTAGAAGAGAAGCAGCGTGCAGGGGACACAGTGACTGAGGCCGTCATTTGTGAAAAGGCCAAGGCCTTGCACGCAGACCTCATCCGGGAACAGCCAGGAACCTCGGCCGAGCCAGAAGTCTTCAAGGCAAGCAGAGGCTGGTTTGACCGGTTCAAGGCAAGATCCGGAATCCACAGCGTGGTCAGGCATGGAGAGGCTGCCAGTTCTGATGTTCCTGCGGCTGAAGACTTTGCCTTGGAGTTCCTGGAGGTTGTGAAGACGGAGGGCTACGTTCCACAGCAGGTCTTCAACTGCGACGAGACCGGGCTGTTTTGGAAGAGGATGCCCAAAAGGACTTTCCTCACACAGGAGGAGGCCAAGTTGCCTGGCCACAAGCCCATGAAGGACCGTCTGACCCTGCTCTTCTGTGCCAACGCAAGCGGCGACCTGAAGATCAAGCCCCTGCTGGTGTAACACTCGGAGAACCCACGGGCCTTCAAGAAACACAAGGTCGACAAGGAGCGGCTGAGTGTCATGTGGCGATCCAACAGCAAGGCTTGGGTCACACGTGTGCTGTTTGTGGACTGGGTCAATCTTGCCTTTGGCCCTGCTGTCAAACAGTACCTGCTGGACAACGACCTGCCGCTGAAGGCTTTGCTTCTGATGGACAATGCTCCTGCTCATCCTAAAGGCCTTGAGGTGGACTTGTTGGAGGAGTTCAGCTTCATCAACATCATGTTCCTGCCGCCTAACACCACGCCACTGCTCCAGCCGATGGATCAGCAGGTCATCGCCAATTTCAAGAAACTCTACACCAAGGAGCTTTTCAGGCGATGCTTCGAGGTGACTGATTGCACCACCATCACCCTGCGGGAATTCTGGAAGGACCACTTCGACATCGTCACCTGCTTGAAGATGATCACCACGGCCTGGAACGGGATCAGCCAGAGGAATTTGAATTGCGCTTGGCGCAGCCTGTGGCCGGACTGTGTGGCACCAAGTGACTCTGATGCACCAGAGTCGACAGTGGTGCAGGACATTGTTGCCTTGGGGAGGACCATGGGCCTGGAGGTCACAGAGGAGGACGTCTGCGAGCTGGTGGAGGAGCACGACCACGAGCTGACCACCCAGGAGCTGGTTGAACTGCAGGCAGAGGTTGCGCAGGAGCAGGCCTCGCTGGAAGAGGAGGAAGCAACTGAGGAACGGCTGTCCTCCAAAGAACTGAGGGACATTTGCCAGAAGTGGAATGAGGTGCAGGCTTTGCAGAGCGGCACCACCCTGACAAGCACGTGGCACATGACCAAGCGAACATTTTTGATACGACGGTCATGTTGCCTCTCAGGGAGCTGCTGAAAAGGCGGATGAAGCAGCAGACCATGGACAGGTTCCTCAGCAAGAAGCAAAGAGTGGAAGAGGAACCTTCTTCGAGTGGTCCCCCAGAGTCTTAGAAAATGTAATGTACCCTTTTTTGATTTTTAAATGTTTTCCTGTCATGTTTAGAAACTTAATTTATTGTTCCTTCAATTTTTGATATGCTCTTTAAAGTATGTGTGACTTTAAAGAGCAGTTAATAAACTCTTGTTGTACCAAATTTGGCTTTGTTTGGACTTTTTTTGACCATAGGAACGCATTAATTGAATTTCAATGCATTCCTATGGGAAACCGTGCTTCGCAAGACGAAAAATTCGCTAGACGAAAAAACTCGCGGAACGAATTAATTTCGTCTTGCGAGGCACCACTGTAATGTGGCTAGAGACTCAACACTGTAAACAGTGCTAGATTTTGCCCAGTAAGAGCCACACTTAAATTTCAACACAGCCTTCGATAGTTGAGGCCTGAGTTTCAGAAAGTACTGTACTACTATATTTTAGAGGCACTCTGTGAACAAAGTTAAAAAATTAACCTAATATTTATACAGCAAGGCTTGTAAGGTTATCTTTCAGCAGCACTAGACACCTTGCTGCTACATTTAAATCAGGGCCGCACAATTTAGTTGGTTTATTATATTATTAAACTTTAGAACTTTTCATTGACTAAGGTGTTCCTGAGTAACTGAGCAATACATATATTCATGCTAATTATTTTAATATGAGTAGTTAAAAAAATGACTTATGGCAAGTGTTATCTCAAAAAGACCACTGCTCTTTCTCTTACACTCAAAAGGAATATTTCTTCTAAGGCAGTGCTTGTTGCAACAAGCACACACCATCTCAAAACAAAGTGCTTCTTTTCTTCAAGAACTATTTGAAGATTTCTTCACTTGTATACCATCCAACTTTTACAAAAAAGTGTTGAAACCAAAGATGAAGGCAAATAGTTTTTGGAGACTATAAAATCCCATAAAATTTTTACATATCAAGCCTCAAATGTATCAAAATTGTGCAGAATCGTGGCAAATTACTGTGTACCCTGGTGACTCTGACACACCTGGTACAGAACGAAAACACTATGACGTAATATTTACTAAGATAAATGGTCAAACACTTTACTATCTCGAGCACAAAGTGAAGTATTAAAGGAGGGGCTGCATGCAACCAGAGATCAAAACATGGATATAGATTAATGGAGAAGAAGTGTATGACACTGTTATCCCTACCATGTGCATTTTAAGCACAGAAGACTTCAGTGCGCTGTGTTCCTGGAAGCATCACTAGCATGCTCACATACACAAAGGCCAGGGCATATATCAATCTTCTTCCCCACCCTGTTCATCATGGGTGACTTTTCTGAGGAATTAGAAAGAGGAAAGACAGCTTCATCATACCGCCCTCTTTTAGAGAAACAAAGACACCTGAGAGGGCAAGATGCTCAACTGAAACCCAGAGACATTACACAACTATCCAATTAGCAACTGAAAAACCCATGAACCTCTGATACCAGGATGATGCTACCATGAAAACCTCCAGTTCCATCACAGCCACTGCCTTTACTCCCCCCCCCCCAAAAAAGCCCTACACCCAAAACAGCTGTCCTTCAAATGCTGGAGATGGGAAGTGTATTGAAGTACCTCAACTGATGTGCCCCAAACATGGTGGAGGGCAAGCCAGAAGAAAAGGGAAAATACTATATCTCAGGGAGGAGAGGAGCAGGAGTGACTTTGACCTAACTGGGTCTAGAAAAAGAGCAGCAAACATCATGAACACATACGGGGGGGGGGGGGGACGGCTGGTCCTCGGGCAGCTTCACCTACCTCTCAGCAGCACTGAAGACACAGCTCTTCCCGCTGAACCTGCGGAGAGGGGGGTCTCTGGGTGACATAAAGACAGAGGAGGAGGAGAACCTCACAGGGGGGCTGAAGTGGGGTTACACCGAGACCGAGGTATCGCGCCCGGGCCCCTTCCTCGCCTGCCGGGGCTGAGGCTGCGCGAGCGAGCGAGGCCTCTTTCGGCGGCACCGTCCAGGCACCGGCTTTCGCCGGCCCCTGCCTCGCCCGCCCCCTCCCAGAGTCCCTGCCTCTCCCCTTCCCTCTCACACTTGTTTACCTTCTTCACTGCCTAGCACAGCCACAGTCGCCATCTTCCCCCAACGACAAGCACCCCGCACCGGCCGTCACTTCCGCCGCCGCCGCCGCCACCACCTGTGGGAGAGGCAGAGGGACACGCACAGGAGGAACCTCCATTAAGGCGGAGTGGGATGCTCAGGCCGCCGCCTCCTTCGCCTTCCCAAGGCGCGCTCCCCGGCCGGCTCTCGCAGGACCGCCCCATTCGCCGGTGCTGCCGCTGCCTCACAAAAGCCGCCAACCCCACACGCAACACTGGCCCCTCCTCGCGCAGCGCCCCGCACCAGGAGCCGCCTCCCGGCGGAGCTCCGGCCGCCGCGCCGCTGCCCCGTTCAGCCGGGCCGAAATGCAGCCTCCCGCACGGTCGCTCCCCGGGCCCTTGAACGGGGCTCCTCAGGACCCTACTCCGCCGCCGCCGCCGCCGGGTGGGCTTTCCTCCTCCCCTCCTGTTCTCACACGTTATCAACTTCCACCATCGTTTATTAAATGCCTGTATATGGCCCTTCGTCTTGAGAATCACAGGGCGGTTAACAGCAGAAAAGTCGAAACATGACATCGTTTGGTTTCGTTATTTTCCATTTCTTAGCACACAGGACGTGCATTGACCTAGTTAAGAAGTTTTCTCCCTCCCTCCCTCTCTGAGCACGTATATTCAGTGCTGTGCACTTCAGGAGGGGCACTTCCCACTCGAGTTATCATTGTGTAATACCAACATAGCAGTCTGCAGCCCTCTGCCTGCTTGCACGGGAACGAAACGTTTCTAACTAAACGCACGTTAAGATTGCTCTGTATATAGCAGTTTAATTTTCATGGCTTCCTCCCAAAGACTCCTGGGAACTGTAGTTTGGTGAGAATCCTGAAGCGGTATCTATTCATTTCGGACTTCTGCAAGCAATTAAGAACGCATCTTTCCATAGCATAGTTAGTTGATGGTCTCTGGTGTATATATACAAATTCTAAACCACTTTGAAGTTTATTATGATATAAATATTTTAATAAATAACTGAGCTTCATGGCTGCTACAGCACACTTGCATACCATGGCAGAGTAACTGTCCACTTGGGAAAGCGTATACGGTATATAACAAACATTAAGCCTGTGGTACAGATTTGCCTTTAAGATTACCTACTATGATAATGATATAAGCCTCCTATGACTCTCAGTGACTTAAGAGTAGTCATCTTGGACCAAATGAATTTAAAGGGAGACGGCAGCACGAAACCAATCATTATAATACATCAATAGTTCAAAGCTGTCAATTGTAGATTCCACAAAAACAAATGGATTCGTGCTCATTATACCAGTTAATTGGTTTATCAGTGCCAGGATTTGTGCTAGCAACAACTTTTCTACATTTCATTTCCAGCTGACATCTTTCGTTTTCCCTTCCCCAAAATTAGAATCATAGAATCATAGAGTTGGAAGAGACCACAAGGGCCATCGAGTCCAACCCCCTGCCAAGCAGGAAACACCAATTATATGCATTTATACTCAGAATATGCATCTGAAGAAGGAGACTGTAGTTGGTCCCACCCAATGGATTCGCTGTTGCTAAATATTCCAGAACAATTGTTCATATTGCTAAATGCATATCCTTCCCTAAGGAGAAAAGCTGGGATGGGGAAGAAGTGGCTCATATCTTTAAAAGAAATTCATACTCACATGTATACATAAAATGTACTCCAATTAATAGCTAAACTGATTAAACAGGTGGGGTGTACGCTGCTGCTATACTGTATGACACCAGTATGGGCAAGTAAGATGGACAATGAGGCTTGCTGGGATCCTATCAGAAATGACCTGCCTCACAAAGTAAAAGGAGAGCGGATTATTTGCTAGGAGAGAGGATAAAAAGGCTGATAGCTAAAAAAAGTGCTTCTTATTGGCTCTCTTTCCCTGAGCATGGGAGCGCCTGTCCATCTTTTCTAGAGAAACATTATATTCTGGATTTAAATCTGAGACCTTGGTTATCATGTTTCACATAGGAAAAATGGAAGCTTACGCTGTTTTGGTGGGGTTGAACACTCATTTCCAGTATAATTAGCTATATCCAAACCATTATTATTATTATTATTATTATTAGGCCATGTAAACTCTGTATACTAGAACGGTGGCACCTTTTCTGGCAGACCAGAGTCCATATTGTCTTCCCTGTAAAGAAAGTGAGAGCTTGGTTAAAGACTTTATGTTCATTTTTTAAAAAGTAATTTCCTTACCTTGGTCCATGTGCCCCACCTGCTCCTAAACATATGAAGGAGGGATGAAGGTTTTTTGTTTATAAGTGCAAGCGTATACAGCATATAATTAACTTCTGATATTTTATTTCCTACTGTATATTTTATTATGTTGCATGTTCTGTATATATTTTTCAAAATTACCATCAATAAAAAAATAAGTAAAAAGGAAAAGTAGGATTTCCTCTTGTATTCAGCTGTACTGCAACAGAATGTTGAACGCTCTCAGAAAACCTACGTAAGATCCTTCAAAGGCGGCTCTAAAAACGGAACCGCGCTGAACCAACCATTCCAGTCCCTTTCTTATTCAGTCACAACCCGCAACAACCCCCCTCCGCGCGCCCTTCTCCACATTCCGGCCCCGCCCACTAGGCTTGGGAACGCGGAGCCGCGACGCTCTATGGCAGTCACGCCTTTCCTCACAAGTGCCGGTTGCATCAGCCAGGCCCGGGGTCCTTCCAAGGCTGCCCTCTTCCATGCCTGAGCCAACCCCGAAGCTCCTTGAAGCCAGTCTCCGGGCTAGAAAGAGGCGGCGGGGCCAATTTGTTTCCCTTTGCGTTTGTCAGCGTCGCCTGGGCCGGGAAGCGACGGCAAGACAACCGCTGTGTTCCGTGGCGAGGGGTCAGGCAGGTTCACCGGCCTCCTAACTTCCTTTCAGGCAAGATGGCGGGGGACGAGGCGGGAGTGACTCTGGGGCAGCCGCACCTCTCCCGGCAGGACCTGAGTACCTTGGTGAGAAGCGGGTCTCGAAGGGCGGGGGGGCTCGCGGGCACGAGGCGGCGGCGGGCTGGCCGTTGCCCGGGAGCCTGTGCGAAGCCCAGGGGCAGCGAGTGGGAAGGGAGCTGGTGGGCTTTGCCGACTCCCGTCGGGGCTCCTCCTGCCGCCTCCCCTTCCGTCCAAGCGGGGACAGGCGCTCCTCGTGGTTGGGCTGGGAGAGGGAGCCGTTTGGAGAAGGCGGACGCCAAAAGCTTCGGCGGGAAGGGCGGTGGGATCTGGTGATCCTGCTCTGGGGGATCTGTTGCACGTCCGCCCGCTTCATTCCTCCTCTGGAGGGACAGCTTCGCTTCGTCATTTGAGTGCCAGTCCCAAGCACAGTGCCCTGGGTGTAGTTGAAATTCAGCGTTTAGAAGCCTGCCACAGCTAAATGAGAGTTTTCTGATGCATCCACAGTTTGGGGTGTCATGCAATTGCGTTCCCTCTCCTCCTCCTCCTCCTCTCACCTCTCTTGCCATAGCATAACTAAAAGCAGGGTAGATAGAAATCATCGGAGGGGTATGTTAATGGAGACTTGTCCCTTACTTATATGTGGGTTCATTTGGGTATGAAGTCATATTCCTACTATTTGCTGCCTACCTGCTTCTGTGGAGAGAAGCAAGATGGCAATAGTCAAAACGTGCAAAAAGCAGAGGATGTAGCTTTTGCTCAGTGGCATGCTTTAATATCTTTTGGTATCTTGTGTAATGCAACGTGCCATAAGGTTGATTGCAAATGAGTTGGATCTTGACCTGGCAATGGATTGTGCTGCTTGACTAGACTGAGTTTGTCAGTGCAGTATCTCTCTTACCTTAAACTGTAGTTGGGAACTACAGAGCTCAATAATTTACAGAAAAATCTAACCCCCACCAAGGGAGTTTTCGATGCAGTGGCTCCAAAGCCACTACTGTTCCATTCCAAAACCCCTTGTTTCTGGCTGCTTCACAGGCAGCAGCTGATGGGAACACTGCCAGTAGTATAGTTCCAGCTGGGTGTAGTGACAAGAGCCTTCCACATCAGAGTCCCCAGAGTGTCACCTTTACTTCATCCTAACCCTCTCCAGCAGCACAGGGGTTAGCATTACACTGTGTTAACAAGTAGCCTAGGGCAACTGACCCATTTCTCAGCCTGAGTTTTTAACCTATGAAATAGGGATAAATACCTTCACGTGAGGACGCGGGTGGTGCTGTGGGTTAAACCACAGAGCCTAGGGCTTGCCAATCAGAAGGTCGGTTCGAATCCCTGCGACGGGGTGAGCTCCCATTGCTCAGTCCCTTCTCTTGCCAACCTAGCAGTTCGAAAGCATGTCAAAGTGCAAGTAGATAAATAGGTACCGCTCCAACGGGAAGGTAAACGGTGTTTCTGTGCGCTGCCCTGGTTCGCCAGAAGCGGCTTCGTCATGCTGACCACGTGATCCGGAAGCTGTACGCCGGCTCCCCCGGCTAGTAAAGCGAGATGAGCGCCGCAGCCCCAGAGTCGTCCGCGACTGGACCTGATGGTCAGGGGTCCCTTTACCCTTTACCTTTACCTTCACGTGAAGACAGTAATAATAAAGCATGCAAAACACTTTGTGCTGTAGACAGGCTGTATAATTAATGAAAGAATGTATAACATGAACATTTGACAAATATTGCAAGTTAAATATGAATGATTTAGCATTGTACAACCAAACTTGTGTCACATTTTAAAATTTTGCCAACAGCATTTGTAAAAATCAGGTTTAAAAATCCAGTTGTTTTCTTTCCAGTTAATTACAGGAGGCATTCCAAATCCATTTATATCACAAGCCTGGCTGTTGATTAAAATGAGATGTTGGAACAGTGTGTCCTGCAAAATTGTTTATTTCATTCATAATAGCTTAACATGCCCTTGGATCTTCATAGACGAGGAATAAATATAAACTCAATCAAATAATTTATCTAGTGCTGAACTATATTGTTAATCTTCATTTTGAATGCCTTTATGTTCACTATTGCAAACATGTTACTGTTTCTTCCCTCTGTATTCTGAAAGAGAAAACTAATATAAACAATTGCAGGTTTTTTAGCAACTGTATTTGTTAACAAAGTCTTTCGAAGTAATAGAATATTTCTTTCCTGCAGGATGTAACTAAGTTGACACCTCTGTCACCAGAAGTCATCAGTAGGCAAGCTACAATTAATATAGGTAAGTTAAAACAAATTTAACTGGAAGAGGTTGAAATATATTAATAGCATAGCTTCTTGAGCCCGTGGGTCTCTGTGTGAACTGAGATGCCCGTAAAAAATACTAAGAGAGTTGAGGTCTTCCAGATTAAAGTCTCGATCCAGCGCAGATTTAGGTGTACTTACCACCCATTGAGTTTAATAGGAGTTAGATGCATGTGATAAAATTGTTTCCTTATTTGGCCGCAAATCAAAATACTGACTATGCTTTGTCCCGTCCTAATTACTAAATTGTCTACTCCTGGAACATATCTGCTCTGTGGCTTTATTTTATCCCATTTTTCTTTGTTTGCTAGTTTATCAGTCTTAATTTGAGAAACCTAAATAGCTTTCTTTTGCCTTAAAGTTCAGCATTAGGCAAACAGAATTCATTCTGTATATAATGCCACACTTCCAGCAGGTAGCCTTCATTTTGGTTTCCATCATACTTGTTCTATAGTGGTTCTTACTTTGAACTGAAGCTATCACATTTCTTCATAGAAGATTTTCTGAAACCAAATTAGTTACAGTGGTATCTTGGGTTAAGAACTTAATTCGTTTTGGAGGTCCGTTCTTAACCTGAAACTGTTCTTAACCTGAGGTACCACTTTAGCTAATGGGGCCGCCGCACAATTTCTGTTCTCATCCTGAAGCAAAGTTATTAACCTGAGGTACTATTTCTGCGTTAGCGGAGTCTGTAACCTGAAGCATCTGTAACCCAAGGTACCACTGTATTGTCTCTTCACTTAATATGAAGTTTGGTATACAGATAATGTAGCCTGGAGTTGGAAGAATGTGTCTTAGGGTTGTTTTAGACCTGTGATCTATTATAAACAAATTAATTTACTGACCTCACAAATGGAGGAATCTATTGGTTTGGATACATAGGGATAACTAGAGAAACTAGCACTTCTAAGGTATAGCAGAAAGTGATGTACAGTATTTTTACTCCGTAGAGGATTTTTGTGAAATTGACAAACATTTGTTTTTAAAATCCAGGTACAATTGGCCATGTAGCTCATGGAAAGTCAACAGTAGTAAAAGCTATTTCTGGAGTTCATACTGTCAGATTCAAAAATGAACTGGAGAGAAATATCACTATCAAGCTGGGCTATGCCAATGCTAAGGTATGTCACTACCATATATCCAACAAATTGCCTGTTTTGGTTTGAAGCCATGCTCTTACTATTCTTCAGTGCAGTGTCAGCTGACCAATGGTAAATTAAGCCTTCATTTTCACTTTTTCTCTGCAGATTTACAAACTTGATGATCCAAGTTGTTCTCGACCAGAATGTTACCGATCCTGTGGGAGCAGTACACCTGACGAATTCCCAACAGATATTTCTGGGACCAAAGGGAATTTTAAACTAGTCAGGTAACATGAAATGCTCAACATAAACAATTTAGCATTGGCCCATAGTTTGTTGTGGTTTTTGCTGTGGGTATGTGCTTATATGGAATTCAAACTTAAAATACCCGATTTTTTATTTATTTACCTGTATTGATTAAGTCTGCAACCAGTATTGGTCTTGACAGCAGAAGAAGACTAATGAGCTGCCCTAAGAGCAGTGCTACATGTTCAACTGCTTATGTGGCAAGAAACTCTGAAGTTTGTCTCTAGAATCTGTTCCAACAGATAAGGAAGCTAGAAGAGGCTTGAGGTGCTTTCTTGCTCCTTGTCATTCCTGTGTTATTTGGAAGGCGGGAAATGTTATCAGATTTGCCTATGGCAGGCATGGCCAAACTTGGCCTGCCAGCTGTTTTGGACTACAACTCCCATCGTCCCTATCTAACAGAACCAATGGTCAGGGATGATGGGAATTGTAGTCCCAAAACAGCTGGAGGGCCCAGTTTGGGCATGCCTGGCCTATGGCAAAGCAGCTCTTTGCTAGAAGAAAGCTGTTGGCTGTTTGGGCTTTCTCTTATTACAGTTGTGTGATTCTTTGCCTTAGCATGTTTTTGGGGGGAGAGGAAGTAGGGCAAATTAGTTGCACAATTTATGGAAGGAGGAAGCCCTGCAAACCAGTAACTGCACCTCTCTATATCTCAGATGATTAAGGCTCCAAACTAAGCACATTTATTAGGGAGTAAGCACCATTAAACATAGTGTGACTTTGTTTTGAGTACATTTTAAGAACTAAGAAGAATGTATCTGCTTTTAAATGTATACCGTGCAAAAGTTGTCACTTTTAATTCTTCAGTTGCTTCAAGAAGCAGATATTCTGCATCTTCTGCATATTTGCTTTAATGTGTGGTTATTGCATATTCATAAACCTTCAATTATTTTAATTAGACTAATTATTATTTTGCTTCAGAATAATGTTGCTTATTTTGCTCTTCCTTGCACAATAGGCATGTCTCTTTCGTGGATTGTCCTGGCCATGATATCTTGATGGCTACTATGTTAAACGGAGCAGCTGTCATGGACGCAGCTCTGCTGTTAATAGGTAACTATTGGAGTGGAGAAATTTGACATGGTATTGATACAGTACTTCTGCTTTTTAATAGCTGTTCAGTATTTTCACTGTTGATGAATCCAGTTCTGTAATCATATTTAAGATGCATTGAATTCTGTATGTTTTCAGTGCTGGATGTTTAGATTGTTCCTGTCTAGGAACTGTGACCCACAGAAATAATAGGATGAGATATCATTGTGATCTTTCATTAAGGAAAGTGACCATACTCTAAAACAATGCATAATTATTTGTTCCTTTGTCTTTCCAGCTGGCAATGAGTCATGTCCTCAGCCGCAGACCTCAGAACATTTAGCTGCTATAGAAATCATGAAACTGAAACACATTCTGATTCTACAAAATAAGATTGATTTGGTAAAAGAAAGCCAAGCCAAGGAGCAGTATGAGCAAATTCTAGCTTTTGTACAAGGTAGGTTTCTAGAACAAAACCAGTCACTGCCAAGTAGTTTATTACAAGCAAACACTTACCATAAATTCTGAGTTTAGCAGTTAACCGTGTTTTAAAACATCACTTTGTGTGTTAATCTATATATTAGTAAAATTCTGCAAAAGGTTTTAGAAAATAAGCATGAATAAACTTTGGCTCAGGCCTTGAGCAGATGGGATGCAAGGACTCCCCTCTTGAATGCTAAGTAATGGGTACAGTAAAGGGTCCATCTAGTATGTTTGTGCAGTACAAGAAAGGCTTAAGTGCAAAGTGCTTGAATTTTAGAGAGCTTTCTCTCTTGCACTTCTAAGTGGCTTGGGTGACCATTGGCATTGTGCCAGTATACAGTCACTACACCAGGGATTAAGAATGGCAGTTTGATTTTGGCACTACTGTATGTACATCGGGAGCTGGTGTTGGTAAAAATGTCGAAATTAGTCCCTTTTGGCTTCTTCCATGTCCAAGTGGAAGGCACATTTTACAACCACAGGCTCTTGTGTCATTGGGTTTTTTTACCTGCCTCAGTCACACAGGTTCCCATGGTTCCTTTCCTAGTTTCAAATATTTCAAAATATTCTGTTGGGTGAAACACTTGGATGTATTTATTATTCTGTCTTTGAAAAATTGCTTCAAATAGTCTCACCCAAAAAGAAAATTCAGTAGTCTTGAACATATGAAATATGTGTCTCTTAAAAGTCCTCAGATTATGGTAATCTGTGAGAATAATCCCAAATAAAAAGGTAAGGGGCCCCTGACAGGGCTCTCAAGCCGGGAATGAATGATGTTTCAAGATGGACTGAATTAGAAGGGAGGCGATTTAAATTCAAAATAGAATAATGATTCTTAGTCAGTGGTGTTCTTTTGCAAAATCATCCCAATCCTCAATTCTCGCCATGTGCACTCAAAAATAGGATTTGTAAACAAATAGAAGTACTAAGCATTATATCCTTTCTTTCTGTACCCACATCCACACATGATTTCCAAAACAATTGTATTTTCAGATTCAAATGCCAAACCTTGACTAAAACACAATAGATTTGATAATATTGTTGCACCTAGTGGGTAGGATTATGATTACCCCTTTTCTTTACTAAAGTCTCACATTTTAAAATGAAATCCTCACTTTCTAGATAGTCTTAACAATCTGCTTTCCATCTCTCCTAGTGGAATTAATATATATATTTTTGAGTAGCAGACCTTATGTTGCAAATTGCTTTTAAAAGTCTGTTTCATTTAAAAAGTAATTTGCCACATGGTGTGAGAGCTCTTGTTCAGAAAAGGAAAGACCAAAGTTTCTTTGGCCACTAGTTTGTTTGGATCTTGGACATTCATTCTGAAACATCTGGTTTCCAAGGGTTCAAACTATTGCAGATTGTGATGATTTTACTATGAGCCAGGGTTTGTTTTTTTTAATTTTTTAAAATTTAGATTGACTATTCTGCTTCTACAAACTCAAAACTGCGTGGACTGTTTGCTGATAAATATCACTACTGAATATATAGCTAAATCATATGCATTATTCCATCTTCGCCGCATCAAGCAGTTGGTCCCTTACCTTTCCCACCCCGACCTGGCCACAGTGATCCATGCGACGGTCATCTCCAGGCTTGACTACTGTAATTCGCTCTATGCGGGGCTGCCCTTTAAGCTGTCCCAGAAACTCCAGCGGGTGCAGAATGCTGCAGCGAGGCTCCTCATGGGGTCTCTGCCATGGGAGCATATTCACTCAGTGCTTTTCAAGCTGCACTGGCTCCCGGTGGAGTACAGGGTCAGATTAAAGGTGCTGCTTTTGACCTTTAAAGCCCTTCACGGCCTAGGACCCTCGTACCTACGGGATCGCCTCTCCCGGTATGCCCCACGGAGAGCCTCAAGGTCCATAAATAGCAACACCCTAGTGGTCCCGGGCCCTAAGAGAGTTAGATTAGCTTCAACCAGAGCCAGGGCCTTTTCAACTCTGGATCTGGCCTGGTGGAACGCTCTGCCTCATGAGACCAGGGCCCTGCAGGATCTGATTTCTTTCCGCAGGGCCTGTAAGACAGAGTTCTTCCGCCTGGCCTTTGGCTTGGAGCCAATTTGATTCCCTCCCTCTCTTTTCTTTTTTCTTTTCCTTCTCCTCCTGTGATGAGGCTACATTTTAATGTTTCAATATTTTAATTTTGTATTTTAATTTTGTTTTTAAGTTGTAATCATTCAACTTGTTTTTATTATTGCTTGTAAGCCGCTCTGAGCCCGGCCTTGGCTGGGGAGAGCGGGGTATAAATAAAAATTATTATTATTATTATTATTATTATTATTATTATTATTATATTGAAGAGCAAGCTTTAGTTTTTGGTGCAAGTGTATTCGCCCAACAGTTCTGTGTTGTTTTGTAGACTGTAAAGAAAATAGGCAGAAAGCTTACTTGTGATATAGATATCTTTTGAACAATTCACATAACTGGTGCTTTTAATACATTATTATCTGTGAAAATAGGTACTGTTGCAGAAGGAGCTCCAATTATTCCAATCTCGGCACAGCTGAAATACAACATTGAAGTTGTTTGTGAATACATAGTAAAGAAAATTCCAGTGCCATTAAGAGACTTCACATCAGAACCAAGGCTTATTGGTATGTCTGCTTCAGACCTGTCCACTTTTATGTAGACTCACCCCCTTGCTTACAACATTAGATAAACAATATTTAGAATTAAATAAGATTTACAATGCCGTTGTAAAGCATATGTAGTGCAAGTACTCAGACTTAAAAACTGAAGAATAAATCATACGTAAAAAAACCAAAAGTAACCATGCTACTTCATGTTGGATTTTTAAAAAACCTTCCAAAACCCACAGGCCTATCAAAATGTCACAAAAGAGGTGGTTTTTTAAAATTCCCTGGAACTCTTTATCAGGCAAGATGTTACACACAGCAGAGATAGAGGGGGATAAAGGAGGAACATAGGTGGAATTTTGCAGCCATAAAGTCAGCTTGTAGGCTCCATTCCAAGATGCGAGGTTACAAGCTGAATAAAACTGGCAGATGCTGTGAATAACATAGATTCTGAGCTGCTCCCTCTTGTTTATGCAGAGCCTGCATAAACTAGGAGTGTAAAATGGCCAAAAGATCTGACCTCTGTCTGTATCTTTGGAAAGCAACCTAGTCTGTTTTGGAGTTGCTTTGTCTCTCTGTTTTGGCTTGTTATTCAGGACTAAATTGGATTTGTTAAATATGAAGCTTTGTTTCTCGTCCATGGGCTTTTAAGTTTTTCTTTTTGCATAAGTAGGTGAAAATTTTCATGTATAGAAGCCCCTTCAGAGTGGACTAAGCCTGCCAGATTGTAGACAGAAGCATTTGCGGGGAGTTTTGTGCAGGGTGCTTTTTAAAGTTCATTTAAAAACAAACAAACAGGAAAAGTATTAACGTTTACATTTTCCGCCAAAATTGTATACAATTTGCAGGCATCTTTGCCCTGTGAGAGGTGATGAAGCCTGCCACATTTTAGAATGATAGCTGTATAGGGTGGACACAATAGGAATCTTAAGGGGGCTGTGGCTGGTGATGGAAAAAAGTATGGCTCTCCAGGAAATACTGGGGTGGGGTAAATGTCACCCCCAGCAAGGACCCTGTTATGTCAAGGGGTGGGGGACTGCTGCCCTTCTTGGATTTGTGGAGATACAGTGGAGATCTCTCTATTGACTTGCATTGAGGAAGGCAGATACATGTGACAAATCCCTTCCCCAGATCACTGATTGGAGTGCTCTAGGAGAATAATTCACTGTGATTCAAATCTAGACCCATCTCCCTGCTCTCTACCTCATCCCTTCTGGAGTTCGGGGCATGTCCCTACTTAGTTTGGTTTCATTTCTCAGAAGAGAGAAGAAAAACAGGCGTGCTCGGAAGCTTAAAGTAACCTTTTATCTGACTTGAGATGCCTTGCTCACAGCTTACTCCAACCCAGAAATATGAGAATCGTCCCCAAATCATCTTGGTTTATCTTGTAATTGGATATGCACAGACCTGGAGCATACTCCTAGGATATACCATGTTTAATGGTATGACTACAAGCATATTTACTGGGAAGTAAATCCTGATTCAGATGGATGAGTTTAGGACTACAGCCTACAGTATGGTGCAAGTAGAGATTCAATATTTTTAGAGGATACCATTAAATTTTGAAGTCATACACCACAGCGCTATTCAGGCTTGTGCAGGGCAAATACTAACCCAGTGAAATGTTTCTTGTCCTTTAGCAGTTGGCCTCCACATCACAAACTCATTTTGCACCTTCCCTCAGATGAAGTTTGAACCGAAGCCTGGAAAAAAATGAAATATCCTTGGGCTCATTAACCTAGGAACATAATTATTTGTATTCTGGATTCAGTCATTCAGTTTCTTCTATCAGACATATGTACATAAGCATATGATCTACCGGAGAAGTACAGTGTTCTTAGAGTTCCTAGGCACAGATGTGTGTTTTTGAGTCTTTGCTGTGGCTTCTGCAGACTCCTGAAGTCACTTCTACATAATCCATTTTAGCACTATCAAGATGTTGTGATGATAAGCAAGTATTTCTGTCTTAAACTTATAAATGCACTCTGGGTTGTAATTTAGATTGGCTCCAAAGGTTTTCTTCTTTCTCTTGATAGAGCCCACCCTGTATCCAACGATTTGTAAAAATTGTGTTGCTCGGTTTTATCTGTCTAGTCTTTCAAATGATACAACTTCAACTAATCAGTTTAAAGATTGAAGAATCTAGGTTTAATTGATAGCAGGGTTTTTTGCTTTGCTTGAAGCGCTCCATGAGATTTCCATTATACTTTCATCTGAACAGTACATTGTAACAATAGGTAGGCATTAAAGGGCCCTTGAAATAATTTATTGTGTGTTAAGTCTGTCCGCTGACTTATAAAAATTGCACCTTAAGTTTTGTGTGCTTGCCACAGTCACATGGGAACAGCATTACGTATATACTTTGGTCAGCAAGAAAAATTTGTTGGGAGTAAAAGATTGATGCAGGCATTTACTGAATGTATCTGATTAGATGTATCTTTTCAGTTATTAGATCTTTTGATGTCAACAAGCCTGGATGTGAAGTTGATGACCTGAAAGGAGGTGTAGCGGGCGGTAGTATTCTAAAAGGTGTATTAAAGGTAATGCCATTCTTATTTCACTGCTGCTTCCCCAGATGCTGCGTGGCAAACCACAGAACCTGCATTTATGCCGAGGAAGAAATAAACATTGTTTAAAATTGTATCCTGATAGCACTTATAACCAGGATCTGAAAAGGGTTTTTTATATGAGCCCCAAGGCTTAGATGTGACATGTAATTTTTTATTTTAAAAAATAAATCCTTGGAACAAGAGGTTTTAATATTAAATCACAAACTATTCATGGTGCTCCATTTTGTTTCAGATGCAGTTTGTCATGAGCCATAGAAGGGCTTGATGAAAAGACCAAAATCTATCTTGGGGTATTGAAACTAGTTTCTTTCAACCAAGCCTCATGTCTTCACATCCCTATTTTGAAAACCCTAATTCTCTTCTTGGTTTTGCCCATATAAACATTTCTCTCTCAAAAAACAAAATTGTTATATCAAAGCAAGGTTAATTTTATGATACTACAGATAGAAAGTCTGTAACTTGATACAACTATGAGTAACCCTTCAGGTTTTTTAAAATTATTATTTATAAACTAGGTAACTAGCATCTTACTGGCATAGAGCACCTTTATTTTCTTTTAATATTCTGTCTTTTAATCTGTTTATAGGTAGGCCAGGAGCTTGAGGTAAGACCTGGCATTGTATCGAAGGACAGTGAAGGAAAACTTATGTGCAAGCCCATCTTTTCCAAAATTGTATCACTCTTTGCAGAACACAATGATCTGCAGTATGCTGTGCCTGGAGGGCTTATTGGTAAGTTATATTTGATATTTATGCCACACCTATTTAAGAGCCGTAGGAAGTGTAACATAAATTAAGAGCGCATCTATAAACGAACATAACTGTTCAAACATCTTAATTAAGAGAGATTTCTTTACAGGATTATTCCAAGAACTTCTCTAACACATATTGTGTAGGAATGTGCTGGCTGGTGGTAGCTATGTACATTCATAGCACGTATATTTAGTTGCATACCCAATATTTGAATACTGCAGTTAACTTGTAGAATATGCACATAGATGCTTTACAGAATGTAGAATTGTGGGCAAGAAGTGTACTTTGTTTTTTTCCCGTTCACTAATAGCTGTGCCTCTTGCCTGAGAGGGGAGAAAACTATCATTATAGCACTTTAGTTGTTCTGCCCTTTAAACGATTTAAAGAGGCTGATTTCTCTTCAGTGTTGGTGTTTCACTGTCAGCAGTGCATGTAGCACTCTCACTTTCTCTCTGGAGAGAGTGTGCTTGAAGAGACAACTTGGGAGTCCCTCATCTGAAATTTAGATGTTATGACATATTTGATATTGGATAAAATATCCAATTCTGAAGAGGAATTTAAGTATATATGTGGTTTAGCCAGCATGGCAGATTTTGAGAGAATCTATTGGTCACATAGCTTTTGATGTAACTTAAGTGTTTTGTTGTTAGGTGTTGGCACCAAGATTGATCCAACTTTGTGCCGAGCTGATCGAATGGTGGGGCAAGTTCTTGGTGCAGTTGGAGCTCTACCTGAAATATTCACAGAACTTGAAATTTCCTACTTCTTGCTGAGGCGACTGTTAGGTGTCCGCACTGAAGGAGACAAGAAAGCAGCAAAGGTCGGTTATTAGGCACTTTCCATGTAAAAATACTGGGAAGAATTGAAATTCTTCATCTTTCAGTACTTGAAAAGGGTGCTTATATAACTTAAATGACAAAAGAGTTGTATCTGATTTTCCTTTACCACTTATTTCAGGTGCAAAAACTATCCAAAAATGAAGTTCTAATGGTAAACATAGGATCACTGTCTACTGGAGGACGAGTCAGTGCAGTGAAAGCTGATCTGGGCAAAATAGTCCTAACAAACCCTGTGTGCACCGAAGTAGGAGAAAAAATTGCCCTTAGTCGAAGAGTTGAGAAGCATTGGCGGTAAGTTGGTTTGAAATTTTAAAAATGTCAAAATGATATTCCTAGATGCGTGGGTTCTTGCCCATTAGTAGTTCTAATATATGAGAACCGGAGAAAAGATTGCAAAATGTAAGGCAGGATTGAGCCTCTCCATTACAGGCAACATGCATGAAAGCATCAGCTATTAACAAAAGTGTGTCTTCATTAATTGCTTTGTTCATAAACTACAAGCCATCATCCCATTCTATGACACACTTTGTCCAGAATAACTTTTTTAAAATATGTACTTACAGCTTTTTAAATGCAACTTCCAGTAATTGTCAACTTTTTCTCTGTTTTGCAGTTTAATTGGCTGGGGACAGATTAGAAGAGGAGTGACAATCAAGCCCACAATAGATGACGACTGAAAAGCTGAAATGCATTGCTTCACTTTGTAAAAGCTGAAGTGTTTCCATACACCTTGAGAGTGCATTTTCAGAGTGGAAGCTGTTGTACAATGTCCACATTATACTGAAAATCAAGCCTCTTAACTGAAATTCTAGTTGGTATCTGCAATAAATGTGTAAAAGAAATTGGCAAAGACGGATTTAATTATCCTCACTTACAGCAAAACTAAACTTGACTCATGTTTAATTTATGTCAGTTTGTCTGAGACTCTCTTTGGGGCTGGCTTACCTAACTTTAAACAATGTAACACAATACCCCACAATCTGTTTTGAAATAAAAAATATTGCTTATTTTTTCATTTAATTCTTACAAGTCTTTGAGTAGCAAAAAGCTGAAAAGATTGTTGAACCAGTGGAAAAAATAATAATAAACACTCCTTGGAAGATCAGTCCCCTTTCTTGCCCTATTGTTTAGCTTTCAGGCTTCTAGCAAATATTTTCTTTCTGCAAGTCACTGTATTTTTTCTGTTTATAGTTGAGATCACTAAGAATCACTGATTTTACTTACTTTGTAGATGTTTCTAAAACCACAAGGACATAAAATATTGTTCACATGGAATGCGAGACAGTTCTCACACTTTAAATGTTTGCTTTTAATAATGGTCAAAGCAGATTCTCTAAAAAGAAGAAACTTAATTGCAGTCCTATGAGTTTCTTAGATAAGTGACTGTATGTGTGATCAATATGCCCTTGGAACAATACAGTGGTACTTCTAGTTGCAGACTTAATCTGTTTTGGGGCGCCATTCGCATCCGAAAATTCCACAACTAGAGTGCCTCTTCTGCGCATGTACGCAGTGCAATCGAGCGCTTCTGTGCGTGCGCGGCCAGTGAACCCAGAAGTAAACACTTCCAGGTTTGCCACGTTCATAAGCTGAAAGTCCGTAACAAGAACGGAACGCAACGTGAGATATGACTGTATTAATATTAAAATACATGGTATTTAGAAATCCATGTTTAGAATTGTCATGTGAATAGGTTTCCATCTACAATGGATCATTTGAGTTGGAAGAGCATGTGAATATCAGGGTTCACTTAGGAAATTGTGTTGTGGATAGAATTTGAACCCACTTATTGGTACAAAATTCATATAGCTCAACATCGATCCTAAATTGTAACAGCGAAAACCCTTGAGAATAAATTAACTATGCCATTGCATGTTGATTTTATTCCTGTTGTCTGCAGTGTTCCAAAGTGGATAGGAGAAAGAATGGAAAGTTATTCTAACTCATGCTATTTGGAGGCACAAAATCATCTAGGATTGTAGATGTTTGCTGTTGCTTTCCATTATCCACATCCACAGTCTTAGAGGATTTTGTGCCTCCAAACTCTCCTGTGCACAGGAATTTGAAATGCCTTTCCCTGATCCTTATCCTAAACTACATGTGCTTTCCGCAGGAGGAAAATAGATAAAGAACAACTCAAACTGCATTCTCGCGTGGAAGACTATCTTAAGCACTTGATTCTTGTATTCTCCAGAAGATCCAACACTGCAACAGCAAATAGTATTTTATACCCTATAGCAGGCACCCCCAAACTCGGCCCTCCATGTTTTTGGGACTACAACTCCCATCATCCCTAGCTAACAGGACCAGAGGTCAGGGATGATGGGAGTTGTAGTCCCAAAAACATCTGGAGGGCCAAGTAGGGGAATGCCTGCCTTATAGCCTATAGACCCAGCATGAAATGAAATTTAAGCTCTCAGCCTTGCTTTCTGGGCAAAGCCCACTCGGTGCTCCTCTGATAGTGGTAAGGATGCTCCCCTTCCAACTTTTAAACTCTGTATTGCAACTGGCAGCCCACAGCACAAAGCCCATGGTCCCAGGGTAAGACAGTTCCATCTAGCTCCTGGCAATCCTACCAAATTTTAAACCAATTATAGTAACGTACCTTGACTCAAGCGACATAGATTTAAAGGTTAGGGTTAGGGAAACAAACCAGGAACCAGGGCAACTGTTTTAAGACTGGCAAAAAGTTGCACGATTGAGAGTTTGACTACTACTAAAAGGAAGTGTTTCTGCAGCTAAATATGTTTATGGTCCTGAGAGCAGAGTCTGGAGCATAAAGTACCTTGGAAAATCAAGGTCTTGGCCATTCCTGCTTTTAACAAAACCAGAGAGAACAAAAAAGTGCATGAACAACTTTTTTATATTATGCACACTATTAGCTAAACTGGTTATTGTGGAATATAACATAGGTTGATGTACCACATTGGACTAAAAGCTCTGAAACATCCCCATTTTGTTGCTCTCCAGCTCGGGAATCTCATCAATAGCACTGATATACTTTTATCTCCACAAATCCATCTAATCTTTAAAGATTGAGAGGGGGTTTCATAAATCATGTGGTATTTGAAACAGTACTTTAGACCAGGCCCATGCAGAGCTTGTCTGAAGCCCAACACAAGATTCCCTAGTTGACTGGGAGGCCTGTCGGGATTCAGGCCTCATCATGGGACTGAAACTGCCTTGGTTACACTGGTTGATGATCTCTGGCGGCCTAGGGACAAAGGCGAAAGCGGTTTCCTAGTTCTGCTGGATCTCAGCAGTGTTTGACACCATCGACCATAACATCCTTCTGGACCGTCTAGAGCGGCTGGGAGCTGGGGGCACTGTTATACAGTGGTTCCGCTCCTTCCTCCTGGGCCGTATTCAGAAAGTGGTGGTGGGGGATGAGTGTTCAGACCCCTGGGCTCTCACTTGTGGGGTGCCTCAGGGTTCTGTCCTCTCCCCCATGCTTTTCAACATCTACATGCTGCCGCTGGGGAGAGATCATCAGGAGGTTTGGGCTGGGTGCTCATCAGTATGCGGATGATACCCAGCTCTACCTCTCTTTCAAATCAGAACCAGTGAAGGTGGTCAAGGTCCTATGTGAGTGTCTGGAGGTGGCTGGAGGCTAACAGATTGAGGTTGAATCCTGACAAGACAGAAGTACTGTTTTTGGGGGACAGGAGGCGGGCAGGTGTGGAGGACTCCCTGGTCCTGAATGGGGTAACTGTGCCCCTGAAGTACCAGGTGCGCAGCCTGGGAGTCATTCTGGACTCACAGCTGTCCATGGAGGCGCAGGTCAATTCTGTGTCTAGGGCAGCTGTCTACCAGCTCCACCTGGTACATAGGCTGAAACCCTACCTGCCCGCAGACTGTCTTGCCAGAGTGGTGAATGCTCTAGTTATCTCTCGCTTGGACTACTGCAATGCGCTCTATGTAGGGCTACCTTTGAAGGTGACTCGGAAACTACAACTAATCCAGAATGCGGCAGCTAGACTGGTGACCAGGAGCGGCCACTGAGACCACATAACACCGGTCTTGAAAGACCTACACTAGCTCCCAGTATGTTTCTGAGCACAATTCAAAGTGTTGGTGCTGACCTTTAACCTTTAAAGCCCTAAACGGCCTCGGTCCAGTATACCTGAAGGAGCGTCTCCACCCCCATCGTTCTGCCCAGACACTGAGGTCCAGTGCCAAGGGCCTTCTGGCAGTTCCCTCACTGTGAGAAGCCAAGTTACAGGGAACCAGGCAGAGGGCCTTCTCAGTAGTGGCACTCACCCTGTGGAACGCCCTCCCACCAGATGTCAAGGAGAAAAACAACTACCAGACTTTTAGAAGACATCTGAAGGCAGACCTGTATAGGGAAGCTTTTAATGTTTAATATACTATTGTATTTTACTATTCTGTTGGAAGCCACCCAGAGTGGCTGGAGAAACCCAGCCAGATGGGCGGGGTATAAATAATAAATTATTATTATTATTAGGCATTCTTGGCATAACAGCACTAGTCTGGCAGGCCCCTAGCACCCCACCCCACCCTGCTAGCTTAGCCCTCCAAGGCCCAGGGCAAGTGTACCTGTCTGCCCCCTCCTGCATGGGGCAACTTTAGACAGAAAAGTACTTGTCATTAAGTACAGTGAAAAATCCAATTTACAAAATAGTATATTCAAACAAGAGCAATCCTGACAGGGCAGAAATGCTGGTGTATCTCCTGAAGCTGCATCCTAAATGTTTTGGGTGGGGATAGATGGGACAGTGTGTAAACCTTCACCTTCTATCCTACAATTTACTCCTGTGGAGTGAAATTTGTTACATCTGTGTTTTTGGTGGTGTGAAATAGACAAAATTCCATGGGTGGGACCAGCAGATGGGAGGTTTCAGGGGGCAGTGTATCTGTTCCTCCCTTATTCTGCTCTTGACATGCCCAGTTTTTTACTTTGACACAAAGATGCATAATTTCTGCATCTTAACTTACCCCAGCAGCAGAGCTCTCTCTCAGATGGGAAAATACTCTAGTTGGGAAGTTACTATGTGACCTAATTGGGGGCTAGGATTGCACTTTAGTACAGAAAAGCCCATAAGAGTTGTGGAATACATTGCTAGTTAAGACTGAGGAATGGTATGCTAAGACTTCTCTGCGGAAATTAAGGTGTCCGATGGAAATGAGTGCAGACTGAGTATCTGCAGAAATCTCCTTTGGCGATCACTCGTAGCTGAGTAAGATTGTCTTTCATAAACACGGTTTTAACAATGAGTCCATAAGTGACTGTGGAGGCCTATTCTGGATCTACACGTCTTTCCACAGTGGGGACATTGGTTTCCAGGCAGGAGTTGATCACAGTGTGGATTTGCCAAGCGTGCCTTCCTCTTAACACTTTTCTCCCTTGCGTACTATAGTATCAGCAGCACCAGCTTTGCTAATACCGCCAAATCCCATAAAAAGGGAGGAATAAGTATTTTTAAAATTTCTACAAGTAAAGGAAATAGACAAACTCTGCTGTTAGACATCAGTATTTCTCAAAACAAAGTATTGTATATACAGCACTGCATACAGAGGTCCACTTACAGTGGAAGCACCTCTCCTTACACCCCCAAAATCTGTTCCAGAGACACTCCCCCAACCCTTGAAGCAGATTTTAAGAGTAGGGGGTGCAGGGGAGAGGAGAGGAAGTTCTGTTCCACAAGAGGATGTGTGTTGCACAAGTGGAATGACAGCATCGACTAGAAAACTGCCTTTAAAAGGAAGGATTAAAACTACGACAGAAAATGTTGTTTCTAAGAAGCACATATGGCATCACTGTGTCTTAACTATGTGGTATAGGGCTGGGGAGCTAGCCCTAATTATGACAGACCAGCCATCCTCTATATCATTATCATCATTTGTGTCTGAAAAGATACACACATTGGAAAGCAAGTGTAACATATCTTCTTTTAAATATTAAATAATTATGACACTTATAAAATGTAGCGGTGCTTCACAACTTAAAACTGCAAATGGGAAAATTAAAATTTATAACCTAATTTTTCCAACTGATACAACAGAAAGCAAGCTTTGGCGATACCTGAAATGCCCAATTATCACATGAATTATACTGGCTGGCTAAACTCGTATTTATTTGAATTTTTAAAAACAACATTTTTAAAGAAAAACGGCACCACGGTTTTTTTTGGGTTTTTTTTTTTAAGATTATGACCTTTAACAACCGATTCTTGAGAAGTTTCCTGCATTTCCCTGTTCAATCTTTCATCCCAAAAAACATGTATTGTTCTCGAGGCGGGGGGGAGAGAAATGGGGCCTGAATAAGTAAAGATTTTAATCCAAAAATGTCGGCATGCAATAAACGCTTTCTTTTTAACAAGGCGGTGAGCAGAATAAACTTCGGCGATCGAGGGGGGCAAAAGAGAAATCCGGGAGGCGGGGGTGCCCCCGGCAGTGCCTGCGGGGAAGCCACCCCGAAAAGTTGGGGATTTTCCAGGCCTAAACCACCCTCCGCTCCCCGGCGCCGAGTTGAGCAAGTCTGAGCCCGGAGCGGAATTTTACCGCCGAGCTGGAACGGAGGAGGCGGCGGCGGCGGCGGCGGCGGCAGGAGCGGCAGCTGCAGCGGGAGGGGCTGGCAGAGACCCGCCGCCCTTGCACTTCATCTTCCCGTCCCTGGCCCGGTTCCTTCTCCTCCGCCCGCCCGCTCGGCCCGGCCCGGCTCCTGGCCTGAAGAGCAGGCGGCTCAGGCGGCAGCAGCGCCGGCTTCTCCCTTCCGCATTTCCCTGGGTCTCTCTCGGGCAGTGACGTGACGTGCTGACGGCGGCCCGGCCCGGGGAGCTTGGCCGCTTCCACTCAGCTCCGAGCTCGGCCCCTCCCTCCCCTCCGCTCCCGCCCGCCCCGCCGCTGCGGCTCTACCACCGAGATCGGCCCAGCTACGCGCAGAAAGGCCGCGCAGAGGCCGCCGCCGCCGCCCCGCCCGGTAAGCAGCACGGGACAGGCCCCAGCTAGGCCCTTACCCCGCGCGGGACCAGGCCTCGGCGCCCGCCGACGTGCAGGCCCCGAGAAGGCCGCAGCTAGGCCGCGGGCCCGGGCTCCGTCCTGCAGGAGTGGGCCGTGAGGCCCTGCTCCGGGGCCTAGGCGGCCGCAGCTCGACTTCCAGGAAGGGAAGAGGCGGCGGGGTGGCGCGAGGCGCGCGGGGAAGAGGTCTGAGGCGCGGGGCTGAGGGAGCGAGCGGGGCCGGGGCCGAGTCGGAGGGAGACTGCAAGGAGGAGACAAGATGGCGGCGGCAAGGGAGGCTGAGGGAGAGTGCCGGCCGCCATCTTGAATGCATCGCTCCTGGCCCCAGACAGTCCCCATTACGGGCAGGGCAGGGCGGAGACGGCGCCAGTGGGGGAGGCTCGCCCCTCCCCTCCTTCCCCGTCTTGTGCCCAGTTGTCCTGTTCGGCTGCTCGTGGGCCAGCTCCAGCCCCGCAGCCTCCCGCCCCACCGCCGTAGCTTTTGACGGGCTGGGCGGCTTTTCCAGGCGATTCCGCTGCCAACGATGCGGTTAAACGATGTCCCGTCTCCGCGGGGCACGAGCAGCGCACACAACCGCCCCCAGGCTCCTCTGGAAAGGGGCCCATGTGCCAGTTGGCGCCAGAGTTTATTCAAGGGACTCTCTTTTTTTTGGAGGGAGTGTGGGGGAAACCATATACAGTATACATAATACTTCATGTCAGGGAATATAGATGTCTGGCTCTCCATTCTGGGGAAGACCAACTGGCTTCATTGTGAAGGGGATGCGGGGTCGCTTGACATCTTCCGTGGGGTGTTAACACTTTAGTGGGGTAGAGGTGGCGCAACGCTAGAAACCAAATTAAAAACGCCACACTAGGCAGGCTTAGTACATTTTTGCAGTCTTCAGCTCAAGCTCACCCAATTAAAAAGGAAAAGCAGTTTTCTCTGGGTAACCCACAGTGCAGCCTCTGGGAGTTTCACTCACGTGTTAGGATGTCAGACAAAGTGCCTCGAGGTGTGGGATTAGTGGTTTTTGTGTTTCTTAACTAATATGTGGAGTAGACAGGTCGGGTTACTGTGAATCGGGAAGGCCACTGAAAGTTAATATATCTGCTGTGTCTAAAACAATAAAAAGTAATTGCCAAATGAACGTCTGAAAAGCTAATGGTGATTGCGTAGAGAACATCTTTCAGTTTTAGGGACAGTGGGAAAGGGCTACTAACGTACAACTTGCTTTAGGGAGGGAAAAAACATTATTTACTAAAGTCTCCTGTGAAGTGTATACGACACAATCAGGCAGGGAGATGAGATTGTAAAATGATTTTCTGGAGTAAATATATATATTTCCGTGTGTGTGTATCCACTTTCTGCAGAGTGAGTAGAAGCAGAAAATAATGTGCGTGGTAATTTCCCTGGATGTTTGATAATAAATTTCAGCTTATTTTGGACTCAACAGCATTTGTGCAATAAGCAAATCAAAAGCTTTTAACTGTCCCAAACTTCTGTGATGTTGAAATGCATGTAGAGTAGTTTTGCTTGCGACTAAGGATGCAGTTCGAAAAACACAGTTTCTGTTTATTCCTTGCACATTAGCATCTCAATATTTCAAATTTTCATTATGAATAAATCATGGATTTACTTAAAAAAGCAACTTATTGCTCACAAGTAGCAAGAAACTTTTGGTAATGCTGCTACTCAGCGGCTTTTCATACCATTACTATGACATACTTCTGCCCCTCCTGTCTGCGTTGGAGACACCATGTTACAGTGGCTCCACTTCTTCCTGAATGGTCCAAGAAGGTGGTTTCTGCTCTGCTTCATGACATGCAAAATGCCTCGGGGTTCTATTTTATCTCAGTATTATCTTCAGTATTTAGAAGCCATGGGAGACAGTTGAGAGAAGTCATTGGGAGGTCTGAGTTGCAATATTAACAGTTGTCATGGACTGGCTGAATGCAGAGAAGTGGTGGGAGGCACCAGCTGGAAAACCACCCAGGGAAAAAAGGATCAGAGCCAGGGAACTGGTGGTGGGATAACGATGGGTGGTCAGAGGGAGAAGGCTGGGGGGAGGAAGTGTCGGAAGCTGAACAGGTAAGAGGGTTTGGTGAGCAGGAAGAGTGTGGCAGAGTCCAGAACCAGAGGCAGAAGAGGAGGCTGGAGAGGAGGGGGGCCAAGAGGCAGAGATGAGTCAGGCTGCTGAAGAAGGCAAGGAGTTTCCCCCTCCTGTGGCAAGCTCTCTTTCCCCCTGGTCTCCCAGAACCCAAAGAGGTGTGAAGAGGGAGGAATAAAGACAGGCAAGGGGAAGAAGTCACAGGTTGCTTGGGAAGGACCCTGGGGGAAGAGAGACTTAGGGAGTTGTGGGAAGGCACCAGCTGCCTCTTGGGGCCAAGACCTACTAGGAAGAGTTACTGTGCTCACTGGGCCTGAGCTGTTTTTGTTTATTTCAATAAAGAGTTAACTGACACCTTGTGAGTTATTGCTGACCTGCTCCCAACTCCTGTCTTGACATAAATATGCAGATGACATTCAGCTCAGTCTCTCTTTTCCACCTTTTCATCCCAAGAAGGCTGACCAGATATCGGGATGCATATTGGAAGGGATGAGATGGTGGGAGGAAGGCAGAAACCTAATTCAGATAAGAGGTTCTGTGGGTTGAGAAGTTGGCTGATCTCAATAGAGGTGTGAGACCTGTTCCAAATAGGGTTGCACTTTTGTTGAAAGAGCAGTTATGCAGCTTGGGGGTGCTCTTGGATTCATTCCTGTCCAGAGATGCATATATAGTGGCAGTGGCCAGAAGTACCTTCTACCAGCTCAGGATGAGTCAAACCTGGCCTCAGTTAACCATGCACTCGTGTCCTCCAAAGTGGACTACTGTAATGTTGTATCCATGGGGGCTGCCTTTGATGATGGGTCAGAAAATTTAGTTGGTGCAAAATGTGGTATATACATACAGATAGAGGCCAGAAAGTCTTCTCATCTAACACTGTTTCTACACCAGCTGCAATAATTACCAGTATGGTTCTGGGCCCAATTCAAAGTGCTGTGTTTATCTTTCAGGTTTGCTTAAGGATTGCCTTTATCTGTACAGCCCAGCTTGTGCCCTAAAACAGGATTGGGAAAACTTTGGCTCTCCAAATGTTGCTGGATTACAGCACCCATTATCCCTGATTATTCACCATGCTTGCCTTGGGGCCAATAGGCATTGTAGTTCTGAGGCATCAGAAGGGCCACAGGTTCCCCACCCTTGTCCCAAGATCTTTTTCAGAGGTCCTGTTTGTATGTCTGTCAATAAGATAAACTAGGCTGTGGAGCACAAGAAACAAGACCTTCTTGGTGATGGCCCCACAGTTTTAGTGTACAATAGTACCTCTGCTTATGTAACCCTATCATTACATAAACTTCGTGATGTGTAAGTGGCAAACTCAGAAGTATTTTAACAGGTTTTTGCTGCACATACATGCACAGAAGTGGTCCTCCGGTTGTGAAAACCTCGGGATCCGGCCGGACCTCCAGAACGGATCCCATCCGCAACCAGAGGTACCACTGTAATTGACCTCTTCCATATTTTTTTTTAATAGTTTTGAAGAAAACCTCAACACTGCCATTTCTTAAGATTGTAAATGAGCAGCTTTCTAATGTTAATACAGACCTCTCTAATATATCTCATATAGCTTTGTATCGTTCATTTTCATATATGTTGCTTTCTGAAAGCCACAAAGATATTTTGAATGAACAAATACATACAGTGAAGTAGGAGTGTTTTGCCCTGAAAGCTGTATTTTCCTGCCCCCACTGGATATAGCAAGCAGTGTGTGCATATCACTTTGTAGTCTTGGGGCAGGTCCTGAGGAATTTACTCTTTTCTTGACAATATTTTTCCCTCTTGGGATTCTTTTCATCCATGAACTGAGTTCAATATGCATGCCACATAAATATTGGAGCGTCTTCATTTTTATTTTATAGACATTTCTGACTGATGAGAGTTAAAGGCCATGGATGAAGATGGGCTTGAGCTACAGCCACATGACCCACATGCGTTTTTTGATCCTACAGGTATGACAGTCTAAAATGGATTTCTCTAATGCATGATGTAGTCTATTTGGTCTTTACTGAATGACACCAGACTGGTTTTTTTATTATTATTTTTAAATTTCTCTACTCCCCTGCCTGAAAGTCTAAATTCATTCTGTTCCATAGTTAACATGTTTTGAGAAGTACCTTGATGCTAAAAGAACTACCAACCACCACTAAAATGCACTATATAATCTTTTAAGTATTTATGTACTAATATTGTTGTTTACCATTTCTCTAGAATAAGACAATAACAATAATTATTTTCTTTGGATACCAAGTATAACGCGGGTTGCTTAGGAGCTTGTTACAGAATGGGAAGACTGAGATAGTTGACAACTGGGTTAGCGCTTCCTAACCTTTACATACATTTTCAGTTCTCTGTTCTTTTTATCAGTTTTAACATCTTCCTATACTTTCCACAAAGTCCTACCCACCTGACACTTTTTCTCAGTGAATTCTAGGTCATTCCAACCTTCTGTGATTTTGAAGGCACAATAAGACCAGCAGGAGCTAACAAGAAGCTTGTAACTTTATAACCATATGGAATGTGTCACATAGGGAATAATCCAAGAACTTGCATACGATGTGTGGGGAAAGAAGTCATAAATAGATCTCATTTTCATGAAACCTGAAACTATACTGTCACCGTAACCTTGATTATTTTTATGTATTTCAGGAACTGATGGAACGCATTTGAATGGAAATGAGATTGTTGTTGAAATACAGGAAACAGTCTATGTCTCAGATGTGGAGGATTCTGACATAACAGTTCATAACTTTGTCCCAGAGGATCCTGATTCTGTAGTAATCCAGGATGTAATTGAGGACGTTGTTATAGAAGATGTTGAGTGTCCAGATATCATGGAAGATACTGATGTATCTCAAACTGTTATTATGCCTGAACCAGTGCTGGACACTGATGTCACTGAGGAAGTGTCTTTAGCACACTGCACTGTTCCAGAAGATGTTTTATCCTCTGAGATCACAGCTTCAGCAATGTCGATACCTGAGCATGTTCTCACAAGTGCATCAATGCACGTACCTGATGTTGGACAATTGGAACATGTTGTTCATGATCATAGTAATGTTGTAGAAGCAGAAATTGCCACAGGTTCTCTGGGAGAAGATGTAGTTTCTGAAGTTTTGATAGCAGATTGTGCCTCTGAAGCTGTAATTGATGCCAGTGGAATACCTGTGGAACATGATAATGATAATGACAAGGGCAACTGTGAAGACTACCTTATGATTTCCTGTAAGTGTCTGGGTGAAGTATTTCAAAAGCCACAAATTTATTTACAAATTCCTTAATCCAGAGTACTTCTGTTGCTTCACTTTTAATCCCTTGGACTTCTGTGGTGTTAATCTATGCTAAGTACACTTGTAGTAATTTAAGTAGCTGCTGGTGAGTTGGGGAGGGGTGGAGAGAAGATGGCAACCATCATATTGCTCAGTGGTTGTGAGTCTTGATTTGATTGCTCTCCACCACCACTTTGTCAAGAGGAACCGAGGATGAGCTGGACGAGAAGAGTATGCAGGGTTTAGGATGGTTGCTGTAACATGAACTGACCCTGTATGTTATGTCAGCACAGCACTATACCTTGGTAATACTATGCTGACAAATGGCATTCATTTGTCAAATGCAACATAGCAGCAATGCACAAAGTCATTTGAAGGCATAGCACTAGGCAGAGAAAGCATGTGGTGGGAATTGTTTGGGGAGAACTCTCATAATTGTCAGGCTATTTAGCTAGCATGATTCCACCAATGTAATGCTGTATGATGCATAGTAGAATTTTTAGAACTTTCTAGAAGCATAGTAGGATGGGTGAGTTTGTTTATAGCCTAGGCACAGGATATCAATAAAGTGCACTAGCATAGCTATGCATAGCTATAAGATGCAACCTTCTGTTACTCAGCTATTACCTCTTATAAAGATAATAGATCCCACCTCTGTATTCTCATATATCAATGTTCTAAATTCTTAGTCTGTTTTAAAACTATATATACTTGTTCTTCTCTTCAAACAAAATATAAATCCACACCCTTTATAATTTGATGAGAATGCTTATACAATAATTATGCCAAGTGAAAGTTTCCCTATTACCTCATTCTTTGCTTTCAGCCTCCCAAACAAGCTCTACCAGTTTTTAAGTCATGAGTTTGATTCCTAATTTGGTGTTGCCTTGGCCAGTCTATAGCAGTTTATCAGGCAAAATGAAAACATGCTTCTAAATTCAAATCTCCACTTTTTACATAATTCATGTATCTGTTTAATGTGCCATGTGGCAAACTGTAGAAGGAGTGTTCTGAGGCTTCGGCAGTGGTTCTCAAACTCACAATGTCTCCATTCCGTTCCCAGTAAAGTTGCAACCTAGTATTGGCAAAAACAAAAGATGTAGCAAGCAGGGTGGAATGGAAATTGATGAGACAGGCTGTATGAGCTTGCCTTGCACAGAATTCCATTTCAGCTGTTGTGGCACAAATAGAGGTGTGCACTACCTCATATATACATCTAGGTAGAATTGTGCTGTGCTGCATCACCATCAGCATTTTCACTGTGTTGATAGATCATGAGAGCACAATTTAGTTATTCATTTTATTTCATGAAAATTATATACTGTTTGATTGTAGCAAAAACCTCAAATCAGTTTTTTTCTATTTATAATCACCCCGCTTTCCTCAAGGCAATTACAGATTTAATTGTTTCGCATTTGGCTATTACTAAGGCAAACTACAAAGAAACTCGCATTTTACTTTTAACACGGCTATTATGTGACTTTGGCATGTGGGATCCTCCAGCCCCCAGGCCTAATTAGGCTCACCAGGCTTCTCCATTTGACTTGCAAGACCAGTTTGGACAAGCCACAGTCACCTACCCTACTCCTGATTTTATCGGGTGTGGGGCAGATGAAGGCACAAGCCAAAAGGGCTTTGCATGCACCATTGATCAGCCGATGTGTAAAGAGGGGCTTGCAAGCACCCACAGTCAGCTGACTGGTGGGTCTTGCGAAGCCCAGTGTATAGTGCTCACAAAGTTCTGGCAATCAGGTTGTTGGGGCTTTTGAGTACTGTGCACAGAAGTCTGCAGAATTCCCACAGTAAGCTGGTTGGTGGGTCTAGTCCATAAACTGCAGTCAGTCAGCTGGTTGTCAGGTCTTGTGAAGCCCAGTGGACGTGACTGAGCCAGCTAAGGATCCAACTCAAGTATGAGAACTTTTATGAAATGCTTGGTTCACCAGGGGTGGAAGAGATAATGATCCAGCCCAGCAGCCTATTCCAGTTCCCCACTCCGTGTTGCTTCCCCGATTTATTACCATTTTTCAAGTTTGGTCACAGTTATTAGTTAATTAAGAGAAATAGGCAGTGCGGGAGAGCATTTTGAATTTATCTTCTTAACATATCTCACTAGTTTTCATGTAACTAGAATAATAAATTATATAAACATTTCTTTCACTGTCATTTATAGTTTTACTGCATTTAAAAATATTTCTACAATTGAAATGATAAATTTTTGTCTTACTGCAATCAGTTTATGTTGGATTGACCATTTTATTGTTTTTTTTCTGTAGTGGATGATGCTGTCAAGGCAGAAACTGATTCTGTTGACCTGACAAGAAAAACTGTGTCAGAAAATGATCCCTGTAAAATGGATGGCATTTGCCCAGAAGTCATCAAGGTGTATATTTTCAAAGCTGATCCAGGGGAAGATGACTTAGGTACAGCATTCTATTTTATTTTATTTTAAAACTTAATCTAAACATCAGTAATTGGAGGTCGAAGGACAAAAGCTGTGCTCTTGAGAGCTATCATAAGACTCCTCCTTTCCCTCTAGTTGCCAAACTAGAAATAAAAATGGTGGAGAATCTGGCCTTTCTGACATGTTGGCTGGTAGCAATAGAAAGTGGAAGTTAAGGTTTAGGCCCACTATCCCTTGTTCTTCTCAACATATCTCCAGGAAATTAGTTGCTGAGTCTTAACCTTTCATAGTATCTCCTTTTATTTGACTCGGGCTTCTTTCAGATGTTGTGTGGGGAAAGTGTAGATTATTTTTTATTGCTTATATTTAAACCATAATTTAGTAGAAACATGCTTTTACAAAATACTTTGACCAACTTTTCCCCCCCACCCCACCCAGGAGGCACAGTAGATATTGTGGAAAGTGAATCTGAAAATGACAATGGAGACACATTAATGAATCAAAATAGCAGTGTTCGCATTCCAAGGGAAAAAATGGTTTATATGACAGTAAATGATTCCCAGCATGAAGATGAAGATTTAAGTAAGTATTTGGCCTTTATTTAGGGTTAAGAATTTGTTTAAAATGACACAAAATTTGTATTATATTGTTTTTTCTTCTCTTAGATGTTGCAGAAATTGCTGATGAGGTATATATGGAGGTAATTGTAGGAGAGGAAGACGCAGCAGCTGTTCACGAACAGCAAATTGATGAGAATGATATTAAAAGCTTTATGCCGATAGCTTGGGCAGCAGCTTATGGTATGTTGTAAATCAAAAGACACTTCCCTGTAGTGTTAGCTCATGCCAAATGAAATTGGCTCCCACTCCTATTTTGTGCAAACAAGCAGCCACATGGTGGCTGCTGGGTCGTGAGCAGTTTATGGGTAATGTTTGCTTTTGGCATCTTTTTATTATCCAACAATGTTGGTTTGTGATAGGGTGATGAAATCCATAGTATGAGTCACGAACAAGTGTGGCAAGAGGCTCACTGTGTGGAGCAGCATTCAAAGGTTTCTATTTGAATGTGAATCTGACTTCATTCAGTGCCCAGGTTGACTGCAAAAAGGCACAGAACAACCATTTACTAACTTAATATTTTATTACCATGTATAGATTCCGTATTTTGAATATTCCTTAGAGTGCTGATGATATGTAACATTCAATCCTCCATTAGGTAATAACACAGATGCAGTTGAAAACCGAAATGGAACAGCTAGTGCTCTCTTGCACATAGATGAGTCTGCTGGTCTTGGAAGGCTAGCAAAACAAAAACCAAAGAAAAGGAGGAGGTTGGAATCCAGACAATATCAAACAGGTAAGTACCCAGCGACTCTAGTGACTATGATGATTGCCTGTCAAGAGAAAGAGAATAGAAATGCATTTTCTGTGAGCATTTTAAAGGTTTTAAAAGCACTACCATGTAGATGCATTCTTTTTGTGGTTTTCTACTTTAACAATATCACAAGCACACAAATTTAGAACTGTTAACAGAAAGAACGAATAAATTCCTTGAAAAGTCAGGTTTCGGCAGAAAATTATTCATAGACACACCGTGTATACCTATTGATGTAAATCGCCAAGTAAAGGTAAAGGGACCCCTGACCGTTAGGTCCAGTCACGGATGACTCTGGGGTTGCGGCGCTCATTTTGCTTTACTGGCCGAGGGAGCCGGCATACAGCTTCCGCGTCATGTGGCCAGCATGACTAAGCTGCTTCTGGCGAACAAGAGCAGGGCACGGAAACGCCGTTTACCTTCACATGGACACAAGACTCGTTGGGAAACATCACCCAGTTCAAAATATCAAAGTCAGGAGGCATCTCTCACCCAAACAGAGTGTCCCCCTGGAAGTATTCAAACACTGGATTTCTTTTAAGAAAGGGTGAAGCGGGAATGACAGGGGAAATACCAGCATCAAGAAACCACAAAAACATGTTGAATTTATCAGTCACTACTCACTGTGAGCTCTGCACGCCAAGCACTTCCCACAGGAAAGGCTGTTCTCAGTGCCAAGATATGAATAAAATAGCCGTACCTATTTATCTACTTGCACTTTGATGTGCTTTCGAACTGCTAGGTTGGCAGGAGCAGGGACCGAGCAATGGGAGCTCACCCCATTGCGGGGATTTGAACCGCCGACCTTCTGATCAGCAAGCCCTACGCCCTGTGGTTTAACCCACAGCGCCACCTATAGCCCAAACAGCACTATTCACACACAAAAGGGAGATACCAGTAGGTTTTGGGAACCCTGAAGTTTGTAAAACTATCCCCCCCCCCAAAAAAAACCCCAAACCTTTAAGGGGGGGAAAGCTTGAGTGGGCCAGAGCCAAAAACATTGCAGTGAGAACTGAACTGGAATGCTAACTAATTTTTGGTGGTGGAGTGCAGGGTGAACTGGAGTATCCTGGAAGACAACTTGGTTGGTTGGAACCTCAAAGGAGAGTTACCTGCACTCACTTAATTATAGTGGGAGATTATGTAGATTGCATACGTAGCTATGCTCTGTACATTACTTCAATATAGAGTACCTTTTACCAAAAAATTGTTCAGTTTCTGGCATTTTGTTTTGGGGCGGGGATGAGGGTTAGACAAAAAGTTTGTAATTTTTAGAAACATCTCTAATGGACTCAATGTAATAAATTACATCAATTTATAAATTACTTACAAATCCTCAAGATGTGACTCACTTCATTGTAAAGACGGGTTAACACAAGTGTTTTTGTCTTTAAGAATGCACAAGTCCCTAGTAACCAAAATGCAAAGAAAATGAAATTGCACTAAGATAGAGCACGTGGACTCACTGAGGAAGGCAGCAGTTAAAGTAAACCCTACCCAACACCTCCTATGAAGTCGTACTGATGCAAACATATCCCCAGCGTTTTTAGGGAGAAAAGAAGTTGTTAGATACATTATTCTCTTGCAACTACTGCCAATGACTGATGCATAAAATGTGAGAGGATATATGCATCTCTTGTGCTCCTATTGGAAGCATAGGCATAGCAGCTATAAGCACTGCCGTCCTGGCAGCCCCAACAGTTACGTAATACGCATGCATGGAGGGGAGGGATTACTATAGCAGTTCTGCCCTTTTGGCATAGCTCCGGTGGTGGAAGCATGGTTGTTGTTGTTGTTGTTGTTGTTGTTGTTGTTGTATGCCACCATTCAAAGATCACAGGATGGTTCACAACATAAAAATACAAAATGAAAATACATAATAAAACATTTCATCAAGCTCCATGTATTCTTTGTCTGGATTGACTTGCTTCTCATATTTGTTTTGATTGCACAATGATTATATATAATTCTTATCTTATGCTACCTGTTTGCAACTGTTATTTTGGATTATAGTTAATATTAACATTTCTAGTAGCTTACTCACTTATCTGAGCCATACAAAGCAACAGAGAACAAATAGTTGCCTTCAGTTTTAAAATTAGAAATTCCTGTACTGGTGGACTCTTTTGGAAACAGTTGTCCTCAAACCTGACAAACCTGATTCATCCACTGCAAAGACTCCTATTATTACAAGGCACCTTTAAGAGATCTTGGGTTCTGCAGTTACTGACATGTCAAGGTATTCCTTTATGCAGGTTTAATTTGCGTAATTAAAGGATGTGTTAGCACTTGACATTGCTACCAAATACTGAAGTGCTGCAAGTCTTCCCCCATTTGTGTTGAATGATTTTGCTTTAGTTCTGACACATTATTGTGGCTAATTTAATTTAACAGAGGTAATATTGCCAGCCAATATTTAAATCCTATGGATTTCAGTGAGTGGGACGGCAATCCTTTACCTACTTATCTGGGAATATGCCTTGTTAACTCAGTCAGACATATATAGGATTGCACTAATAAGTATGTGTTTGACTGTCACTAAAATGAATAAGATTTTGAAGTGCATAACTTCAACTTACATAGCTGTTAATACACATATCAGCATATTTCTTTTCTGTTTAAGGAGTGCCATTTTCATGATCTGGGTTTTGCTTTTATTTTACAGCAATAATAATTGGGCCCGATGGCCATCCTTTGACAGTCTACCCCTGTATGATTTGTGGGAAGAAGTTTAAATCTAGAGGCTTCCTGAAAAGGCACATGAAAAACCACCCTGAGCACCTTCTTGCTAAGAAAAAATATCGATGTACTGATTGCGATTACACTACAAATAAAAAGTTAAGTTTGCATAACCATCTAGAGAGCCACAAGCTTACTACCAAGACCGAGAAGCTAATTGAATGTGACGAATGTGGGAAAAGTTTCTCTCATGCAGGGGCTTTGTTTACACACAAGATGGTGCACAGGGACAAGGCAGCAAACAAAATGCACAAGTGCAAATTCTGCGAGTATGAGACAGCAGAGCAGGGATTACTGAATCGTCACCTTCTGGCTGTGCACAGCAAGAACTTTCCACACATTTGTGTGGAATGTGGCAAAGGATTTCGGCATCCGTCAGAGCTCAAGAAACACATGCGAATCCACACCGGTGAAAAGCCCTACCAGTGCCAATATTGTGAGTATAGATCGGCTGACTCTTCCAACCTGAAAACTCACGTAAAGACTAGACACAGTAAGGAAATGCCCTTCAAATGTGACATTTGTTTTCAGATATTTTCAGATACCAAAGAGCTGCAACAGCACATCATTATGCATCAAGAAAGCAAAACACATCAGTGTCTGCACTGTGACCACAAAAGTTCAAACTCGAGTGATTTAAAGCGACACATAATTTCCGTTCACACAAAGGATTACCCCCATAAGTGTGACATGTGTGACAAAGGCTTTCACAGGCCCTCAGAACTGAAAAAACATGTTGCAGTGCACAAAGGTAAAAAATTGCACCAGTGTAGACATTGTGACTTTAAGATTGCAGATCCGTTTGTTCTAAGTCGCCATATTCTCTCAGTTCACACAAAGGATCTTCCGTTCAGGTGCAAGAGATGTAAGAAGGGCTTCAAGCTGCAAATGGAACTCAAAAAACACATGAAAACACACAGTGGTAGAAAAGTTTATCAGTGTGAGTTCTGTGAGTATAGCACTACAGATGCCTCAGGTTTCAAACGGCATGTTATTTCCATTCATACAAAAGACTACCCTCACCGTTGTGAGTTCTGCAAAAAAGGCTTCAGAAGACCTTCAGAGAAGAACCAGCACATTATGCGGCATCATAAAGACATTGGGCTTCCGTGAGGACTCCTTATTCTATGAAATTTAGAAGGGTGTGTGTAAAAGATTCGCTTTCTAGGCAGTCATTGTATTATAAAGCAGATCACACAAACAAACTAGCGTGCATTTGATTTAGTGCTGTATACAGATAGGATTATTGCTTCTAGTTGACTTTTATACATTTTGTTCATTAGTGTGTTCTGAATTCTCTTCCGTTTAATAAATGAGGAAGGATAGCAACAATAAAGTTGCATTTAATAAAGTAAACCCTGTCTCAAAATGAATTTTTCAACCACATTTGTTCTCTGAAATATTTACCTTACTGACATGGTTCATATTCAGTGACCATATTAACAGTTTTGTCATGAGTTAAAGATATATTTTTAATTTGCTCTTAATAAAGCAGTCATAAAGAGATTGTATAAAATAAACTGGAGGAAATTAATGTAAGAAGATAACATTGTACCATAGGACCCACTTATTGTTTCATCTGATATTTAAAAATTTGTGACACAATCTTCATTTGAGTAGTTACTCATTACAATTCTCCATCATTTGGATTTCTTTTTACATAATGTTTAATTCTTCCATGATAAGTAATAGTTGGTTGCTGGGAGCATTTATTTTCAGGAAGTGTGAATTTATAACTTCAGGCATTTGTTCATACATATTAACTATGTGCTTCTCTTTGGGTTCTGTATTACAAATGCATTTGTGTTTTGAAACTTATTGCTGACTCATAGTGCATATGGATACATTTGTTTCAGTTGTTGGCAGGATCTATTGACAGTTGTTAAGGTTACCCCAAATTAAAAATCATTTTTGTTACACGACTCCATGAAATATTTGGTCCAATCATATTTTTAACTATCCACCAGCAGCCTTGGACAGCTTTTCAAAGAGTATAAACTGTATAAAGGGAGCACATTAGATGGAGCAATAAAGAATAGGAACAGATGCTATCTTCATGAAGAACTTGTTTTCCAGCAACTTTTTGTATATTTTCTCTATTACTCTCTTAGGAACACAGGGTGATATCCAATGTTTCTCCCTCAGCTGATGGAAGGAGTCGATGTCAGTAGGCAAACAAGGCAGTTTTCATTGATTCCTCCTCCCCAGTGCAGCCCCTCCAAAATCTACTGTGGAGAGTCCTCAGTACAGAGAGGAGCACAGAGAGCTACAAGGAGGAGTAATTGTCTCCTTCCCCCTGTAAAACATTAGATGTCACAGCTTTTCTTAAAGAATCGTTTCAGTAACAAGCATGTAGTGGTCCTTCAAATCAGTTTATTAAGTAGTAATTGTCTAGAGTTTGTCTAGTTCTTCCTTATCTGTTTATACCCTTCTGGATAGATGTTGCAATGATCACCTGTGCTCTGAAAGCTAAGGCTGCCACAACCTGCTTCCCGGCAAACAATGTACTCTTATGAATTTGCAAAGTGCAGTAAAACAGGGTGGGGTGGGAACTCCAAAGTATGCTGTAAGGGATGACATCTTAGTGAACGTACATAGTCTGGTGTGTTTGGCTTGTTGGCTTCTTCAACCCCTTCCCTTCTGTTTTGGTCCCAAAAGTACACTGGTCAAATATAATGAGATGAGACGCAAGTTCCAAATGAACAGTTTTTGCTCTATGCTTCCTTCGCCTCTCATCAGAAACACAATATCCCTATGGTATGTGGCCAGAAAATACAATGTCTGTACATTTCTTCAAATAAATACCTCAGTATTCCTGGGTTGATTGGTTTTGCTTAATGGAAACAAGAATTACTTGAGACAGCCATATGTAAACAAAAACACTTGATGTGCTAACATAAAACATTTTGTTTTATACAAACCTAAGTGTGTCAGATTTATGTGCAGCTGTGTTTGTTTCTGACCTTTTGTGTTTGGATTGTTGCATGTTCACCAAACTCCTGGAATAGATAGTGGGGACCTCTAGTAATCAGGTGCACTCATGACTTCAGCTCCAAGATGCACATGGCCATTTCTTTATCTTTTAATAGATTTAAGCAGCGCCTGTAGAATCCTGTAAAAGATTCGTGGTGGTTTCTTCACTGTGGGATTATGGCCTGAAAGCCTGGTCCTAAAAGCACTTGTACTCATTGATTCAGTGGAAACTTAGGTGCCTCAATTTTCATTGAAGTCCTGCCCAGATATCCAAATAATTTACAAAAGTTATTTTCAAGCCTGTTAAAAAGTTATTAAACCTCAAATTCTCAGTCTGCTGCTGAAAAGTATTATCCATATTGAAAAACTCTCTTCTTGGACAATTACTCAAATTGAGAACAAAAAAGTGACCCACTTCCTATTTTTTTAACATCATCTGGAATCGTAAATACTTGTTTTGAAGCATAATTTTGGAAATGTACGCAATTAAGAGTTTAGTGAAGTGGATTTTGTACAATGTATCTGTAAAAAGAGCAAATCAAAACTAGTTATTGTTAATGTAATAATAGTTACAGGCTAGTTTTATTTGATTAGCGAATGCTATAAAATTGATGTTTCAGTTCCATGTTTTAAATGGTACATTAAAAAAAAAAACAACTGAGAACATAATATAAATAATTGTTCTGTAAAAATGCTTGTTAAATACTATATGTCCCTCCCTGTGTACACTTTGTAAAAAAAGAAAAAGAAAAGAAATAGAGTCCTATATAGGGATGTGTAACGTTGTATTGTGTACTTGATGATAATGTGAAAAAAATAAAAATCAGACTATTTTCCTGTTAATGAATATTCATTTGATAAGCTAACTCTTTCACATATTGCCACTAAAATTCATGCTGTTTCCTCTTACAATAAACTTGTTAGCTGAGCAGAATATTATTTCCCTGGAACATTCAGAGATGTCGGGAACTAAATCTGGGACATTCTTCAAGGGTAAGGTAAAGGTAAAGGGACCCCTGACCATTAGGTTCAGTCATCACCGACTCTGGGGTTGTGGCACTCATCTCGCTTTATTGGCCAAGGGAGCTGGCATACAGCTTCCGGGTCATGTGGCCAGCATGACTAAGCTGCTTCTGGCGAACCAGAGCAGTGCACGGAAACGCCTTCTGCCAGAGTGGTACCTATTTATCTACTTGCAATTTGATGTGCTTTCGAACTGCTAGGTTGGCAGGAGCAGGGACCGAGCAACGGGAACTTGCCCCGTCACGGGGATTCGATCCGCCAACCTTCTGATTGGCAAGTCTTAGGCTCTGTGGTTTAACCCACATCGCCACCCGTGTCCCAGTACTTCAAGGGTACTGTGTACTATATGATGAAACTGATGTTGACACTAGGATTCCACCAGTTCCTTTCTCTAAATAGAGAATTTTGTTTTGTGATTTTAGTGTACAGTGTACCACTGTATACAAGCATGTTACAGACACTTCAGGTTACAGACTCCACTAACCCAGAAATAGTACCTCGGGTTAATAACTTTGCTTCAGGATGAGAACAGAAATCGTGCAGTGCTGCGGGAGGCCCCATTAGCTAAAGTGGTACCTCAGGTTAAGAACAGTTTCAGGTTAAGAACGGACCTCCAGAACGAATTAAGTTCTTAACCAGAAGTACCACTGTATTCCTTTTTTAAACTATTTTTCTAAAGCTCTTGATGTAAAAATAAGCTTAAAAGTGCCTAGGGACTGCCTCCAAAGTCGCAGTATTGGCAAAATCAAGATTCCATTGTCTACAGAATGGGACATTATTTAATTGCTACAGTACTGCAAAGCCTGGAAGAGCTTGCAAAATCAAATAAAAACATAATTAAAATAGCTAGCCATGAAACATTAGAAACCAGCAGCCTTCTACCCAGTGTTGCTCAGAAATTCTAAAAAACCAAATAAATGGTGAAGTTTTGAAAGTCCACTCTCTTGATTTAAAATGGTGTCCTATTTGCATCCAAACATACACAAAAACCTGCTCCTTGATCTCAAATTTTGGTGATGATACCTAAGAGGTGTCCAGATGCATAGCAAACAAGCAAACAATTTTGCTAAATAAATAACAGATTATAAATAAACACTGTGAGACAACAAAACAGAAAAATACGGGATTTTGCTTTTTACTTCACCTTTAAAGTATAGGTTGGCAGTTCTCATGCAAGGAAAAAACTAGCACAGTATGCAAATATTTCTCGGGGACAAAGTTCTAGTTACAACTGACCGGGGACTGCTTCAGAATGATATGGAAAATAGGGAAGTTAAGAACATGCATTGGAAGCAACCCTCAAGTGCTGAGCACATTGGCCATTTCTGCAGCAGAGCTATAGGAGCCTTTACCAACTTGAGGCCTTCAGATGATGTTCTTAAATAATTGGCTTGGCTCTAACAGCTTTATTGATGTTTTAATTATCTAGTTTTGATCTTCGAGGGCATTGCACTGGGCTATATAATGCAGTGTTGAATGTTGCAGAATATGAGTAATCAAGAAAATGTAAAAGATAACTGTCCAGCTCATTTGTACAGTAGGTTTCATCATTGTGGACTCAAACCTTCACCAATAGGTGGCAATAAAGGATAAAAACTGAAGTAACATCTCCCCCACACCACTCTTAAAAAGAAAGAAGTTTTCCAACTAATCCTAGACAAAAACATGAGACACAGACAATATAATCTCTGTACTATAGGGCTGGGATGGGGCTTCTATTCATCACTTGTTTTTGTCTGGAAAATCAGATATTGTCATAATGCTATTTAAAGAACTTTCTACTTCATAACATTTTCACATGTCTCTGAGCACAATGCAGTGTGTATCAGCACAGAAATGTGTGCCAAGCGCCCTTTGCTCTTGTGCCAGCTTCCTTTATTTATTTAGTTTTAAGTCATTGTGGACATTTTAGCATGCCCCTATCAAAAGCTTCCCATTTCAGCTGCTGTTTGTGTGAAGAAGACTCATTTGGCCTTCCCTGATGCCATTTACAGTGGTACCTCGGGTTAAGTACTTAATTCGTTCCGGAGGTCCGTTCTTAACCTGAAACTGTTCTTAACCTGAAGCACCACCTTAGCTAACGGGGCCTCCTGCTGCCACCGCGCTGCCGGAGCACGATTTCTGTTCTCATCCTGAAGCAAAATTCTTAACCTGAAGCACTATTTCTGGGTTAGCAGAGTCTGTAACCTGAAGCGTATGTAACCCGAGGTACCACTGTATTTGAAACATGCTCCCAAATAACTGTTAGGATAATGGCATTTTATCATATAAAACCTAGGAGAGATTTCCATTTAACGATAGGGCATGCAGCAGAACCCTGTAGAAATAAATCCCATTGACTTAAATGGGACCTACTGTAGGTAGGGTGGTCTGGCGAGCATGTTCTTCAGTGAGGAATCTTCTGTTTGTAGGCCTGTCAGTCCAAGGTCTAGTTTAAAGCTAAGGAACTGTAAGAAGGTAGAAAAAGAGGGGCGTTGAAGTTGCCCATCGACACAGCACCACAGACTGAGGAGGCATATAGGGCCATTTCCCCCACGATGTTGAGGTGCACTGGGTTTCTTTTTAATGAGCAAGTGTGATGTAATGGTTAGAGTGTGGACCTGTGGGAGCCATGTCAGAGGCTCACGATGGGTAATGAGGGAAACACAACCACATGCATCGCAATACAGTGGTACCTCGGGTTAAGAACTTAATTCATTCTGGAGGTCCGTTCTTAACTTGAAACTGTTCTTAACCTGAGGTACCACTTTAGCTAATGGGGCCTCCTGCTGCCGCCGTGCGATTTCTGTTCTCATCCTGAAGCAAAGTTCTTAACCCAAGGTACTTTTTCTGGGTTAGTGGAATCTGTAACCTGAAGCGTCTGTAACCCGAGGTACCACTGTAACAAATAGCCAGAAAGATGGCAGTCTCCCATTAAATAGCTCCTAGGTCTGCTGAACTTTGACTATTTTCATGAATGTGGCAGTATTTACCGTACTTTTCCGTGTATTAGACACCCCCATGTAGAAGACGCCCCCTATTTTGGGGGACTCAAATTTAAGAAAATGGAGGAAGGTGGCTCAGAGTTGTTGAGCTTTTTGGGGGGGCGTGTTTAGCTTTGGAGGAGGGGATTGCTGAAAATCGCTCATCTGCACGTGTCAAAAAAACCATCTCACGTCTGTCCCCTTGCCGGCAGAAGCTGTCAATCGCCAGCCCAATTACCACAGCATCAGCTAATCAACACCAGCCATTGACACAGACCTAGTCTTAAACTTAGTCTTATACATGGAAAAGTACGGTATCTTACTTGAGTCAGAAAATGTGGTCTGATGTGCCCTGTGAATTACTGTGCCCAGTCTTGGGCAGGGAAGTCCAGCTTTAAAAACTGGTGCAGAAATAGCCAGCTCTTTTTTTTTTTTTTTTTTAAAGCATATATTAATCTTCCATGGCTACAGATAAAATTTGGGCATGGTCTAAAGAGATCTGAGCAGAGCTGGGCACGACATCAAAGATAGAAGAAGTGGTGATTTGTTGACCGTTCTGCATGATAATCTAACCACAGAAACCATTCCCCTTTGTTCCCTCTACTAAGTATTTGTTGCTACTCAAATATCTGATGTAAATTCCAGTTTTGTTTAAAGCCTGTATTCTATTAGCACATTAAATTGATCAAACCACATATAATCAAATTTTTAATATGCATAATTGATTCTGAACACTTATTTTTTAGCATTAAATAAATAAAATAGATGTGCAAATTGGATTTAAAGAACAGTTTTGTCTATGCCTATCTTGTGCCTTTCATGGCACATCATCAGAAACTACTACTGATAGACAACCATTTTTATTACAGACCTGTGACGTACAACGTGCCTTTCGGAGCATTGACATTAGGAAGGCAGCTGGACCGGATGGAATCATGGGACGGGCTATTAGGGACTGCGCTGCAGAATTAGCTGGTGTGTTTACGGACATTTTTAATCTATCCCTGTTGCAGGGTTCTGTCCCTACCTGCCTGAAGACATCGATTATAGTGCCGGTCCCCAAGCAGTCAGTGGTGGTATCTCTCAATGACTATAGACCAATAGCCTTAACATCTGTCGTTATGAAATGTTTTGAGAGATTGGTGCTAGATCATATTAAGGCTGGTCTTCCATCCACTCTAGACCCGTTCCAGTTTGCATACAGAAGAAATAGATCTACTGATGATGCTATTTCCATCGCTGTCCATACTGTACTGAGTCATCTAGAACGACAGGGAACCTACGCAAGGCTGTTGTTTGTGGACTACAGTTCTGCCTTCAATACAATTCTGCCAGACAGGTTATTTCTTAAAAATGACCAATTTGGGTATACATCAGAAGATCTGTCTGTGGGTAAGGAATTTCCTGACTGATAGGCCGCAGACAGTGAGAATGGGCCCTTACTATTCTTCTACTCTAGTATTAAGCACAGGAGCCCCTCAGGGATGTGTGCTAAGTCCCTTTCTCTATTCCCTGTACACATTTGATTGCACCCCACTGTATGAGTCCAACACAATCATCAAATTTGCGGATGATACAACAGTGGTGGGGCTCATTAGTGAGAACGATGAGACTGCTTATAGGAAAGAAGTACAGGGGTTAATTCAATGGTGTAAAGAAAACAATCTTATGCTTAACACCAAAAACCAAAGAACTCATAATTGACTTTAGGAGAAAGAAAAGCGTATTTTTACCATTGCACATAAATGGCGAGGAGGTGGAGAGGGTTGGTAGTTTTAAATACCTGGGCACTTACATCTCTGAGGACCTCTCATGGACTGTAAATATTAATATGGTTGTGAGGAAGGTGCAAGGGAGGTTGTATTTCCTGAGAATGCTCAGGGGACTGAATCTATCTCAGCACCTACTTCTGTCCTATTATCACAGTACCATCGAGAGTGTCTTAACATATAGTATATTATCGTGGTATGGGAGCAGCTCTGAAATGGATAAAAAGCTTTACAGAGAATAATTAAAATTGCCCAGAATGTTATTGGGCTCCAACTACCAACCCTGGATGAGATCTTCACGTCTCGCACTTTGAAGAAGTCACACAATATCCTGAGAGATCCCACCCATCCTGCTCACAACTTCTTTGAACTGTTGCCTTCGGGCAGAAGATATAGGACAATGAAAACACGAACCACACGCCTTCTGAATAGTTTCTATCCAAGAGCTCTGATTGCACTAAATAATGATCTCAGGGCCAGTTGCAAGGAATAGCAAGCAGGGAGTAGGAAGGAATGAGACAGGTTTTTAGGTTATGTTATGCTTTTAATAGGTTATGTTACATTCTGGAGTATGATATGTTTTTATAGATTATGTCTGAATAGGATGAGAGTGTTGGAGATACGTGCAAATGTGTATGTGAACCCGGTCTTCGAGTGGGTGTTTGATTTTCGTTGTTGTGTATACTGTGTATATACGGACAATGACAATAAATTTATCATCATCATTATCATCATCATCATCATGTTAATTTTCCTGACCCTGATTCAGGCACATTACCAGTGTGCCTAAAAAAATTACTGGATGCCTGACTTTCAGCTCATTCCAGATCTGCATGAAGTAGACTGTGCTGCCTGGCACAAGCATGGTAGTTAGCAAGGTGTCTGTGCTGTTCAGCAATCATAAAGGCCGCAGTTGTACCGTGTGTGTGTGTGTGTGTGTGTGTGTGTGTGTGTGTGTGTAGTTCCTGTAATATATATAACTACTGAAATATATCCAAGCTTGATACCAGAGCAAAATCTCAAACTTGAGGTGACAGACACTGTTTTTCTTAAGGGCTAAAAGTTCTGCAGTGGGGCTCATTCCAATAAATGTGGTTGACGTGTGAGAAGCTAGCTAAATTTTGGGATGAATGTTTAATGAAATCCACAAAATTGCTGGACAAAAGGTGGCTAAATTCCCAGAACTGGCTTTGTTAAATCTTTTTGGTGGGGAAAATGCAGGTGTGCGCTTTAAACCACCGACTATTTTTCACAGTAAAGATCGTTGTAACTAGGCACCGGAAATATATATGGAAGGAGCCTCTTTGACGAATTGGTATAATAAGGTCTGGAAATTGGCACTTGTTGAGAAACTCACCAATAAGTGCAGAATGGTACAAGGTATAAACGAAATGAATCTGTTACGGCAGAGTAGCATAGCTTCATTATGCATACAGTGAAGAATGGCTGTAAAGGACTTCATATAAGCATTTCTGATTGCTTTGGCAGCCAGCAGCAAAAATTCTGATGTGCTTGCACTGACTGCCTTTCCAAGAAGACAATGTTTCCTTGCGCACCCTACTACAGTCATACCTCATGATACGTTTGCTTTAGGTGGCGCATTTTCAGGTTGTGTCCCACGGCGACCTGGAAGTACCGGAAAGGGTTACTTCCGGGTTTCGCCGCTCGCGCATGCGCAGACGCACAAAACGACATCACACTCGTGCGCAGAAGCAGCAAATTGCAACCCGCGCGTGCGCAGACGTGCAGACGCGGGTTGCGTTCCTTTCAGTTTGTGAACGCGGCTCCGGAACGGATCCCGTTCGCAACCAGAGGTACCACTGTACTGTAAGCCTTTTTCTTAAAACATAAACTGCCTTGTGCCCCCATCCTACATTTCCTGCCATCCTGAATGGGAAATAGCAGGAGTGCCAACAAGTCTTTTAATAGTAGCTAGGCCAGACCTCGAGCAAATAAATGGCAAAAACTGATACTATTTTATGTGCCAAGAAAAGGGGAGGGGTGAGAGAGACTGGAGGCAATCCACTGAAAGGGAAAGCATGGGGTGGGGAAGTGCTGACCAATGGTCAGGTCTGCTCGCTCTGAGAGTTAACTAGCCCAGAGCTACAATGGAATTAACAGTACAGGCAAATGAGTTCATCTTTGACTAATGGTATTATAGTCAAGAACAAAGGAATGACTAATTATTCATCGCTTAATTGCCCACTCCCATCTACCTTTTTCTTGAACGTTAACAAACTGGTCTGGAGCCAACTGTAGCATCAGCTAGTAATAGTTTTAAGCACCATTAGGCCACCGTCATGGCAATTTAAATTGTCACTTTCTATTAAAAGGTCTAAACTCCAACGGGTTTCGGCGGAAAATGTGCTGTTCTGCCAGCGCTATTAAACAAAGACACCCTCTTCGTGCAATGTCAGTGGAACACATTTTAAATAAGGGTTCAGCTGCACCACACTAATTTAAACTACAGTATTGCTTTCTGCCAAAGAATAGAACCCTGATTTGGGCAAACACCCCCCCTTAAGCTCTGTGACAGTTTCCGTGATTACTCTTAACTCTTAAACCCGTGTGTGTGTGTGTGTGTGTGTGTGTGTGTGTGTTTGAATGTGCTACAGCATCTCTAGGACTTTCGCCGTAAAAGAGAATTGCATTTTAAAAGAAACATTTCTTTAAATAATCTTGTGATTATGGTCTGTATTTAATGATCTTTTATTAATTGTAGAGTGTATGTGTGTGTATACAAACGCATGCATGCACACACACACACAATACGTTTGACAAATTAAGGGGAGGACAAGGACAAAAAGCTACAAAAGGGAGAGACACTGAGAGTTTGGGTGTGGCAGGACTAACTGAAACAGGTGACTAAACCAAAGGCTTTGTTTGCACTACAAATTGAAAAGCAGGACAACTTTTGGGGCTTTTCTGTTAGGATACTGCCAGGGAGTCAAAGTCCATCATGGCCCCCAAGTCGCCTCCGGACGTCCATCGATCTCCCGTAGATACAGTATCAGCAATTAGCGACACGAGCTCCAGAAATAGCCTGCCATCATTCTCGAGCTCATGCACGCTCTATCAGCAGATAATGCACAGCAAAAGTTGCACGCAGGAGAGCATTATTTACAAGTTTTATTCAGCGTTGATCAGAACAAAGAAAAACATGACTGCCTCCTTCAGTGTCTCTGACACAGAGAGAGAGACACAACAGAAACATCCTGTGAAACAGGAAATACGCAGGCTGTGTGACTCACAAAGCCTGCTCCCCTTTAAGGTGGAACGGAAATATCCTAACATTTTCCACAGGGACCAGGGAGAATCAGTCCTGTGAAGGTGGTGAACGGCTCACCAGCTGAGCATCCTTGGGATCCTGTGAATTTAAAACCATTAACCTGAGCTGGAGGTTCATGATGCAAGCACGATAAGATGACTGAGAGCTTAATTAATGGCTTCGATATGAAGGTGGCTTACCTTTGCAAGCGGAGTCAGCTTACGTTGCCAGAGAAGGCACCATAGCTCAGTGGTAGAGCACCTACATTTTGCATGCAGAAGCCCCCAGGTTCGATCCATGACATCTCCAGGTAGTGATGGGAAGGCTTTTTGCCTAAGACTCTGGGGAGAGCCACTGCGGGTAGCCAAACAATAGTGGAGTACAAGGGCAAATCACTTCATCTCGATTAAGGCTGCTTCCTGTGTCCATTGCTGCTGTTTGGTCATGTCCAGGGTGATGGCCAGTGGATGGCACACCTGGGAGTATTGCACTTATTTCCAAGTACATACTGCAGTGAGAAAGAGAGAGACCCCCCCCCCATTTTAGGTTAATTAAGCTGTGTACCCTCTTCTGTTTACTCTTCATCCAGTGCACTCCCACAACTGGTTTGGGAAGCGGAGTACATATGACATTATTCCCAATCCATATCTATTGATGCTGCATTTTTGATGTGTTTCCCCCCAAAACCAGCTTTGATCCAAATTGAGAAAAAGACAAGCTATGCCGGCAATGTTTACACAGCATTAATTGTCCGCCGCTTCCCCATTCACAAAGACATTCTGCATTGCGTCCTGAAGACCTTCCTCTGAATTCCCTCTGTCATAGTCAGAGGAAGCCATTACAGATATTTTTATGCATTTAAAGTGTGAACATTTTAACATCTTAAATGACATTGCAATAGTAATGTTGCACATGACAATAAAAAATAACATGTTTTATGAGCCTGGTTTATCTACCTCACTCCTCCTGGACAAAAGAGTGTGCAAAACATAGACATTTCTCTGAGCGACAAGGAATCAGAGAGAATAACGCAATTACGATCTTTGGTATTGGTGGCCTAATTTAGACACTGAAGAATATTTGAGCAGTAGTAATGGCTGGTATTTTATTTCAATGGCCTTTGAAGCTTGTTCCAGTATATCAGAGAGTCCCTTATGTCATGTGCAATACGTTTTCACTGAAGTGTATTAGACTTGTTAGAAGTAAATGAGTCATAACATTTCAGCTCCCTCTGTTATGTTCTCGGCTGTTGCAGTTATTGCTCTGAAGGACACTGAGACAGTCATCTTGAGATAAATATCTCTGTGATGGCTATAGATACAATTTTTATGTCTCCACAATTACATTTCTAACTTCAAAGCACTCCACATTTTACCACTTTACAGCCATGAAAAAAACCCACGTCAGAAATCGATTCACATCTGACCCTCACGAGAATAATATGCAAGGGAGGGGGATCGAAAGTCATTTTCTTGACAGAATTAGGAACACTTTCTGCTTCCAATTTTTTTTACAAGGGAGAAAAGAAGATACCTGCACTTATCAGATAGCATGTGAATTCAGTGGTAATCGGGGAACAAGTAAGCAGGAGAAGGACAACATTATGACTGAGAGGGTACAGATAAAGCAAAGAGGTTATTATAGGTGCCACTGGAAAGAAAAGGCAATGGAAGACAGACAGAACAGGGCTTTCATCCCAGACACATTCTGGGAGAGGGAACAAGGCACATATACACAAGCAGAAACCAAGGGTCATTGGGAATCTGCAAGGTGTTTAAATCAATGGGATATTTGCATTCACAACACTGTTTTATGACCATGATAACAGCATGGAGCAAGTCACCCTAAGGGGCAAAATGATCAGGCAACAAAGCCATTTATTTATCTGCTCGTTCAGTTGCTAAACTGCCCTTTAGCATAGAGATCCCGTTGACATTTTTGGGATTTCAAATGTTCTGGCACTCTGGCAGAGTAAAAGGCACTCATTTCTGCCACAGAGTCAACCTCCACTGGCATCTCTGTTGTTTTCTGGCTTGCCTGAGGAGTCCACTGTAGCAAGCCACTCCAGAAGTAAGGCCAAGACAGAATGGCAATGGCAAGCGGCCTCCTTTTTGCATGGCCAGAAGTCTAAATGAAGCCAACTAGATGGTCCAAGGCAATCACACAGTACCAAAGGTGGGGGGTAGGCTTTGATTTTTGTGATTTGCAGCGAAATGTCTCTAGAATCTGTCCAGAAGAATAAAGTTGGAAGATTCAGGAGAGACAAAAGGAACTACTTCTTCATGCAAAACGTAAAGGTAAAGGACCCCTGGATGTTTAAGTCCAGTTGAATTTGACTATGGGGTGCAGATTTCATCTCCATTTTCAGGACAAGGGAGCCGGCATTTGTCCGCAGACAGCTTTTCTGGGTCATGTGACCAGCATGGCTAAACCGCTTCTGGTGCAACAGGACACCGTGACAAGTGCCAGAGAGCACAGAAACGTCATTTACCTTCCCGCTGCAGCAGTAGCTATTTATATACTCATGCTGGCATGCTTTCAGACAGCTAGGTTGGCAGGAGCTGGGACAAAGCAATGAGGGCTCACTGCCAACTTTATGATCAGAAAGCCCAAGAGGATTGGTGGTTTAGACCACAGCGCCACCTACTTCATGCAGCCCATAGTTAAACTATGGAACTTGTTCCCACACCAGCAGTGATGACCACTAACCTGGATGGCTCACCCAGGGAGGATAAACTATCAACAGCTACTAGCCATTATGGCTATGTTTTGCCCCCACGATTGGAGCCAGTAAATGCTTATGAATACCAGTTGCTGGAAACCACAGGGCAGGGTAGAATGCTCTTGTGTTCAAGTTCTGTTTGCAGGTTTCTTACAGGCATCTGGTTGGCTATTATGAGAACAGCATGCTAGACTAGATGGGTCATTGGCCTGATCCAGCAGGCTCTTCTTACCGGTATGTTCATTTTTGTTGACATATGGTCCAGTTGGGCACTTCCTAAAATATACTATTTGTTATACGAAGAATTGTGATTCTAATATTCTGCATTTGCCTTCTTTGTTTATTCTCCTATTGATGAAATATATCTGTTTCTTTATGAGTTGTTTGGAATGCTTATCAGTTCAGAAGATGGCTATAAACATTTTATAAGATGTCCTAAATTGATAGCTTTTAAAATCATTCCCATGCGACAATGTCTTGTTTGAAAAGTTTTGGGGACCTTTGATTACCAACTGCAGATGTAGGGAACCTGTGGGTGCTGCTGAACTGCATCTCCCATGAGCCCTGGCGAGCCTGGCCAATGTCCAGGGATGATGGGAGCTGTAGTTCAACATCTGGAAGTCCAAAGGCTCTGCACACCTAACCCATTGGTTTCATACTTCTTTCCCTTCCATTATTGCTGAAGAACAATTGCTTGCAACTCTGTGCATGACGGTTTTTCAGTCTTCCCATTCCAATTGCATGGTGTGATCTTCCAAAACAGCACATGACAATTTCCAGCAGATAATAAAATTTGAAAATTCCCTTCACATGTATAGAAATGCTATGCATGTGCTCACATGCCTTTGTGTATCTTGCAGCAGGCACTGGCCTCATGCTAAAAGTCTGTTTTGCCTCCAGTTTGAGGAGCCAAGTTCCATGCTTAATGCATTTCTACACAATATTTTTGACAATGAGCATTTCAAGAAGATGAAATATTTTGAATGGCAACAAACAGAATAGCTGCATGTAGAAGAAAACAGCTGCTTTGAGATACAATGGAATCGCAAAGGCTGATATGAAGGTCAATGCTTTTTCCAATTCAAATGATTTTCCATTACTTACTTTGTGGATTTCCACCCAGTTTACTTAATGCATCACTTTGGAGGGACCTTGTACATTAACGCTGCTGGCAGCATAATGGCAGTGTTCTAAGATTTACATTAGGATAAGGTAGAACTTATGCATTTGAAACCACTGCTATTAAGAGTCCTATTACAGGGTTGTGTGCATAACCAGACACATAAGAAATGCACAACTACAGATGTTGTATTTTGTGCAGTAAAAAAATATACATGTGAAGTTGCTTATCGGGTAATAATTTTTTTATTTCTTGGTCCTGGAACTCCTATATTAATTCTCATTATTTCATGCTAAAATACAGACGTCTCCTGTGGAATCCAGATTCCTAGGGTTTGATATGTTGATTAAAAACATTCCATTTGACATTAATGCATACCCTTTAAAATGAGTTAAGGGACTGAATATCAGATAGGCATTTGTGGCAATTTCCAGATAGAAGGGGAAAATACATTATCCAATAGGTAAAAATTAGGAACCAAAGGGTGGTATTCACCAAAGTTTTACTCAGAATAAACCCACTGAAATAATGAACATGACTAAGTCGGCCCATAAATTTCACTAAGTCTGCTGTGAGTAATACTTGGTTGACTACCATCCAAATAATGTCAAAACAGAGTTCCAATCAGCTGAGGAATCAGTCTCTTTGCTACTGTGTAAACAATACTTCCCTCATTTTGACTAATTCAGTTTGAATAAAAGCATTTGGAAAATTCAGTCCTGCAGTTGCCTACCTGATAATGCCACCATAATTATCCATCACTACTTCTTGGAGTGATGGAACTCTGATTCGCCTCTTCAAAGGCCCTTTAAGCAGCCAAAATATTCTCTCCATGGCATATATTTCCCAGCCTGGAGTGTGTGCCTTCTCCAAGGCTGTCTCTGCTCTGATTAGAGCTGACCCAAAATTTGTCACAAGTCATTCCCTAAAGAGCATTTTGGATATTTACTTTTTCTTACTTCTCCCAGCCCCAAGAAGGGCACCAATATTCTGACTGGCATTTTCTCCTCCACAATGCCCCAGAATAATGCTAGGCCCATGGCATTGTGGGGAATACAAAATGGTGGCCAGGCTGCCAATAGAGCTGCTACTACCACTTGTGGCAGCATTGAAAGAACAATAACAAAATAAAATCTTAGGAAGAGCAAAAGAAACTGTGCTATTGTCACTGCTAATGGTGAATGCCACCCCTGAGGAACTATTGGAGAATTTCTTCTTCCCCCTGAAGAATCAGGGTGAAATGGGACCCACAATTTCTCTGCCTGCAAACGTCAAGCGGCCATTTCCATACGGGTCTACCTCAAGAACTTCCTTTCTCTATATTAACCTACTGGAGATCATCTTCTGAGGTCCTTCTTTGCGTGCCTCTTCCACAAGAGGTCTGGAGGGTGGCAACACAAGAATGGGCCTTCTCTGCAGTAGCTTCTCATTTGTGGAATGCTCTGCCCAGGGAGGTTTGGCTGGCGCCTTATATACCTTTAGGAGCCAGGCAGTGTGTTGGGGAGGGGGGAGATTACTGGGTTTTTCTTGTTTTTATTTTTATTATATATTTTGTGTTATTATCTTGTGTTTTTATGTTTTGAACCGCCCTGACACCTGCAGATAGAGGGTGGTATACAAATTTAATAATAATGAGGAGGAGGAGGATGATAATAATACTAACCTTCAAGTCTCTCTCCTTCTGCATTCCATGTCTGTTCCCCACTCTCACTCTTAGCTGATTTGTCTTTAGGGTGGTCAAGAAAGAGGACAAAGGAGGACAAATTTTAAAATGATTACTATAGATATGTAGAAATAATTACCATAATTTAAATCAGGGGCAGGGAACTTTTTTTTTAGCATGAGGACCATATCCCCTTCCAGGGGCCACATATCAGCAGTGGGAAAAGCCACTGGCAAAACTTAGTGCATCAATGGATGTGCATCTTTGTACAAAAAGCTTCATTCCAGCCAGGCAAAAATCTCCATCCCCTCCTCACCCAGGCAAATGAGATACACTAGAACAATTCAAACTTACATCCCTCCAGAAGCACTCAAGGAAGGCACAGAGCAAAACCAAACCCAATATGACATCTTCCAATTAACTTATTTGAGGATTCCCTTAAATCTAACAATAACTCTGATCTAATTTGGGTGCAAAACAGACAACATAAAAAGATACATGTTACAGACTCAGCTTCTCCAATTCCACAAGGACGTAGATGCACTTCATAAGAGGCACCCGGAAATCTTCGATGCAGAAAGAAAAATATTGAACTTATCTAAAGTCTGAGATGTTATCAAGGTTTACTATCTAGAGACTGTACTTTGCTACATCAGATATGAGGACCATATAAATACCTCATGCTGCTAAGCACCTAAACCCAATCAGGAAAGGCTGCATAGTTGAAAAGGTCAATCGCCACACACCAGAATAGCTTATCTGCTAACAGGTGTGGGTGGGTGGGTGGGTGTCTGTATATATAGTAACTAAAGAACATATCTCAAGTCAGAAGAAGTCGCTTTGATTCTAGAGGGAATTTTTTTTAACGCATGCTTAATTATTTCATAAATCTAAATGAATTCTAATGTGGAAATCTTATACTCACCTGGTTGGAAGTCCCATTGAACACAATGGAGCATGCTTCAGAATGTTTAACAGGGCAATTCTATGCTGGCTCCTCAAAGTAAGTCGCATTGAGTCCAAAGGGTCATACTCCGAGCCAGGTTTGTGTGTATACCATTGCAGCCTTATTTAGGCTTATTTGCCTCCTGTATTTACATGTATTTATTTATTTAGTTCTTTATCTCATAAAAAATGAACTCCACTTGATTGTAGAAAACCTCAAAGCATTTAACAAAAGATAAAACAGTAAGAACAAGAAAAATTCACAACCCTACTTCAAACATACAAAAGTTAAAATACTAAAAGAGATTCAAATTACCTCAACTTTCTAAGTAATATTCTAAGCATAGATGAAATTTGACGCTGGGTGCTAGCTGAAATAAATCATCTTATTCAGGCCTATGTGATCATGCATTGAAGTGGAACGTTTCTCTGTTATTGCTCTTCTATACAGAAATTTCACCATTAAAACCTTCTTTTTTATCTTTAGGTTTTAAATGATAAGGCCATGATTCTCATGGAACATCTTTTGCTCAGGTATGCCTGTTATGGATGAAGGGTGCGCACACACACAAACACTTATAAATCAAGGCTTTCCCCTTCATAATACAGGCAGCAACTGTTTTAGGCATGTCCAATATGTGTGCGATTGCACACGTGCACATTGTGCTGAACCCGGAAGTGACCTAAAAAGTCACAAAAAGAGGCGGAATGGGGGCAGGGCAGGTTCGGAATGGGGTGTTTGCAGGTTTTTTCAATGGTGTTTCAAATATATGCGATTTCACTTAAACGTGTGGTGTCTTGGAACGTAACCCCCTCCCTCGTGTAAATTGGAAGTTGCCTGTGCTCACATGCAGTGGCTGCAAAGAGGTAGGGTGGTGTGTATGCAAACATTTTGATTTGGCAAGTGGTCCTATTATGAATAGCTTGCTGTAGCAGGAAAGCTTCTTCACAAATAAACAGGCTGCCTTGCACATCAGGTGTACAACAGCCAAATCAGTTTATCCATTTGCTTTAGCAAGAATTTGAACATTAAATCTATAGTGGCTAAGACAATGCTTTTCAAACTGTGTTCTGGGGAAACCAGTGTGGTTCCTTATTGTCAGTTTCTCAGTGAAAAGAGCTATAATGGTGAGCAACTTTCCCGAAAAGGCAACTTGTCTGACATTAGCCATTTCTCCCCTGGCACTGCATAGCTGTAGAAATGTTTAGGTGCATTCCAGTAAGAATGGAATATGGAACATATTCTAAGATTAGGGTCCTCTGCAATGCATTGGGATTATATTGTAGATGCGTAGGGATGGCAGACGTGCAGATGGGTTGATGTGAAAAAGTGGGTTTCCTGGGCCGAGATTATCTGAAAACCACGTAGTACACCTTTGATTTATTGCTCAGTCTTTCCCATTTACAACAACAAATACTGAAATAGTATCACTTGCAAAAAAAACAAACAACCCAGCAACACCCTTCTGCATGGTACAGTATATTGTTCAATTGTTAAGGCTCAGCAAAAGGAAACGTTCAAAGCACAATGTCATCTTTTATACAGAACCATTTCACATGTTACTGTGTACCATGAGAACAGGTTGCGGTTTACAGCATTGCACCCTGCTGAGGGCAATGAAGCTGGTAACAGTTGGTGGAAAAGGTGTGGCATACCAAACATCCTGGCCAGAAGAGACAGCCCTTTCAGTCTCACATCGCCCTGTCTCTGTCTCTATTTGACCTCTTAGGACCTGGCTGCTAGTGCCAGACCTCTGTGTTTCACCTGACTATTGTTTTGCTGCTTCTTATCTTGTGGAACTGTAGAAGGAAGGTAGCAGAGCATTTGGACAGTCAATGTTTCACTGATTTCAGACGTGCCTGTCACCTCAGCCAGCAGAGCTTGACTGGAAGAACAAAAGGGAACTAGCAGAAAGCTGATCTCAGTCTTTCTTACAGCTGCAGCACTCAGAGAAAGAAAAGACTCTGAACAGGGAGGGCTAGAGAGAAAAGAAGGGAAAGCGTCCCTGAAGAAAGTTCCTGAAATGGAAGAAGCGGGAAATAATGGGACATTGGATCCTGTCTGTTCTGCAAATGAACGTCCATACTCACAAGTAATATTAGAAAGTAAGTTTATTCACTGTTGAGAACAACGTAAGTCTGTGTGAATAAATCCTTTTTGGGGTTGTTTTTTTTACCAGATTAATCAAACTGGTGTGTGTGTGTGTGTGTGTGTGTTAATGAGAAGCTTTTTCTTTCACTGTTGTTCTGGACTGACCTACTTTTTAAATGGCATTTGAAATGAGGAGGACACATTAATGTTCATCAGAAAGGCTTAAAGGCAAACTTAATCTAGTGTTGATGAATGCATAATGACTTTGAATGGCAAATTTATTCACCTGTAACTTTAAAATTAAAAAGAGTTTCAACCACAAAAACAGAAAGATGCTTCTTTCTAGCAGGGCTCGTGCAGGAAGAATTCCAAACAGATATATGATTGTTGATGATTATGATAATATTATTTTATTTATTTCATAAAATGTATATACTGCTTGATTGTAAAAAAAACAACACTCACAGTGATTCACAAAATGATAAAATAAAATAAAAATTACAACCATACTTTAAAACATAAAACAAAAGTTAAAATACTAAAACAGATTAAAATCACCTCAACTTTCTAAGCATCTAGGTAAGCTAGTTTAAGAAGAGTTTGGATTTGATATCCCGTTTTATCACCACCCGAAGGAGTCTCAAAGTGGCTCACAATCTGCTTTCCCTTTCTCCCCCACAACAAACATTCTGTGAGGTGAGTGGGGCTGAGAGACTTCAGAGAAGTGTGACTAGCCCAAGGTCACCCAGCAGCTGCATGTGGAGGAGCGGAGACGCGAAGCCGGTTCTCCCGATTATGAGTCTATCGCTTCTTCCAATCTTCATCCAACGTCTCTTCCTCCTGGTCTCGGGTTTTGTCAGTCCTTTCTATCCCATCCATCTAGTTCATTAACCTGGTAACCTTATGTCCGAGGCCCTTAAGTCTCTTCCATGTCCCTTCCGCAGATCTTCTTCATATTTATACCTGTACTTTACTTTGTCTTCTGCTCCTTTCACTCGTGGAGACTCCAGCTTGTCAATATTTTTGTCCCTTCTCGACAGATCAGCCCCTTTTCCATAGTCCACATTGAACTCCATGTGGTATTTAAAAGCATGTTTCAAGGTCCCTCCAAGGTTGGGGACCCCCACAACTCCAAACTCCTCCCGGCCCAACGCCAGATTTGAAAATTCAAAACATCCCTGCATAGGGGGGGTCTATCCAGCCCCCCATCTCCAAGCCGAACAAGACTTTATCTCTCCAAATCTGGCTTTTTCCAGGTTCATTCGTCAGATCCAACAACTCATGTTCCTGCTGGGCCACAGTTCCCTCCATCTCTGCCTCCCGAGGTCCAGCCACAACCTCCTCCCTCATCTGATCTGTCAGAGCACACTCCTGAATTGATTCCTGAGTGGGTTCTATATAGATACCCACTACCTGTCCAAAATTTCTGATCGCATCAGTCATCAAATCCGTCTTCTCATGTAACTGTTCCAATAAAGCACTTGTTTTGCAGAAAGCACGCACCAGAGCCTCCGAGTACATTGTTGTGCAAGGTCAAAGTCTGATCCCACGATCTTAATCTATTGCAGCTGCAAAGCTCCCCAGTTCAGATTAATAACAGTTTCACAAGCTCCCTCTAGGGGAAGAACTTCTATTTGTATCCATCTCTCTCTCTCTCTCTTTTTTTAAAGCAGATCTAACAACAAAGTTTCCTTTTTCAGATATTTTGTCAATATTTTGTTCCTTTTAACTGCGAAGGAGAACAATGGAATCACTATGTTTCTCTTCTTTTAACTATCTGTTAAAAACGTTTGTCTGTAGTCAATGAACTTCCCGAAAACGTCTGTCCTGACACCCCGCTCCCAGGTTCAAGACGGTGGAAAATTGCTTTTCTTTACACTCTCTTCTGCAGGTTTAAACAGTCCAGAAAAAATCCCCCCTCTTCTCCTGCTTCCAAAGGGGGTTCAGTAATTTTAAATGATGAAAGTTGATCCTTTACAAACGATTTTCTAAACTCTAGCTTGCCATGTCTTTGCTTTAATCTTTCTACAAAAAGCGGAAGACTGACTTCCTGTTTAGACCTTCCCGCTTCAGTGCCAAATTAAAAGGAATTTCTTAGTCCAATTTTCCGTTCTACTCACGGGTCGTTGTTTAGAGTCCAATTGTCCAAATTTAACCTACTCACGGGTAGTTGTTTTTGTAGCCAGATTGTCACAGGAAAAAGGTAGCGCTTTCCGGTAACGGCTGTGCGGCTTCGCTCCATGGAAGAAGCAGTTGACTCTCAGCACCGCGCCGCTTGCCCCGCTTCGCTCCGGAGCCCGTAATTGGGTTCCTTTACAAATTGGGGGGGGCGCGCGAAAGGTGCCCGCCGAGTCCCACGGTCACAGGCTTCACCCGCCTGTGATTTTTTAAAGGGTCCCCGCTTCGCCGTAGCGGAACAGACCCGATTTCCGTAGAGCCAGTCCCTCCGGATCAGAGGGAGTCCGCCATTACCGATGATGCCACCCCGGAAGTCCCCTCCACCACACTGGCTCTCTAAACAGGAATACTTTTAGCAGGCACAAAAAAGAGTACAGTGGAGGTGCCTGATTGATTTCAATAGGCAAGGAGTTCCGGAGTTCAGGTGCTGCCGTACGAAACAAATGCGGAATGGGCAATATGTGTGATAACGCTATTTATTAGTCACTGTTCTCATGGGAATGAGCAACTGACACTGATCAGAAATGGGGAACTTTAGGTGTGTGGATCAAAGCAGGCATTTCCCACAGTGCCTCTGTCTTGTATGAGCGGTTCCACCTGCTAGAAATTAAGTGTCAAAGCTTTCCTGCTGTTCTCAAGTATGGGGTCATGTGGACACAGAGAATGGCAAGGGAAAGGGAAAGTTTAAAACTTCTTGAACTATGATATGACAGCAGTACAGGAATGAATGTGTAGTTGTGTATAGACACTAAAGGCACAACTAGCCTCAGTGTGGGACACCTGCACTTAGACTCGTCCGCACATTTATTTATTTTTTAATGAGCTGAATTTATTAGGCTCTGCAATGCTGTGAGCAATACTGGGGTGGTGTCTGGAAGGGCTGCATTTTTCCTGGAATCAGAGCCCGTAGTTACGGCACTGGGTCTGTTTATCTGGAATCACAGTCACAGTTTACTGCCAATTAATCAGTGTCAAAGCATTCTTTTTTTTTTTTTTAAAGGTCATTCTCAAAACATCCTGTTAAAAAGATGTGGGGTTGCCCTTTGGTTCTATAGCAATCTTGATGGGTGTTACTGACTAGGAAGAGATATCACAGATTAGGAGAGAGCCAATAGCTCATATTTTAGTGGTGGCAAAGTTCCAAATTGCAGCAAAATGGAAAAATATAAAGCCCCTAGCAATGAAGGAAGAAGATATGATTCAATTGATGCAAAAGCTTACCAAGAATTTGCATCAATGAATTTACAGATATCATACAGCAAATCCCAGATATAATTATGACTGTGTAGAACAATTGTTCCTGATTCTAGATGTAATTGACACAGCTAACTAGCAATACAAGAGAACTATGATTCTCTTTGATAGCAGATAGTGTGGGGAGGAGAGTGTACATCTGTCTGTCGGTCGGTCGGTCTATCTACTTGTTACTGAATTATTTTGCACATGCATCCAAACAGGTACATAGTCTACTATTCCTGATTATACCAAATTTTATTCCTTTATTTTTTAAAAAAATACTAATTAAAAATTATAGCCATTACTAAACTGTGTTTGTGATTTTAAGCACTTAAAAAACAAATAGGCATGGTGCTTCATTAATGTGAACATTTTTGGCCAGAAAAGCTCAAGTAAAAGAAAGAGGGAGGGTGAATTCAGGCAGCCAATGTACCATGTGATAAATGTGGGGGAACTGCACTTGTTTATTAAATGTGGACCTAAGATGGCCGTGGCTGCTTTTGTAGTGTTCTGTGGTTTCTGTGTGGTCCTACCCCTAGTTATATACTCATTCTGTAGCTACAGAGTGAAGACCTAAGTTCTACCTTCCCCACAATGCATTGCATTGATCCACTACCAATACTTCCTTGTTCTTCCTCTATGGAACTTGGTTGTTTAGCCTCTTCCCACATTCTTGTATTAATACATACTGATAATGGAGTATGTAATATGGGTTTCCAAATCCTTTTCACCCTGTAACAGCAATGCCTCAACTGTTTTTTCCCCTAGAGGTGGCGTGCTGAAACTGGAAATGAGCCCTACCAGGAGAAAAAAATACATAATACAGCCGTACCTTGGAAGTCGAACGGAATCTGTTCCGGAACTATGTTCGACTTCCAAAACGTTCGGAAACCAAAGTGCAGCTTCTGATTGGCTGCAGGAGGCTCCTGCAGCCAATCAGAAGCCCCGGAAACCCCGTTGGACATTCAGGTTCCAAAGAATGTTCACAAACCAGAACACTGACTTCCAGGTTTGCGGCGTTCAGGAGTCAAAACGTTCAAGTACCAAGGTGTTCGGGATCCAAGGCATGTCTGAATGCCAAACAAGCCTTTATCCCTAGTTTCAGCTAAGACCAGCTAGAAACATTCATCTCTTTCTCTCTCGCATACACACACACACACACACACACACACACACACACACACTGCTACTGTCTCTCATGGCCCTGGATTGTGAATTAAGGATATGCTTACCTTATATTAAGCATGCTTGCTTGCTTTTACCAGGCTGAAGTATTCCATTTCTTTATGTGCTGCAGCTTGTTGTTTACATTTGCCACAACTCTTTATCCTTTCAGGCCTTGATTTGACAGGAATATTGCTCTTTGGTATCCTGACTTTAATGACACTGACTGCTGACCTGGTGTTTGTGGAGGAAGTCTTCTATATCTACCGCAAAATCCCACCCTCCAAAAGATCCATTTTTATTTGGATAAATGCAGCTGCTCCAGTAAGTTGAATAAATAAATTAGTTGGGTTGGGGCAACTGGCTAAAATGTTTTTAAATGTTTTAGAGTTCTAATTTTGGTTCCTCTGTTTTGTTTTTGTCGGGTTGGTGTGGGTTATATGTTTAGTTGGGGTTGGCGGTTATTTTAATTTGAGTATAACAGCAAGCTGTTTGTTGTTATTGTTATGATGTTGTTGATGTTGTTGGTGTTGTTTTCTTCTATTGATTTATTGGTTTGTTTGTTGCTTGTATAGGATATTTTGTTTTTTAATATTTAATGTTCTGTTGTGTTTTTATATATGTTATAAGCTACCCTGAGTGGCTGGGTAAACCCGGTCAGATGGGCAGGATATAAATTATTATGATTATGATTATTAAATTACACTAAAGATGGAAAACCCTATTAGTACTCACGTAAGGGCATCCAGAGATGACCCTATTACTGGGTCTCTGGTAATGCCTTCCTTTTAGGGACAGGCAGCAGCATACATTATTTGCATGCAGAAATTCTCAGGTCCAATCCCTGGCATCTTCAGCTAAAACTGGAGTGGGGAACCATCAGACCCAGAGGCCAAATGTGGCCCTCCAGCCCTCTTTACCCAGCTGCTAAGACTCTGCCCAAGCGACACACACCCAGGCAATATCTCTCACTGGCGTTGCTCTCAGCTCTCTTTCAGTGATTTCATGTGGCTGGAAAGTGCTCTTGAAGTGTGTTAATATCTCTTGCTTGCTTGCCTGGATGGATGGATGGAAAACAAAGAACCGTGTGTCTGGCCACATCCACTTTTACCACACCCAACACTGGCATGCAGCACTCAGAAGCTTGCGCACATGGGAAGGCGGCCCTCAGGCTGAAATAGGCTTCCCACCCCTGAGTTAAAACAATGAATAGCCAATGACTCTGGACTACTGATGCCAATCAGAGTAGACAATACTGGCCTACTTGGACAAATAATATGATAAATTACAATGCCGCTTCCTATGATGCCACTTGGATACTGGGCTTCCCCAGGTAGGGCTTCTCCAGCTGATGTTTTCTGAAGGAAAAGTTCTTTAGAAAGAGCTCTAATCTGATGTTCTGATCTGATGCCTAACTCAAGACTAGATAATATTGAATTGTGTCTAAATCTGAACTGAAGGGATATTCATTTAGAAGATAATAGATTCCCCCACCCCCTGCCCCCAAATCTACTTACGGTAGTTAATAAATAGGTTTTGCCCTGAATGTTCCTCTCTCTTTCCAGGTGATTGCCACTACGTCATGTATTGGGATGTGGATTCCTCGCTCAACAATGTTTACAGATTTTACTGCAGCAGTGTATGTTTTCTCTATCTTTTTAGATATGCATTTACCCGTCTGTTTCCATTTTTAGGCAAAATGTTTCCAGCATTAAGGAGACAAATAGTTATCTTGTATTTGTAGGAACAGCCCTTTTGTTAAAATAGAATCCTTTATCAGTTTTTTTTTGCATGAGGAGAATATACTGTTAACTCAGACTTTGATGATAGTGTAGAAACTAATAATGGCACCGACTAGATAAAAGAATGGAATGTTAAATGTGTGTGTGGGGGGGTGTATTCTTTAGTTTGTGCACTTTAAAAGTCCACAGACTCCTTTGACTGGCAGCTGGATTGAAACAGCAGAGCCCCTTTGATTTCTCAAACGTATTCTTTAGAGCAAGATTCTGACCTGTGAGTGGCATTTCACCAGTCTTTTCTAAATGGCACATTGCAGTTTCTTTTTTTAAAACAAAAAAACTGCTGAAAAGAAGTACACCAATATAGGAAAATAACCCAAGTTGGATATCTGTGTGATGAGGCTTGTCCGCTGTAACACATACTGTAAAGGAAGAGAAAATAGTTTGCATCCTTTGGCTTTTTGTTCTTTTTTTCTTTTAAGAAGACAACAACAACCCAAAAGCAGCTGTGGGGGATGCAAATTAGACTGATGCAGTGGCCCTGAGGAAGGGAATATTTAAATTGCCCCCCCCCCCCCGCTATTTCTCCTAAAACAAAGTTGTCTCACTCTTTCAAAAACAAGGTACCGGTAGGTTTTTCAGGGAATGGCAACTCAAGGCATCCCAGTAGTTACTGCACCAGGGATAGCTCCAAATGAACAACAACTTGCGCCAACAAAGGCTGGAAGTGAACTGAGGTCTTATGAGTCCACTTCTTCCAGGCTCCATCCTTTAGGCCTGAAGACTGTGGCTCTTAAAGGGCCAACTCTCTGTGTCTGTACTGTAACCTCCTGAGTAGTGCCCTGTTGAGCAGCTATGCTACTGTGAGAAGCACTCAATTCCCCTGGCAAGTCAAAACTGGGGGACAGCCCCTGTGAGGGTCCCCACAGGCTCAGGCTCCAATCCACCAGCGTCAGCAGCCTTCTCGAATTCCTCAGCTAGCAGAACAGCAGACCTGGGCTCAGCCAGCTCTTCCTCTGCTGAGCTCAAGCCTGCGGCCATGACAGTCATGTGTGACAAATGCATATCTTAACATGTAGGTGCCTTTCCCTCCTTCCCATAGATTTTTTGCTATCGTCATCCACAAGTTCCTGCTCATGATGATTAAAGAATGTGGGGGTCAAAAACTATTCCTCAGGCACTTTGAGAACGACCACTTCAAGATAAGCACAGGCCCCTGCTGCTGCTGTTGCCTTTGCCTCCCACATATACGCATCAATAGGTGAGTTGGAAGGGCTTTGGTATAATCAAAGTGTTGTTATTATTAAAGGGAAAGGGTGTGGTTTAAAGTCAGCACATTCACATCAGTTTTGTTACACTGACATACCACCTTCCTTCCATTCTGGAACCCAAGGTAGCATACCCCACTGGGCAGTGTTTTGGTTTCGATCATATACTTAAAGGAAGCTCAAATCCAAATATACCTGCATATCTGGACCGAGTGCTGCCTTGGAATTCTTCTAGGATGCAGAGATTGGACTGCCATCTTTTTACAGATGCTCTAGCTCTGGATTCTCTACACTGAGCATGGGTTTGGAGTAGATGGACTGCAAGATCCACTCTGTTGGTCCTAAAACAAGAACAGACGTTTGCAATAAGTTAGTTGAACCAGTGGGGGGCAATAGACAGAAGGGCAACCTATCCTCCCCTCACTGATTACTTCTGTTTCCTCTTCATGTTTTTAGTCAGCATGAGTTAACATGTGACCGTGCTAACTTATTGACTCCATATGGGCCACATGCAAAACCTTTGCTTAGAATGGAGGATCTAGACTGAAAAAAGATGTGGGAAGTAGGTGGAAAGTCAGCTTCAGTCCAAGGGCGGCATTCCCTTCTGAGCAACCTTCTGAGGGCCACATGCCAGCGGTGGGTGGAGCCAGAGTCAAATGTGGCCGTGGCAATTAATTGTACCTTTGTACAGCAGGCTAGTTTCTGCACACACACACCCATCCCTCCCTATCCTCCACCCAGACCAATAAGAGGCACCATCAGAGTTCAATAACACATTTCAGTGAGGCAGAAACACCCAGGGTGTGATGCGGGGCCAGTGAGCGGGGTGGCCAGGGAAGAGTTCCTAGCACTAGGTAGAAAGAACTGGAGGACCACATTTAGGCCCCAAGGCCTGAGGTTCCCTATCCCTCTTTTAGAACCACTTCCTTGCTCTGATTCACTGTCTTTGCGCCACAGAATTATTAAAATATGAATAATCCATGGGAGATTTGATGACAGAAACCATATGTAACGCTAAAATTCGGTGCTCCGCTCTACAGTATTGTTGTGGCACCCCTTGCAGTGCAGCACCCAGTGTGGCCAAACTGGTTACACTACCCTAAAACCATCTCTGAGGTAGCTGGGTATGTTTAGCCTAGAGGAGACTGAGAAGAGATATGATAGCCTTCTTCAAATAACTAAGCTGTCAAATGGGGAATGTAGCAAGCTTGTTTTCTCCTGCTCCAGAGGGTAGGATGAGAATCAATGGCTTCAAGTTACAAGAAAGGAGATTCAGACTAAACATTCTGATTGTAAGAACTTTCTGACAGTATGAGCTGTTTGACAATGGAACAGACTCCCACAAGAGGTGGTGGACTCTCCTTCCTTGGAGGTTTTTAGGCAGAGGTTGGCTGGCCATCTGTCATGCATGATCTAGTTGAGATTCCTGCATTGCAGGGATTGGACTAGATGAGATTCGGGGTCCCTTCCAACTCTGCAATTCTATGATTCTATGATTCTATTTATTATTTGGTCCTTAGATTGACAGAGGGTAGAGATATCACTGAAGCTTGCATGTTCTCAGACAGTTCCTTCGCTTCTTCAAGAAAGCAGAAAGAGGTGATCTGCCAGCTCATTTGTACACTCGTTTGTACTGTTTATAGTTCTGTAATTATTTGCAGGAGTAAAATTGCCACTATAATTATATCATTATTATGCAATTATGGCTGTATTAATTGAGCAATTATATTAAGCCAAAGTTCATTAATATAGCACAGAGTACATTATATAGCAGCTTGCCTTCATTAATGAGAGTGTCTGAGGTGGAAAGAGAAGGAGGTTGGATATCTGAATAAAGAGAGGAAGGAAAGAAAGATGTAATGGGGGGTGGGGGTGGGGTTGGCGTTGGGTAGGGATATTTACTACTCAGATTGTCCAAGGCAAAAGCCCAATACGTGTCAGTGGATCAAGATTACCACCTCTATCTCCTTTGAGATTATGAATTTGTCCTTCCCCCCTTTTTTTTATTTGGCAGGCGAACACTATTTTTACTGAAGCTGGGGACTTTCCAGTTTGCATTCCTCCGCCCTGTGCTAATGTTTCTATCAATAGTACTTTGGACCAATGGAAACTACAGTCCCTCTGATGTAAGCAAAGGTTTGAAGAATTTATTGAAACTTAATAAAGGATGATAAGAAATACCTGTACACCTAAAACTGTTTTGAACTAAAACAGTTTTGAACTAAAACCAGTCAGAATGTACTGTAGGCATAAATCACCATGGTCTTGCTATGCTATGACACAGAATACAAACATAGAATAAAAAGAACTAAAAAGCTGTAATAACAGTAGAAAACCAACTAAATATAGGTTTTTAAATAATTCAAAATAAATACCTAGGGCAGAGACCTTTCCATTCCACTGGAAAAGCTAATTGAAACAAACATGTCTTTAGCTGACCTGCTTAGTTACTGGCAGACGCATGGAACAGAGACAAACTACTGTAGGCAATGTTACATGTGTGATGGCATTTAATAGGGGGAAACCTCCGGGAGGCAAATGTGGCCCTCCTAGCTTCTCTCGCTGGCCCCTGGAACTCTCCTAAGTCACATCCCCTCTCCCAAGCCACACCCCTCACAGGCCTTGCTTGTGTTTTGGCTGGAATTGAACTCTGATGAAGCCTCTTGCTTGTCTGAACAGAGCACAGAGTGTGGTGCATGTGTAAAAACTACTTTACAAAGGTAAAATTTGTATTTGTTGCCATAACCACCGTTGCCCCCAGCCCCAGTCCCACCCACCACTCATATGTGAGCCCCAGAAGGTTGCTGGAAAAGGTTCCCTACTCCAGAAATTGGAGCAGGGAGGAGGGAATTGGTGTTGGGGAAAGACGTGGAGATGAGTGGTTTTTTAACCTTCCCCAACAACTTGAATGTATTGATTTCAATAGGTCTGCTCTGAGGGTGGTGTGGATGCTTTTGGTGCTGCTGAGTGTGTATATGAGTTATACAAATAAGTTTGTTCTGGAAGCAGAAAAGGACCTGCTGTGGAATATAATCTGTGTATCTGTTCAATGTACCTTTTCAGTTATCTCCCAACGGAGCTGCCATATGGATTAACTGCTTCATAGGTGTCCTTACTATCATTGCCCTGTGGCCAATCGGAATCATGTTCCAACGAGTCCGCGCTCTCCTTAACTGCAAGAAGATTATCCCTAAATTTGCACTTTATCAGGTGAGATAGTTAAGACTACATTGCAGGCCTTCATTTGAAATGGTTCTGGAAGACAGCTCTATAGTCAGGTGCTGCAAACCTAAAAGAGGAATTCAAGATCAAAGACTTTATTACTTAAAGCCTTTGAAGTATGAAAGGTCTTCTTTGTAGCTAACTCCTATTTTGTGATAGCTTCTTTCAACGCTTTTGGGTGACAATGGAGAACTGAGCAATATTTAGAGTTTTCAGCCTTCCTAAAGTTTTGGGTGGTAAAAGTGCAGCGCACACAGAGTTCCTTTTCCCTGCATGGAAGGAAGTGGTGTAGAACAAAGACATATCCTGTGATACAAGACTAAAGCCCAGGGCGTACTTCTAAAGACCATGGTAGGTACTGGTAAAAATATGATTGTTTAAATGGTTTCAGAGCACCACAGTTTATTTTGTGCTGTTTCTCCTATATATGTCAAATTCAATTGAGTTATATGGGATCTACTCCCATGTCAGAGTGTGTAGGGATGCTAATTTGTCCCATTGATGGAACCTAAATTCAACTTAGTTGGACCCAACCCACAATTTCTTTTTAACTGCCCCAATATGCAAAGGAGAGAGCTGGTGTAAAGGGGTGGACTGGGGAGAAGAATTTCAGAACCCTCCTGTACTATAATACTTTCTAGGTGACCTGGTTTTAAGGCAATCAGTATCTTACTTCCCAAGAATGTTGGAATGATAAATCAAGCAGTGGAAAAGCCGTGCATGCTGTCTTGAGCCACTAGGAAGAAGGACTGGGGAAGTGGGGGAATGTAGCCAATAAATAAAAAACCTCACTTCTCTTCATGCAAGTGTGCGCATGCGCGCGCGCACACACACACACACACACACACACACACACACACCTGTTTCATTGGCTCCTGACAAACTGATCCATGCCCCATGGCTCTGATTCTGCTGGCTTTAAGCCTGGGCAGTCCATTGCTGAGTGTGCTCTTATAAGGGACTTTAGTTCTCCTTCTAGCTTACCCTGTTCCACTGCAAGGTGAGTACCATGGCAGTCAGCCACGCCTCCTCCTCCCAATAACATGGTGGACACAGGAGATGGCAGTTTCTGGGCTGCCTCTCTGCCTCTCAAGACAAATCTTCGAATCAAGTCCATAAAATTTGGTAAGTGCAAGTACGTTCTTCCCACCAAGGTGGAAGAAGTCTACACTGAGGGCATAATGCAGCTTTCTACAATCAGGTAGCCTCCAGATGTTTTGGTCCAACACATCTGGAAGACACCCTATTGGGGAAGGCTGGAGAAACAACAAAACATTACATATAGGAATGTGCAACTTGCCCCTCTCTTGGGCCATCTATTCTCTAGTTTACCCTTCAGGATTCTTCTCCATGGGCACCATGTTCTTTCACCAGGAGAAAACATGCACTATGAGTATTCATCTTTCAACATCAGCCTAAATGCACGGCACCTTCCCCCTCATGCTACTTCCAAACAGCGAACCTTCTGTGGTATCATCCCCCTCATGGGGATTTACCTCTTTATTTTAATTCAAGGTGGAAAATGTATATAGTTTTCATTGAATCGCATTCACTCTGCACTAAAATGGGATTTTTTTTCGCATGACAATTTTCTTTTTCTGTGTGTTTATGTAGTTTGCCCTCATTTTGAGTCAGCTCCAGGCAACCATCATCAACATATTGGCTATGGAAGGGGTAATTGCGTGTGTGCCTCCACTTTCTTCTTCAGCAAGAGGAGCATGTAAGTTGCTTGGATTTCAGTTTCTATGACAGGCTAAAGTGGGTTCATTTCTATATTCACTTATAATGTATTCCACCTCTGTAAATTATGTATTCCGCCTCTGCAGGGCCACTGTAAAAGTCCAACTGTCATTGAGATCATGACATCTGATGCTCCATGTATTACCCATTCCAACAGTTGTCCACTACAAGAGTTTAATGAAAGCAAGTTTGAGCCCACCTTATTTTCATTCCTGGTCCTTAAACCTCTTACTCTTTTGTTCCCTTTCGATTTGCCAGATATGGACCAACAGCTACTCATTATGGAAATGTTTCTCATCACTCTGATCTCACGAGTCGTCTACAGGAAAGGAAACGATGACCTGGAGCTTCCAGTGGTTTCAGACCAGGAAACTAAGGGAAACAAACAGAACAGCAGGATCAGTGTGGAGGGCAACATTTTTTAAAAGTAAGCACCAGTAATTTAAGGGCTGATCAGATATTAACTGGGACAGCTAAGATTCTGACCAATACATTTTCCATGGCAATGTAATATTGGCACTAGTGGAATAAATCCACATGAGCCAGGCATTCAGGGCTGGGAAGTGGGTGTCCAGAACTAAACTGATGCATTGCACATTAGCTAAAGGAATCATCCAGTGATGCCATGTTATGCTTTGACATAATGAGGACTATTATAAGGAGAGCTCACAAGTGCCAACTTTAGCTAACTTTCCCATAATCATCTGATATTGTAAAAAATAAAAAAAAGGTTGTGATAAGTGTAGCTATTACTCACGATGGTTAAAGCTAATTGAGCCTTAAAATGTAGAAAAGTAAAACAAAAATTGGACTGGAGAACAACTTATCTCCAAGTAGCATGGTTTAATTTTTACACAGGTGTCACAGAACAATGTAGCTTAATCTGCCGGAAAATTGTGCATTTTATGGAGCCTTGTTCCAAATTCCAAGCTGTTGCATTAGAAATAGGAAAAACAAAAATGTATTTCTGTTGCCTTTATGATGGGCAGAAGTAATGATTCAGACTATCTCAACAACTGTCATCCAAGTTTTACTACACACTGATCCTGATCCTGTAGTTGTGCATTGCTGTGGTGGCGCACAGAATGGCATGCGACTAATATTGGATGCCGAAGCAGCACTAGGATGTAGCAGAGAATAGGCAAGAAAAAAAGAAGGGGCCAGGAGGTCAGCATCCCCTTCTTAGGTGCCACCAATGCTATGAGGAGGAACAGGAGAGTAAGCCAAAGAGCTGAGAACAAGCAGAGTTGCCCTAGGACAAATATCAGTTTATTGAACTGTGCTTAGTATCTATATCCTTGAGTGTATAACAATACATTAAGAGAAAAACACATGCATCATAGTTTAAGTTCCTTTGTTCCTGGTTCCTTTTTGCCAGTCAGTAACATGGGAAAACCAAAGGTCTCACAAATCCTAGGGTTTCAAGGAACATGCAAGGAGCAGAGAGTGTGCATGAGTGTGCTAGTTCTGGTTCCCCCATTTCCATGTTACACTCTGCATCATCCAGGGTGACTGACTGTGCTAGGGAAGCCTACTCTACAGAGGGTGGTTTCTGTGCATTTTAACACCCTGGGAAATCAGGGTTATGAAATCCTGGTTTTCTTCCACATATAGAGGTGGTTTTCCTGCTGGAGACAGGTGCTGATGATGGAGGGCAGAGCCCGTGTGCTTATGCAGCCGCACCACCCCACACATGTTGCTTTAAGTGCTATTCTGAATGCCTTCTTGTAATTTAACTCCTGGGCTCAAGAGGCAAAATCTGATTTATATATACAATCACTGACAAGGTAGCTACTTGAAAATGCAACCTCTCATGCAAGGGACCTGTGTGAAAAAGGTCATTGCATCGTTCTGGCAAGTCTTCCAGACCTTGTTAAATCATAGTTTCCCATTATATCTGATCCAGGTTTAATCTCATGGGTCAAAACCAAGAACTGTGATTAAACTGTGTCTTAATAAACCCTATAAATGTTTCATTAGATTCACTGGTTTATGAGATTATTCTATTTTATTTATTGGCAAATTTCTATATACCTCCAACATGTCATGGCAGTGAACAGCATAAAATTAACAATAAAATGCCATTCATAAAACAAGTAGAAAAGACTTTTACATCCAGCTCCCTTAATTCCTAACCGTTGGTCATGCTGGTTAGAACAGATGGAAGTTGTATTCTAGCAACATCTGGGTGGGAGGTGCACAAGGTTCGCACTCCTGATGAGGGAGAATGAATAAAGATGAAGTAGAACAATCCTTGTTCTTCATCTAACAAATATGGTTTATTGGACTGTGCCCACACTAAGCCAAAGCTTGCCACTTATTTTCAAGAATCTAACACACAGCACTGGCTGCTCTCTTAAGTTAGACTTACAAAGAAATCATATGCACACTTATTTGGTAGCAGGTCCCTTTGGGACTTTCTTCTGCATAAACATGCATAAGATTGGACTGTTAAAGAATCACGTGGGGGGCCAGATGTGTGAGAGAAAACATATCCTACATCTTTAATGGTTGTGTAGAAATCCGAATGCCAGAAGGTTTAGATTGCCACGCAAGTTACACTTGCTGAAATTCACTTCTTCACACAACTCTTCAAAGTGCAGGAGTCCCTTCCTCTCTTCCTCTTGCTAGTAGACACTATAGTTTTCTGGAGATATTGGTGTTAGGATAGAACTAGTGTTGACTGGTGGGTTGAAACACATTTTTTTCTGTCCCATACAAGCTTTTTCTTTCTCTTTTTTGTAGCGCTTGAAACGCCTATAAAGCCTGTGTGACCAGCTACTGTTAGTGGGACTCACTTCTCCCCCCAAAAAAGAATATCTGCACCCACAGTCAACTGTACTTCTATTACAGGGAAGGGAGAGAAACTTGGGTCAGTTTGCATTTTAATGCAAATCTACCTACACACAGTTAGTTTCCGAAATCCATACTTTCCAAATTATGCAATGCAGTTCTCCAACCAAAAAATGTGTATATTAGAGGATGGTGTGCATAACAATGTACATATTAGTGGAAAAAAGCATTGAAAGTGCTTCTAGTTGGGAAAATTGCATCCAAATATGCATATTAGGGGAAATACACCTTAAAATGCTGGCAATTTTTGGTGATGACTTTTTTATATTTTTAAGACAGAAACTGATACAAAAATGTGGTGAACTGAATTTCAGACTGTGAAAATGAGAAAGAGAGAGAAAGTGAGACTGGCAGATCTATCCATCCTTATTCTGTTCTATCATCTTCAGGTATGAAGAATGATCAACTATACACCTCCTTTTAGAATCACAGTCTTGGCTGCTTCATAATAGCACTGGAGGAATAGAAGTATTGAGTATTGAGTTTTTCTGCAGCCGGATCCTAAGTATGTATACTCAGAAATAGGTCCCATTAAATTCAGTGGCACTTACTCCCAAGTAAGTGTGCGTAAGATTACAACCTTGATCGCCTCCCCTCGCTTTTTGGCTGAAATCACTTAGATGAATATTTGATCTCTTCCACATAACCCTATCACATTCAGCCAGCAAAGGGAGTGAGCTAATTGTTAAATTCAGTTCAACAAGTTCCTCATTAAGAACAAATTACCCGAGTTTGAAATCTGCTAATTTTCCAATCAGGGTGAGTGTTTGCACTTGTGATTTGGAAATAATTACCACAATGTATAACATCTGAACCTATGTGGAGCCTAATGAGAGAGGGATTCATTTCTTTGGGATTAGAAAAAGAGCTGAAGTGATTTAGGTTGCTGTATAGCTTCTTTCATGAAATACACATGTGAGCCTCTCGTATGCTCAAGAACTTTCAGAGACTGTCCCAGTGATTGCTTCAACTTACCTTGATTCTGTATTTAGCTCTGTTCCCATACTAAAACGACTGATTTCAAGAAGGCGCTAAAATGTTAAAAAGCATTCAAGATATTCAGGCCTGTTTTAGATGCTCTATCTGGTTTGCGTCATTGTGATTCCAAATATGGAGATGCTCATTTGTATTATACCTATAATGCAAATGAGACTGCATGCACTTCCTTTACAGGAAACAAACATCTGTTATGTTCTTAGTTTCAATCACAGATTTTTACGAGTGCAAACCAGGGCACTGTATATATGAAACCCAAGCCACAGCATGGTAATAGGTTGATGGTACCAGTGTTGCTGGTGCTGTGGGTTAAACCGCAGAGCCTAGGACTTGCCGATCAGAAGGTCGGCGGTTTGAATCCCCGCGACTGGGTGAGCTCCCGTTGCTCGGTCCCTGCTCCTGCCAACCTAGCAGTTCGAAAGCACGTCAAAGTGCAAGTAGATAAATAGGTTCTGCTCCGACGGGAAGGTAAACGGCGTTTCCATGCGCTGCTCTGGTTCGCCAGAAGCAGTTTAGTCATGCTGGCCACATGATCTGGAAGCTCCCTTGGCCAATAAAGCGAGATGAGCGCTGCAACCCCAGAGTCGGCCACGACTGGACCTAATGGCCAGGGGTCCCTTTACCTTTTACCAGTGCTGCTATTAAGTAATTTTAGACTCTGGACTTTATGGTGTTGTAGGGGGAGGTCACTCTTGCATGGCGATGTGTATTACTTCACTTAGTTGCCTCTGAGGCTCCCTGCAAGGCTCCCCCCAAATTTGATGGGCACTGCCATTCAAATGGTGTGGAAGTGCCGCATCATGTGATTATGTGGGGTGGAGCTTAGCTCCCCCCCCCCATTTTATTCATGTTGACATCCCTGCTTAATAGCATTACTGGTAATTTACAGACTTCCAAGGAGCTGCATAGAGAAAAAACCCACAAGGTGCAGGTTTGGCTCCCCATACACCCAGCCACCCAAATTCTCCACCACGGCATAGTGATGTACTGCTGAGTTGGTGTGGGAAGGCTCATGCCTTTGCCCCCAGCTTATCGACTTCCGGGAAACACGTGGCTGTGTCACTGTGGACAAACAGGCTGCTGGACTGGGTGGACCTTTGGTCTGGTCCAGCTTCAAGACTCTTCTTGAGTTCACAGAGTATAACATTAATAAATGCAGAGAAACATTGTGACCATTATACAGCCATTCAAGGTAACAAACCTATTGCTGAGGGGAAAAGCTACCATTGCCTGAATCTCCTTTCTAAAACAGAAGCTAGGCTTGGGCAGTTTCTTTCCTGTTGCAAAGCTAGTACCCACTGAATGAGGACCAACACCAGCAATCTGTCTCCTGATGTCATACCAAGATCCAAATATCAGCAGTGCAGTTAGATAATTTTTGACTCTGGACTTAATTACCTGGGGTGGGGGGCTGTTTAGATAGTAATGTATATTGTCTCACTTACTTCAAAATATACTGTGTTTGGACGTCCTCTTGCTCATTCTGCTGTGTGGCCCAGGATGTTGATCCCAAAGTTCTCCTCCTGATGGTACCATGGCCAAGGATTCATCTAGAGATAAAAGAGGGCAGGGGAGCAGTAAAGTAATTTTGGCACAACTAAAAGCTGGCAGTATTATTATTATTTATACCACGGCATATGAAAAAACAGCCTTTAACAGGGTTGGGAGCATTATCATTATTGAACTCATATCAGAATTTTCAGGGAATTTAAAACCTAGCAAATTTGTGTTGTACCTGATGGACCGTTTATAGTCAGGCTGACAGAAAAAGTGTTGTGGTTTCATGAAAAGAGTTTGTTCTACTCAACTTGGCACTGCGATTGCGCAATTGCCACAGAAACGCCGGGACGTATTTCTGCAAACCTACCAGTATGCCCAGTGTGTGAATTTCAGAAAAAGGAAGACATTTCCTAAAAGTTCATCTCCTTCTCTAGTCTTGCCCCTTATCATAAGTGGCAGACAATTACTTGGTAAAAAGGAATATGTCAGATGTAATATGTTTATTATATTTAAAATAATTATCAATCTAATATTTTAAAATAAGACATGATACACAGGTGGAATTTTGGTGTGGGCTGAGATGGTAAAGATAATATCTGATGTTTATTATCTCTTTATGTTTTTTTGATTTGTAATAAATCCTATAAACCAAATGAAGTTAGGTTTGTTTGTTTTTTAACCACATTATAAAATACAGTAGTTTGGATCCAAAGATCTTCTGATAGAAGCAGCTTCCTTCCGTGGAAGTTCTCCTTCGTTGGATGGAGGAAGATTCCTTCTCTCAAAGGAAAGGAACCTTTGGCTCTAGACCAATGGGCGATCTTTGTTCTATAGAACGCGACCGATCACAGCTATGCTTTGTACCAAACAAAGAGATGAGACGCCTGTGAAGCTGAGCCTTGATAATTTTGTCGTGCTGATTGTAAATGGAATATCAATATCATGGGGAACACAATTACCAATCGTACACGTGCAGGCCTATCAAGCAGCAATAGTGCTGTACGAGCAGCAACTCTGAGCTAGCCTATATAGTCATGGAGATTTCTCTTGCAATTTCCTCCGACCCTCAGTTTTCCTCACTCATTATCTCTGGATTGTTTGTTGCTCCTTGGATTCAGCATTCCAGTTCCATTATCTTTTGTCTATTGCCCTGTTACCATGAGCCTACCTGCTGTTGTCAATGGCACTAGCAGCCACTACCCCTGTACTATGTACAATAGAAATCTTTCATATGTGATTTGGTTGCTCTGGATACAGGCAGTTTGCTGTGTGCTGGGTCCTTTAGAGCAATAAATTAAAGTGCTTCTTTGCAACCTTTTCCCTTTCCTATTTTTTTGAGAAGAGTAAACATTCTCTCCGTGGCTTTATATGGACAATCCAGCTTCAGCAAACCCCCTGCACTGGCTATATAGATACAGATTACAAATATAAGCTTCACAGATGAATGAGCTGCAATACAATTCCAGGGGCAAGGAGGGCTTCTTACTCCTTTTCATCCAGAGGGGAAGATTTGGGCGCAACAGGTGAGGAGAACCAATGGCAATTATCTTCAAGAGACAATTCAGAATTCTGTAATGAATGAGCCCAGCCCATTTCCTCTCGAATGCATATTCATATTGTAGATGTGCATATTGAATATACAGTCCAATCCTATGGATGTCTACTCAGAAATAAGCCCTCATGTGTCATTGTAACAGCTGTCTGTGCTGCAGTTCTGTCTTCTCAGAGATGATAAGAACTGCAGTTTGTGACAATGGAGACAGAAGGTTGATTTCAGGTCTTCTTCTTGACCGTGCAGGGCATTCTGAAGTTTAGTCTGGAGATAAAAGAACATAAGAAGAACCCTCTGGGTCAGATAAAAGGCCCATCTAGCGCTGCATCCCATGCTCACAGTGGCCACCCAGATGCCCAATCATTTCTGTACTGTATCTCTGGCAGAGCCGTTCCAATATATAGTTTTTGGTACCTGAGCCAGACCCCCGCCACTTACTAGCAAAGGAGGGCTTAGGGAAGGTCTACACTAGGAACAAGCAGGGAAATAAAGACTGAAATCAGGATCTGCTGACCTGGTGGACCCTGCTGCCTGAGGTGGTCACCTCACCTTGCCTCATGGGTGAGCTGGCCCTGATCTCTGGTCTAAGACCAACAGCTTTTCTTAACTACAAGAGAAATGTATGTGGTTCCTGCAGCAAAATAAATGGTCACTAGATGGCACACTAAATTCACCGTTATGGATTTCCTACCTGCTCAGTATTTCATCCGTTAATAAGGTTTAAAGGCATAAAGGGGAAGGAAGTGAACAGACTTTATGCTTCGTTTTGCTTTAACTGATCGTTTGATGGTTTCTGATCAATACACAGTTTTAATAATCCTGGATGTGGGAAATCAACTGCTACCCCTGTTTAAGATTTTTCAACAATTCGTTTTCAGTGCTGTCTGGCTCAGAAGAAAGTCTCATTCTTTACAACAGGGTTCCCTCCCAACTAAGCATGTATAGGATTGCAACCTTTGTTGCTTTTTATATTGTAGGGCAGTTTGTAACTGTGGCTTAAGGACTCTCTGAATCAGTGACAGGTTCAAATCTTCCCACTTGGTACTATAGAATCCGTTTGACTCACTTTTGGACTACAGAATAAGATATAGCATGAAAACCCCACCCCTTTATGGGGTGGGATGTAAGTTTTGAGCAAAAATCAAAACAAAATCAAACTCAAGTTTTGTAGAATGAGGAAAAGACACCCACACACTCATAAAGATTCCAGAAGAAAAATATTAGCGAAGTTGTTTTTCCCCATAAAAAGTTTGTTTCTAATATGTCACATTAAATGATTTTCTATCTTATAACAAAATTTTGCAGAGAACACATAATAATCTTAGACTTCAGAAGTTCACAATACTAACTTATTTCAAATCAAGTTAATACATGCCAAATATGAAAATACAGCACATACAACTTATAATCAACATCTTATAAAAATTCGTGTAAACCTCAAAAATGTTAATATTAAAACCGTAGCTGCTTGGGACACAATAGTATAGGACATCACACTATTGGGAAAACTGGCATTTAAATTAAGAGTAGCCAGAGGCCAATGTGAAAAAACACACATTTATTTGGATGCGATTTATTTTGGTACAATTTTGTAACTTACGTTAATATTCAGGGACAATGGAGCTTTCCACCTCCAGCTTTTTAATGGATCTAGTTGATCGGAGTTTCTTAAATTCTTGTTTTCCTTTGGTCATTTCTCCTACTTGTGTGCCTCTACATCCTGGAACTGTAATATGAAACAGAAATATTATTTAATTTTGTTAGAGACATTTTAATTATCATGCATCTGAAATGATCTCCAAAAGATAAATTCTTACTTTAAATCTGCACTGCAATTGTTTTGCTTTTATTATGTTAATATTTTTCAGTTCGTTTTTAGCACTCTATGTATTATGGACCTGATATAATATTATAACTCAATAAAAAGAATTAAACAACCCCCTTCCAAACCCACAGCTGCTTAATTAACTCTCTTCTTTATGCCTTAAAAAATAGTAACAGTAAAGAATCTTGGCAGATTTAAGGTGACAAAGCCCCTTCAAATTCATATTACAAAATGTGCATTTAAAAACAGGAGACAGCTATTATTACAACATGACTGTGAACATTTCCCCCGTCAACTCTTCTTTTCAGTTACAAAAAGAAATATGTAAAGCTACAAGCTTTAAAGACATATTAACAGTTAACTTAAATATGAAAGCATGTCTATCATGCAGCTTGACAATGCAATCCTACACATGTCTACTCAAAGGAAAGTCCCATCAAGATCAATTTGACTTAGTTCCAGGTAACTGAGTATAGGATTGTAGCCTAAATTTATTTGAGGCAGGCAATTGCCTCCGGTAAGATATTTAACATACAAGGCATATGCAGTGCTTTTTTTTAAGGGAAAAAAGGGGCCAGTACTGCATACCTTTGAGTACGCCCAGAAAAAGCACTGTATGTATGTGAAAAAATTTGTTGCAATGCTATTATTGCATGATGTTTTTGTAGGACATGGTCTTCACATCTGTTTTTTGGCCTGAAGCAACATAATGTACCATTTAAATCCACATGGGGACAAAATCATCACCCCTTTGGAGCAAATATGGGACGGCTTCTTTTGCTATTTGTAAAAAGGTGTACAAGGAGCTGATCATAAAACAAGCCCCGAGCTAAGGGAGAAGACAACAGAACACAGAGCAGAGATCCCTAACCTTTTGAGACTGGGAGCACATTTGGAAATCTAAGAAAGTGTTGTGGGAACCACAAAATACCCATTTCATTGAAGAAAGACTGGCAATGCACTCACCTTCCCACAAAATATATAACAGGAAAATGTATCTACATTCTCCCTTAAGGGAAATAAAACACAGTGAGCCAGTGTGGTGTAGTGGTTAAGAGCAGTAGACTCCTAATCTGGTGAACTGGATTCGTGTCTCCGCTCCTCCACATGCAGCTGCTGGGTGACCTTGGGCTAGTCACACTTCTCTGAAGTCTCTCAGCCCCACTCACCTCACAGAGTGTTTGTTGTGGGGGAGGAAGGGAAAGGAGAATGTTAGCCGCTTTGAGACTCCTTTGGGTAGTGATAAAACGGGATATCAAATCCAAACTTTTCTTCTTCTTCATATCAGTTTCCTAAATGAGCTTCTCAGAGACCTAGTAAGGTTTTTCCATCTCAATTTCATCTGGTGGACCTCCAGCCTCTCATATACACAAATAACTAAATGTCTGTCTCATCACAGGACTTCCGACATGGCTCTTTCCATTTTTATAAGTTCTGGGTTGCCTCTGGACTTCTTGACCAGTTGTCCTTAATAGAATTTCCACTCCATGACTCCACTTTTTGCCATGTTTTTCTCCCCAGACTTGCCTCTGCCTTCTTCCAAGCAATTCAAAATGGCTGGCCATTCAAAAGCATATAGCTTGTTGAGGGAGAGGCTTATTTTGGCAATAATATAAAAGGACTATTTAATAAAGGTGGCTCATCTGTGGCCCTCCAGATGTTGGACTCCAATTCCCTTCTGTCACAGTCATCATGGCCAATTATCAGGGATGTTAATCTTCCTACTGATTGTAGTAGAACCTGTAACCTTTAAGGGGTTCCTCAGTAATATAAAAACAGCTGGAAGTCAGCTTGCCCAGCACTGCCACAGCTTCTTCAAGTCTGTGCACCAGTATAATCTTTAGTGGAACCCCAAGTTAGCATCCTGCATCAGCTTGGCTCCAGTTGTACACAAGAAATGACCAATTTTACAAAGAAATTGGTATCTCTCATGAGACAGAAAAAGAGGCAATATCAATGCCAGTGAGAGAGACATGGGTAACATCAGTGGTGGCTGGTGCCATTGGGACTGGTAGGTTGGAAGGCAGGGAGACCAACAATGGATGTAACCAGAGTCAATGACAGGTAGAGCCAGCTATTTCTAATTTTGTCCTTATGGAGTTTTACCAGAGGCAACACTGAGACCAAGGAATTAGGAGGATGCTGACATACAGTGACCCCCGCCCCCGACTGAAAGAAAGCAGGGCTGGCTGAGAGCACAAAGAGGTTGGTGGGGGTAGTGCCCCATTTGCCCTAATGGAGCAGCCTCCACCAGGTACAAAGTCAGATGTATA